TAAAGTTATTCGGATGCGAGATTCACTCTTATAAAGTGAATGATCCTAGTTTTTCTCAATTTAAAAATTTCTCCCTTTCAGAAACCAAAGAATAGTATAATATTATCTTAACAAGTGTCAAGCTTGGGAGGAGCTAGAGCAACGGGAGAGAGAACATAATAAACGAGACGAAACGGGAGACCGATTGGAAAGTTGGCAGATGTGCGCTTAAGATTAATTGCCACCAGCGCTCCTGGAACCTGCCAAGATCACGCAACTTTCATATATCGATCCGCATTTTGTGCGATTTTGTTGTTCGAGCTGTGTTCTGAGATCGGAGTTCAAAGAGGCTTGGCGGATTTCTCGAATTTTCGGTTGGAAACGGATTTTTTCAATATCAACTTGTTTTTCCGAATATTAGGGCTGCTGGTGTTTGGGCTGGGCTCTACAAATTTCCCAATTTCTTTAAGTTTTGAAATTTGGTCGCTTTTTTTTGAATATTTAGGCTATTTAGAGGAAGTGGGACTTTTTTTGAATAGTTAGGCGGCTGTCGTTTAGCTAGGTTCTAAGATCGAAGTACATAGAGATTGGCCGATTTTTTCTAATTTCGGGCAAAGAAAGGGACATTAGGTTTAAACTTTCCGAAGTTCCTTAAGTTCAACTTTATCGAATGGAATATTAAAAAAATAAAGAAATTTTTTTGAAAAAGAATTTTTGCGGAGAAGCACTGATTACAGTAAATGAACAGTTTGATAAAAAAACTTTCATATTTTTTTCATTAAGAGATTTTTTTGTTCTCAAGTACTCGAATAAATCATTGAAAAAAAGTAGAAGCGAATATAGTTTTTCCAATAAAAAAATTAAAATACTATTTTTCAGAAGGCGTGCAGAAATTTCAATCATTTACTTCAATTCAGCAGTTTTCATAGTTCAATATTCCTTTACACTTTTCAAATTTCAATCATTAAACCTAAAAAAATGTACTAATTAGTAAATCAACAAGAACAAAAGAGAAATCATTGAACCAGAAAATTTTGGCGTGCAAATTGTAGCCAAAGAACAAAAAAACCTGTGCAGAATTCTCTGTTTTTACACAGCCGTTCATTCGCTTCGCAAGTTTTTTTTTTCTCCTTTTCTTTCCGAACAAACAGTTTAAAGCCCGTAATTGTCTTGCGAAACAGTTGGACAAGCTGTGGGGAACGCTTTGCACTTGTAAGTGGACAAACATTTGGGAAAAAAGTTTCTCGTTCAAGTCATCCTTTTTTGAAGATCATCTATAGTCTTTTGAAAAAAAATAGTCTTTTTAAAAATTTCTAAGATAATTTTTCTCCAAGTATTTGAGTAAAAAAAATTGAAGAAAGCTCAAGAAGTTTAAGTGATCCTTCTAGGGGTTCAGGGGAAGAACAGCCCCTATAGGGGCCGAGAAAGTAGTCCATATAGGGGTAAAATTCAGATGACCTTTATAGATATTGGTAAATTGGTCCCTAGAGGGAACTCTCCAAGGGCCCTGAGGTTTGCCGCTTTTTATAATCCATAACTCTTATGGGAATCTTCTACGGTCTACGAATTCTATTTCGAAAAGTGCGTTTCACAAAATGTTATTCTCAAAACCATTCATAGCTTCCGAATAACAAAAGTTAAAGAGCAAAACCTCTAAATTAGGTCCAATGGGACAGATTTCGAAAACAAGGCCGAACTGCCCTTTTAGGGACGTTTATCGAGACAAAAATAGTCTGAAAATAGTCGTCCAAAAGTGACTTTTGAATAGGAGAAATGATATGAAAGACTTCTTCAGTTTTGGCTTTTCTTTGAAGAAGTTAAGAAAAAGTCGAATATTGAAGGGAAAAGTATAAGGAGGGAAGATTTTCGGCTCTGAATAGAGATTTGGCGGCTCGAGATTCATATAACTTATTATTAATGAGCTGGAAAACCAATTAATAATAAATCAGCCGCGGACTATTTGAAGTTCTCTTTACTTGGGATAAATAAATCAAGTTGAATGAGGAAATCAAGAAATATTTTTTTCTTTTCTGGAACATTTGTCTCGGATTTTACCGGATTTTTTTGATGTTCTCAAGTTTCAAAAATCCTCACATTTTTTTAAAATTAAGTTTTCATGAAACATTGAACAGTACGGAAAAAGATTTTTGATCAACTTGATCGGACAAATTTTTTTGAAAAATTCCAAACCCAAAAAAAATAAGGGCTTTCTAACCGAGGATGGCTGAATGAATGTAAATATGAAAAAAATATGAATAATATATTTTTGAAAATTATAAAAAGTCAAAAAAATACGGCTTTTTTTAAGTCAGGTAAGCTACATAAAAAAAGATATAATCTACAGTGAAAAAAATAATTTTAAAAAAATAATTTTTTTGAAAGAAAAAAAGAAAAATTTTTGAGCCAGAAAAAAAGCTTACTAAATGAAAAATGACCTTTATTATAGAAAATAAAACAATAACTTATGGGATAACAGTAAAAAAAAAAAGGAAAAAAAGCCATTTTCCAAGCCAGGGAAGCTGAATAAAGAAGGAAATAACCTATATTTAGCCTGGTCGGCCTACCTTTTCTGGAGGCCGGCTGTTTACCCAGGCCGTGGCACAAACATATATGAAAGATGGCCGGTACGGGGCGAAATATGTGTTGAGATCGGAAAAGGCGCGTGACCTCCCGGAGAGGAAGGGGCTCAGCAGAGGACGTCAACCCGAGCGAGAGCAAGGAAGCTTAGAAACTTGATCTCCATGCTCCGGAGAATGCGAGATCCGGTACTAACTTTTGCGTTTTCGGAGCATGAGCTTGAGCTGGGGCTGGCGAAATTTCACAAAATAGCAAAAAAATGATTCAAAAAATTTCTAGCTGTTTTATTTTTGGTAAATAGCCTACAGTAATCCTTGAATGGGACGTGAGAACGTCGAAAACCCATTGTTCAAGCACATCAGAGACATTTTTCTACATTTGGGAGTTTAGAAACTTGATCTTCACGCTCCGGAAAGAGCGAGGCCCGGTACTAACTTTGCATTCTCTGAGCATGAGCTTGAGCTGTAGGACTATATTGGCTTAAAACCGAAAGTAGAACATTTTCATGAGTTTGAAGAGTTCTCTCGACTTCTGGAAACGTATAAGCTTGGATTCTTGAGAGATTTGGTACTAACTTTGCGTTTTCCAAGCATGAGCTTGAGCTTTAGGATTCTTCTGGCTTATAAAAGCAAAATAAAACATTTTCCGTATTTCAACGAGAGTACTCTTGCAAACTTCCAAATTTGATTCAGCTACTTCGCATGCTCTGAGCATGAACTTAAGCTTGATGATTTTTTTCGGCCAAAACAGAAAGATGGAACTTTTTAATTTTTTGAGAGTTCTCTCAAAACTTCTGGAAGCTTCTACGTTTCAATGAGGGAGTGGAACTGGAACTTCCAGCACTCATGAGCTTCTTAAAGACTTTCTTGCGTGATTTCTGCGCTTGAAACTTGCTCTCATTTTTTTTGTTTAGGTGAAAAAACGGATACTTCGTTGGCATGCATTAAGCTTCGAAATTCCAAGAAATATGAGCTTTTACTAAATTGAGCAAAGATCAGAATTTCTTTTTATAGTTTGAATAAGAAAAAAAGCATCTTCAAAAAAATTTTTTTGGATCTAAAATGAAGGGGATCAAGCTTCGAAATTTCAAGGAATATCGAATCTTCCGAGTACAAGCAAGTATCAAGGCGATAAGATGGGATTTTTCTTTCCGTGGATAAAATAAATTATTACTATTGATATAAGGGAAAAAAACTATTTCAAAAAATCTTACGGACACGAGTTCACAAAAGTCTGAAAAATAAAGGAAAAATAAGCTTTTCTGATCCCTAAAGCCTCCCGAAAAAAGTACTTATAAACCCTTTATTTATGATCTCAGAAAATTCCGAAGTTTTTGACGGCTCGGATTTTTTTTTTGCAAACCTATTTTTCAATGTTTGGTCAGCTTGTAACTTGAGCTTTATGTTTTTTTAGCCCATCGTCGTCATTTCCAATCTCCAATCAAAAAAGAAGGAATGAGAAGTCCGGAGTGGTCATTTTAGGGCTCAAAAAAAGTTCGACCATCGAAATAAAAAGTTAGGGGTACCTTGAGAGGTTAGGGATTCATTATTTGGATTTATTTTTTCTCAAAATTTAAATAGGAGGTGAATATATCGTTTTTGATTGATATCAAGAGATGCTCTAAAAATCAGAGAAAAAAAGCCCTGAAAAATGATTCACAAAAATATCCACAAGTGCTATTTTCAACGAGAATCACTGAAACTATTCACAAAAAATGTCTTAAACTTTTTCTATTTGACAAATTGGAGATTTTTACCGATTTATTAAATAAGTTTGAACGAAATCAAAGAGAACGCTGTTAGGAAAATTGAATGAACAAAAAAAAACTATGACGTTTTTAGTGAGGTTTCTCTCATCCGCGTGGGAGAAGTGACACATTTGGCAGCTTTTTCAACCGATTTCGAAAATTTTCCATGATTATTTGAAAGTTGCTGTCACTGACATAGATTTGCTACATATTTTTTCGCCATCCTATCCAATCCGAACTTATAGATTCATCATCGTAACTCGTTCCAACTTTAATATTTCTTAGAAAAATAGATATCCTTAAATCTGGAAAGTTGAAATTTTCTCCACATGATCTTTCGAACCTTCCTCCGGTGTAGTCAGGGTAATCGAAGCTTTTTTCTGTTCATTTTTGTTCCTAAGTCTTGGAATTAATTGCGAAGAGTACACGGAAGCAATCAAGACGTCAAGGAAGAAAAAAGAGGCTTTGAACGGAATTTCTGAATTTTCCTTTTTGTAATAGGTAAATTGAGCTTCTTGGTCGTTTCATAAACTCATTATGGAAAACGAAGAATTGCTTTCTGATTTTCTAGAAGTTAACTCCCAAGATATCTTAAAGTCTTTTTTTGGTTCATAATTGCAAAAAGGAGTTTCAAGCATTTCTTTTTTTCCTCACAGCTTTAAAATCCCAAAACATTCTGCAAAAAATGCTTTCAGAAATGATCTTCGGAACCCTCTCAGTATTAGGTTAATTGAGTTCCTCGGTTGTCTCAAGATTAACTGCGAAAGGAACGCCAAAGGACAAGGAAGCTTGAAAAAGAACGTGAAACAGACGGAATCGTTGCGGAAAAGCGTGTGGGCGGGAGGAGAACGGAAGGCCGTGAGGAGAGTCCCAAATTGGCGGCTCCTGGCGCCTCCGACACCCGGCTGGTCTTTCCCGATGGTGGTCAGTGACGCAGCGTCTCTGGAACCCCCTTCTTCATTCATAACACATCCACTGTCCATTTTTGGTCAGTTCAGGCCATTTTGGAACATTTCCCATGACCGCAGAAGAAGCTTCCAAGCTGACTCAGGCCTTGACGGTTTGCCGGACGGAAATGGAGGGAAACTTAAGCAACCTGCTCTTTGGGACTGGAGGTAGCATCATACATTGAAGGCTCAGGAAGGCTCTGATTGAGCTGACACTTTCTTAAGAAAGAAAGATACTCGATACTTGTCTAGAACCAGAAAAACCTCCTTCTCGTTCACAAAACCTCATGTTTCCATTTTTGGTCATTTTAGGCCATTTCAGAGCATTTTCCATGACCGCAGAAGAAGCTTCTGGCCTGAATCAAACCTTGAAGACTCAGTGAGCGAAAAATGGAGTGGCCACTTAATTGACCTGCTTCTTGGCACACCTGAAGCCGGCATCACACACTATTAGTTGAAAGAATGGCTACTTAAGTGGCCAGTTTTGAACTGACTCTTTTTAAGAGAAAAGTTGGATCCACGATTCTTGCCTTGGCCGAGAATACCTCTTTTTCATTAATAATATGCCCATTTTTGGGCAAGAGAACTTTTTGGGACAATTTGGCACTCTGAGCTTTACTCAGTTTTAAAAGACTGTAAAGGTGTTTTTGAAACTAATGGAAGATTAGATAAGTAGGAGGAAGTGACCACTTAAGCTTTCTGCTCCTTTCACCCGCCTGGAGCCAGCAAAACGCACTGAAAGTTGAGACAACGAACACTTAAGGGACCAGTTTTTGAGCTGACTCCCTGCTTCATTCATAACTCATCCACTGTCCATTTTTGGTCATTTCAGTTCATTTCGGAGCATTTTCCAAAGCCGAAGAACAAGCTTCTGAGCTGACTCAGGTCTCGAAGATTCCCTGAACATAAATGGAGTGACCACTCAAGAAACCAGCTCCTTGGCAATCGCCTGGAGCCAGCAACATGCACTGAAAGTTGAGGAAACGGACACTTAAGGGACCAGTTTGAGCCTGTTCTCAGTTCATTCGAGAATACCGAAATTTTTATCTGAAACGATCACAGTTCTAGAACGAAGACTGGAGAAATATTGAGTGGCCACTTAAAGGAAACGCTTTTGCAAAAACCGCAAAAGACAAAATCGGACCGAGCACTAAAGGAACTATTTTTTTTATAGTGAAAAAAAGTTTTTTAGTTTGGTTTGAATTTGGCTAAAATAAGGAACTTTGGCCCTTAAGCGGTCATTTGAAAGATCTGCATTCAACCGCAACGCCTGAGTGGTTCCTAGAGGGCAAGGGAACTTGAAGGTTTTTCCACTAGGTACCAGCTTTCCCCCTATCCTTCTAGAGGGCTGAAGATTGCAAAAGTGGCCATTTTAGGGCAGCTTGTTACTGGTAATTAAACTTTTTTATTTTTTAAATCAGACCATCTGAATTTCAGTCCTTTAAGAGCACTTTTTGTTTTTATTTTTTTTTCCACATTTTCGCATTAATTCCATCAAATGATTCAAAATTTTTGGTCAAAGACCTTTTTTCTTTGAAAGAGGGGAATCTAACACTTTCACGACTGCCGGAAATTCTGAAAATACCCAAAAAAAGAAAGGCGAAGGGTTAATCGCCTTCTGGCCATACGTTATGTCGGTCCGCCGAGGGAGTCTTCCAAGACATTATTCTTGCGTTTCGACGTTTTCCACCCCCAGATAATCCACAAGTATAGGAAAATTTGAAAAGTTTCTTTTGTTGCCTTTCAAATAGAACTCGATTGAAAACCCTGCCATAATTGGAGGCAAAAAAGTCTGCCCTCCATTTGTGGTTTTCTTCAAAGTTCATTCAATTTTTCTTCGTAGGAACCTTCTTGTCAAGCTAAAAGTTAGATTTTGAAGCTCCAACGCAATTTCGTGTACCTTACTTTTTTTTAAAAAATATCAAGCCAACAGCCCATAATGTCGCGATAACTATTCAAAATAATTTATCTTCGCAAGATAATAATCTCAAAACGTATCGAAAGCTTTCAAGAAGTAGGTTTTTATAAGCGGAGCGCACATAAACGCAAACATAGCCTATTCGACTTTTTCAAAGTCTTTTTTCTGCTCTTTGCCAAAGATTTTTGTCACAAGACCTTCAGTTTTTCTGTCTTCGCTCCTTTGACAGTTGAGTTGAGAAAATGGAACTTTTTCGACTTTTTGAGGACACACGAAGATTTTTTCTGTACGGTCATCACCAAACTTCTTCCTATTCTTGTCTTTTCCTCACCAAAGAAAAACGGAAAAAAGCGTTTTTTTTTTCATTCCAATTTCTGTTGGTGAGAAAAAAAAAATCTTCAGCGCCTCAGGCACACTTGAGCCCCTGGGCGGGAAGAAGAAGAAGCAGAAGCTGAAGAAGCTGCGGAAGACAATCATATATTCGACACTTCGTCTTTTCCCCCCACACACATATACACACACACCCGGAGCCATTCAGTGCATCCTTGCCTTTCTTTTCAAATTTTGGCTTTCATGGTCGTCGTCCTTTCTTTTTTTTTTGGTTTTCGATCTTTTTTCTGCTCTCCTCCTTAATTTTTAACATCTAGGACATTCCTTTTTCATATCGGTTCTCTAAAATTTCAAAATTTTACAAAAGCTAAAACGAATTAAAGATTACCGTGGCTCGATGATACGCAGACACATCCCACCAAAGAAATGTAATCTTACGCGCAACTATTTTTTTTGTTTTTTTTTTCTTTCCGTTTTTTGCTGTTTTTACCAATTTTCAGTTATGCATAATCAGACCTCAATGTGCATGAAAAGAAGAAGCAAAAATTTGATTCCTGAGAATAGTTACTCGATTTAAATAAAAGTAAAAGTCATCCTATATTTTTGATAGGTGATCAGAGCTCAATAAATTTATGATATTCGCACGTATATCAACGAGACGGATCGAGTAATTATACTTTCATGCTGAATATCAAACATATTGCTAACGTCGAATTATACCTTCCATTCTTTCCTGTGGAAAATTTTAAAAAATAATTTTTGAAATTTTCCAGATGCGGAGGCGGTGAATAAAGACGGCAGCAGTACTCCAAAATGCGAGGGGAAAGAGGTTTTTTTTTCATTAATTGTGTTTTTATTAATTCCATGTTTCGAGTTTTCAAGTCAAGAAAGAAGAAAAATCGAATAGAAAAAAAGTCAATGAACATCCTTAAATTGGCCACTTGGGATTCGAATGGTAGATAAGGACAAAGAAGCCGAAATTTCGAGCCAAATGCATTGTTTCAGAACGTCTTGCTAGCTTGAAGAAAAAAATCAGAGGTTGTAGTTACTGCAGTTTTTGAAGAACAAAACTTCGAATTTCAATTTTTAAAAAGGGCTCTGCTATTTTGTCGTTTTTTTTCATTTGTCCGTTGCCAGCCGATAATTATACCAAACTTGTGTAGTTTATTTCCGAAATTTTCAAATTTTCTGTTCATATTTGAGAAATTTTGGAGAAAATGATTCGAAAATCTAGAAAAAAAGATGTGTTTCTATGGCTGTGTCGGAAACCCATCAAAATCCTCCATTTTTCTCCAAAAAAGGGCAGAATTCCTTTTGAAGTAGCACTTTTTGAGCTCCCGACCAGAAGGCGCGAATTGAAGCTCTCAGCACAGAAAAAAAAAAGAAAAAAGACGGAACGTGTTCTTTACAATGGCCCCAGGGCAACATGTGTCGACAAGGCGTAATTTCTTCGCGTTTTTCCCGCCGCAAATCTCGTTTTTCACATTTTTGTTTGTTTTTTTTCCAAACTAATTAACAACATAAATAAATCCTAAGGTAGCTCCTTAAAGTTTAGTGTCTTTCTACGGGCTTTCGAGAGTGTAGAGCTTCAGATTTTAAGGTTCCTCAACACTAAAAACAAGTCTATACACAGCTTGGAATTTTGAAACTGTGGTCGCATTTGGAATGGCTCAAAGAATCGAAAGTTGCTCTGCTGTTTTCTGAGATGATCAAGCGCAAACCGTTTTTGGTCGGACGCTATTTGCAACTTATTACATAACCTTCATATTCCTCTAGCATGAGCAATTCACCTTCCTGTGCCTCTAAAATGAGCAATACACCTTCATACACCTCTATCATGAGCAATACTGCAGCCGACTCGTTCTCGTACCACCATCAGTCCGTGTACGGACAGGAGCGACGGCCACTGTGCGACCAGCGGATGACGTCATACGGCGCCAACCCTCAGCCGTTACCGGTAGTTATCAGCTAGAATAAGCAATAATGAGACATCTTCGGATTTTTAGTCGCGCTTCGCCACCGGATACCAGCCGTCGGGTTTCGCCAATAGTAGGAACCCGCTGACCCTTGTTCCGAGGTTTATTTTCATGATTTTTATCCGTAATATATTTAATTTAAATTCACTCGATAAGTATCTGATACCAAGGGGTTTAAAGGAACATTGACTAATTTAACAAGGGTTTCAAAGCGAAGAGCCATTCTTTTTTAGGCGACCTTAGCAAAGATTTTTAGGCAGAGTATCAATTTTGCGAATCTTTACTGAAACTATAGGCCGAAAAGTAAGAAAAACACGTTTAAAATTCGAAACCAAAGCACAAATTCATAGTTTTGATGTCAAAGAGTGCACCTGTCTGTTTCGTATCACTTTCTTTTTTTTTTCTCTAATCCTCTTTTGATTTCCTGCAGAAGGTTCGCTCCACCGAACACCCAGGAGGACGAGGAGGACTCCATCAACTGCTCTCCCTGTTGCGACGATCCAAACATTAGGTTTTCCTCTTTCTTTTTTCCGCGTTTTGAAAGTTTTGTCAAAAAAAAAATTTGATTTTTTTGATTTTTAGAAAAATTTTCAATGCGTTTAATGCATTAAGAAAGACCTGAAATTTGATTTTTCGAAAATTTCCCAGTTTTCGAGAATTTAAAGTAAAAATTAGACAATTTTCCAGTCTTTCTTTTCATCTTGTTTTTAAAAAAAATTTTTAATCTTTTTCTTTTTATTTGAGGGAGATGTTTTCACGTATTTTGTGCATTAAAAAAATATCAGAAAGTTAATTTTTTTGAATCTTGAGATTACAATTGCATTCTTAAATAGGCCGATTTTCGTTGAAAAATTTTCTAAAAACTACAAAGTTTATAAAATTCGTCACCTTTTTTCGTTTAAAGATTTAACCGCCATTGCATTTTCATCGTTTACGGGAATAATTTTTAAAAAAATTTATAAAATTAATGGGCTTTTTTGATCTTTTTCCGTCAAAAAGAAGACATAATTTAGGCCTCAAATATTTTTTCCTCTTTTTTTTTTACTTTTTTTGTTGTTGTTCTGGAGTTTTTTTATCATAGGGTCACATGTTAGAATGATGTCTAAAACTGATTTTTGCATTTTTTGGGAATAAAAAAAATTCGAGTTTGAAATGTAAAAAAATTATGAAGAAAAAAATTTTTGTATGAACTTAAAAAAAGGAACTTAAAACATTAATTTGACTAAATTTTGCTATCAAATTTGATTTTTAAACCAGAAATCTATTGAAAAATCCTTGTATTTTACGTCAGACCATTAATTTGCATTAGAGTCCACTCTAAAGAACAATCGTCTTTGAAATGTTCTTTCGCTCCGTCTTTATCAGCCTCTTTTATCTTTCCAAAACTTCTTAACCGATCCCTTTTTTTTCCTCCGTTTTATATTTCCTGTCGAATTCTCGGAAAATTGATATTCCTCGTTCTTTTTTTTCGTTTTTCTCTTGATGGGTTTCAAATACCAGTCCATTGAGCCATTCGTCTCCCCGCCGCCGCGAAAAATGTTACAAGAATTTTGGGAAAATCAGTGAGTTTTTCATGGTTTTTCCCGGTTTTTCATCTTTTCTAATGTTTGAAAGTTTTTTTAATCACAGAAACTTATGCTTATCGTTTCTCAGTTTAACTCGTTTTTTCTCGTAAAGATTGTAATTTTTTCCTTTTTTCGCCGGTTTCGAATGAATTTTTAATTAAGAATATTTTTTTGGGTTGGATTTTTTTCTGACTTTTCCGTCTTGTTTAGAATAATTTCCAGTTCTTAGATTACAAATTTACTTAAAATTCGCTCTCAATTTTTAGACTTCCAAGTTTTCTTCACAAATATTTTTTTTTCCACTAGAATTTTATTTGAAGCTCAAATACAATTTCTAATTTTTCAGTAAATTTCTCGTCGAAGATTCATGAAGAATGAAAAATTGATTAAAAATGGAAAAATGAGACTTCTGTTTCAAAAATATTATCTGAACAAATAAAGCCGCTTCTGTCATTCTTCGCATATCTTTATCTAACCAAGGAACGTTTTTTTTAAGCGCTCTCCTAGTAAAATAGGCTAATCTTGAGACGAAAGGCAAAAATTCGATTGGAACCGGGTTTTTCTTATTTTAAAGTACCTAATTTTTGAAATCAAAAGCAAAAAAGTCGATATAAACTGAATTATTCTCATTTTCAAAATACCTGATTTTCAGTAGAACTTTCCGATCGTTGGTTCTCGGCCAAATCCTCTCGTTATGCCTTTGTGGAACCGGCGTTTCCAGTCAGATTCTCAAAGATCGAGGCGTAAACGCTCCAGCCGGTTGGTTTTTGCAAAAAAAAAAAGAGAAAATGTTTAAAAAAGGACTGATATTAAGGATGAGAATAAGGGAAGGCTGAAAATTGACATGCAAATGCTCTTTAAGTGCAAAATTTATTTTTTTCGTTTTGGAACTTGGACCTTGGTAGCGCCAACGGGACGTGAATCGACTTGTCGGGGCATTTCTAGTGACCACTTTAGTAGCCTCAGCACTCTTAAGTGATCCCTAGAATTGCCCAGAAACGTACGGAGTTCGGGTTACCAATGTCCGAGAAGGCTTTTTTTACATCTTTCTCGAGTTCCACCTCATTTTCCTGCCTTGGAAAACGAAAATTAGAGTTTTTTAAAGTAATTTGAGCTCATTTTCTTCTTTTTTTTATATTTCATGATTTTTCCTCTTCAGCACAGGCGTTCACCAACTACTTTCTGTTATGTTTTGTCTATTGTATCGCGTTGGCCTGTAAATCCGGCGAGGAAGGTCTTTCTTCTGTGCTCAGGAAACGCGGATGGAGGTTTCTTTTTTCTTTGAAAAATCCGAGTTTTTGATTGAAAAGATTGATTTTTGATTGATAAGCACAATATTTGAATGTCGAGCCATTGCTCAAGCTCCGACCCTTATAGAGCGATAAACCAATCAGAGATCGGGCCATCCACGGAGTGTTTTTCTAATGACGCCATTGTACTTGGCAGCCAATATCTGAACAGACTTCACTCTCCAGAGCTTTTCAAACAACTCTCAAGTGATATAACTTCACAGTTTCTCAAGTACCCTGAAATGGCAACTTTATTAGTTTTGAGACTTCAATGATATCTGCTTTAAAAAAAACCTGAAGTGTTCATTTTTTTTAATGAAAAAAATTGGAATATTCTTTAAAGGTATTTTCTCCTCGCTTTCATCGACGTGGAAGCCAACTACATGATTGTATATGCCTATCAATTCACCAATTTAACCAGTATACAGGTAAATTGAAGATATCGTAATCTGTTCCGAAAAATTCAATCTTTCAGTTGCTCGATTGTGCGACAATTCCGACAGTTTTGTTACTTTCCTGGCTATTTTTATCTGTTCGATATCTTTTATCACATATTTTAGGTTGGGGTTTGTTATGATAGGACTTTTTAAAAGGTTTATTTTAGGAGTTACGATATGTCTTATTGGAATCGCCTGTGTTATTTGGGCAGACGCGCTTGGGGATCAAAGCGGTTTTGGAGGTTTTTTTTTTGTTTGTGGATAAAAGCTTTTCAACGATGGGACAAAGGGTTTTTTAATTGACGTTCATTTATTTTTTTATTTTCGATCTTTCTCCCCGGAAAGAAATTGAATTGAAATTGAAATTGAAATCTCCAGAAAGTGTAGAAATCTTGATTCTATATACTTTGAAGGTTTTAAAAAATTAGAATATTAGCAGACCAAAAAAAGAGGTTTGTGTGGTTTTTCTTATTAAATTCAGGCTTAGACTCTTTATTTGACTTAAAGATAATTATAAGATTTGACAGGACTTTCTGATTGAAAAATGAAGAAATAGAGAGAAAAGAACTTTTCAAAAAGTTGATGACCATTTTTTGAAAAATCCGACTTGAAACTATTCAATGCACAAAGAATTATGAATTCTAAAACCGTAAAAACCTTGAAAATCGAGACTTTATAAGTGTGACCAAAATTGTTGAAGTTTGAGCGCGGCACCTCAAAGAAAAGGCGTGCTATAAAGTGCGGGCGTTTACAAAATGCGACCGCTTTTCGTGCTACTTTGAAAATTAAAAGCTTGCTAAAATTATAGTTTCTAAAAAGTGAAGTTTTTAAAAAAATATGATTGAAACTGTGAAGTGCGAGAAAAAAAATAATAAGTAGCGGAATATTCTCTCTTAATATTATATTATTTCGGTAGAACTGATTCACGTCTGGCTTGGACCATCGAGAAAAGAAATAGTTCTTGGTTGGTGGAGAGCGCAGAGACAGGCCACGCCCCTTCCCAAGTCAGTCGTGCTTAGGGACTACAGAGTGGTCTCTATGGTGGTTAGGGGAGAAAACAGCCTTTAAAAAAAGTTCCTCACAGGGGAAAATTTATGTGGTCCCTGTAGGGGTTCAGGGAAGCTTTAGTGTCCCATAGGGGAGGTTAACGCGGTCCCTAGAGGGACTATTCGGCGTTCTTTTGTGAGTCGGCTAAAGTTTATCAGAGTTTTTCGAAGAAAAAAAAAATATTTTCTCGATATTCAGGAGGGTCGAACAAAGTCCTCGGAGACGTCCTTTGCTTGGGAGCCGCGATGTTGTACGCGGTCTGCAACGTCGCAGAAGAGTTCCTCGTCAAGCAGCACAGTCGAATAGAGTATCTGGGGATGGTTGGCCTTTTCGGATGCATCGTCAGCGGCATCCAGTTGTTCGTTTCCCAGATGATTTGTGCAGAGATAAAAGCTTTTTTAGATCTCTAACTTTTCTTTCCTAAAACTACTGTACTTGGAAGATTTTTCTTCCAATCTAACATGTCTGCACTCTCTTTTCCCTAGCCATAATATGAAAAAATAAATTAAGTATATCGTATCAAAAACCACCAAGAATCATAATGCATCCGCAAAAATGAGCGGATTTTCACGCGATCTCTGAAAAGCAATTTTCGGACGTACGTGGCAATATTTTGGAGCGCGCTTGACCAAAAACGGTTTCCACTGTATGATTTTCTTTTTTCGAAATTCTGAAAAAAAGCGTCGATTGAACTTCTGACCGCGACTCTTCGAGCCATTCTACCTGTATTTTTCTTTTTCAGAGCCGTTTTAGAGCAAGATAACTTGGCCAAAATCAACTGGGACGGCGCCACGATTGGATATTTCCTACTTTTTGGCGTTTCTATGCGAGTTTTTCGATTATTTTCAGCTGACTTTCAATCAAAAATCAATGAAATTTTCGATTTTCAGGTTCATTTTCTATTCATTCGTGACGGTTGTCCTACAGCAATCTTCAGCGTTGATGTTCAATTTGGCGACTCTGACTGCCGACTTTTATTCCCTCCTTTTTGGGATCTACCTTTTTGATCAGAAAGTTTCAAAAAGGATGATTATCAGGAAAATCAGCGGTTTTTCAGTTTCATTACCTTTACTTCTTCTCATTTGTCATCTGTATCGTTGGCTCGGTGATCTACTCTGTGAGGGAAACTCAGGTTTCGTTTTGAAAAGAGTCTTTGGGAAAAGTGAGTTTAACTGAGCTCACTGCAACTAGGTTCTCATAATTGTCTGATGGATGGTCAATGGCGTTTGATGGCATGTTTCAAAAAATTCAAACTTTTTTTTGGCTTAACTTTTTTACTTATTCAGAATGCATATAATTCTTAATTGAAGATCGTTTTAAAGCTTGAAATAATCAAATATTGGCGCTGTGGATTTTTTTGAAAATAAATTTTAGGTCAAACTCTCTCATTTGCCCTGAAATTAACTATGTTAGGTTAAATCAGTTTTTTTATTGAAATTTGAAAGAATTTTGTTGATGAAAAGTAGAAAATTAGAGATAGAAAGTTCAGTTTTTGAAACTCAGTGACGATTTTCTGAAAAGTCAGTGTTCTTATATAAAGAAATACGTACTTTCAAACCGGTATGCTGTCAATTTACCATTTTAAAGCTCTGAATGGTTGATAAAATAGCCATTAAAAATACCCTCTGAACGGACGACTTTTGCAGCATGCCGTGATCATTTTTTTCCTTTTTCTCATGTTCGAACTAAATTCGCCAAATCTAAAATAACCGTCAGAAAGTGTACTTCGAACACAGCATCACACAATAATATAATGATTATTTTTTTAGCAACGAGACCCGGATGAGCCGCGGCGAGTCTGTCCCTGTCTTTTCAAGTGCTGCTGCTGTTGTCCTTGCTTTTTTGACGACGTAGAAAGTACGGAAGGATCTTTGGAGGTATATAAACAGCCACCATCGACAAAGATTTTATTCTTCTCCTTTCACTTATTGAAAAAGCGATAGATTACTAATTTTCAATGGAAATGCTTTTTTTTTGAATAAAAATGTCCTAGGTCTCCCCAAATCCACAACTACAAATGGGAATCAATGCAAACGGTTCTTCAAGTTGTCCTGTCCACGGAAGATCTTCCAGAAACGCCAGTTTCACCCGATTATAGAACTTATTTGTTTAAAAATCTAGAATTTTCGAATTTTACTATTTTCCCACGCTTTTGAAGCTCAAACTCTTTGATCAAAAACACTCCAAATTCCCTTCTCAGACGGTTATTTTCAACAACCTCAACGTTTTTTTTTCTAGGTTTCCATTTTTGAATTTCGGACAAATTTCACTTGCTGCGTAATCGCTTTAAAATCCCACATACGAGGTCCGTTCCTGATGAGTTTTTGCTCAATTTATCTTTGCTTTCGATTAGAAATTGTGATATCATATATTAACTTTATTCATTTCAGATATTTATGTATGTAATAAAGCAATAACGTATAAATTACAGTTGGGATAACAATAATTATGGTGATTCTCAAAGGAAAAAAAGAATTTTAATAGCCTGGTTCTCGTATGAAAGACGGGTATAGGAATAATTTCGGTGAACTGGGTTTTAAGGCAGGTTTGGACACGTTATTATAGAAAAAAGGCACAGTTTCTTAAATAATTCTCTCTCAAAATTCGCAAAAAAAAATGGGTTAGTGCAGTAAAGAGGTCCACGAATTACCAAGCAATCACTCCAAAAAATATAATTTTTATTCAAATTTTTTCTAAGTGTTCTTGAAAGCAATGAAACGCGAAAAAACGTAAAAAAGCGAAGGGACCACTTAAGGGAATGAAGAATGAAGTCTCTCAAGAAGGCAATCAATTTTAAGTTACCACTCTAGGGACTTCTTAGCTCAACCACTTGAGGGTTTTTAAACTTCTCTTTTACCGTTGGTACACCAACTTGGACCTAACTAACTGATTAAAAAAATTTATTTGAAAAAAAGTTCAGATTACACTTAAGTGGCCACTCCGGGGTCTCAATGATACTAGAAAAAAATAAATCCTTAAATCTTAGTGATAACTCCGCAATTTTTAAAGTAGAAGCTTTAAAAAAATCTTACTTGACCATCGAAAAAAATTCTGGCTAAAAAAATTTCTTTAAACTTCATAGTCGATTCATCCCTGATATATTAGGAATTTACGGTAAAAAATCTGAACCTCTTATTTTGTCCACTATTTCGCCAATCGTTTCAATAATCACTAAAAATCAGTGGTGCTTTAAACAGAGCCACTGCTTGATGATTCGTCCTGGAAAAAAAAGGGAAAAAAAAATAAAATTCTAGTCTTCATGCTCCTCTTCTATACTGTAGATGACGTCATTCTCGAGGTCTTCCATCCGCGAGGGCAACATGACGACGTCGTCGTCCTTGTAGGATACCCGCGAGATTTTCTTCTTCCTCGGCTCGTTGTTGCCCGAATCGCTCCGCAGAATGCTGTTGTGGCGGTCGAGACTCAGCCTCCGGGAGCCGTCTTCCGGATTTGTCGAGAGGCAAGTCGAGAGGTTGACCGAGGTCGCGTTTGAGGGAGTCTCGCCCCACGGTTCGGTTCGACCTGCAAATTTTCGGCTTCGGTGAGAATTATGGGAAGAAATGATGGCTTAGAGTCAGAATTATGTATGATATGAACGATAGGATAATGAAGATGGAAAGAAATCAAAACTCGAGGTCAAAATAAAATATTAAGTAATAAAAAAAGTTTCAACAAGATCTCAGAATTCGCTGTTTCAAACTTCGATTCGATTTGTAAATATTTAAATTTGGTTAGAACTAAGGGAAGAAATGCCAAAAAAAGGAGAAAAACAAGAATAATTAAAAAAATTAAAGGTCGTATTATAAATGAAAAAAATGAATTTTTTTCAAGAAAAATGTTTCTTTTAATAAAATTTCAAGGAAAAAGCTGTTTCAAGTATTCAATCAAAGAACCAGGCATCTCAGAAAATATTAGATAAATTTGCTTTTCACCTAGAAATCGGTATAAAAAAACTACAAAAATCAAAAACAAGTTGAATAAGAAGATAATCTGAAAATCTTCCAGGCTTCAAAACTTACAGCATCACACCGTTATGAGACATTTAGAAAAGCCTGAAGAAGCTTTGAAATGTAAACCCTGAACCCCTATAGTGACCAATTAAATTTTAGCCCTGTTTAACTGTTTAACTCTTCCAAGGTCACATCTAAAATTTCTAGAAAAAAATGTTCTTTTAGTGAATAATATTTGAACTTTAAAGTACAGGAAATCGGCGCAAGGCGAAGGAAAACGATTCGAAACGAACCATGTCCAAAGATCTGAAAAGCCAATCCGGTGAAGACCAACACACAGACGAGCATGTAGAACGATATATTCCATTCCTCGACAGTTCCCTAGGAAATTTCTTGATAAAAATGTGATTCAATGATTTTCCTAACGTTTTTCGTGAGAAGTCCAATAACCAACGGAGCCAAGGTACTAGCCATCTGTGAGTAGATTTGAGCGTAGGACGAGATGAAGGCGGTGAACTTCAAAATCAAAATTAGAAGTTAGCATAATGAAGTAAAAATTTCCAAAAATTCATTCATAAGACATTTCATGCGAGCTTCTGACCTTTTTATCCGAAAAAAGGACAGTATGCTAAATTTCGCTTTGAAACCTGTTTTTTTAAAGTCAAGAGTCTTAAAGCTCTGGTTACGGTAGTTTTTTTTAGCTTCATAAAAGTGACCTTCTCTTCATTATAAAACTTTTCCGAGTAGCTCGTTTTATTCAGAAAGCTCGCTCCAACGAACTTCGCCATTGATTTGGCCAAAAAAGACATCAATCAGGTGAAAATTGAAAAAGCTATTTTGGTTCACGAAAGCTCGCTCCAACGCTCTGATTCAGATTTTTTTACTTTAGGAAGGAAATAATTAGCAAAAATTCGACAAATTCATTGGAGCTACTTCAATTTTGAGGCTCATTTTGCTTATTTATGTTTTTAATGACTTCAAGTAACTTTTGGCCATCGTAGTAATTTTACAGCTGTGTTTAAACATTTCGCGCTTATTATAGTATTTTTTCAGGTAGCTTTTTTTGTTTTAGAAAGCTCGCTCCAACGAAAAAGATTTTAGACAGCCAAAAATTGAGAAACTCCTTGAAGCTACGTTAATTTTTTACTGCCGACTCATCTGTTCCTATTGGTTTCAAAGTACTACTTCCCATACCTGCGGGGCCACAGAAACGATGCTCGTATTGTATCCGGGAACGTAGGCCGAGAAAAGGGCCATCGAAGAACACATGAAGAACATTATGAGCTCCGTTTGCTCTATCGGCAATAGACATACTATCAGAATGCAAGCCGCCGTGCCGAAACTTGCTGAAAATTAACTTTTTATTCGAAGAAAAATGTGGATTTCCTTTCAAAACCCTATTCTAGCCTTTTTGAAACAAAAATGGTTATAAAATAATGAAACTACTCAATTTTGAGTATATACCCTCCAAAAAGGAGCTCAATCGGAGTCGAAATTTTCGATTTTGAGAGCCCCTAACTTCATTCACAGGCCTCGAGGGCAACTTTTGAGCACAGATTCAGAATCAGCGTAAGAAACTACATCTATTGAGCCCCATTCAGAAGTCCCACTGTGATTTGAGAACATTCCCTGGTGAGAAAATCTTACCAATGGCATTGGAGGCCTTGGTGACGATCGTCACGCTCACTTTTCTCTGTTTTATTCGATCCGCCGCGATTCCGAAGACCAATTTTGTGATCATCTGACTGGCAAACGGTACTGCCGACCAAATTCCGTTCTGGAAAACAAATCCCATTTTTTTCTTTACCAAGAAGGGTTGCAACTCAGCCGCGATGCGTTTTCGGCGCCTATCCAAAAAATTTTTTTTGAAATCATCTCAATTAAATCGAAAAAAATGACAAGAAATCTTCTTGGAGAGGTATTTGATGTAAATTAACTTAATTTTGATGAAGGGAGAAATCTGAAATGGCGGAAGGGAGAAATCTGAAATGGCGCCACAACGCATCGCGACCGCTTCGCATGCAAACGATATCCAAAGAAGGAAAAATGGAATGTTCCCAGACCTTGGACAAGTTCATATTCATGGCGATCTGGTAGTATTTCGGCAAGTAGGTGACCAAAGCGACTAAGACGAAGCTCTGGGCGAAAGAGCAAAGACAGATGGCGTTGACACAGCCGTTGAGTAAGATCTTCAGGTAGGGAGTTGGTCGGATTACTGTATTCGCTCGCCTTCGTCGCGCTTTCCCGCCTGAACATCAACCTTTCGAATAAAATATACTAATTCTCGATTGAGCTACTCAAAACCCGATACACGACGAACTTTGAGCTGTCTCTGGCTTGTCTGTGCTCTTCTTTCTCTGATGTTATCATGTTATATGAGAGAAAAGAGAGCGCAGGCAGGTTAGAAAGTTGAAAGCCGTGGAGAATGACCTTTTAAAATATGAATGAAAACTTTAAAATTGCAAAAAAAGACTTTGTTCTCTCTCACTACTAAGGATCCCGCAGTCCTTATAGGATTCTTTAATTTACCTTTCTGGAGTTTTTTAATTGACGTCTTTTTTGAATATTGTAAAACTTATTAGACGTACGTTTCACTTAGGCCTTTTATCTAAAGCAATTTTCCATTTCTTATTGATTCATCGTAAAACTTTTCTTAAAAATATTTTTTGGATATCTCAAAAAATCAAAAAATTTTTGGACGTTTTTTTCTTGGAGATAAAATTCATAAACTCGATTTCATGATGAAACCGTTTTTTGTCCAGAGATCAAGAGAAAAAATGGTATTAAGGAATATCCTTATTTGAGCACTAAAAACGCTAAAAACACTTAGGGGATCGCTAATTACCATGAATATATTCCAACTCGACGGCAGTAATAAATTGTGAGTTCCTTGGCTTGTCCGCAGCTCGAAAATGCCAAATCAGAAGGAATCCGGTGCCGAAAACGCCTAAAATTCATTTCGACGTCAGAGGCTTGACAAAATCAAAGCTTCAAAAATAAATCCTGATGAAAGAGCTTTTGAATGAGCATGTGGAAAAAGCACGAAAAAATTACCCGTGGAGCGCACTTTCGAGAAACTTATCAGCACGTTCAAAAAGCAAGCTAAAAAGTTTCCAGTTCATTTTTCAAGGATTTTTTTCTGCTTTTTACAGTTTTAATGATTTTTTAACTTTTATGAGCTTTAGATTTTCGGTCAAGTTGGCTAAGATTGGAAAATTCTTTTGAAATTATAGATCATTTTTTTCGATTTCTGACTAGTGAGCTTTTTTTCTTATTATCACGTAATGTGAGATTTCGACCGAAAATCGGAATTTTTTTCCAAATGGCTTTTTTTGTTCCGGTCTCGAAGCGAAGCGAGCAAGACAAAGCTGTTAGTACGGTAGCTTTTTCCTTATTTTTTTGACAGAAAAGGATTTTTTTCATTACAATATATTATATTACGAGTTCGAGATTTCCCTATACTAAGATAGACCCCACCAAAGGCAAAAAATGCCAAGGGCCAGCCGCCGAAAAAGTCGACCTCGCAGAACTTGGCGGTGAGGAGCATCGAGGCGGCGATTCCCAGTTGATTTCCTCAACTTTGACTGAACTCTCGTCTCCACTTTTTCCAATACCTTACCAGTTGTGAAAATCGCCATCGCCGTGCTTTTCTCGTTGATCGGGAACCATTTGGAAATCACGACAGAGCCGCAGGGAATTATGAACCCTGAAGAAAGTCCTGGCTTTTTTTTGAGGATTTTTGGAGTGGAACTTTCATTTGGGGAAAGGGGGGGGGGATTTTTTTTTAGAGAACAGAAAGAGATTTTTGCAAATCACACAGACCTTCGAGGACATTATTTCCTTTTATGTTTCCCTAAGATTTCGGTTTGAAGCTCACTCTCCGAAATCTCTTTTTTTCATGACTTTTTCAAGATTATCAATAGTTCACCATTCCCGACACCCATCACCAGCCGAATACCCGCCACGAAAAGATAATTTCGCAGGAAAATGGCTAATAAAGGCGTCAAAAACGAGCCGAGTATGTTGATCAACATCGACAGGGATAGGAGGTTCTTGGCGCCGATTCTGAAAAATGGAATTAGAAAATCGATTTCTGTTTGAATCAAGTAATCAAGATTTTTGAAGTCGTAAGCTCCGCATTTATGGGTCGATGAACCAATCACAGAGCGACCCTTTCACAGAGCGTTCTCGAATGACGTCATTGTTCGGCCCGTTCCGCGCAGGCTTGTCACGATTTTCCTTTTCCTCTGAGCTACGGAACCCTCGATGCTTAAGTCGGCCTGCGCCTTTAATATAACGGATATTTTAGGCCAAAAAAAAGACGCAGACAAAGAAACATCCTGGGCGCTTTGAACGGAAAAATTCCCTAGCTCGGAGAAAAAAAATCTTGACAAGCTGTCGCGAAACGTCCTATAATTTGTCTCCGTGAATCAGCCTCTTTTCAATCATGCTTTATCCAAAAAAGCTGATTTCAGATATTGGATAACCTTTGAGTGATAGCTTCTGAGGGAAAAACGGCCAAGAGTGCTCCAACGTAAAAGGCCGTGTGGATTCGCGCTTGTTCATCTCCCGTCCAGTCCATCGTGAATTCATCCTGATCATCGACCGACGTCACGTTGCTGAAGAAGTTCTCGAATGACGTCATAAATCATCAAATGACGTCATACTTCTTGACGATTGCCACCATGGCCATGCTCATCGCGTTTCGCATCAGGCTCATCACGACCATCGACGAGGAAATTAACAAGGCCATCTCGAATCGTAACGACTTCAATGACCAGAAGGCTGGAAAAAGAAAGATGACGTGACTTTTTTGGTTATTTGTGACGTCATTTTATCATTCTTTTGACCTTTAGTTCAAGGTCGTATATAGTCTGTTCAGATTTTGAATGTCAAATCATCGCTCAAGCTCCGCCCCTAATGGCTCGATAAACCAATCAGAGAGCGAGCCATCCACAGAGCGTCCTCCAATGACGTCCTTGAACTTGACATTCAAAATCTGAACAGACAATAAGAGTCTGCCTTCTCTGCTCCCTCTTTTCTCTCACCAGCTTCCGTGTTCCTCACCAATGAGGGAGAAGAGAGTGCAGACAAGCCAGACTTTTCAAATTGCAGCCTAAGAAATGAGAAATTCTAACGGGAACATAGGTTATCTGTTTCAAAATCTAGTGATTAAAGACATTTCTATTTGACCCGTTACTTCTCTTTTTTCCTCATTCAGATTCTAGTACCTCCTCCAGGGTTTTGGGAGTAAAGTGACCACTTTATCAATTTTCAAGAAAACTTAAAAAATCTTGCAAGGATTTTCCAAAATCGGTAAGTTTTCATTGACGTCATATTAACTTTAAATAGGAAACATGATCAATTTCTTTGTTTTTATTAGACTTTTTCTCTCTCTCTGAAATCAATTTTCATGTTTCCAAATTAATTTCGAAACCCACATTGAGTTCCAAACAATGACATTCGGGCACAAAGTCCACCCCCTGGGGGTCGTAAAACCGAGCAAATTGACGCTCTAATTTTATGGCTTCTTCTGTACGTTTTTTCTTTGGTCAGTTCCTTGTTTGACGTAATGAGAACATGATAAGAAGTGAAGGTGCAAAAAACGCTTAGGGAAGCTTTTTGGGGAGAAAGAAAACTACCCTTCGAGGTATAAAGTTACGCATGATGAGATAAAAATTCAAAAAACGCTTAAACATTTTTTTGGATGTTTTTTCGAACTTTTCCGTTCATTTTTTGCTTGCTTGATGAATGAAAAATTCTATAAAATAGATTTAAACGAAACTAACGAGGTATGAAATTGGACTGGAAGATTTGTTGCTGGAGAGTTTTCTGCGGAAGAAGTGGAGAAGCCATCTAGACATCGGGTTTTCTGACGACTTCTTTATGTTATTTTCAACATTTCGAAGCTTTTCAGCAATAAATACACACAGACAGAGCATGCAAACACTCAACAATGGATTCGAATAAAAAAGAGTTTGAAATGAAGCTTTGGAAACTTTTTTGTTGAATTGATTATGTTTCGTTATAATGAAAGAAGAAATGAAAAGATAGAAGCAAGCTGCAAAAACAAAAAAAAATTAATATTTTAACTCCGAAGTCCCTGTCAGAAACAGGTCTTTACATGCGGACTGTTTATTGCTCATGTTAAAGAAACTTTGGTCAATTAAAAACTAAATTCACGATAAAACCATGCTTTTTAGAGAAAAATAGAGACAAATAAAAAGCAAACGAAATAGTACAAAAAATCGGAGGTTTACAGAAAGACGAAAAAAAAAACGTCTGGTGTCTCTTCAACTTCCATGTTCTTTTTATAGCTTGCCTATTTTCTGACTTTAAAAAATCCTAGCCACAAGATATCAAACTCTCACCGTTTTAAGCTCATTTTTGCGGCAAAAAAAAATTTAAAATGCATAAAAAACGAAAATCACAACAGAAATGACAAAAAAAGAAAGCTTTGGAACAACCCTAAACTATGACAAAATGATAAAAAATGATAAAATGAATAGAAATGACAACGGTTTTTGAATGAAAAGAAAGACGGTTGTGATAAAACATCAATCATGTTCATATGGTCACGCGTCAAAAACGTAATGACTTTGGAACCGTCGGAACTTTGGTTCGGAAAGCGGAAACCCTTTGAAACAACCCAAATCTGTGTTTACAGGGGGGCAAGAAAACGGCGCCGGCGGCATTTTTAAGCTTAAAAGCAATTAGAAAGATTCATGTACTTCATATTTTTTCAGTTTATTTTTTTTTCCCCTAGATTGAAAGAAAAAGATTTTCGATGTCATGGAACAAAAAACTATGCAAAAAAAAAGTTCTGAACGGTTCTTTAACAGAGTTTTTTTCATCAAAATTGAGCTTTTGAAGTGAAAAATTATTTATAGGAACCTTTTTTAAATTGAATTAAAATAACAGCTAGGCACACCCAAAAAGAATTTCATACACAGACAAAAGTCTCACCTAGAACCTCTGAGAAAATTTTGACCTTTTTTTTTTGGAGATCGAAGATACTCAGCCCGCGAAAGGTCGGATTGAGTCCGAAAAGTGAGAAAAACATTCATCTTTTCCTTATAGAAAAATACCAGTTCAAAAAATGCTTTGAAAAAGTGTTCCACGGCTTAATATTCAGAAGAAGGAACTTATTTAGATTCAATATATAATTTAAAGTATTTGAAAAAAACGAATTTCTAGGAAACTGAGCTCAAAGTTCAAAAAGTGCCCCACGGGAAAAAATTAATTCAAAAGCGAAGTAAACCTGTAAAATTTCACATTTTTTCGAAAAGAATCGCTCATACAGTGAAAAGATTAACAGTGTCGTTATAGAAAAAGATATCGATTTGAAAAAAATCAGAAAAATTTTCAGGCTCAAATTTCCGCTAAAAGAACGCTCCACGGCTAATCCTGATTTCCACTTTTGATCAAATCCACAAATTGAAGTATTCATTTCATTTTTCGAATCAAAAGGCTTCAAAATCTTGAGCAACAACGGAAAAAAAGGAAAAAAAGGGTCAGGGCCTCGTAGGCGGCACCTCCTGCAGGTAGTAGGTCCAATAGAAGACGTTGAACGCGAGGAACGACTGGAAATTGAAAATGGAAATGAAAATGGTAATGAGTTTTCTGGGAGGAGAATGGAAAGAGATAAATCGAGAAATACAACCAAAAAGGAGAAAAAAAAACACAGAAAGTGAGGTCGCGGAACAGGTTTTCTTCTATTCCATTACATCTTTGGCCCCTCTTTTTTGCTTTTGACCTCCCTTCGAGTGGAAACGGGACAGTTCTTTTTTTCTCTTTATTTATGTTTCATGCCGATTTTACGATTCTTGCCAACTTTTCAGGTTCTCAAAGTTGAAAGAAAAACGTTTCTGATTTGAAACTGACCAGGATAGCTTTTTTAACGGTAATTAGCTGTTGTTCAGGACCTCCAGATTCCAGAAATAAGATTTAGCAAGGTTAGAAGCGTCTCAAAAAGACTATAAAGCGAAAGAAAACACATTTTTCTCTAGTTTTATGATCAGAAGACTTCAGCCACGTTTCAAAGAAAACTCTAAAAAAAGAGTCATGTTTCTAAGATTTTTGAAAACAGTTTATTGGACATTTGAAAATTCCGTGAGTGTCATCCGAAATTAAATAAAATTTCCGTTATTCTTATAATTTTTAAAATTCAAAAAAGGTCGTAATTAATGCCATGAGAAGCTTTCAACTCAAAAAAAAAGTTTTTCTCAATTTTCCAAATCGAAAATTTCAAAAAAATTCAATATAGAAAAAAAGACTATTACAGTTTCAAATATAATTTTAATAGAAAGGAAAAATAGACAATTTCAATATCAATGTTTGTTTTGAAACACTGAAAACTATAAATTCAAGGGTTCACTAGAGGGTTATTTAGATGAAAGCTTCTAGTTCTACATTTTTCAAGCTCGAAACGATTTTAAACGCGATATAATTTTTTGAAAAAGAAAAGAGCAACAAAAAAGTAGCGAAAAGCTTCCTACAGTTCGTAGGCATACGCAATTTGGTCAGTGAAAATGTCTTATCACGAAGAATGTATCGGGTGTTTGTCGACGACATGTGTCATTCCACCGGACAATGGAAAATGTACAAAAAAGTCGAAAAAATTCGCTCTTTTTTTTCAATTTTCAAAAATCTTATCAAATTGAATTTTTTTTTTGTTTATCAGGGCTCTTTTATGTAAGTATCGAGGCGAAGAGCCTGTTCTTCATAGGTTATGCAACACTTAAATGTTTCAACTACATAATTTCAAATTTACTTTTAAAGAATTGCTGTAAATCTTGGAGAATCTCCTTACCAACACCTCATTTCTGCCATTAGTGATTGACAAACTAGTAACTTAGGCTAGTTCCAATTTTAAACGTTTTAGGAACGGCAAACCATTGTTCTCAGCTTTGAAAGGCTTACGGAGGGAGTATCAAGTCTTAACACTATCATATGTAATTTAGCGCAAGTCGGTTCGGGTCGGGTGTTTCTTGAAAAGGTTACCCGTGTGAACATCCCACAAGGGATTTTTCAATTTTTTGTAACGCCAGATTGCCGTTTCTTAGTTCATATCAGTTCCCATGTCAATTATCTTTGAATGGTGTGTTTGATTTCAAAAGAAACGGTGAAAATTTCTTGAACCAACCAACGGAAAGGCGATGAAAGAGGCGCGGTCGATTTTGGCGCCGAGGCTAAGAATTTCGCGCTTCTTCTGGACGTAGGTCAGCTTCTTGTAATGGGCGATTTCTTCTTCGATTTCCCGGACGTCGACTTCGTCATCTTCCAAGGTGAGAGTAGACGAGGATGGCTTCGCCACGCTTTGCATCGACGTCGAAGCTCCCGACGGCTTCGCGTTCGTCTGCAAGTTTGCCTTGGAGCGCAGATTCATCGAGACTGAGAGCTCAATTTTGAACTCTTCTTTAGCCTTTGCTGATTCCATAGAGTAGCTCTTGAAGGGGCCCCTTTAGGGACCACCTAGTCTTTCCCAAAGAAACCCTGGATCTTGCAAAAGTCCCTACTTTAGGGTTTTAGTTATTGGTCACTCTAGGAGAGCATGCCAGTGGTCGCTGAGGTATTTTCAAAAAAATGAGATATTACTGTGGAAAAAATGCTGGTGTGCTGTTCGAAAAGCTAACTTTCATTGTAGAGCTTTGTCTCCTGAATATTTCAGCTTCTTACAACTCATGTATTTGCCGAATTTTTGGAAATCAATGCTCAGTTTTTACAGCAATTTACCCCGTGATCAGAATGTTGAACGACGCAAATTCGATATGCGTCATTGGCGATTGGTTCAAAAGCCCGCATGAACTGAAGAATCGCTCCAAGGGTCGCATTGGATCTACTTGACTTCAAAATCAGCTTCTTGTCCTGAAAAACAGTCTTTGAAAAGCTTTTCGTCCACAATTTGCAACAGGAATCATCCCAAACTGATGTTATTTATCACTGTTTTTTTTTTTAATTTTAGATTTTATTCTCTACCCTTCAAACAGAAAAAAAGAGCGCGTCCAAATCTCACTTTTCGAGCTCAATACCCGGAAACACATATGACTGAGAAACAAAAAACTGAAGAATCAGAAAACTCAGTTCAAAATGAGAGATTGAAGAAAAATCAACGCAAAAAGTTCGTTTTTCTTACATCCCTAGCAACTCCGCGGTGGAAGATCCGTAGATATGATGAAAAAAGAAAAAAATTGACCTGATAAGCAACGAAGGCCAACTCGAGCAAAGAAGCGAAAATGAAGGCCGTACAGGTGAACATCCACAAATCGATGGCTTTTATATAACTTACCGGTGGCAAAGAACGAATTATGTTTCCAAACTGAAATCATGTCTCATATACTCCGTTTTCCTGACTTGAAATGCGAGATTAGTAGATTGGGTAGTGTTGCGTGTGCGACGCGAAAATGAAAAAAAATAAGTTTTTTTATTATTTTTTTATACTTCTATTCGTTCAACTAAAAAAACCACAGAAAAAAATAAAGATATTGAAAAAAATTTCGAGGAAGGTGGCTTGTTTTTAGACAGATATTTTACCGCTGAAAAGCCGCATCGCAAAAACTCTTGTTAATCTATTTATCTCGCCTTTCAATTCAAAAGCAATTGACCTTATCTACAGATTATTCTTGGAAAGTGATACCTGAAAAGTCAGGGACATTAAGGAATTGACGCCGAGGACGATTCTCGCAGGTAGGGCTTTTGTATCGATACAAAAAGCGATCCAAGAGATGAAAACGCTGATATATGTTGGCAGGTACATCTTAAAACTGACTTTCTTATTTTACTCAAAAATGTCAATTTTTCGATTATTTCCTGGCAAAGGTCCAACAGAAGTTTGATGCAATTGAACTTTTCTTTGCAAAATTTCGATTAGTCCTTTTTCATCATTGCCAAAGCCACTCCTAATAATTTTTTTCCACAAGAACTTTTAAAAAAACTTCTTCAACATATTCTCCTAACCTGAAAAATGTAGAACCCATACTTCCGGCTAAATTCAAACTCTGCAGTGAGCCGGTACCATTCACCAGCCTTGTAGACCTGAAAAATTACTTTTTATCAATTTTTCTCAATTCAAACTCAAAATTCACCTCAAAAAAACCTTGAATTTGGTCAAGAATTCCCCAATCTAAAATTTAAAAAAACCTCTGTATGTTTTTTGGTTTCAATTCGGTCCATATGAAAATCCGGCAAAGATATATCAGGCAACATTGTGACGGCGTGCGGCATCCAATCAATCCTCACATTTGCCGTGTTGTACGAATAGCTTTCCAGCTCCTAAAAATGAAGTTCGTCATAAAAAATGAAAATTTTTTCTAGCCCCAGCTTCAAAAATTAGAAATTTTTCAAGACTCACCAGCATACAAATCTGACGATCGATAGGAAATCTTTCGAGGTTCATTGAGCATGGTGATTGGACACGTATCTGAAAATTAGAAAACAAAACTTTGAGAGTGGAAAAATAAAATGTGTTTTGTTAAAATAATTGGCTGAGAAGCTGCGCCCTACTGGCATTTTTTGAACTTTTCGCTCCCCGCAAATTTTTTACGGTGAAATTTTTTTTTTGATTTTTTTTTCTTTGATTGTTTATTCACTCTTTCTTGTTTATTCGCTGAGTTTCAATTGCTTGTGCATTTAGAAGCAGTTAAGTAATCACTCCCTTTTATCTGATTGTTCAAATATTTTATTTATCTTCATTTAATTTCTGTCACTTTCCTATTTTCTTGTACTTTTCTCTAGGAAAAAGAAAAAGGAAGCTCACTCTATAATTCAGCCAAACGGTTCCATTTGGCATGAGCATCAGAAGGACATTGGCCCTTGGCGATTTGTGGATCATTGAGGATTTTGTGTTGACGATACAAACGTTTGGCGACCAAATTGACTGAAAATTTAAAGTTTTCGAACTTTCCAGTTTTACTATATAGACTGAATTAGATTATTTCAGCGATGATTGGGTTAACCTTTTCAAAGCGATCATCAAATGATAGATTTTTACGGCAGTTGTCCAAATGCGAAAAAAAGCCAGCCGAGGGTCGTGCCAAATGGAACTAAATTTCGTTAATTTTTTCTAATTTTTTAAAATTCATGTCACCTGAACCAAATATCGGCTGTAAAACTGTTGCTCAGTACTGAAAGCTCTATGATGTCTTGTACAGTTACTTCGACCAGTACAGAAACTGGCGAAGGTTCTGGTACCGATCTGTAAAATATCAGTTAAAAAAATATTTTTTTAACTCATCATTTTTTTAGGTTTATTTTTTTCATTAAAAAAACACTCTCTTGGCTTCGTTTTTTTCCGCGTATGCACATTTTTTTATAATTTCTATGTGATCAGAAATGCTTAAAAGTTGAATATTGTAGCTATGAGAAGCTAAAAAGTGCTCTAAAAAAAACGCTTGCTCAGGTTTTGGAGAATTTTACTCGTTTTTAAACTTCACCTTGTTTTTGTGTTTTGTGCTCGCAAATAACGGTTTTAGAGATTTCAGAACATTTTTCATTTTTTTATTTTTGAGATCTTTTTGAACTTTAAAATGGTATTAATTTATTCATAATCTAGAAACCACTTAAAAAGGCACCAACCTCGAATAGTTGGCCATAATTTGGGTAAGTAGTTGCGATGGGTCCATTGCAGACCTTGTACACGTTTCTTCATTGTTTTGGGCAAGTATTCCAGGAATTATCAGCAATAATAGAAACATTCCTGCCAAAAAACCAAACCCAAGAGCCATGGCGTCCAACGTGCCAAGTTTTGAAACGATTTAATCATGTGAAGGGCCTTTTTGAAGCCAAAAACGCACGGAAAAGCGTCTGATGGGCCGTGTGATTCGATTTGTTCGTCAGGCGTGGCATCTCTGGATTTTTTTTGCACCCTAAGCAAAACTCTTGAAGTTTGAACCTTGGATCATTTGGTTCTTGGCAGGAGAAAAGTCTTTTTGAGAGAAAAAGTTTTGTTGCATTTTTTACGACGTTTGAAGTTCCAAGAAGAAAGTTCAAAGGATTTGATCTTGGAAATCTTCAGTTCTGTTTAGTTTAACAAAGGAAATGTGATTATTTCACCCCTGAAAAGTGTCAGTTTCGAAATGATCGAGGTCATTAGAGGTCCTCTTTTCTTGTAATTTACCTGATAAACGCATATTTTGAGGAAATGAAAGTTGTTTCTTCGAAAAAAGCGGGCGTGAAAATGAACCATTTCATTACGTTACCTGACTCCGGATGGTTTTGTAAGATTTTCGAGCCCTTTTTTCATCGAAACGTTTAACTTTTTATTTAAGTTTCAGTTTCTTGCTATAAACATGTTTTACAGGCATTTTCTTACGTTTCCTTTGCTTCTCACCATTTGGACCTTTTCTTTCATCCAATGTTCGAAAAAATCACCGAAAATCTCAAACGATTCCAAAGTTCCTAAAGATCCTGGCTTGTCGAAATCGGTTCGGGAACTCTTTTACTTCTTTTTTTATTGGATAATTGTTGAAGAAGATTAAAAAAATCCATATGTTCGAGCTACCACCACGACAACGACGACAAAAAAAGCACTTCGAAGGTTTTTTTCATATTACCTGATTGTGAGAATTTTTCCAATTTTTTTGTGTCGCTTTAAAAATGTTAGAAGTAGCATTGAAGCCACGAAAAAAAATTTATTTTTCTCAAAGTTGTAATTTCTCGGAACCTTAATTGATATTTTGCAAATCTATATCAGGAAAGCTTTAAAAACTCTGAAACTTTGCTCTAGCGAACACTGTCTCTAATTGGTTAGCCCCTGCCCCTATGAAATAACACGAACTTTTGAACAGTTTTTTTAATTTCGAGAAAATTTTAGATATCAAAAAAAGCAGAAGGCTTTTTGAAAAATCTGTCGAAGAGGTATTTAAGAAAAAAACCGAAATTAAAAAAACCAATTAAATTATTTTTTTCATTTCCAATTTTGAAGAAGCCGAGTGTTTCCAAATCGGACCCCATCAAAAAACCGGATACGGTAAAGAAATCGGTCCAAGAATCTCCGCCGAAAAAGACGCCACCAAAAGAAGTTGCTGAACCGAAGCCGGAAAAAGCGGACAAACCGAAAAGTTTGGAGCGAAGCGACGATAAAGTTCATTTTTTCATCGACTTTTCCACATCTTTCCGAGTTTCAGAAACAAAAAACGCTGAATTGCGACGTCGTCGAGGTTGTCAATGTTGAGCACAAGGTTTTCTCCGATTTCATCATTCCAGAACCCAATGGATTTCTTCCAGGGCGAATTACCTACTCACTCGGCGGTCGACGATGATTATTTGAACAATTTGGGCGAGAAGACGAAAAAAATTCAAGTCTAATCTGCATTTCCATCGATTTTCACAGAACATTTTCTCAAGAACTCGAATAAACTTTTGAACCTTTTATCTTTTCTTCTGGCTTTTCTAGAACGTACGTCCCTATTCGATAAATATATGCAAATGTGGCGAAAAAAGGCCATTTTCGTGACTTTTGGTTCTCTTTTCAGTGGGGCGCACTTGCTTTGGGTGGATTTACGGGAAGAAATTTCATCAAACCGCCGCACTCTTTATTTCTTTCATTCATTTATTTTTCGAGTTAATTTCGAATTTCCAATCGCGTTTTTCAATTAAGAAATAAGGAATTTTCCAAAATATAGAAAAACAAAAATTACTATTCTGAAGGAAAACTCGAGTCTGAATTAAAAAATTCTTTTGAGCGAAATAAAGTTAATTTATTAAAAAAATATTTCCTCAAGTGGCTTATTTCGTTCGATGCATAGCTTATTTTAAAACTAAGCAAAGGTAGTTAAAAAGCCGAAAAATGCCTGTTTTCGAGTTTTTTGATGTTCCTTTGAATATTACTTTCGGGTGAAAAAAAGTTTTGATTTAATTTAAAGAATTATTTTTTTCATTTTTGAAATTTAAAAACTCGCTCTTCTGATAAAAATGAGCAAAATTTCTTGAAACTCTGGAAAATTTTTTTCTGTGCATTTTTTTATATGATCAAGGGGTTTAATTTTTCAATTTCAAGACATTTTATGGTTTTTTTCGTCGAACACGCCATGAAGAATTATATCGCCGAATCCTTCATTTGTTTTCTCTCATTTTTTATTCATAATTTTTTCTCTTTGATAATTTAATTTTCAGGAATGGAAGAATTGAACGATGACGTTTTTGAGAGAATGAATTTAGTTGATCAGTATGTTTCCCTACAAAATCAGCTCGCCGTCCATCTCTCCGACGCCGGAATTTCCATTTCCAAAGCCAAGTTCGTATCGGAGTTGGAATATTTTAACTTTTCTCTCATATTCTGTTCGAAAATCCAAAGTTGGATGGCAAAAAAACCTGCACGAACTGAGAAAAAAAAATTGACTTTCGTCCTGAGACTTTTTGGAAATCGTCCACGCTCCTTTGAGCACTTGAACTTTTATTTTTGAGCAGGGAAAATATTGATCAGAATTTTGCAGATCACTCCAGGGTTTAGCGTTGTCCAGTGTTATTTCAGTCGACACTCACGAAATGGAGCCCATCGTCAAGTTGGTTTTCATTTTTTTGATTTTTTTGATAAAATTTCAAAATTCCATTTTATTATTATTTTTTTCTCTGAAAATCCTAAGAAGCGCATTTTTCTTGATCTTGAGAAATTTTCCTCAACTCAACCGATCTCTTTCCCAACACATTTTCTTCTTTTTGATCCCCAACTCGAAATATCCAAAAACCGTTAAATTTCTCTTTTCCTTCTCAGAATCGACATCAACGAGGCCGGAAGCTTCAGTCTACACCAGGAAAAAGAAGCGAAAGACTCAAAGCCAACTGTGAGATTTGTAAAATCGGATTTAAAATAGTTTTTGTCTTTTCCAGACTAGAAACCGAAAACAGAAAGAGAAGGATGAAGATGAGAAAGAAGAAAAAGAGGCGAAAACGGTGAAAAAGTCGAATTTCCGACCTTTCGGCATTTTGGAGCCCCTTCCGGCTAAGGAAGCTCGACATCATCTGAGTGATGCTATTAATGTTGGTTTCTCTTTTTTTGTGATTTTTTTGCGATTTCTGATATGGTTCTCATTGATAAAATGTCGTATAATATCAAGAAAATCTTGGAATTTCAAGTGGGAACCCTAAAAGTTATGGTTAAAATTTTTGAATCGATTTTTAGAAACTAGTTGATAAGATCCCGTAAATTATTAATCAGAAATCAAAATTTTTAAGAAATATTTTTTTAAATGTATGGGTTTTTCCGTAAGAAAAAGCGGCCAAATTTTGGAGTTTTAATTGAGAATTTACAAAAATGTAAAATTATGTTACCCCTCATTTTTATACACCTTTTTTTCGAAAAACATCCAAGTTTCAGGTGATCTGCGAGTTGGCCTCCCTTCAATACGCCTTGAAACAATGCGACGAAAAAATTTCGAGTACTTTGGAAACGATCAAAACCGACGAGAAACTTATGAGCGAACTGTCCAAATTGGTTGTTTAATTCATAAATGTATAAATGGAGCTTTTATTAATCGTGGAAATCGGAGAATTCATCAGTCATTTAATGAAGAGTACCTGAGTTTGACGAAAATTCGTCCCTGAGTTTCGTGGAAAAAAAAACCTGAGATTTCATAAAGAAATTGGAGGTCCCTGAGTGTGGTTACAAGTAATGAATGAATAAAGCGGGGTATAAACTGGGGAAAAATCAAAACAAAGAAGAGGATAAATAGGTACAAGAAGAACGGGATCAATAAACGACGACCTGGATTTTTCATTTTTTAAGGGTTTAGTTAGGCTTTGAAGAAGTTCAAGGAGTTTGAAAATTCAGAAAAATTCTTGTTTGACCAGTCTGGCGTTCCTAAGTATGCGCATATGCATTTGGAACGATTGAAAGCTGAATTTCGAAAAAATCTCACTCAAGAACACCATCCTGAAAGCTTGATACTACTAAACTCTGAAATATATTCAAAACGGACCCTTCCAAAATAATTCTAATGCAAATAGCCTTCAAAAAAAACTCTCCAGCAGGAAAAATCAAAGCCCGACGTTTCTCGAAACCCGTGGAACACAACTAAATAACAACAGTAACAAGAATATAGATAGGGGCGTCATCACGGAGTCTCGCTGCTCAAAACAGCCTTCGTTCCAGTGGGCAGATCCTTCCCTTTAGTGGACTCTTCGGCGAGAAACTCGCCTTTTTCGGCGACTTTCTGCCGGTTCGCCGATTTGGTGGGTCTTTCCGGACAGTCGCCGCTCAGATGCTCGTCCGAGCCGCACACGTAGCACACCTGGCGGGGTTCAAAATTGATTTTTTCGGTAAAAATGTTGAATTTTCTGGAGCCTCGGGCAAAACAACGCTTCCTTAAATTAAAAAAAAGATGAAAAGAAAAGATTTCAGGGGATTCGAAAAAGATCCTCCGAGGCTTTGAAAAATTAGCTCAAAAGACTTTCCACCATTTTAGGGAATTTTTTCAGCTACCTTTGAGGCCCTCAAAGAACATTTTTCATAATACACCCATTTCACCATATTTCAAGATTTTCTGACTAGGGAACGTTTTTTACCCCCCGGTTGAACTTTTGCTGAAACTTTGCGGAAGTGTACTTTAGGACCTCCTGATTCCAGAACAGAAAGAAAATTTCTCGCAATAGTTCTCGTTTTCGAGTTAGGACACTTCAAAAGCCCGAAATAGCGCTTTTTTGGCCTAATTTGCGTATTTTGCACACTTTGAAGCTCCAAAACTCAGAAACAAGATCTATTGCGAGAAATTTTTTTCTTGTTCTGGAATCAGGAGGTCCTAAAGTACACTTAAGCAAAGTTTCAGCAAAAGTTCAACCGGGGGGTAAAAAAACGTTCCCTGGTGAGCTTCAAAAAAGCTGTTTGGAGTTTTGAAAAGAGAATGAGAAAATTCACAAAGGTTAGCGGTGAAAAATCAGAGGAATATCCGAATACTGTATGTCTAAAATTCAAAAAAATTTCGATAAAAAAACTTACTGAAATAAAAAAATATCAGTACTTGATCCACCTAGCAGTAAAAATAGATGCAGAGTTGAGTAAAATTTTAAAAACAGTTCAAGGAAAAAAAACCTATAAAAAAAGATTGCTGATTTTCGGCGTCTGAGCCATGTTAAAGATTTAAAATCATGAAGAACCGCTTTTTTTCGAGATCCTAAATTGAATTCTTAACAAAAAAAAAATGAAAAATAAATGGTATCCTCATTTTAAGTTTCAAGTAGTTCTTCGAAATTCGAAAAAGCCGTTAGAAATTGAAAAAGATAACTAAATTTTGGAAAGTCAGAGATAATTTTGAATTTAGCGGAAAAGCATTATATGGAATTCAGAGTGCGATTTGGCTTTAGTTTCTGAAAAAAAATATTTGGGAAAAATAATTCACCTTGCCGCTCTTTCCATCACCAGCGTTGGGGCAGTTCTTGGCCTTGTGTTTGGCGAACTTCCCGCATCGGAAACAACGGAGCGTCGACTGACGCTTCTTGCCCAACGGACGGATGCTGCTCCCCTTCAGCGTCTCGCCTTCTTTTTCCGACGATACCTTCAAAAATGAGGAATCTTCTTATTGCTTTCCTGCGAGGTTAACCAGCCGTGCTGTCACGGGCGTGCCCGTATTCAACCCGTATAATCACCGCTGGTGGGGATTTTGGTATTTTTTATCACAGCTGAAGCACAGACTGAGGCTCAAACAGCCTCAAAAATACGGTTTTGATAAGGGTATTCGTTGATTCTTCTGCTGTTGAGGTTAAGCCGCCTTGCTGACACGGGCTCTCAGCGGGTTTGCCCGAATTGACCCCGTGAAGCTGATATAACTTCAGGAAAGAACATGGCTGGTAACTTATTTCTTCTTAACCAGATATTCACCCGTTTTAGCACAACTGAGGTTCACAATGCCTTAAAAATACGGGTTTATCACGGGTACACCCGTCAGACACCTGCCCAGCAGGACGAGAAACGAACCCCGTAGGCCTCTCTCCCTTTGCCGTTGTCCCTCGCCTGTATGTAGTACGAGACGCGTTCACCCTCGTCCAAACTCCGAAATCCCTCCATGTTCAAATGGGTCTGCAAAATAAGTTCCATTCGAAAAATTCCAATTTTCTTCCAAAAACCAACCTGATGAACAAAGAGGTCTTCGCCGGTGACGTCATCGACGATAAAGCCGTAGCCCTTTGCGACGTTGAACCATTTGCACGTGCCGAAGCAGCGCGGCGATGGTGACTTCAAAATAATCTTCATTTCATTCAATTTTCGATAGTTTTGTACCTTGTTAACTTCGCGGGCGACCGGTTCCACACGAGGCTCCGCCGGTTCCGGCGATGGAGCTTTTTCTGACATTCTTCGGCTCGTGTGGAAGTTTCGTCGGGCTTTTTTGTTGGAGTGGACGGGGGTTTTTGGGAGGAGAGAGGTGCGCGGTTGCGCGGAGGCTTTGACTGAAAAAAAGACCGTAGATTTTCGGGTTCAAAAATTTATTCTATTTGAAATAACAAGAAACGACCAATTGCAAGAAAATAAAAAAAGATATTTGGAATTTTTCGGTTTTTACTGAAATTTTTCTTTGCAAAGCCGTTTGAAGTAAGTAAGGAATTTTGCAAAAAGTTTCCCTTTGAAAGAAAAAAACCGTACTCTTTGATAAAATATTTTCCCTAAGGCACATGCGCATTACTATCTTCACAGAAAACAATATCAGAATCGAAAGTGATTCAAGATTACTAAAAAAAATAAAACATAAGAAAAAACTTTCCGTTTTTTCAAAAAAAAAAAAAAAACTGCGGCGCGTCTGGAAATTTGCCCTTGGCGCGCGTTTTCCAGCCATTTTTTGTTTCCAAATATTCCCAGAAACGACTTTTTCCACGCTTTTTCTTTGTTTACATTGCAATCTATTGGTTTTTCATGTGATACTATATATTTCAGGGTACCATGGAGTGAGCCAGAAGAAATGAGTGTCAGTGGTCTATCGCCCACCTACTCTTCTTTATCATCGGTGAGTAATAAAAAAATAAACTAGTTTTTCAAAGTTTTTTTAATTTTCATAGTTAAAAAAATTTTTGTATTATATTTTTATATTATGACTTTTTCTAGACACTCTGTTCATGAAAACATGTAAAATGAGATCTCAGAGAGCGGCAGCTGTCCGTAATTTATATACGTCACGAGTTTCCTGCCGCTATTCTTTTGGGTTTTCTCGATTTTCAAACATCTAAGATTTTGTTGTATATTTTATGGCATGATCGAGTGAATCACAAGGAATGACTCATCCGAGCCTTTCTCATTCAAATCTTTCGATTCCAGCGTGTCCTTGACCTTGGAACTCTTTTTAAACGAGTTTTTTTTGTATTTTCAGTCACTTTTTTCGTTCGCTGTATAAGAAGATCCGAAATTTTTTGGAAAAAAATTGAACTCTGTGTAGTCTGTCGCGTAATTGTTCTAAATCGGCACGTTTTGGTCGCGATCCGCTAATCTATTTGTTGGCCTCGACTTCCCTGTTTCGCTTCGACATTTGTTTAGGTTTTGAATCAAAACTTTCCTTGTTTGCTTTGATGCTCTTTTTAATCATTAATATTTGTTATTATTAGATTCATGATAAGGTTGTTTTTGAGCCATTGACCTCGGAAATGATGTTTTCAAAGCAGTTTTGTTTTTTTTTTCAAATTTCGATTTTTGCGCTTTTTCCCTAAAAAACCAAAATTTTCCAACTTATATAATAATTTATCCTACGTGACGTGAAACTCCACGTTTTATTTAATTTTTTCATTGAAAGTTTTATTTTATCCCACATGATCATTAAGTACTTCATTATTTTTAATATTTTTCAAAGATATTCTTCTGGAAAAAAACTCGAACACGCAGGTTTTTGCTTCATTTTTGAGTCTCCTTGAAATTATTTATCCTTAGTTCAAGGCACAGTTTTGAAGATGGTTTTAACAAGATGGGGCGAAAAAGTGTACAGAAATAAAACGTTCAGGCATTTTTATTATTATTTTGCCTCAAGATAGCGCTGAATGAAAGAATAATCCTGTTTTTTTAAATGTTCAAGCTTAAACTTGCACTTCATTAATTTGCTGAGACTTAAATCCGATAGCTGTTTTGAGGCGCTAGGGGCTAAAATGAGGTAAATTGCTCTCCGCGACAATAACTCTACTAATTTTCGAGTTTTGCTCATATAAACTCCGGATACAGTTTCAAGTGACTCATAAGTAAATTATTTGACAGTTATACAGTCGTTAGTGATTCGTTTCGACTATAACATGATAAACATGGAAAAATGCTTTGGTACGGAGTTTTTTTGTTCAATTTTTAGCCAGATCTTCCTTTTCATCGGAATTTTTTTCGAATAAATTATTTTTATGTTACAGTTTTTTTCAACATGTGTCTATACCGTTATTCTAGAGATCAGAGTGCTACGACGAAAAAAGAAAAGAGATTAAAAGATTTTTTTTTCCTCGTTGGAGGGGTGTCAACTAGACTATAGTCTTTTTTCAACGCCTCGATTTATTTTTAAAGGCAGAGGCGTCTATGGATGGCTTGAAAAAAAAAAGTAAAAAAAGCTCTTTGCCTCGAGACCTTCAATAAATAAACTTTGGAAGTTTTTTTTTTGGTTTGAAGTATTCTAAGGTTTTTTGTTTCCCCTCAAGCCTGCTATGAGTATAGTCTACTAAGATATTGAAAGTCAAGTTGTTGCTCAAGCTCCGCCCCTAATGCCCTGATAAACCAATCAGAGAGCGTTTTCGAATGACGTCATTTTAATTGACATTCAAAAAATGAAGAGACTGTAAGCTGTACTATACTTAAATTACGGAAGCTTGCAGAAAGTTTAAAGGAGCATAGACAAAAACTTCAGAGATCCCAAGTGGAAGAGCCATTTTCAATTTTCTTCCTGATAATGCAATACTTCTGCGCCTTCAAACTTCTCTTGTTGTGAATCATCCTGATGTTCGGAGCGTTGTAGTAGACATAAACAAAACTACCCGTTTAATCTCGCCAATATGCATATTTGACGGCGGCGACGAGAATGTTTTTCCGGCAGTATGACGATAAAAATGGTTTTTCAGCGGCGGCCGCGGAACCGCAACCGGAGGCTTCAGATCATGCTGGTCGTGGGCCTCGTCGGCACTTTTTTCGTGATCGTCGCCGGATCCGCCTGGGCTCTCGGTCAGGATCTAGGTGTGCCCTTGTCTCTTGTCTGTGCATCATTTTTTGTTTAGTTGCCGCGTTTGGAATGGCTTTTTTTTTATTGGGGTGACCTGTTAGAGAGGAATTTTATGCGTCTCGTACTACATACAGAAATTCATATTCCATTCAAAAGTGCTAATTTTTTTCGCATGAAAAGTGGTGACAGGCCATTGATAAAAAAATATAATTTTTAGATCTATTAATCGCTAAAATGTTGTAAGGGAAATTAACTACCAGTAAGCTCATTTCTAAACGGCCAACTTGATTTTTTCTCTTATTCCAAATGTCAACGTCATAATGACTAAATTTGCCTTTGCAGCCGTAAAACTTTGAATTTTTGAAGCGAAAATTTTTAGGTAGATTCGTTTTTTGAACTGTTTTTCAAAAGTTTCCGATTAGCTACTTTTTTTGAATTTTGTTTAAAATAAGGTCAAAAAAGTCGATTTGACAAGTTCTTCGAAAGATTCTGACGCAATGAATTCTTATAAAGCAGTTACATTGAAACTAGATTAAATTGAAGCCCGTTTTTTGAACATTTTTTATGTTAGAAGCTCACTTTAAAAATAATCGGAATTTTGGTCACGGAAGGGATTTTTTCTTTCGCTCCGCGATAGTTAGGTTTCTACATCCATAAACTCATTTTTGGCGGTTTTTTTTTAGCATTCTTCCAAGATTTCCGCTCCTAATTCTTTCAATTTCAATTTTGAAGCCATAATACTCAGCATGACTTTGGGGTGGTATGAAAGAAAAGCCAGGGAATTTTCGAACGGTGACTTTTCCGATTTTATCATATTGCCAGGAATTTTTCCGACGGCCACTTTTCCGACGAATCTCTCTCCGACTGTTTTCCCTTATATTTTTCGCTTTCTGAAACATCTATTAACGCATTTTCCCTTTTTCTTTGTGTTTCAAACATGAAAAAATTGCCTACTTGATATATAGGAGAGCTCGAGCGGACCCACTTTATATTTAGGAACTTTATATAGGATTTGAAACGAAGAGTTTATCGAAAAAAAAATTTCGGAAAAAATTTCGTCGGAAAGGTGGCCGCCGGAAAGTTCCCTAGCAATATGAAAAAATCGGAAAAGTCGCCGTTCGAATTTTCGCTGGCATTTTTTTCATATCACCGACTTTGGCGCAGACAAGCTGATTCTATCATTCTTCCTTCATTCCCAACGGATTCCAGATTCCACCGGAGGAGAAATACAAATTGAATCGGCTCCTCTTCTGACCGATCCTCTGAGAAATGAGAGGTCTTTCCGGATTTTCCTGCTCGGAGACACTGGAGGTTCATTTTCTTGGGAGATTCGGGGGTAAATAGAAGTTTTTGAAGGAGTCCCTATTTTTGAAACGACATGGGCCCAAGTTGCGGTGAAAAACTCGTTGGAAAGGATGGCCGCCGAAAAAGACGTGCAGATGGTTCTGAACATGGGCGATAACATCTACTTCACTGGCCCCGTTGATGAATTCGATTACCGTTTCGAGGTGAGTTCAAAAGAATCATAACAATTTTTTGTAGTTTTGATAAATTCATTATCTCTGAAATTGGTAGCATTCAGGAAGTGGTCCCTAGAGGGGTCAGAAAAAAAAAAGTCCCATATAGGGGTCTGAAAAGCGCTCCCTATAGGGTTTTAAGGTCTTTCCCCTAAAAAGCCCCTAGAGTGGTCACTTAGCAATCTTTAGTGTGCCCTGTAGGGAGAGGCAAGGTGGTCCCCCGACGGGAAACTTCCAGGGTAGCTCTAGGGAAGCAAAAAAAAATTTTTAGGATACAATGAAATGTTTATTGTCCGCACACAGTCAAGATTCTATATATTTTTCAGAAAATTTTCAAATTTTTAAATTTTTTTTTTTTTCAGACGCGATTTGAAAATGTTTACAATTCGCCGCATTTGAACGTTCCTTGGTTGACGATCGCTGGAAATCACGACCACTTCGGCAACGTCACGGCTGAGATTGAATATACCAGAAGAAGCTTCAAATGGTGGGTTTGTAAGGTCTGATAAGGAATATTTGAGGGGAAGGATTGTTTTTCCAACGGCAGACTTTTCAGGAAAAAAACCGGCCAAAAAAATTGATTTTTCGAGATTTTTTTGTGCAAAAATCAGTTCAAAAAAATCACAAAAAAAGTTATTAATTTTCATTTTTTTCATTAGGAAAAGAGCGAAAATTTCAATTAAAAAAATCGATTTTTTTCTTGGTTTTTTTCTTATCATTATACTACGAGAGAAGACGTTTCTTCAAGAAATTTGTTCAAAAAAATCAAAGAAAAGATCCAAGTTTCAACTTTTTAGAACTGAACTGAAAAAAGCGAAAATTTTGTTTTGAAGGAGCTTTTTTTCATATGATAAATATAATCAAAATCAGTTTTCCAGGTACTTCCCATCGTTGTATTACAAGAAAACGATCGAATTCAACTCTTCGAGTATCGATTTCGTTATGATTGACACGATCTCGTTGTGTGGAAATACGAGGGACATCCAAAATGCCGGCTTTTTCGACATGATGTTGGCTGCTTCTCATCATCCTCAGGTTCTTTTTCATCTTAGACCAAGTCTGAAGCTCAGAAATCCGGGAATTGTTCTTAAAAATCTGAAAATAAACAATTTTTTTTTTGATTTATGGGCTATTCGAAAGTGTTTTAATGGAAATGTAGTGCGAATTTGACGAAAAAGAAAGTTTTCTCATCAATTATCGAAATTTGCATATTACAGTTCTAAAAGATTCCATATTTTTCAAGAATTTAGTGGTTTTTGAAGGAGTTTTAATAGAAATACAGTCTGAAATTCTTGAAAAAGTGACACTTTTTTCATCGTTTATCCAAGTTTTCGTAAGTTTTTTTGGTGTTCAAAGGAGTTAAAACTGAAATTAAGCTCTCTTTTTCGAATTCGGACCATTTTTTACAGAAAACAGCTTTGAAATGGAAAACTTTAATTTTTTAGGGGCCAATAAATGCGACAGAAGCAGATGTTCAGTGGGAATGGATCGAAGAACAACTCAAGAATTCCAGGTTTTCATTTTCATTTTTTAAAGTTCTTTTACGTTTCAGTATAACTACTTGAACTCCATAATTTTCGCAAGAAATGATCGTGTAATCACAAATTTCAAACCGTGTTCAAAAAGATTCTGCGACCTTCAAAAGATCCGTCAGAGAGTGAAAAAGATAACTGAAATTGCGAGAATCAGAGAAAATTTCAATGGTGGTATGAAAAAAAGACCAGCGAAAATTCAAACGGCGATTTTTCCGGTTTTTTCATATCGCTAGGGAGCTTTCCGACGGCCACCTTTCCGACGAAACTTTTTCCGACTTTTTTCCTTTATATTTTTCGGTTTATAAAACATCTATAAACATTTTTTTTTTCCTATTTCTTTGTGTTTTAATCATGAACCAACTACCTACTTTATATAGGCTGTTTCAAAACGAAGATTTTATCGAGAAAAAATGTCGGAAAAAGATTCGTCGGAAAGGTGGCCGTCGGAAAGTTCCCTAGCGGTATTGAAAAAATCGGAAAAGTCGCCGTTCGAATTTTCGCTGGTCTTTTTTTCATACCACCCAAATTTCGCGAAAATGACTTCGATATTTTGAATCACAGGAAACTCGAATTTTCAAAGAAAATTATAATTTCTTTTCCAGAGCCCAGTATCTGATTGTCGGCGGACATTATCCGATGCATTCTGTATCTTCCCATGGCCCAACCGATTGTCTACAACAAACGTTGGATCCGCTACTGAAGAAATATCGTGTCAGCGCCTACTTCTCCGGTCATGACCATAGTTTACAGGTAATTGGATTCATTTTCATGAAAAATAGAGATTAATATAGTGTGAGGCAAATGAAAACCGGATAAAATGCTCAGTATTTTGGATATTCATCAACAATTGCCAAGAGAAATGATCGCCTATCGATTTTCATAAAATAAAAGAGAAAAATCGAGTTTCAACAAAAATTAGGTCACTTAAGCTGCGAAATTGAGCTTTTTGCTGCATTAGATATGAAGTTTATTTCATTTTTAATGAGGGGTGAGATCAATTCTTGATAAATGATATGAAAAATTGCTCAAAACTCTGTAAAAATTTCAAGAAAAAAACTCTTACTAGGGAGGTCACTCTGCGATTCGAAATTCCTCGGAAAATGGTCAGAATACTCTTTGACCTGCCAAATAAAAATCCTGATAGTCCTCTTTTTCCAATAATAAGAACTCAAACCCCTAAAAATGTCCTAATTTGTTGGGTTTTGAACGTTTTTGAGGTGTCTTTCTACAGAAAATGAAGAGAAATCGTGTTTCAACGAGGATTAAACCAATTAAGTTGGAAAATTGAGCTATTTCTCCCTAAGACTTGTAATGTTTTCGTTTTCAATGGAACAGTCCTAGAGAAATTATGCAAAAAGCGATCTGAGAACTTTAAAAAAAACCTTCCCAAAGATAAACTCGCCATTTCTCGTGACTTTTGAACCTTTTTCATTAATTTTCAATGTTGAATCATTTTCAACTTTCTGAGACCAATTTTTTCAGCACTTTGTCTTCCCGGCCTCTGATGATCACAATATTCACTATATTGTCTCCGGAGCCGCTTCGAGGTCCGACGCCTCGGACAAAAATAGGAAAAAATACTCGAGCAGCAATTTCTTGAAAAAGTGAGCCTTTAAATCTGAATTTCATCCAATTTCCTCTTTTCCAGGTACCCGGAATCGCGATTTTCCTGGAGTCCACTTTCACAATTGGGTTTACGCAAAGGCGGCTTCATCTACATGGAATTCGGTCACGAAAATGCCGACTTTTCGTTCTTCGACAAAGACAGTAACCTACAGTACTCTTCCTCGATTCCTGCTAGGACCATTTCGTGAATAACTCCTCATGTTTTAAACTTCAATGTTAAACTGTCATGTGTACAATTTATTTGCATCTCTATTTTTGTCTCAAAACCTAAATTCAATCCTTTCTATGGCGGGTAGACGTAAATCCTTGACAAACTTCTATTTCTATTTTTTTTTTGGTCCTTATCTTTTACGGGAGATGAAAATGCAATAAAAATTCATTTGTTCGAAAGTTCGAAGCTTTTTGGAAGTACAAAAAGAGAAAGAACACATGATTTATCAAAAACCTTGAAAAGGCAAATTTATTACACTGGAATAATCGGTTTCAAGGTTCCCTCGAGGACGCCTACTATAAGAAACCCTTCAGAGACCCCTCAACTAGAGTCTACAGTCATTGCGAGCTCAAAAACTGCTTTTAACGCCGAAATCAACGCCAAAATGTCATAAAACCTTCAGAAAATAGTATCACTTAAGGGACGGAAAGCAGAAAGGGGCGTTCTCCGTGGAGCACGCTTTCTCTTATTTTTTATGCTTGGTTTTTCTTTTCGAACTCGTACTCTTCACGCTTGGATTTTTTATTTCATTGAAGTTCCTCTATTTTTTGCTAGTTTCACTCTCCACACTGTTTTCCTGATGTGTAAAGTAGCAATGGTTATGGAAAAATAAGTTTGAGCATGTAGATTATCTCTATTTCTTTTTATTTTCATTCAATCATATCCATCGCACTTTTTTTCTACTTGATCGCTTTTATGAACTTTTCCAGTTATATTTCGCTTTTCAGTAATGATGAATGGCTCTTCTGGACCGTTTGTAGAGGGCGCATATGGATTGGCGCCCCAGGCGCAAGCCCAAGCAAACGCAGCAGCTGGAAATCGTGTAAGGGTGAGTTAGAAATTTATTTCGAGTCATATCTTTTTGACTTTTATATTATTTGACTGCATTTTTGAACTCATTTCGAGACTATAGTATTGATTCAGGTCGAAGACGCCTTGTCCTACCTGGACCAAGTGAAAAACCAATTTTCGGAAGAGCCGGCTGTTTACACGCAGTTTTTAGATATTATGAAAGACTTTAAGTCTCAAACGTACGTATTTTAATGATTTTGAAGATAATCGAGTGTTTGGATTTCAGTATTGATACTCCTGGAGTGATTTCTCGCGTCAGTCACCTTTTCCACGGTCGACCGGCGCTTATTATGGGCTTCAACACGTTTTTGCCGCCCGGGTTCGAAGTCCGGCTTGAAGGAGAACGGATCATCATCATCAAACCGACGGGGAACGCCGAGGTGGTCCTGCACAGACTTTTTCAATTTTGCTGATTCTGTTTTTTCTTTTTTTTTCTTCGTTCTTTGTTCTGATATTTCCATGACTTTCGTCTTTTACTTGCAAATCTTGAATGACCATAATTTTTCAGGAAATCGTTCCAAACGACGGCCACATTTACCCCGTCGACAATGGATTATACGAGGAAGAAGGGGAAGACGAAGAAGAAGAAGAAGTCGAAGAAATGGGAGAAGAAGCCGAGGAAGTGGAGGAAGAAGACGTCGGCGAGGAGGGCGTTGAACAAGAAGACGAGGAAGAATACGAAGAAGACGAGCAGATGGAAGAGGAGCCGCAGTTCATTCCCATCCAGGAGGTTTCCGTTTAGTGAATTATATTCAGATCAGAGTCCAGATATACTATTTTTTATGAATTTTTTCTTAAAATTCAAAACCAAAGGTTTTTCCTGCGATTCTGATGAATCTTACTACGTTATTTTAAAAATTCAGTAACTTTTCCAGGTTTCTCTATTGCTCTTTTTTTCAGCTATGAAACAATAATGAATACTAAACAAAATAAGAAAACCGCGAAATTGAAAATAGTCATCAGAAGAAGCAAGAAAGGAAAGAAAGAAAAAAATAACTGAATTTTTAGAGTCGAAAAAAATTTGGAAAAGAAAACTAATTTGAACACGGCATCAAAAAAACAATGAAAATTTCACTAATAATTCTCTTATTCATCCCTAAATGTTTCAGGCCGAAACTTTCTTTGAAAACAGAGTTTTTTGTAAATATTAACTTTTCTGTACATGAAAATCGGCAGAGGCAAAAAAAAAATATGAAAATTGTAAAAATAAACAAAATTTTTTTTTGAAATTACTTACAAGGGAGGTCGTTTCACTTTGCGGTTGGGAATTTTTGAAGAATCAGCCAGAACACTTTTTGATGTACCAGAAAAATATTCTGAAAGTTTCACCCTGCCCAACTCTCGGGTTTTGAAAAATGAGGGATCAAAGCCCCAAATTGGCCTTTTTTAATGAGGGATTTCTTCGACTTCGAGGTTTTCTTCCTTAAAAACTAGGAGTTAGGGCAGGTTGAGACTTTCAGAATCTTTTTCTGGTACCTCAAGGAGTATCCAGGCCAATTTTCAGGAAAATCCCAACCACCAAGTTTAATGATCTCCCTTTTAAGCCTTTTTGAGAAAAACCTACATAGTTCAACATTTCCTCTATTGATCTTGACAACAGGCCAAAAGAAGTGAAAAATGAAACTATCAAAATTTGCAAAAAATATAACCGCTTTAAGACTTTGAGCCTTTTTTATTTCCAAAACTAGAAGTTTTTGGAAAATCTAGACTTCAAGAGAATTTTTTTCTGGTCAATTAAAAAAAATCTTAGCCGCGCATTAAATTAAAAAAAATCATTAAATAACTAAAATTTAGTTCTTTTTGAGAATATTCCAAGTTTTTAGAATTTCAAAAATAATTTATAGTATGCAAGTAGATAATTATATTTAGATTGAACAAAATTTCTTAATTCTCCGTCCATTTTTTTCTGGATTTTTGGTCATAAAGAGTCATTTCTTGGAATGAAACCGAATTGCTTTGAAAAAAAATATTTAAAAAGAAAAACGGAAAATTGACGTTTTTTTCAAGAGCTCAACGTGCACGATAATTCTATTAATCTTTTATTCATTAATACATAAAAAAAGAATCAAGAAACAAATTGGAACGAATTTAGAAGGAAATAGTGCGAGAAAGTAGACGTTTTTTTGACCTCTACAGTATTCTTATTTGCCTTTGACCGACTAGTGATTGGAACTTGGAGGATTTAGGTCAGATTAATACACTGGCGATAAGAAAAAAAAAATATCTCGTAAAATATCCAATTTTTCCTGTTTCGTTTGCCTTTTTCATTCGGTTTCTGGCGTTTCAACGAAGTTTCCCTTTTCTGTGGCTCTCAAATTCAAAACTTGTTTTCGTCATGTTTAAATGTTCCTCAGGCGTTTTTTGTAATTTACATTTTCGGTTAATAATTCGCTTTTTGTGCACTAGATAATACTCTAAAAGTTTACTTTTTTTAATTCCCACTTCTTCAGAGAAAACCCTCAAATATACCGTTTATTCCTGTTTCATTCGTTTTTTTTTTAACGGTTTCTAAAATTGCTGCATTTTGGTTTTCCTAACGAATCGGCCTTTTATTGTAGTCTAAAAAAATTGCAATTCAAACTGAAAAAAATTTGAAAGGAAATCGTTTTTTTATTCTAAAATTTGAAGCGCGGTGGGGCACACTTTGAGGCTTCTTTGAGACGGAATTCTCATTCATGCGCCTTTAATAAGACATTTTTTTGATAGCTGTTTTTTTCGAAATGAATCTTTCCTGTCTGATTTTTGCTTTTTTTACTGGTTTTCTCATTTTTTTGTAACAATATCAAAAAAATCATTTTCATTCCGGAATTTTTTTAGTAATAGGAACTCAAATAGAATTTAGAGAATGTATTCAATTATTTTTTTCTTTGTCATTCTGTGTAATAGACCTTCGAGAAAAACGGGAAATGTTTCATTTCGATTATTTTTCTAAGCTTCTTTTTTTGAAAAAAATAGTGTTATTATAAATTTTTGAAAAAAATTTTTTTCGGCGTTTGTTAAAAAAAATTGTTTTGAAGTTTTTTTGAAGATTTTTTTAAAGAATTATTAATTAATTAACCTCATTAATTTTTCAGTTTCACGGCCACGCGTTGGGACGTCCTTACTGGGTCGCTATGACGTTTCTTGAAAAAGTCAAGGTTTTATATTCACATATTTAATTTCAAAAAAATAATTTAATTTAAATTTAGCTCCGTTTGATCGATCGTCCGCTTATCTTTGAGCAAATCATCGATCTTCTCCATTGTTATCATAAACCTGAGGTATTTTGAATTATGAGAAATCTTTTGTAAAGATGAGAAAAATTTTTTTAGAACGTTAAAAAGTTCTATGGTTCGTCCGCAATGAGAGGGTTACATGGCGAAGACAGTTCAGGGTGAGTTTCTTCGAAAATAAAATAAAAAAATTCAAGGATTGGAGTAAATTAATATCGAAACGATACCTACAAAGGAAGTACAAAAATCTCAGAAATGAATTTTCTACAGAAATTACAAGTTTTAAGACGTTTTTCTCGGCTAGAAGAAATAAGACTTCTTAAAAAACATGGCATCAGGGGAGTTTAAAATACGCCTCAGATGCATTTCATCGAATAAATTGTCATACCGTGGTAAACTCTTCCCCGTTTTGATGCCGACTTAAATTGGATTTTCTTCTAGAAAGTAGAGAGTTTTGTAGAGTTCCAAGAAGATTATGATGATCTTTAGAGAGGAACCCTCAAAGGTCTCTAAGGTCGCCCCTATAGGGACCGCTTTGGAGTTTCTAAAGGTCAAATTATCAAGGAACCATTTTCTCTTGATTTTTCTACATTCTTCCTCATTTTCAACTTGGGTTTTCGAGTCTCCCCGGGACGCCTGCTTCATATCGCGGGCCGAACTGGGGCGACAGCTCTGCCTATTCCCCGTGTCTAAGTCTAGACTGATTTCAACGATCTCATTGCGTTGGAAAGATAAAGTGCATCCCTTTTTCAGGCCGGACGAATACGAAGAAGAGGAAAACTTGGCGCCGAGAGGAACTCTGCCGTCGGCCCCGGCGAGCAAGTTGCTCCTCAAGGAGTTCATCAAGAAGACGGCGACGAAACTGCTCGCCGACGAGCCGGATCTCCTCGCCGAGTTGCTGGCCTATCTCCCGGACTTCTGGACCGTCGATGCCAGGGAACTCCCCAAGGAGCACTTCCAACAGGCTTGAAACACCATCGTGTCAAGAAGAAACCTTGATTCATTCCAGTTCGATGTGGAGGTCTCCGAGGAGAGCAGCGAGTATTCCGACGAGGAGGAGCCCGAACGCGACTCCAAGAAGAAATATGTCCGTTTTTCTCGATAAAAAGTGGTCTCGGCAAATGCGCTACATTGATAATAATATTCTAATGCCGTGTTCAAAATAATTTCCGCGAAATGCAAAATGATCTCTGACTCTCCAAAATTTAGTTAGCTTTTCCTTTCTCTAACGGGTATTTTGCATTTCGCGAAATCACTTTGAACACGGCATAATAGTTGGCGCCATTACAACACGTTTAGTTCCAATAACCTTTAAAGAGAATTAGAATTGATTAAATTATACTTTAGAATCGGAAAAATCATTTAAAACGGAACTAAAATTGAGATATGTTGTAATCTGACCTGGTGAGTAATTTTTCCGTTTTTTTTTTCTGGCCAAAAATGACCTTTGCAATTGCAATAATAATATTCCAATTTGGCGCGATTATAACATGTTTTGGCTTTTAAAAAGCCTCCGCAATAGATAAATTCGCGTTTTAATTCCAAAAAAAACCTTGAAAAGAGAAATAGAGATAAATTCACGTTGTAGAATCGAAAAAAATCATTAAAAATGGATTGGAAATCGATAAAATAACGTTCCAGTTTCGAAAAAAATTCTTTAAACAAAACTATAATTAAATAATGTCCGAAAGATATATATCCAACTGAGATATTTCAGCGATTTTTCCTTATTTTTCATCGATCAATCAAATTTTCAAAGGCCAATTAATATTAGGATTAGAGAAAAAAATATTAAAAAAAGAAAAAAATTGAATTCTTAGAGATTTAATTGCGTAGGATTTTTTTGAATCTCTTCAGTTTGAAAAAAAGAAAGAAAAATTTTTTTCCAGATCAACATTTTGCTGATAAAATTGGTGTCTGATCGAATTGAAAAAAATAGTGATTTTATTATCAGAATGAGTTTTTTTCCGTTCTTGAACTCCTCATAGATACGTTTCAAAATGGAATACTTGTAGAAATGAAAAAAATCGATTTAATTTAGTGAAACGCTGGTTCGATAACGAATATATATTTGAAACTTTTCTAGAACCAAATTCATTGACGCCTTTGAAGAAGTTAGCGCGAAATTCGAAATCTCCTTGACTCTCAAATATTTAGTTATTTTTTTCTTTCTGCCGGCTATTTTGAATTTCGTGGAATCACTTGGAACACGAAATAAAATTAAAAGGAATTTTTTCTGAGAAGGCAATTTTTTTGAGCAATGGACTAGATTATTCTATTTTGATTTTATAAAAATTGCGAAACGGAAATATAATTTCGAGTTTTGAATCGGAGTTTTTCGGTTTCGAAAATTCTTTTTCAAATAGTTATTTGTAGTTTTTCGAAGATGATTTGAACATTATCATATTCATTATTTTCTAAATTCATGGATTTTTTTTTTGAAATGGTTTTTTCCAGCAAAAAGAAGCCCAGATCCGGCAGAACCAGATCGATCGGAAAAGAAAACGTGACCAGGTTTTTTTTTACTGAATTTTTTGTGAAAAATAAATGAGTTTTCAGGTGGAAGATAGGATCCAGGCGGGTGTACCCGAATGGCCCGTTTCTGCCGCCCAAGAAGAAAATTTTCTGGGCGGCTTGAGTGAAGAGGAGCTGCAGTTCTACAATGGGGTACGCGATTTTTCCTTCAAAACTGATTTTGGGAAAATAATTATTAAGTTTTGTTTCTCATTGCTGTGTCAGAAGCAGGGCAAAAAGGGATTATTATCGAGAAAATTCACTCTTGCATTTTTTTTTCGATTTGGGAAAAAAAACGTGATATTCACTTTGAAAGTTTGTACTAAAGGGAAGGGAGGAATCAGCCAGAATTTTTTTCATGTATTCAAAATTGAATTTAAAATTTATCGGAGTTGTTCGAAAGTTTCGCTGATAGTGGAAGAAAACTGTATTCGGTTATTTTTTTCAAATGCTTGAACCTGGAATTTTCATTTTTTTATACAAGATCTGAACTGAAAAAAATTTTTCAAAAAAAATTTTTTTGCTTAAATTTTGTTATAAGTAACTTTGGATTTTTCGAACCTTTTTCTGGTAATTGAAAAAAATGAAAATTTTTACAGGTGAAGTTTCAATTTCTAGAATCATGAGAATTATCGAATTTGGACTTTCAAGAAGAAAAATTGAATTATTTTTGGTTTACAAATCATACCATTCATTTTTTTTAACATGCCTTAATCCACCTTAGTTAATCCAACTAGTGGTGTTTCTCCCTCCCTGCAACATCACCATACCATCCCGATGTTGCGAGAATAAATTGATTGAATTGAAATGCGAAAATCGATTGATTTTCATCTTGCAGATCCGGGGAATTCTCTCGCCTCACGATTTTCGCAACTTTCTGCGGACAATCAACTTGTTCACCTCCAATATCATTTCGAGAGCCGAACTCTCCGCCGTTTTGAGAGATACTTTTAGTGAGTTTTCGAAAAAAAAATTTGACCTTGGAAGATTGAAAAAATCGAGATGATAGGATAGATGAGGAGTTTTTTTAGAAAATCGTCTTGAACTTGATCATTTTTTTAAAAAGGGGTTTTTAGTATAGTTTCTATAAACAGTTTGGAGTTTAAATTTCAAACAGCAAGCTCCGCCCCCAACTCTGTGGATGGCTCGCTCTCTGATTATTTTGACCTACGCGTAGGGGGCGGAGTTTGAGCGATGATTTGACGTTCAAAGCCTGAACAGACTATAAGAGTCCTTTGACTTTCGATAAAAAGAGTCCGGTCCTCAGCAATATTTTGTTGCAGACGGCGCCTCGCAAGAAGTCTTCGAGAAGATCGAGGCGATCCTGGCGAGCAACGACGAGGACGACGACGACAACGAAAGCGACGACGAGGCCCACGAGCCCGTCGACGTCGACCCCACGCACGCCCGATACACCTTGTCGCGGATCGAGGGCGACACGTTCATTCGCGAGATGGAGAACCGACCCGCGACCTGTCTCGGCGTCAGCTACAAGTTTGTAATGAAGCTGGAGAACTCCTTCAGTATTTTCCCTTTTATTCGGTCTTCCAAGAAGATTCTCTGCTGAATCATGGGATTTTTGTGCGAAACTGTCGTTGATCAAAAACGTAGAACTTATTCTGATAGTACGAGGCGAAATAGAGGTTTCCGACGATCGGTTGCTTCGAAAACGATAATCTTGATGAAAGCTCTATCTGATTCAATTCGAAATTAAACGGTTGTACTTAAAAAGATTCGGTTCAAACAAATGGAACCAGAGAAACTGAAAACTTGCAAAAGTTCATAACTTTTTGTTCAGGAAACGCGAAAATAAAGGCCCAATCAAGTGCTCGGGACAAACGCCGCTCTGCAATGAGGTTTATTGAGAGATCGGTTCAAAAAAAGAGAAATTCAGAAGAAAAATGAATCGAATTTAAGAAATTTTTTTCGAAAAAAATCGAAGCTTTTTGGAGTTTTGATCATTAAAAAAATTCAACGGGAAAAAAATTTATCAGGTTATTCTAAATACTTTGTTTCGTTTAAAGGGGAAAATGGACTATCAAAATTCGAAAAAAATTTTTAAGTAAGCGACTATTTTTTTATAAATCGATATTTTTGATAAAAAAATTTCAACGGTTCAACCAATATTTACAGGTGCTCAACAGTACCTGGGCTTCCTGTCCTTCTTGGTCAACGGAAGAAAACGGAGCCGGAACCGAAAGAGCCAAGAAATCCAACTACGAGGAGGCCTTATTCCGGTCTGAAGACGACAAATTTGAGGTTCTCCTCACTTTTCAAAAATAAAAATTCGTCTTTAACTTTCTAGGTCGATATGCTGATCGAAAGCACGAAATACGCGATCGACTCTTTGGAACTCCTTCAGCGGAAAATCAACAATTTGGAACCCCATGAAAAAGCTTCATTTAGGTGAATTTTGGGTATTTTCAGTCTAGTTTCGAATCTTCGAAAATTAGAGAGCATTTGAAAATAAGGGCTTGGTTTTTTTTTTCTCTGAACGCTCTCTTGTTTTTCAGCGCTCTCTAGCTTTGAAGATTCAGAAAGTGATAAAGAAACAATATTCGAACGGGATAGGAACAGAAAAAAGAGTAAATATTCAAAAACTAGAGAGCGTTGAAAAATAAGAGGGTGGGCGTTTTCACTCTCACTTAACGCCCTCTTGTTTACCAGTGCTCTCTAGCTTTGGAGATTCGGGATTTTTTCTGAGAAAGGCGATTTTAAAAGTAAAAAAAAGCAGAAGAATCTAGCGATTTTTTTGCTTTTTGTTTTTTAGCCAGTGCTCTCAGTTTTTGCACTTGAACTTCCTGGGAAATAGTGCCTATTGCGAATCCAAAAAAGATAAAAAGCCCTTCATAAGTTGAAATTGTCATGTCGAAAACTCAAGAGAAAAGAAAACCCATAAATTTTCAAGACTCGACGAAAAACTCGGAGCAACTTCTGGCGCCTTGATGCGCCGCGCTCTACGGATGCTCTATGGAGAAAGATCGGCCGGAATCGTTCAAACTCTCCAAGAAACGCCGATTACTGTGGTTCCTACGGTATTCCGAACCAAAAGCTTCAAAATGGTTGTATTCGAATTTTCAGTTGGTTGAACGGTTCCGCGAGAAGGAAAAGGACCTCCGCGAGGCGCAGTATCTCATTGCGAAGTTTGTCAAGTTTTTATTAAAAATGAAGCGATATGAGGAAAACACGACAAAAATTTCCAAAAAAGGACAACTAAATTTTTTTTTGAAGTTCATGAGTAAAAATTCGTGTGAAAAATTTGTTTGAATTCCTTTCAACGCGATTTTTTCTGAACTTTCCCTTGAAAAAATCTACCTGATTTTTTAATTTTTAGGAAAGGTTCCTTCAGAAATTAGTTATCCTGGAAAATAAGACTGAAAAGCGAGATTTTAAGGATCTTTTTCTTCTTGGTTTTTGAAAAAAAAAAACCCTTTTTTCTTTTTTAAATCCTTCAAGATTTTCTTGGACCTTGTCCTCGAAATGTTGAGCAGCTCTGCTATGAAAAAAACTCTAGTGGCCGCTTGAGAGACTATTTGGAGAGGACACTAGAGTGTCCGCTAAAAACCACCTCTATAGAAGCCACTATTGCGTTTTAGTGGTCACTATAGTAGTTTTTAGTGGTTTGGTAGTACCACTGGTTAGGCTTCTAAAAAGGTTACTAATTTTTAGACACCCAATTGGCCACTAATTCGACTACTATAGTAAACATTAAAAGGTCAAATACATTATGTAAGTACAAAAATTTCGCCATTTATTACATTTTCGAAGCAGGGAGTTATGTTTCCAACCTTTCAAATCTCAACTTCTAATCACAAGAGGCTCTTCGCGAAGAAATATTTTGATTTGCAGAGGTTGGCGCGAGACGATGGAGAAGCAGATGGCAAGAGCGATGGACCATCAGACGGCGACTGTCCGGGCGGCCGACGCCCGGATCCTCAAGTACAAGGGCGTCATCAGCCAGGTCGAGACCCTCTTCGACGTCCGACAGCAATTGTGAGACTTTTGTTGGATTTTATATAGCTGATTCACGGCTGACTTGAGCCATTAAAAAAGGGTCCTGCCCACGAAAATGCACGAGAGAGCGCCTGGCTTGTGGAGAGCGCAGACAGGCCACGCCATTTTAGCGTCCCAAGCTAGCCTTGAAGTAGCTATAAAAGCGGTGTAAAAATCAAATCTTCGGACCTTCGAGAGAAAAGAGCATTGGTAAACAGGAGAGCTCAGAGTGAGAAAAAACCGCCGCCCTCTTATTTTGAAAGATCTCTCACTTCGAGGATTAGGATTTTTTTTTCTCTGTCATTTCGGAACCTTACAAAGCCAGAAGCATTGTCAAACGAGAGCGTGTAAAGAAAAAAGTGCTCTCTCACCTTCGAACACTCTCTCACTTTTGAATATTCAGACTTGGAACTGATGAACAAAAGAGCGTATAGAGAATATTTTGATAACTTCAATGCAAGAATTTAGTTACTTCTCCTTATTTAAAAAAAAATTGCGCTTTTGTCTTTGTATTCACTTCAGTACGGAGATTTGAGGTTTCTCCCTCGAAAAACTAAAGGGAAACAGTCTGACCTGTCTGCGGCCTCTTCTCTCTCATTGCCGATGTAATAGAAATATTTAAAAAATGTGAAGAAGAGAGCGCAGAAAAATCAGACTTTTTGGAGTCGTTTTAAGTGGACCGTAGAATTTTATTCACCTTGCAAAAATTATAAAGTTATGGTAGATCTTCTCAAACCTTACCGTAACGTTTGTTTTTTTTAATGAAAATTTTAGTTAGATTTCATTGAATCTTTAAGTTAGCGATGATCAATAATTTTTGGTGTTCAATCTTTGAAATCTCAAGTTTTGGATCTAGTAGGGTGTTGAACCTTCGAATTGTGAATAAATGGAAGTTTTCCAGGCCTTCGACTGAAGACCGCGGTCCTCATTTGATCCTGACCTATCCGCACAACCTCCAAATCCTCAGAGACTGTAACGATTTGGTCCTCCATGCGCTCCGGAAGCAGACCAACATCACCAAGGAAGAGAAACGCAAGATGAAGATCATTTTGAAAAGGTAAAATGGAAGACAGTGGAAAAAAGAATAGAGTACCTAGCTTTGAACAAAAAAGCAATAACTATAGGAAACAACTTTTTGAAAATTTTTAAAAATGATCAATATCAATTTAAAAAAAGGTCCTTTTTCCACCGGCGCAACATTGCCATACTGTCGCGAGGATGCGAAAAAAATTAAATAATGAAAAAAAATAAACGTTTTTAAAGGCTATAAAACCATTAAAAGAGCAAAAAAACGATCTTTAAATTTTGAAGGATATCCAGAAGGCAAATTTTGATAATAAAAAAACTACGAAATTTCATAAATAAATGATATTTTTTTCATTTTTTTTTCAAAAAAAGGTCAAAAAAATTTTTTTGATTTTTTTCATTATCCTTATCAGTCCAATTCCTAACTTTCTATTAGTTTACTTCTGAATTTTTTTAATTCGAAAAAAATTCTATGTTTTTTTATTTTTTTATCTCACGGGAAATGTAGATTTTTTTGAGCTATACTAAAATATTCTACTTGAGCTGATGAAATTTCGTGAATTTTATATTCAGGAAGAATAATTCGAAACTATGGATTTATAAAATTCGGAATCTTAGTGAATGAATGTTAATAAAATAGGTACTGAAGTGGAAAATTTTGAAGGATTGTTATGGAATGGTTCCTGTTGCCACTGGAGGAGGTGAATGACGACGATGACGACGGACAGGAACTTCTGGAGTACGACAGGAAGAGAATGCGCGCCGCGATCGACGAGACTGCCTCGAAAAGGTGGGTTTTTTGAAGTGTATTGGTACAGATTGTCATAAAAAGCGGAATATTCGGAATTTTGAAAATCAAATGCATTTGTTGAAACAAGTAAAATAGAAAAATGAAATCCTGAGGACCCTCAGAAGAAGCTGAAAAGGTTCCGCTTGAAGCTCCAAAAATGATCGGAAAAATTCTTCTTAGCTCCTTTTTTATAGCCTCAGTGGGTCATTTTTGAATCCCCTGGGATCATTTTTTATCCAGCATCGTTTCAATCGAGGGGTAGAAGCAAATGCGAAATAAAAATATCGACTGGGGACCCTTAGAAGATCTTTTTTTGAAAAGAGCCATTTTAGGAGATTTCCCGTCTTTCCTCTGAGAAGGAAGGTCATTTTACTCGGACTTAAGAATTTCCGTTGACTTAGCTAGTATACATTTTAGTGTAACAGATAAAAATCCAAAAACCCTGTAAAAGTTCCTAGTTTTCGAGAAATAAGGGCTCCAACTCAAAGAAAATCGCAATATCCGCTAAAATTGCCTTCTTTGGTTCTTTGAGCTCTGATTTTTTTTTAAATTATGGAGTTTTTTCCGGTTGAAACTTCAAGGTCCTTCATTTGGGACGTCTGGGAACATTTTGGCATATTTTAAGAAAAATTTTAAGAGTCAAGTGAAATTACCTTCCTTGTGAGAATTTCCCCGTTATTTTTAAATGTAAATCCAATTTATTTTTGAGAATTATTAGAATAATTTTCCCATTAATTTTCAGTAAAAAACTTTTTTTGTCTTCAAGATAAAGGCCGATTCGTTTCTGAGGATGAAAGATAAAATTACCGTTTTTTAAGAATGAATTTTTTAAGTAAAGAAGTATGTCTAACCCTTATTTTTGAAGTATCAGCGAGAAGGAGCTGCTGGAGCAGTACTGTGAGGCCGAGGAGCCCGAAGAAGGCACCTCGACGCCAAGTTTCACCAAAAAGACGCGATATCGCCTCTTTTACGGCGGCGACGAGCTCTTCCTCTTCATGCGACTTCATCATTCCATCTGTCATAAACTTGCCCAATTTCACAAGGCCCATGAGAGGATTGTCATGGAATATAGGGTTCGTATTTGTCACCAAAAAAGATGAAAATAATTGTTTTCTCTGGTTTTTCCGTCTCAAAAAGAGTTAGCCGAAATTTGAAAATGTCTGATTTCTCTTCTTTTTTTCGTGCGTCTTCCACGTTTTATGACCTTGCTGGCGAGAAAAAAGAGCGCAGACTGGTTAGATTTTTTTTTAAGCGTGTAAAGTTGATAACGAGATCTTGGTTCAAAAAAATGATGAATTTTGCAGAATAGAAGCTAGAGATCGTAATCGAAATTATCAGCAAGAAAAAAAAGTAAAAAAAAATTTTTTCATTTTTTTCGGTTCCAAAAAAATTGTTCATTTCTGCGAAAATCGTGAAAAAAATTGAAAAAAATAGTTAGATATTCAAAATCAGATGATTTTTCTTGCTTTTTTTCCTAGCCTCTCAAGCGACATTAAAATTAGTTAGTGTCTGGTTTCTCTGCGCTCTCTTCTTTTTGCGTGCGACTTTCACGTTTTTATGACTTCGCTGGCGAGGGAAAAGAGAGCGCAGACTGGTTATATATTTTTCCGATCGTGGAAAGTTGATAACAACTTTTTCTTGTTTCGAAAAAATGATAAATTTTTCATAGTTTCCTCATATCATTTTTAGGAACAAGTTGCCCTGAAAGCGGAGCTGGAAAAGACAAATGAAACTATCACGCAGCACTGGGTTTTCGAGAGGAATCTTCCCGATTTGGAAAGCTCCATCAAAACGATTCGGGTCGGTTTTTGGGACAGTAGAAATGAAAAATAATTCAGGGAAACTTCCCATATTTAAAACATGCAGTTTTGTCAGAAAATATAAGTAAAAACGCTTTTTTGGTCACAACTCGCTCACTTGTATGGAGTTTGATCTTTCTCGAACTTTCTGGAGTTGTGAGGATTGTTATTTGTAACGCTCTGGTAAAACTTTAGTTCCCAGGAAAACAAGTCGCAGTTCTATAGTTCTCTCTATACGAGGAATTTTTGATAACAAATTTTTTGGATCTTTTTCAACTATACTGTATGTTTCCAGGCTCAAAAAGAAAGGTTTTTTTTCCCGATAATTTATTTCAAAAGCTATATAATCGATATTTTTTTATCTTTTTTTCAGTCTATAATATGTTGATTTCAGAACGTGAAAAGGTCTCCCGAGGATTCTTATACCGATTCGATTGCAATTATAAAAAGTTTCCTCGACCAACAAATCGATACGAATACGTATGAAGAAAATTTGAGGTATGATTTTTCCTTTTTTTCTTTTGTTTATTAATTTTGTAAAAATTAATCTTTCTTTCCCGATTTTTAAAGGTATCCAACAGCTTTTTCGTAATGAAAAAAAGGCAGAAAATTTTTGTGTTACATTTTTTTAAGGCTTTTTTTCCAACTTAAAATCAAAAAAATCGTAGAAACAGATTTTTTTGTATTGGAGTGTACCTATGAGCGCCAAAGTGGTCCCTAGAGGGTCATTCTGGGGGAGGGGTCTTACAGGGCCCCTTTAGGGAACACCCTGCCTCCCGCTTCAAGGGCGCTAATGCAAATTTGGCCATTCTAGGGAAGTATACTCGTGGTCCCTATCTTTTTTTTTCTCAAATCAGAAAAAAAAAAATCAAAAATTCACTATAGGGAGCACTTGAGCCACAGCGCTCAGACCTCAGACGTCTATAAGGGCCACCTAAATCTTAGACCCTTCATGACCCTTTTTTCGTCTGGTTACCCCTATAGGGATCACTCTAGTGTTCTTAAGTACGTCACGGCTGAACTTGAGCAAATTTTGGAAAAGTCTTTCGAACAGAAGAAAACGTCAACATTTGAAGGATGCAATTGAGAGCTTATCTCTTCGAATATTCCATGATTCCGCAGATAATTCGGGTGTTCTAAATAAATTCCAAGAAACGGCGATTCCAGGATACTTTTCCCGACGGAGGCCTGCCAAATGTTCTCGATCGACAAAATAACGGGGACCCTCATCCGGCAATTATTGATCTTGGCGACGGACCAAGACGATTGTCATTCCATCAAACTTTATCTCAACCACCGATTCAAAACTCCGCCTTCGATGTTCAGCGAGTCTTCTGAAGTCCAGGGGTTCGTTTTGGAAATCGTTGAAGATGTTTCTCGAAAATATTATACAGAACCATGAGAAAAGAAGAAATTTTTTGTCTAGAACTTCCTTTGATGGGGCTCAATCTTTCTGAAAAATGTTGTGCTCATTTTTTCTGCGACTTGAAATTTGACCAGTGTTACAAAACTCTCTCAAAATAGATCTTTTTACTTTAGAAATAAAAAAATTACATCAAAAGAAAATTTCGAAATTCATTAAAAAAATGAGACAAATGTTCACTTCCATTCGGCGAAAATACACCAAAAAAACGCCATGATTGGTTTTACACTTCAAAGAAATTATTGAAAAAAACTCCAGAAATTCTTGGTTTTCGGTTTCTTTTAAAACTCAGTTCTGTTCAGGATCATGAAGATCATATTTAACATTTTTTCGAGACGAACAGCATTTTTGTTATTTTTGGTCAGCTCTATAGGAATTCGCATTGATTTATTTATGAGAGGAGTTTAATAAATTTGGGTTTTAGCGACTATATTCATTTTCATTTTTTCTCCTTTAGAACCTCTTTTTCCTAAACAATATCTGGGCGACCACAATTAAGAAAAGATTTCAATCACACCTAGATTTTTCTTTCATTAAGGAAATATTCCAAATTTCAGGGTCGAAAAGGATTACGCGGCGATTTGTGAGGAACGACTTCACGGCCGAAATTGCTTCCGAATGTGTGTAACCGATGAAAATGACCCGAGACTAGTGATTGACCTCGTCGATACAGAGGTGAGAGAAGCAAAATCGAAAAGAAATAAAGAAAAAAAAGCATTTCGAAGACAAAATATCCTTTTAAAAAGATTTAATGGAAATTCAAGTATGTTGGCTAATTTTCTGTTCTGTCCTATAAAATGTATAGGGTTTTAAGTAGAATATATTTAGACATCTTCATTAAAAAAATTTCGTTTCAAAGAGGAGTGCTTTTTTAAAGTGCTCAAAAAAATTGTTTTTTAGCTCTTACAAAGTTTAAATTTTGATGAAAGTTATATAGTATTCGTTCTCATTTAAAGATATTTCCTGCTTTAAAAAAATTAGCTTTTGAAAACTGAACCAGGTTAAATGGAATTTTTAGGATCTCGATTTTGAAAATATCATTTTCATCGGATTTTTAGGATACGGACGGTGAAGGAGAGGCCGACGAAGGTGATGGAGATGGAGAAGAAGGAGACGGAGAAGATGATGACGACGAGAGAAATGTAAAGAACATACAAAAATCTTCGAAATTAATCCGAAAAGTCTCAGATCTCCGCCGGAATGTCCGACACGGCCAGTACAACATCCGATACGAAGCAAAATGACGTGAAACAAGAACAAAGTGGTAAGTTTTGAGGAAAAAAAAGTTGAAAAAAAAAAGAATTTTCAGGCGCGTCAACACCGCGGTCACGGTTTCCAAAGAAACCCAATTAACATAATTTTTCACTTATTCCCAAACATATACTTATATTTGCCTATAGTTTGTTAAAAGAAATATAGGGAGCAGAAGGAAATTCGGAGTAAGGTCTCGAAACGAAGAGAGACTTCTGCGCCTTTAAACGCCCCACCGAAACAGTTTGATCAGAACCTTCATAATTACCTCATTTTCTGTATATTTTTGATTATTTTCGCTTAATAAACGCCAGATTGTCACTAACCTTAAAACTTCATTGAGTAAACCTGATGGCAGGGTCGAAAAAGAAAATACTTTTCAACAAGACGAAAGTGAAAGAGAGATAAATGGACAAAGTGTACAAGATCCCAAACAAAGAAAGATTATTCGAATACAGGACGATTTCGAGTAAATACATTCATGCATAAGATATAATAAATTGTGTTTGAATGGGCGGGGAGAAGAATCGTTCAGACGTACATCGACTCGGCCAGAGCCGACATTTTGAGGCCGACGCGGACGAAATGCGTGAAATACTCGGAGAGTTCGTCGACCGCCTCGTCCGGAGATGGAGGCCGCGCCGCCTGGACGCTGCACGGCGTGTTGATGTCTTTCCTGAAACCGTAATTTGACTTAAAAATTCGGTTTTTTTTTTCCGAAGGAAACGAACTTCGTTCAAAGCTGGCTTTTGTTGCTCTGTTCAAAGTGATTTCGCGAAATTCAATCTCACTATAATCGAGTTATCTTTTTCACACGCTCATGGTGTTTTTTTGATGGCAATTTAGAATCCGATTTTCCAACGATGAACAAAAAAAGCACAAAAAAAAGAGAAACTCGATCAAAGGCATGAAAGTTCGTTTCAAAAATCGAATCGAAATCATTTCAAATGAATTAGAGATATTTCTCAACATTTTTTTATGGTTCGAAAAGAAAAGAAAGAATGAAACTCAACAATCAAAAAAAGCACAGGATAAAAAATAACCGAAAAGGGGATTTTCGAACATTCCACAGAACAAATTTGATTAAGATTATCGTTTTCAAAGAGTATGGAAAGCAGATGTAAAAAAAAACAATTTCCTAAGACATTTTCAGATATCCTCTAGACCACGTTAAACTTTTTTTGTTTCGAGTTTTGAAAGCAAACACGTTCCTAAAAACTGAGAATTACAGAAATCGAATTCTGATCTCAACCAAAAAAAAAAAATGACAATAAAAAGTGAAAACAATAAAGTCTCAAAACTGAATTAAAAGAGCTCTCTATAATTAAAAATATTATGAAAAAAAGGAAGGTAAATTTACTTTTTGCAGAAGAAAAAGGGTTAAAAGCTCTAAAAAAAATCATTAAAAAAAATTTAAAGTGTCGAAAAATCTCGATTGATCCCTAAATATATCGAAAGAGAAAAATTACTTTTTTTCCAACATCTGCCACAAATTTTTCGCTTTTTTGGGTGAGACATAGAATGAAAAACTTGAAAAAAATCAGCAAAGTTATAGGAAATGAGAAACACGAGAATACTATAAAATGCGAAAATCCAATAAACCATTGGTTACTTCAAACAAATTCAAATGAAAATCAAGCTATGTGAAATTTACTTCAAAAAAACCAAGAAACAAAAGAAAAAAGAACCAACCTATCTAGTAAACAGAGTTTCAACGCCTCGACTTCGCCTCTTAAACGAATTTTTGCCATTTCCTCGACGTTCGCTTCATTTATTGGCGTTGGTTTCGTCCTACGTCTAAAAAAATCTCAAATTTCAGAAAAATGATTGGCCAACTTTTAAAAATTTTTCGATTTAGCCTTTATATTATACAATAATCAAAACTGAAAAAAAGGGAGATTCTCTTACATAAAAAAATCGAAGCTGTGAGCTCCAAAAGACAACAAAAAAAACAATAAAAAAAGGGTGAAAATGCTTATTAAAAAAATTATAAATAATAAAATTTAAACCTTCGAAACGCGTGGACGAAATAGGGCGTATATCGTCCACAACGGTAAGTTGTGCATCGTATCGTGGCTCGTGGCGGGGTCTTCAATTAAAAAATCATTAAAAACCACAGGAAAGGAGAAAAAAAACGATGAAAAAAATTCTCACCGGAGAGGAAACGCGAGTGGAAGGGCCTTCGCTACCTATTGCCAGTTTTTCAAAGTTGAATAGAGCTCCGATCTCATCCTTTTCAAAAAATGAGAAGGTTGTCGAGGTCGACGGCCCTCCTTCCAATCCGATGCTCGTAGTTAAAGTTTCCTCGGCAGCCATTTATTTCTGAAATGGAGATTACAATACGTTTGATATCATTTTTCTATGAGATGAACTGCCAAAGTTTATAAAACAAAAATTTATACCGTGTTCAGAGTGATTACGCGAAATTCAAAATAGAGGTCAGAGAAAAAAAGTGAACTAAATTTTGAACAGCCAGAGACCATTTTGCATTTCGCGAAAATTACTTTGAACACGGCATAAAGTTGAAAACTTTCAAAACCCTTTCATTGCAATGTGCAAATGTAAGGAAAAATAATGCGAACTTGAGAACCTTTTTCGTGAATAAATTTGAAGCAAACATCATTTCAACACGAAAAATAAAAAAAAAATTTTTATCCGGTTATAAAAAAGCTATAGTTTTTTTTAGAGAAGGTTACTTCGAATTGAAAAAAATAGTTCGATCGAAACAAAATTATCAGCCAGGTAAATAGAAAAAAGACACAATGAACCCTTGAAAGAACCAGAATAAAAATAGAGATATAAAATGATTGATAAGAGATAAAGAAAAAGAGATATAAAATTGATAAAAAAAACCTATGCCATGTTCAAAGTAATTTCCGTGAAATGCAAAATGATCTCTGACTCTCTAAAATTTAGTTATATTTTTTTCTTTCTCGGGTATTTTTGATTTCGCGAAATCACTCTGAACACGGCATTACTTTTTTCATCCTCAAAACAAACAATAACATGTTAATATAACTTTACACAAAAAGCGTTTCTTGATTGTAATGCAATCTCTCAGAAGTTAATGGAATCAAAAGGAAAATAAAAAAGGGACAGGAAATAAATTAAAAACTAATGGTCTCCTGCAACTGTGCGAAAATAAGGCATGGGAATATGCAAACAGTTTCAGTTCAATAATTCAATAAAAAAAAACCAAATTTCAAACCTTTCAAATATGAGATTCAATACAGTTAATTGAAGTAAAAAAACAGAAAAATCAATAGGGGCTCGCCGAAAATTATTTCCAGAGTGACGTCAATTCCTCTCTATTTTTCGTGTCGGGACACCGAGACCCCTCTTTCCAGCGTCCTTTAAATTATTTACTTTTTTTCTTCCTTTCTTACTTCTATTTTTTTATTTTTTTAAAAAAATTTTTTTGGCGTATTTTATCGTGTCTCATAAATAAAAGGGGACTTAATGATAGTTTTCATCAGAAAAAAATGAGGCTTTAGTATGAATTTTCAGTCTCTTCTCCGTGAAACTTTTTGAAAAGTTAAATTTCAGTATTCAAAAAGTTCAAAGAAACGTTAATTTTCGTATCTGGGAGTCTTTTTGATATTATCTCAAGACGTTATGTTGGTAATAACGCTAAAATGCGAAGAAAAAGACCTTTTGAAACCATTTTCTCCCTTTTTTACTGTTTTTTGTTCAAGTTTCGCACATTCTTTTAATTTATGGGCTCACAGTTTGATCGAACTCACTGAAGAGTTATGTTACGTATCAAATTAGGCTCAATTTACAAGAATCGGCTTCCAGAATGACCTGATTTTATCTGAACCTGCACTTTTCTTAATTCAATTCTCTTTTTTCGCATGTAAAAAGTTTTTTTTAACCTTTTTTTGCTAAACTTTCCCCTCCAGGTTGTTTTTCCATCCAATTCACGTCGGGAAAAGACAATATCCTATTTGTTTGGGATTACAAGTTGATAAAGTGTTATCAGTGTTCGAATACTTTCGCTTTCCTGCCAAAGTCTATTGATAAGGGCGAAGTTTAGTTGTTTAACACATCAGAAGAGAAAAAACTAGGTTGTTTAGAAAATAAAAAGAGAGATAGAGGTTGAAGACTCGAAGAGGCGCAGAGAAATCGTCGTCGGGTGCGGGAAAAACAACTTTTCTGTCGTTTCTGTCGCTATGTTGCAGCGACGGCCTCCTTTTGAAACCCAAAAAAGAAGTTTTTTTTTCTTTCTTTTGGAATTTGGCGTTTCCTTTTCAATTATTCCCGTCTCTTTCCTCTGTTGAAAGTAATGGTTTATAGGCTCTCAAAGAGGTTTTTTTTCAAAGATTTCTCTCGTTTTACTCGTTTAGTTACAAGATTCTTTGAGGTGTGTCTGAAATGAATAATTCGCTCGAAATTTCAAAAAGTACCTTTTTCGATTTTAATATGAAATCATTTTTCCAGAAGCCAGAAATAATTCAAAACTCATTACCATAAAATTTTTCGATAAAAATTAAGGTAATTAAAAAAATTTTTTTGGCTTATTTTTTTCTTCAAGAATCAATTTATCAATACTAAAATTAACGATAAATGCATTAGAAATGCGATTTTTTTCATCAATATGTTCAAAAAAATGAATGTCTGAGGGAATTTTTTTGTTCCTTAAACTTTTAAAACATTATTCATAAAAAAATTCCCATGAAGCATTTACAGGCGCAGAAGTCTAAAGAACTGAAAGAAGCACTGGTTATCAGCTCTTTTTTCGGAATTTTTAAAAAAATTGTTCGAAATTCCCCAGAACAGCTTTATTGAAGTATTGCCTTTCGCATTCTAAAAGTTATTCTATTCCAATGATAAGAATCATTGAATTGTGGCATTCAAAATGTTTCTCTTTCAGTGATAAACTTCTGACTGATAATTTTCAAGAAGAATATAGTTTTTGTCGGAGATTTTTCCTTGTTCCCAACGCTTAACGCTCTTTTGCTCTGTGTTTGTTTTTAAACATAATCCTCTCATTGCCAGCTTTTTCCCTTTGATTCATTAGCTTTTTTTCGAGTTGATGAAAAATTTCCTTCTTTTTATTCCTATCTGGAGATGTTAAAAGTTTTTTTGAAGAAAAATATGTTATTTTTCTTGTTAAACTCAAAACTTATTTTTTTCCTGTTTTTTTCATGATCCATATAATTTTTTTAACTGTTTGAAAACTAGATTGTTAAGAAAAACCAAGAGTATAAAATTTTTTTAGTCTCCTCTTCTTGAAGTTCTGAAATTTGAGCCTAATAACGGAAGTTTCGTTTTCCCTTCCAAAGCTCAGTCATATTTTCTTCATGATTCATATTATTGTTTTCGTTATTTCTCTTTTCCTTGAATAAGATTTAAAAAAAGTCTTTTTGTTACAGATTTTCCTAAATTATAATGGCATCTTCTACAACAGTATTGTACCCGAATGACACTGTTAAAGGTAAAAATTAGGCCTATTTTTTGACTTTAGAATTCTTCATAGAGTTCTGAAACAAATTGTTTGATTTTAATCGATTTTAAAAGGGTTTTGAAGCGATGACTTCACGTGAAGTATTCTGTGAGATTTTTGAAAATTCCCTTAAGTCCGAATCGACTCAATATCGAATCTTCACACTTTTTCGAAAATATCATCACTGTTATCAATCGCAAAACATATGATTTGATGTCGAATCGATTTTATTTTCAATCATTCCGCCCTTCCGAAAGAAAAAACACCGGTCAAAGAATGGTGGAGGGCACCTGTACATGAGTCATTTGTACACCAAAAAATTTGAATTGACAAAAAATACTTGAGATTAGGTGTGAATGTACTTTTCCGTACATGTACTCGACATGGAAACGAGAATATTTGAGATAAATGCAGTTTTGGGTCTTTAAGAAAACTTTGAAAAATTTACATAAGAAAATTTTTTTTATTGGCGGGTTTTAACGTTGAAGTTGAAATTACAGATTTTTTACGTTTCTATCAAATTCCTTTTTTGACATTAGTGCACATTATGATTGGATTTCTTGAAGGAAAGGCCGTGGAAACGGTGGATCATGCGAGTCGGAGTAAAATAAACGGCGAAGGTGGGAATCTGATTGCCGACGTCACCTCCCCTCACGCCAAGAAACATCGAATCGTTTTTGATCGAACCTTGAATGTCTTCGAATTCAAGCTTCTCGAGTGGGTTTCAAAAAAAGCTTTGATTTTTAGAAAAAAATTCTCATAAATTAAAAACCCAGTGTATCCAGTTTTTTTCGAACAAAACCTTAGATCAGAATTGGAACTTGAAACCAAAAATACAGGTTCAAAATATGAGCTCAAAAATGAGAGAGATCTCTTTTTTTAAACTTGAAATTCTTGTGTTCTGTAGAATTTTTTTCTTAAAAAGTTTTTCCCTTCTTCTGATTTTTTTAAAGTTTTTTTACATACCTTTTTGTTATTTCCAGTAAACTCATTACTGGTGAGAAAGATAAAACTTTAACATTTCAGCCCGAAACAGATTTCCCATTCAACTTGTCGAAAAAAAGGAGTCAATTTTTAGCGGCTCTTCGAAGCATCTGACGACTTACCGTCTCGATGAGCTTCTCTGCACTTCCAAGAGTTCTGTTCCCCTCAGAAAGGGCGTTCCGACGGCTTCTAAGGTCTTTTTTGTACTGTTTTTCAAAAAAAAATGATTGAAAATAGCTTTGCTGAAATATTAAAATAGGATGGAAGCGTGTTTTTGATGCAACTTTTGCTAACTGTAAGCAAAAATTTAAATCCTGAAAAAAATTCGCCGAGAGTTCTCAAACGGAAAAACCATGTTTTCGTTTTTCAAGGGATAACTTACTTCAAAACATGTGTAGAAACTCGTAAAATTCAGATTTATGGGCTTTTTGCGGAGACTTAGTGGATTTTGCGGAGAAAACGGGAAAGTTAAAATTTTTGAAAAGTAATAATAGAGGAAAAGACAACATGATTTGAAGAAATTTTTCAAAACGATTCTAAAATTCTTGGGCCTTTTGAGAATATTTCTAGTAAAAGAAAGCCTTGAATCCTTTCAGAAAAATCTTTTTAAAGGATCCCAGTTATTTTTATAAATCATTTTTAAACCAGTCTTGAACTCTTTTTAAATCCATTTTGAAGCAGTATAGATTAATTGTTCATTTATTATAGCTTTTTTTGGATGAGTTTCGAATTTTTCAGAAAGGCGCCAACACTCCAAAAACCCTCTTCTTTTATTTCGTGTACAAAGAAGACAAATTGAAATGGCGTTTGAAAGAAGTTCCTGTGGTTTTTAATACGACCTCTGAACGAGATTATTGGCACACGATCATCGATTCGACGATAAGAAGTGGGTTTTTCCGAGGATTTGTAGTGAAAATGTCTCAGTTTCATGCTTTGTCGAAGCTTTATCAGATCCAGAAACTTCAAGAGAATGTTTATTTTTGAGATTCGAGTTTGGGAAAATTAATAAAAAGAACCACGTTGTATCATTTTCCAATCATTTTTTGAGCAAAAGTTCCATTCCTCGCTCAAAAATTTTTGTTACGGTAAAGTAATTGGTTTTTTTCGGTTAATTCTGAGAAAATCAAAGAATTTTTAAAGTTATTCTACTAGATTTTTGTCCCTTTATTTTGATATTTTTCGGTTGGAATAAAAATTTCTTAGCTTGAAAATTACATTTTTTTCGGGTTTTTTTCGAGCTTTTCAATAATTAAACCCAGATATATCGAATTTTAAAATCTTTTTTTTTGCATTATTGGAATTTTGAATAAGTTTCAGAGTTTTTGTGCTCGAAAAACCAAAAACAAATTTTTTTTATTTGATGTTCTTCAGTTTTGTTTGAGTTTCCTGTTTCTCGATTCTTTTAAAAAAGCATGTTTTTTTTTCTTTCTTCAATTACCGTTTTTAAAGTTCAAGGCTATCTTTTTTTCTGCATTTGCAACATTATCGTAAAAAAATAGTTAAAAAGAAAAAGGGGGAAAAAAAATGAAAAAAATGAAGTTACTGATTCGAAACATAGATTTATTTTTCCCGTTTTTGGCGAATCTGTTCGATATTACGGAATAACAGTTTTATTACGACTTAGATCTTGGTAACGCCTTCCGAAAAAAACTCCTAGTGAGCACTTTAGCGGCATCAAGACTCTTAAGTGACCCCTAGAATCCAAGCTTCAGGTTCCCGTTACCGAGGTCCGAGTAGTCAGTTTTTTTTTTCTTAGTCCGAGCTAGTGTATTGATTTAGGAATCTCCAGCCGTCCCAAGAATATCATAATCTTCATCAATCCGTTCGGCGGCAAGGGAAAAAGCTCAGAGAATCTTCCAAGATAATGTAATTTTTTTCAAAAAAAGAATGAAAAAAAGGTTTTTTTGAGGTCGAAGCCTTCTTTTCCATGTCCCCAGGCCTTCGATATCAGGTTTTATTAACCGAGAGAGCATATCACGCGAGGGATTTCATCGTCGAAATGCCCGTTGATCATTGGAGCGCACTTGACGGACTGGTGGGTTTGAAACGGGAAAAATTGACTAGAAAAAAAGGTTGAAAAATTACTTATTTAGTGATGATATGAAAACTATGGACGATTTTTTTCATTTTTAAAAAGAATTTTTCTTGATTTATAAGTTGAAATTTGAGGTTTCTGTTGGTGGTGACGGTCTTTTCAATGAACTTCTTTCCGGCGCTTTGCTCAGGACTCAAAAAAAGATACCGGTAAGTTTAAAAATCAAAGAATTAGCCCACACATAAATAAAAAAATATAAAAAGAAAAAAATTTTTTGGGGGTTTAAAAAAAGGGAAGAAATGGATATTTTTGTAAGGCCGCGACATCGACGACCCCAACACGGCCCATTTGGCGACGCCCCATCTTCGATTCGGAATCATCGGCGCCGGATCGGCCAATTCCATCGTCTCAACTGTCCACGAAACCAACGACTATGCCACTTCTGCCGTTCACATTGCCATAGGTATCACTGATTCTCAAAGAACTTTTCCCTGGCCTCCCAACAAAGTCGATTTCGATGACGTTCCGCTGATCCATAGCCTTTGAAGACCCTGAAAGAAAAATTACGTAAAAAGCCTGAGAAAATATTTTCTAAATGCTTACGAGGTTTACTTTCTTTTGTTTGAATATTGAAGAAGTTTCTTCGCGAACAATCCATTAAAAGGCACCAAAAACGAAAAAGGCGATTTTTGAGTTTTCGAAATTTTCTAAGCAAGAAACGAAGATCAAATATCAAATCTACTGGTCAAGGTCAAAGTTAAAAGCTAAAAGTAAACTTTTTCAGTCCGCTCCGCTTTTCGAACCATAGGACCGCAAATATCAAAGTGCATGAAATCAAAACAATCGAGAGGAATCAGGCCCGCCCTTATGATAATTATTTCACTTCGCCGTTTTGGTCCACTTTTATAAATAAACTTTAAAAAGAGTGGAACATTATTAAAAACAATTACGTCTTCTAGATCAAATGAATCTTTTATAAAAAATGTTTTAAGAAAGAATTTTTTTTTTCCGAATTATTAATCTTCAAACCTCTCAAACAACGATTTTTCGATTATTGGCGTAATTTACGAGCTTTGAAGGCTTATGTATCTCAAAAAATGTATTGTTAGAAATGTTTTTCGTTTTGAAATCAGGAAATCCTGAAGGGTATTTCAACCAAGTTTTACCAACACTTCTGAAAAAAAAACTATTTTGCAAGGCTCCGAGTGCAACGTCGACGTGTGTACGGTCCATCGCGACAGTAAGCTCATCAGAATCTCGGCCAACGCCATCTCCTACGGATGGCTTGGAGACGTGCTCCGTGACTCGGAGAACTACAGATGTCTCGGACCTATTCGGTATCAGTGGAGTGGTGCGTTTATTTCTGAAGATAATTGTTGAAAAAACGGCAGTTTCAACTGTTTTAACTACGGTTTTTTTTTTAAATTTCTGTTCTAACCGCAGCGCGTCTAGCCATTCTACGCCCTATCAGAAAGTTTTAAATTTTGAGAAAAAAAGGAGAATATTTCGTTTGAATGGTCTCATCTTCAGCTCTACGAACCACGATCCGAAATCCAACGTATCGTGGAACCGTTCAATTTACCCTGTCGCATAAAGAGACGGTTGACCCAAGGACCAAAATGCCGCAATGCATCAAAAATTGTCCGGTTTGCGAGAAACCTGGGTCAGTTTTCTTTGTTTTTGGGATTATAGTCAAATAAAGTTTCAAGTTACGAAAATAGGCCAGAAAAAATTTGATTAAACATGATAAAAAGATTCTTTTTTGTAAGAAAAAGGGTGGGAAAAGGCTTTCTCATAGGAAAAAGGTACCACATGTAGAAAAATACGGAAGGTATATTTTTTCTACTAACCTGTCATAATTTGTGTTTTTTGCCGAAAAACGTTCCCTAGTAAGCATTTTCAACAGTTTTTTTCCTGGATTTTTTCTATTAATTTTTTTCGGTTTTTGAGCATTGAATTGACTAATAAAGAGTTTTTAAACGATTTCCGAACAAATAAATTTCAAAAAAATCAATGTAAAAAAAGAATAGCGTGAAATGATGAGAATTATTTTATCCTTGGTGACGTCATTTTCCGGGTTATATGACGTCATAACAGGCTTTGATTGGAAAAATTGAATTTTTTTCCTGTTACCAGTACTTTTTTTATAAGTTTTTAGAAAGGAGTCAGACGAAACAACACAGTATGACTACCATTTCCACGACGAATTCTCGCACGTCATCTGCTGCGTTATCCCGACGGTGACCCCATTCACGCCCCACGGATTGGCACCGTATACCGGTTGGATTACTGTAGAGAACACTGCAAAAATAAGAAACTTTGAGGCATCGGTGATGGAACTTTGGACTTGGCGCTGATCCCGAAAGTCTCCCGGTTTAGAAATATGCAATTCATGCGTCGTGTCGCCATGTATGGAGGAAAAAGGGGTAATTCCTCTACAGAGTTTTTGATTTTTTCGAGTTTCAGACCAAAAAAAGTAGAAATGTCAGAAACCATTTTTTTACTCACTTATTTTTTTCATTAAAAAATTTTTTCTCCAAAAAAAGTTCAAATTTTCGATTATGCGCATAAAAAGTCGCGATCTCGTTTTAAGACCCAAGAAAGACTCCCGAAATGCCAATTTTGCGCCATTATTTCAAAAAAAAAAAGCCTCACTCTTTAAAAAGTCAAAATTATGGAATTTTGCATTTTTAAAAATTGTCTTTGGTGAAGATTCGTTGGTTTTTCAGCAAGATATGAATTTTCGAAGCTTTTTATACCGTAATTCTTTGAGTTACCGTATCTCGAAAACAAGCCGAGTGATGATATTCTGTTTTAACCGTAAGAAATTCCATGAATCGTTTTCTACAACATAAATAGTCTAGAAAAAACCTTATCATAGCCCTATTACTTCCAAATCACCCTAGACTTGAATGGCGCAGCCCAATGAAGTTATAATTTCTTATTGAAAAGAAAGATTTCTTGTTTTTCCAGCTGTACTCATCTGACCGAACTCTCGTCTGTTATCGAGTAGTACGGTGGTCCTACCAGCCGGACGCCGACCAGGAAGATCCCGGCGTCTGGAATCTCGATGGCGAGATTCTGGAGCAGCCCAAAGGCGAAGCTCTCCATTTCAAGTGCGTTTACTCCGGATCTTTTTCACTTTTTAAGATTCTTAAGTTAAATCTTAGTTTTTTGAAAATTGAAGTTAAGAGTTCTAAACTTTTCGAGTTAGGAGTCTCGACTCTGGTTTCTTCTTCTTAATCTGGAATATCTGAAAGCTTTCGAAAACGTTCGATTTCAGACTCCATCCGCAGTTGATCAGCTTTTTCGGCCGCGACGCCGCCATGATCAACCCCGTCAAAAGGAGCTTCATCAAGAAACGAAAATCCTCCATCGTTTATAAATAATCAACCTCTTTTTTTGTTTGTTCTAAGAGATTTTTTTGTTAACACTTCCATGTATATAGAGATACCTCTTTGAAATTCGGTTGTGAAGTTTTTTTTTGTAGATTTTGTTGTTACATATCATTTAAAAGAATATAAATCGTGCCTCGACGAAACAACGGTGAATTCGCTTATTTTGTGCATTTTTTCGAGATACTGTAATGAATTTTTTGTGTTTTCTCCAATGTTTCCTGAAAATCCTATCGTTGCGGTTTATAAAAATAACGCCGAACACGATCAATACATATATGCATGACCCATTTGCGTCTCGCATTTTCCCACGCTCTTTCGCGATTTCGCCTGACTGTCTGTAACCTCCAACTGCGTCACGCTGCCTCGCTCTTGCGGGCAAATTGACGTTTCAGTGCCGTGGTTCTTCGCGCGCCGAGTATTTTGAGTCATCTTTTCGAATATTTCCTTGATTTCCCCAAAAGTGTAGCTCTATCATCATATTTTCTTCAGTTTTGAGCTTTTATTTCAAGAAAATTGAATTGCAAGACGAAAATCACGTCGCTTTTATCTTAGGATGTGAGAGAGCGTGGGGAGTCGCAGAGACGCCTTTCTCTCGTTCTCCGGCGTCTCTTCAGCTCCCACGCTCTCTCCGTCGATGGCGAATTTTGAGGCCTCGTCCAGAGAAAATGTTCTTTTTCGTCTTTTTTCAATCCTTCTTGTCGTACCATGTAGTTTTCGACGTCTTTGACACAATCTACAAAGTTTTTTCATCGTTTGAAAACTGAAAAACGTTGCAAATACTGTTTTTCAATCTCAAAAAGAATGAAAAACGCGCTCAAAAAATATTTTTTGTCATTTTCCATTTTTGTTTAAAATCACGTTTTTCCGCTTGCTTTGCGAAAAATATTCGATTGAAAAATTCAAATTTTTATTCATTTGAATAAAAACCGAGGCTTTATCGTTCAGAATCACAAAAACTAGTAAACTCAAAAAAGTTTGAATTTTGAGCGTTTCGGTGTGATTTTTCGTCGCGGTGCATACCGCGGGAAGGTTTAACTTTTTTTTTCGTCATTTTTTGCGTAGAATATGTTTTTTTCTTACCATTTTTATTTCCAAATGCTGCGTTGTTTCAGAGAGAGAAGCTAAATATAATTTTTTTGAGTTAAATGTATATATCTATATATATATATTCTTTGATTGATGTAACTTTTTTTCGTTTTTCATGTTAGGAAATACTTGGACATCATTAAACATTTTACCTGTGAAAGAAGTTTTTGCAAACGGCCTCGCATTTTTTGAATGCTTTCAATCAAGTTTTTGAACGTGAAAAATTTAGTTTTTTCGTTGAGGTTGAATATTGTGAGGAACCCGGAAAAATCTTTGAAGAATGGATATCGTATTTTCCTCTATTTATGCTTCTATTTAGTTCTGGTGTGTGAGAAGTAAACACTTTTATTGATTCGATTTTTTTTCCTTGATGTATGTTTTCTTTTTAAATTTCTTTTAATGAATTTCATTTCAGGCATGTCAGAGGATGAGTCATATCTCAGAAGTGGAAAGCCAAAAAACAAAAGAGGCCGACCCCCGGGGCGACTTTCGAACCGTGAACCTCTCAAACCTTATGAGTAGGATATCTTTTCCCAAAAAAGTCAATAATATGACAATTTTCCAGGCCAGCACCAGAACGTGTGATGGACCCGAGTGAAAAGCTTCAATTGGCCGAACTTTTCTACAAGAATTTCACGATTTTCACGAGTCCACGGTTTCAGAATTATGATTTGAAAGGAATATGAAAAATTTGAATTAAAGGTACCAAGAGGACGATTATATATGTCCCGAGGCGAACCTCAAAAAATGGCTTTTGGAGGAATGGGCTATTACTTTGTCAACGGTATAGATTCAAATTTGAGCTTTGAGAAGGTAAAAGGATATTGTTACAGTTGGAAGTCACTTGGACACCTCAACTTGTGTGGAAAACCCTGAAAAGCATGTTGATGGAGGTCGAGGAATACCGTCTTCTTCAGACCGACGTCACCTCGGTTTGGTTTTTTTAGGACCCTGAAAAAGCCATGGTCGCATTTGGAATGGCTCTAAGAGTTACTGTGGAAAAGCTTCTTTTTCGTGATTATTTCCGATATTTCTACGCGGAGTCGTTCCTGGTCGGGCGCGGCTTTGAGCCATTCCACGGGCGACCCTGTTCTCCTATTGCGAAAAATTTTTAACTTTAATCAAATTTTCAGGTTTTTTGAGCACTTCAGGTTCAATATAGTCTATTTTTCCTCATTTTTTTAAATAAAATTTCAAAACTTCAAAATCAACTAATACTTTCATATTCACGAGGATTCGAAAATCTTCTCTTAAAAAAATAGACCACATTAATTTAAACTTACGATTATTTTCATCAAACTAGCTTTTTTTCAAATTTTTTTAAGATTTTTGGATTTGTTATGTTAAAAGTTTCTCAAATCAGAATGTATTCTGAGTTTTCCGGCTTGAAATAAAGCAACTTTTAGTTTTTTTTTTTTTTTGATTTCTGCTCAAATTTCTGCATTTTTCCGCTTCTTTTTTTTAAAATTATGACCTAGAATATTGATAAATCAATGTGAAACTATAAAGTTTATGCTTAAAAAATCCATTTTGAGTGTTTTTAGTTCATTCTTAAAAGTAGTAATAAATTATTTAGAATTGAAATCGATTTAGAAACAATTTTCAGTGCGTGAAACTGGTCTACAACGCCTCATTCTCGCTCCTTAATCACGTCGGCGACCTCGCCCATTTGCATCATTACAATGTGGAGAAATGGCTTCACGAATATGAGCAACAAGTTGCAACGGATTACTGTAAAACCAAGGAAAAATCGATAATTGATGAAAGGAAGTTTTAAGTGGAGAAAAGGGACGAGGAGCTGTTGAAAGGGGCAAAATGCGAACTTTCGTCCGAAATGCGGCGAAAAATCTCGCGGGCCTACTGGCGAAACACGGAGGCTTATGATCAGCTTCCCGTTAGGTTTGGAAAACAATATTCTTTTTTTTTTGATTTGGGGTTCTTTAACAAGAAGTTGAGTTTGAGACAAAACATTTCGATTTTTTTTTCGCTGGATTTTTTTAGAACAATTTTTCTTCAAGGATGTCTAGATTTGAAGTTCACTGTCAACCTTTTATTCATCACTGAATTTCTGAAAAAAAGATGTTTGAACGAATAGTGAAACAGTGAACTCAGTTTAAACAAGAAAGTCACGGAGTTTCTGAAAAATGCTCCTGAAAATATTAGATAAATAGGGCGAGAAGGTAAACTAACTTTTGTTTTAATATAAACAAAAAATACAAGATTTTGAGCTTTCTCATTGCATCGAAAAAAAATGAAAGAGTCAAGAAGTAGGATTTCAAAACATGGCCAAAAAAAAAAACAGATTCACAAATTTTCAAAAGTTTTATTATTTTTTTTCGAATTTCAGAGGTTTTCTTCTAAATCTTCTTCTAAAAAATAATCTCAGAAATTAAGTCCGGTAATAATTAAAATAAAAAACAGGTCTAATTGGAAAATGAAACGGTTTTTAAAGGAGTTTTTTGAACTTTTTGAAAAAAAGGATACTGCAGAGAAGAAGACAACCGAAAAAGAAAGGCTCTGCTGGAAACTTGGGCAAAAAAATTTGTCGACCCCAAAAAGGAAATTTCCCCGTCCGATGTCGAACTTTGTATTGCCGATTACAAAAAAAGAAAAACTGAGCCTGAGGTGAATTTTTTTCCTAATTTTTAAAGAAAAATTAATTATTTTTTTCAGCAACAAGAAATCGATAAGGCTGTGGCTGTGGCGTATCGCTGGGACCGATGTCAGTTTTTTTTTTATTTTTAGGATTTTTTTTGATTTTTAGACAGGATTTATTTTTGATTATCCTTAAAATATTTTTTAAGTTTGTTCTTATCGTTTTTTTTCAAATTTTTTAAAACTCCATTGTTTCAAAAACAGGTTGATCATCGAAATTTTTTTCTAATGTTTTTTTCGAATTTTTCGAGGTTTTTTTCGTTTCTAAAGCAGGTATTTGGGTGATTATCACAAAAACAAAATAAAAAAACGTTTTTTTCGTGAACATTACCATCTTTTTAGAGTAATTTTTGTTGAAAATTCAACTTTTTTTCCACTTTGAAGTTTTTTTCAGAAAAAAATAATATCACTTTTTCAGTTTCTGACTTGCTGGGTGAACTTTCTAAATTCTTTTTTTGTAAAAAAATTTGAGCTCATGATGGAATTTATCAAACTTATGAGTAAATTCGAACTTGATCGATTTTTTTGGCTATTTTGAAGATTATATAATTTTTCTTTTTATCAAACCTTTTTAATCATTTCGAGTTTATAGTCCGAAACGGGAATATCAGACTCTTGTGAGATCTTCCAACCAAGAAAAACTCCTTTTTTTAAAAAAATTCAATCTTTATAAGTTTTTTTCAAGTATGAACATTTTGTTCATTTTCTTACAACTCCTTTATTTTTCGTAAAAATCGGTTGAAAAGCAAGATTTTCCGTCTAATAATCATCTAGGATGTCTATTTTTTTGAATTTAAAATAACGGGTAGTTTTTTTACTTCATTCACCATTGCGAGAATGGTCCTGGAATCACAGTTTCCTAAAAATCATTTAAGTCAGAATGTCTTTTTTTTTTTCGCAGGATATCTCCGACGAAGTGGAAGAAACGCCGAATCCAGCGGTCAGTATGAGAAAACGGAGGAAAAACGACACGGTTGATGTTCGAATATCATTTCTTTCAACAAAGAAAAAGAATTTTTTTTTCAGTCCGACTCTTTTTTGTACCAAAAACCCCTCGGATTGTTTCTGTTCTCCGGAAGTATTCGTCAACAAATCGCGTCCTTCAATCCGGACAAGAGTTTCGATGAATGTACTCAGCTGATTTATGCGGAGGTGGGTGCTGAAAATCACCATGGAAAAAAAGACTTTTCCGAAAATTCCTGAACCATTTCAAAAGTTTTAACCGACTTGGAAACACCAGTGGTCCCTTGAGTGTTAGGGAAAAAATAGTCCCTGTAGGGGCGAAATAGCGCTCCCTATAGGGGTAAAGTTCAGGCGATCCCTGTAGGGGTTTAGGATCTGACAGGCCCCTTGAGCTCAAGTGGCCCCTATATGGGTCTTTGAATTTTTTTATTTTGATTTAAAAAAATTAAAAAAATAAGTATATACTAAAACGTGATTGATTAATTTTCCCGGAAAATGCTCCCCTAGGGTGGCCACTTTTGCAAGCTTTACTGCTCCTGCAGGAGGAGGTAAGATAGTCCCCAGAGGCGGATCTTCAAGTACCAAAAAGTTTGCCCCTTCAGGGATCACTCTGGCTTTTCCAAGGATTTTTTCACTTTTCCCGTTTCAAACATCAGATTTACACGATTATCGCTCCGGGATACCTTTTACCGTGATAACCAAAGAGAAAATACGGAGATTTTTTTCCGTTTAATCAGAAAAAAATTTATTTTTTTAAATAATAATCATATATTCAAACAATTTCAACGGTTTTGAATTAAAAAAAGAATTTCTGTTCAGTGGCAAAAGAAGTCGGCTCAAGAGAAGAGTGAATATCATGCGGCGGCGAAAAAAAGTCTCGAAAGAACGAACCGATAAATTCCGCGACATGATTGGCCCGACGCTTTTTGTCCCCAAAACTCTCAAAGTATATTTTTTTTTTTGGACTTTTTGAAATTTTTCACCGACTTTTTTAAAGGTCATTCCCGTTCCAGCCACCCTTGAAGTGACGTTGGTCAGAATTGATATTTATCAGGTACAAAATCTTCAAATTTTCCAAACATGATGAGTTCTGTACAGAAAAGTTTGCTCAAACGTATCCCGCAATTTCGGATTCCAATGCCTCGAGCCTATTATGGACGCCAACAATGGGTGGAGCCCGAGAGGCGTTTCCAAGCCAGTTCCATTCGCAGGTTTTTTCCTTGGAAAAGAATTTTAAAAATCAAGCCGGTGTGGCACACGGTAAAATCAATAATATGCAGTTTTGAAGAAAAGAATAACTTGAACTTTCAGAAAACTGTTTTCGTGATGTACTTTTCTTTCATCAAGTTTATTTTTTTAGGGGAGGAGACTGGAGCCATTTGCCGTTGGATGAGATCCTGAAAGGAAAAGAACGGGCGAAGAATATTGGTAACTTTTTTTCTGTTCTTTTTTGTAAAAATTTTGGCAGTGGTTTCATTGAATTTTCGATTTTTGTTAAAAACTTGTAACCTTCATTTTTTGATTTCAGTAGAAGAAATCAGCGCATTTATCGCCAATTACTACGATGATGGAGACGAAATTAAAGACGAAGATGAAGTTGAAGAAGAAGAAGTTCAGGGAGAACCGGAAGAGGTTGAACAACCGACTGAAGAGGTTGGTTAAGGGAATTTCAGTGAAAAAAAGGAACCTTCCCGAAAAAAATGATTAAAATTTAAAAAAAATACCCTGGCGGCACCATTTCAATTTTCCCTTCTCGAAATTTTTAAAGCGAATTCAGAAACTTTTTCCTCAATTTTTAGGATTATTTTTATTTCGTGTGATATTTTTTTCCTCAATTTTTTATTCTTTTGGAATTTTTTTTCAGCCACGATCCGAACCTCAAGTAAAAGCCGAGCCAAGTGACGAGGTCGAAGAAGTTCAAGATTTTGCCGTCAAAGAAGAACCCGTCGAAGAAACTGTCGCGGAACCCAATGAACAACCGTAAATCATTGATTTTTGATGATTTTGTTAAAAAATAGCATTTTCAGAGGTCCCAGCGACCCTCAAAGCAATGCGATCAGCAAGTTCTACAACAAGGAAGGTTACAATGTGAAGGGCCTGATCGAGAACGAGATCACCATGATGGGACTCTACCCGGTTCGGTTTTCATAGTTCTAGTTAGAAATTTTGATTGAAATTTACAACAATTCTCACACAGCTGCTAAAAAAGATTCCATTTTTTCCAAGTTTTGGTGAAGAATATTTTTGCTACTGGCAAAATTTCCAGTGAACTCTTCAAGGTTTCACCGCTTAAGTGGCCACTATAGCTGTCAAATTAGTGACCACTTGAGTAGCTAAAATTTAACGGCCTCTTCTGAAGGCAAAACTTCAGAAAAATGGGGAAATTTCCTATCTTTTTGGATGGCGTAAAAGTAAGAAAAGTTCTAGGATGGAGTAATTTTGTAGGCCGAATCGAATGGCACTTACAGATTTTTGATATATTCTCAATATTCGTAAAACTAAATCTAGTCATATCCCTATTGGGAGCAGTGAATAATGCCGTGTTCAAAGTAATTTCCGCAAAATTCAAAATTTTCTTTGACGCTCCCAAATTTAGTTGTCTTTTTCACTCTCGGAACGCTATTTTGAATTTCGCGGAATCAATTTGAACACGAAGTAACCTTGTTCAAATTCAAAAAGAGAATTGGTTGAATATAGTATATGAGTCTTTGTATTTTTCTATTTGGACGCATCATAAAGTTCCGGAATTTCGTTTATCAACTTTTGAATTACCGCTGAAGCGGGTAAAGTAGAAAAAAACGAACTTTTCTCATCATTTTCTTGTTGAATCAATAATAATAAAGTTTCATTTGAAAGAGTTTGAAAAAGTTTTAGTCCGGTCCATCACACGCGATTTTCGACGTCGTTTCGATGAATGGCGAAGTCGGTCGAATGGTTTTCACACGACAAGTTGACCGACGAGGCGACGCTATCTACTATCTTTGGACAAAGTTTGTTTTCTCATATTTTCATTAGATCGCTAGAAGAAAAATCAGCCTTTTTTGTGAAAGCACCCATTTTCTTGCCTCCGTGAATCGACTATGAATTTCATATAATTAAAAGAAATTCCTTCCAGAACACTGGAAATCCATTCATCATCGCCGGTGACGATGTACGTTTGTGTGACCTGCGAGGAGATGGCCAATTTGGAGAGCCAAAAACCGGGAAGACATCACAAATCCGCCAACCTCCTCGCCAATAATCTTTGCCAGGTGAATAATGTTCGAAAGAACACACTTTGATTATATGACTTATATTTTCTTAAAAAATCTGCTCTGAAATTTTCAGAATCGCTGCCGTTAAAAAGATACGAAAATTAGAAGCTTTTCATAACTTTTCTAAACAATCCGGCCAAGTTCCATGAAAATTCCCGTTTTTTAGAATAATAGTATCGTAAACCTTCAGATCACAGACCTTAATAACGAAACTCCATGTCCCAATCACGAACATTTTGGGAAAATTCCAGAATCGCCCCCCACACTGTTTTTGCCCCCCGCGTTCCAACAAGCCCCCCCACCAAGCCAAGTTCCGATCTGCGGGGGGGTTAAATAAGAGGACTTCATGTGGGGGAGGGATCGAACGCGGGGGGTGAATATGTATTCTAGAATGGCCCCCCCGCAGTACAAAAACGGGGGGCGATTCTGAAATGCCTAGGCAATCTTTCATTTTTGCCCCCCGCACGGCTTTGAAATAGTCCCCCAGAGCTCATTCGAACAAGCCCCCTCCCATTTCTGAATGACCCCCCTCTCATTTCAGAATGGCCCCCTCCATTTCAGAATGGCCCCCTCCCATTTCAGAATGGCCCCCTCCATTTCAGAATGGCCCCCTCTCATTTCAGAATGGCCCCCTCCCATTTCAGAATGGCCCCCTCCATTTCAGAATGGCCCCCTCCATTTCAGAATGGCCCCCTCCCATTTCAGAATGGCCCCCTCCCATTTCAGAATGGCCCCCTCCATTTCAGAATGGCCCCCTCTCATTTCAGAATGGCCCCCTCCATTTCAGAATGGCCCCCTCCCATTTCAGAATGGCCCCCTCCATTTCAGAATGGCCCCCTCCATTTCAGAATGGCCCCCCTCCCATTTCAGAATGGCCCCCTCCATTTCAGAATGGCCCCCTCTATTTCAGAATGACCCCCTCCATGTCAAGTATTTTTATTTATTTGACGAATTGTTCACTGTGGCTCAGTTTTTTTCGAAGCGAGCCACAGTCGGCTTCGCGCTATGCGCGCTCCGCCTCCGTGTGAAGCCTTAAAACTAAGCCTATTTTTCCTTAGTAATTTATTAATTAATGTGCATGAAAAGAAAAAGCAAAAAATTCTATTCCTCAGAACAATTACTTGATTGAAAACTAATAAAGTTCATCTTAAATTTTTCTAAGTGGTCAGCGCCCCATAATATTATGATATTCGTACGTATCTCGGCAAGACGTACCCGTAAACTTCTTTGTCTGACTTGAACTTCTCATGAAACTCGGTCAGCGACCTAATTTCTTCCATGATCTACAAATCAAATCACAAAAATTATTAAATTCACAAAAAAAGAACACGAATTTGCATGCGAAAATACAAAAAAAAAACCATTTGAAACAACCAAGAACGACGAATGATACGAAAAAATTAGAAAATAAATTAAAAAATGGAAGCTGTGACACGTGTCCTGCGTGATCGTTGCGTGACCTTTTTTCGGTGTGGGGGGTTATACTGGATAGTTCCGGGGGGCTACATTGGATAAGTGTGGGGGGGCTTGTTCGAACGTGTCGCGGGGGGTGATATCCAACATATGCGGGGGGCTATACTGTAATATGCCCAACATTTTCGATTCCAGCTGTTCCTTCCAAGCCTCACGATCGACGAGCAGACCCTCCAGCCGGCGGCTGTCACCTGGTACACCCAGGAGCCGCGACATCGCTGCGTTCCTTTCTTCTCGATGCTTCTTGTCGAAAAGTTCACCCGAAACGTCTTGAAAGCGTACAAAGTTCACGCACCCGTCCCCTAAGCCATTCCCCTCTCAGTTTTTCGTTGTATTTTTTAATATTACGTGTAAATTCACTGTTGTTACTATTTTCACTTTCTTAATAATCATCATGATGAAGTTTTTGTTTTTCTTGTGGCTATATATCTTGTGCTATCATTGAAAAAAACATTTCTGACTAGGGAGGTTATTTCATTGTGGATTTTATTTTGCGCGTGATGACGAACAAAAGGTGCAATGTTGCGTCATTCTGCCGTGAAAAAAAAGCAAAAAATATTTTCCTCTCAATTTTTCAAGTTTTTTGGTTTTTTTTCCACGTGTTTTCTTGTCCCGCCGTGAAATAACATAATATTATTGACGTATTGATTTTCCATACTTAATTTTTACTTCTCATATCACTTTTTCCATTTCATGTTACCAAAATAAATTATTCAATTTTATCTGATTTCGCCAATTGTGCGTATTTGATATAATAACAAAAAAATACAGTAACACGTAATAAATACACAGGAATCATTGATAGTACAACTCGAAATTGAAACCTTCGTGGATCTCGTAGTCCTGCAGCGTGATGTGGTCTTTGTAGATGGTGTACCATTTCTTCAGAACGATTTTTTCGTATCTGAACGAAAATTTCTGTTTTTTATTTAGTTATAAAGCATCTTTCCAAAACTGGCTTCAATTAAGAAATTCGAAAAAATTCATAAGAGAATCATAATGAATGAAACTTTGGTAAGCTGATAAAATTATGACAATGAAACTGGAAATTCATGTTCAAATGTCCTCAATGCTGAAAACCATTCGAAGTTTGAATTATACAAGTTTTTCAAAATTATTTTTTTGCAATTTTTATTCGCTCTTATATTTTTCTGATTGACCACTAATCAAACAACTGAACTGGAAAAATAAACAATAAAAAGTGTTTTATTGGAAAAATTCAAGAAATGTCAACTTTTTCTCAACAACGACCGCAGTTTTTTTGAGATCCTAAAAAGCAAATGACATTCAATAGTTTTTGTCAAATTAAAGTTTCCATCGGAGCAAAATATTAAGTTAAAATTATAATTTAAAAAATACCAACGATAATTTTTCAGAAAATGAAAAAAATAAAACGCTTTATTTTTTTCATGACTTTGCAGTTTTTTCAATTCAGGTAAAATAGTATCATTTCTCACCTGGTACCCGTCTGGGCGGCGATGAGTTTCTTCAAATCTCCAATGGTATCGTTGGGATTGCACTTTATACGGACTTTTTTACCCAATCGGTCGTTCACGGTGATTTCGATCATTCTGAAACTCTGTGAAGCATTTTAAGCATTTTAAGCATTTTAAGGTGAAAACAAAAAAAATACAAAAAATGATTTGAAAACAAAAAATTATCAGAGCCAACGAATTTCGTCGATTTACGAGAGCGTTCATGCAAGTGGTGCGCAGTTTTAAGGCGCAGTTCGATATTTCACCGGTTTCCGGAGCGGTTTGTATTTAATAAAAAAAGGAAATAGAATTCATAAAAAGCTTCAAGAAAGGGAAAACAACATAACAAGAGGCAGAACCACGTGAAAAAAAAGCACCGGTAATATCAAATCAAGGGGCATAAATTACACGAAAAATGCAACAAAAATCAAAGCTCAAAACAGAAAGTAATGAAGTTAGAAGGATTCTTTTTGATTTTTTCGGAGAATTTCAAAGAGATTCGCTGTTGAGTCCTTCAACTTCAACTTCCTCATCAACCTCCATCGGCAGGACCTTTTTGCGCATCTGAAAATCAGAAAAATCACTAAATTTCGTCGAAAATTGTTGAATTCAACCGAACAGTCCCAGACGGCCTCGCCATATTCGTTGTATCGAACCGTGCTCGAACGAATATCGCTCCTGAATCGAATATTCTTTAGAATCATTCGAAAATTTCTCAAAATTTTGAAATTTTTTTCAAAAGTCTTCCAATAGTTTGTTCAGCTTCTGAATGTCAAGTCGTCACTCAAGCTCCGCCCCTAATGGCGCGACCGACCAATAGAGCGAGCCGTTCACAGAGCGTTTTCAAATGACGTTATTTCACTTGGCATCCAAAATACAGAGGCTATACATTTCTATTCATTTTCGTAAAAAAAAATTCGAAAGGATTTTTTTTGGGAATCACAAATTCAACGGCTGAAAACGTCCTAGAAACGAAAAAATTTGCAAAAAAGCTGTAAAGAGGGGAAAAGTCACTTTTCATATATTTTCTTGACTCTCTCGTCTTCATTCATACTTTCTATCAACTGCTATGGACAAAAAATTACACTGAAACCTACTAAAGTCTTTTTTCCAGCTCATATCCGTTTGAAGGATGGCTTTGCAAAAATTAATCTATTTTTTTTGACGGAAAACGGCTCAGTAAAAATCTCTAAAATTTGATAGAACTTGAATGAAACAGTCAATGAATTTTTAAACAGATCAGATAAGAAAATGTCGTTTTTTAACAGGAAAGCATCTGCTACAAGAAGGAGCCTCTCAAGTGTTTTGATCTTCAAAATATGGCAACAGCTTTTTTCTCTCAAAATTCTGACTCACAGCGCTTTGACAAGTTTGTCGCGACACTTTCTCCGGCACTGCGTGTAGGCCTGGCACATTTCTTGGATCCCCTCAATTTTGTCCAAGTCGCTGCCGGCGAAGTCGTTCCAAAGACTAAAACAGCATTTCAGTTAAATTCACGAGAATCTGAAAAATGAGCAACCTCGGAAGTTCGGTCTCCACAATCTGGGGATTGGTGGCGGCCTTGCGCAAAATGTTAGGATAGCCCATTATATAGCAACCGGCGTCTTGAAAATTGCACCTTTTTTAAAATGTCTTCAAAAAAAATGTCCGATCCCCAGTGTCTTGAGAAAATATCAATTAAAGGTCTTTACGCGATCAGCAAAATATTGAGCAAAAAGAAGAGGTTCAGGCCTCTTTGCAGTACTTTTGTCTCAAGCTAACGGTGATCGGAGCATATTTCACCCAAAAGGAGTTCTCGAATGATCTTTGGAAGGTCCAACAAAGTTTTGCAGCCAGTTCCAGGCCTTCGAACCGTGAAACGCTTGATTTCTTCGACTGGGATGCAAAGCTGCAGCAAATTAAGAAATTATAAGGCTCCAAAAAAGCTCAAAAATTTGATATCTTCATTTTTTGAAACTTGGCTTTGTTTTTCAACCTTCGCTTGAGGGAATCAGCATCTAAACTTGACTCTTCCAACTCATCGAACAGCCTTTTCCAATGAATTTTCAAATAAAAATTTTCCTTCCTTACCCTCTGCAACATAAATCTGAAAAAGGGCGAAAGAATAGCATCAAGATTGTCGGACCGGATCCAATCTCCAATAGGAAGTTCACCAGACTGAAAATTCCTCAACTTAGTCGAAATAGAAGAAAAGAAAAACCAAAAATGGGTCCATTCCTTCGGGAACTACAAAAATCTCGATGCCGTAAATCTTGAAGCCTCTTTTTGGGGACAATTCGAGGGCGATTATGAGTTTGTGGAGCTCTTGTTCCGTTCTTTTCATGGAGGTCAGAGATAGATCACACTAAAATTTTTTAGAAGAGTAAAAAATGAGAGGCTGTTTTAAAATTGATATTATTTGAGAAAGGAGAGAAAAAATTAGAAAGAATTATAAAAATATTTTCGGTTTTAGCGAAACGCAATTCTTGCAAAAGGGAAACAAAAGTGAATTTTCAAGAACAGGTCCCTTGAAACAATGAGTGAAACAGTAGGCAAAAATGAGAGCTTTTAAAGTAAGCCAAATAATTTTTTTGATCAAATCATTTATTTTGTTGTTTTAGTCTGATGTAATCGACTAGGCGGTGAACAAGAACTTTAAAAGCTATAGCGAACAACCGCCTTTGGCGAACTAGAAGTCCAAACGTGTAGTCGAAAGAGTCGAAAGCTCGGTCTTACGGTCCTTCGCCTCGTCCTTCTGCGCGTAGTCCATCTAGTTGCGCCTTGACGAGCTCAGAATGTAGTGGGTGGTGTAGCTGGAGCCCGGAGACCGTGCTCTAGGTGGAAGCCTCAGAATGAGAGCGACCACTTCGAGTGAAGATTTTACACGGAGTGAAGATATAAAAAACGATACTTTTCACAAAAAAATAGGATATGTCTGATTTTCTTGTTTTTTCACACTATTTCGCTGATATTTTTGAGACCAATTTCTGAAAAAAAGAGCGGGGTTTATACAACGAAAACGATAGGAAATTAGCCGAATTCAAAAAATTCACTTATCCTCCAAATTTTGGTTATAACCATGCACATTCTTTACTCTGATATAAAAAAGCGTCAGGTAAATTTTTCTTAATTGAACTTTTCCCAAGATTTTCGTATGATTTTTCATTCAAACTCGGAAACTAACTATGATTTTCCTCCCAATCCCATAATGATGGTACAGCTCGGCTCGTTCCTCTTGACTTCGCGCCCGTCGGACGTCATCAAAAAACTCCTGTTCACAGGAAAGTACACTGATTCTGTATGATTATGGAGGAAGTTCTGTAAAATTAAAAGAAATCAATTATTTTCTTACAAATTGAACGACCAAATAATCATTGTCATTGAGACGCCCAGCCATCCCATAACATTCATAAATCCTTCCAGCTGTCAGAACATCCGTAGAGCCGGAGGTGAAACATGCAGATAAATATTCTGAACAACATTCAGTCATTCAAAAAATTCCAGAAAATCACCTCCGATAGGACGGTCCAGGTCCACTACAATACTCGGTTCAGAGTTCGGCTCCTTCCCTGGACTTTCTGTTTGAGCTGAAAAAAAGCTTCAAACTTTATAATAAAAAAAATAAACAATCACTTACGTTGTGTTTCATCTCCCATCCTAGAAGGACCTTCCAGGATCTTTTTCAAATTTGTGCGTATAGTCGGTCTTCCGTCTTTAATCATCTTATCCAGATATTCTTCGAAGAAAAATTGTTTTTTGATTTTAAGTTGAAAATCACCATTTCGTAGTTTTTGCTGTCGACGTGATGGTAATTTTGACAACATGAAACTGAAAAAAGTATGGAAACGCGTTAAAAAAATTATTTCCACTCGCGATAATCAAAACTAAAAACACCTTTTTCTATTATAATTTATTAAAAAATGTCCCTTTTCAAAGAAAAACTTCTCGAGCTGAGACTCGAAGTTGGCATCAATTTCACTGAGAACCGCCAGACGTTCTAGAGAAGCAATAAAAAATTTTTTTAGCAAGAAACTGTAAATAGCTATTGTATTGAAAAAAATATTTTTGTAGTCGTTAAAGGGGTTCTAAAGACTAGCTATTATTTTTTTAAAGTTAATTCTAAGAGCTAGGGCCATTTACTCGGGCAAAGTCCGAAAGGCTAGAGAAAGGGTGAAAAAAGGCAGAGGCAGTGAAAAGGGTGGAAAAAAAGGGTGAAGGAAGGGTGGAAAAAAAGGGTGAGGGAATGGTGGAAAAAGGCCGGAAAATGCTGGAAAAAGGCAGAGGCAGTAAAAAAAGGGTGGAAAAAAAGGGTGAAGGAATGGTGGAGAATGCTGGAAAAAGGGAGAGACTGGAAAAAAGGGTGCCGAAGGGTCAATTTTTTTAAAAAAACTCTTTTTAAAAATCCTTTCAAGTTTTTTTGATTTCTTTTTTTCTGTTCGTGAATTATATTTTTCTCGTTCGTTGTTTTAATGTGTTCAATTAGTTTCAAAGACAAGGATATGAGGCATAAATTTTTTTGTGAAAGTTATACGAAAAACATGTTGAAACGTTTGAATGAAATTAAAAAAACTAATTATGAAATTACAAAGAATCATGTAACTTCAGATCTCCTCTCACGATTAAGGATCAGATTCCCGATTACGATTAATGCCAAGATGCGAAAAGGTTTTAGCTGGCCGGGGAATCGCCTTCGGGCGACGGTTTTTCGGTAAGTAAATTATTTGAAAAAAACGTAATCTTGAGCTTCTTTGTTCCGTTAATTAAATTTCGTTATATTTCACGGCATGCTGAAAAAACTCGGATGGTTCGTTTAGTTCGGTCGGACTTTCCAGGCAAGAAAGGTAATTATATTTTTTTTATGCGATTCCTGCTTTTCGAAATTCCTCGTTGAGCGTTCTTCAATAAAACTATATTCTTTTCAGTGCGGAAGAAGCTGATCTGAGAGAAGCACAAGAAAAAGGTGCTGGCGATGTCAACGAAACAACTATTGATGAAGAACCTTCAAATATTGATGTGGTTGGATGAAATATTTATTGATGTGTTCTTTAAGGTGTTTTAACTGTCATATAGGCCATTCCGCGACAGCTTGTCACGTTTTTCTTTTCGCCAAAAAGACCGTATATATCAAATTTCTGCTTTTATAACGGCAAGAAACAACAGTCTTGAAGCGAAGTTGGTAAAATTTGACCTGGCCTTTTGGCGGAAAGAAAAATGTGACGAGCTGGCGCGGATTGGCCTATAGACATTTGTGTCTATTTTTCAAATCTTAACACGCTGTCTCTGTAATTTTCAAAAGTTTTCAAAAAGAGTGAGTACAATAAAAAAAAATTTGATTTTGATGAAACTTCACCCGCTGTGATAGTCTGCCATCAGAAATGCCGACGCAAGTTTTCAGTCCGATTCCTCCTACCGTAGCTAGGTTACGGTAGGCAGGTGCGTCTTTTCGTATTTAGGAAACTATGCGTTCTTTCTAGGAATACCTACCGGTCATCTCGGAAAATCGCTTCGAAGAGGCTCAACTTGGCATCTGTCGGGGAAAATCGCCCGCGGTTAGAGATTTCTACCTCTCTTCTCTCTTCAGATCCGGTGCTAAAGTTTGTTTCATTTGATAGTGCAAGGTTGTACTTCACAGATGATAGTGTTTCCTCCGACTTTCAGCCTACCCTTCTAATAAAAAATTCAGTTTGAAGCCGATTTTGGCCTAAAAACAACGATTCTCAGATTTCAACGATTTTTCCTGAGCTCAGTCCTACGGAGAAGTCGGAGGAAACACTATCATCTGTGAAGTACAACCTTGCTCTATCAAATGAAAAAAACTCTAGCACCGGATCTGAAGAGAAAAGAGAGGTTGAAATCTCTAACCGTAGGCGATTTTCCCCGACAGATGCCAAGTTGAGCCTCTTCGAAGCGATTTTCCGAGATGACCGGTAGGACAGATCTCTTTCAAAGTGGTATCTATTAGTAGGCATTGCTGCGAAGAATGTTTAAAGAAAGTTACCAGCCGTGGTCTTTCTCCTAACACACAGGGTGAGGGAAAAACCGAAATCGCAGACACAAAAATTACCGTAACTCAAAAAATTTCTACAGTAACCCATGCTTGTATGTACTGAAAAAGTTCTTAAAATTGCATTCCCTATAGATTGATATAAAATATTCCTAGAAAGAACGCATAGTTTCCTAAATACGAAAAGACGCACCTGCCTACCGTAACCTAGCTCCGGTAGGAGGAATCGGTCTGAAAACTTGCGTCGGCATTTCTGATGGCAGACTATCACAGCGGGTAAAGTTTCATCAAAATCAAATTTTTTTTTATTGTACTCACTCTTTTTGAAAAACTTTTGAAAATTACAGAGACAGCGTGTTAACTTGTTATTTGTTTTCTTCTGTTTCTTCTGTTTTTATATTCCTGTTGTTGTTAAAGTTTGCTGCTTCTATCAATTCATTTCCGAACGTTGACCGAATAAAATGATATCAGCATGTCTACACTCTCAAAAGAATACTAGAATTTATTCGTTAACGTGAACATGGGCTATAAAAAGGGTGGAGAAAGGCTATGAAGAAAAAATCGTGGAAATGGTGCGTAACGGGTGCATAAAGGCAGAAAAAGGGTGCAGAAAGGCAGCAAAAAGGGAGCCTTCGTCACCCTGAAAGGAACATTTCTATGGAGTCTTCCAGCACCCTTTGAGGACCCTCGGAGGCTCCTCAAAGGGCCCTTCGGACTTTGCCTATGTACAGGCGGTAAACACTCGCGGAAAAAGAAAAAAAAATTTTTTTTCTAATGCCGTGTTCAAAGTAATTTCCGCGAAATGCGAAATGGTCTCTGACCCTCCAAAATTCAGTTATCTTTCTCTTTCTCTGACGGCTATTTTGAATTTCGCGGAATCACTTTGAACACGGCATTATGCGAAAATGGAAAAAGTCGAAATTACCGGCCGCGTCGCGAGCACGCTGCGCGGCTAGAGAACAGCCAGTAGTGATGAACAGACGGAGAAGCGTGACAGTTAAAGAAAAACGAAATGGAATATTTTGATTTCGTTCAACCGGTTGGTTAACCTTTTTCCATATTTTCAGCTCATTTCGTGTCACTAATTTTTCTGATTAATCTAGAGATAGTACTTCACTAAAAATCGCATTCTTTTTTATCAAGTATGATTTTTAAAAATTCTCTCTTTTTTTTAAATCACTAATTCACTTTCCTTCTCTTCTCCAATCACTAAAAATTTATTGCTATAATTAAACAATACTAGTAAATTCGCACAACCGACGATCGATTAAGAGACGGGACGAAAATCACAATTCGACAGGAAAACGGAGAAATACTTTGGATAATAATTTCATATAAGCGAGGATAATTGTAGTCAAAAAAGGAAATGTTGCTATGATTGACTGAATTTCGCATTATACATATTTAAGTTTGGAATGTGTTTCTGCAAAATAACGGGGGTGAAAAACGGCAAATTTTGATGTTATAAGTGATTTATGGTAATATAGGAATGGGAAAAATGAGAAGAAGAAGTCGGATTTAGTTGGTGAACTCTCCGTGGAGCTTCTTCTGGAGGATCAAGTTGTGGTGGAGCTCTGGCTTGATGTCGCACACGAGCTGAAGAAGACGCACGATCACCTGAAAAAAGTTTGATAAATAGAGATCCAAAATGAGATTCTGGTCGCGGTAAACAGCTTGGTTTTGGAACTGTTTCTTTTTTCTTTTTCTTTTTTTTTTGAATATTAAGAGATAACGCCCAAGTCTTGGAGAAAAAAACTCAAATTCGACATTTGGCAAGGTGAATCGTTAATTATACAGTGACTTTGAACTCGAAACTTTTAATTTTTTTTATTTTCAAGCTTCAAAAAGGTACAGATAACTCAAATCTGTTCAAAACTAGCTAAAATAGTTTACCTCCAGAAAACGCCACATTTTTTTTTACCAATGAGCTCTGAGATCCAAATTTCAAATATGAGAAGGCTAAGAAAACTTCTTTTTCTTAGTCTTTTCTCAACATTTTATTCTAAACTCCCAACCTGTTGCTTGTTGGCGGAGACGCTCTGCTTCATGGCGCTGATCTGGTCTTCGGTGTCCTTGCGGATTTTCGCCTCGATGTCTTCCTTGGTGCCCAGGTACTGCTGTTCAAACGATTTGAACTCCTGCTCGCGTTGCTGGAAAAAAAAAGAAGGTTTTCTAGGTTCCTCTGGCATTTCCTTTCACCTGACGGTACTTCTCGACCTCGGCCTGGGCCTCCTGCTTGGCCTGCTTCATGCGCTGCAGCTTGCGCTTGCGGGCCTCGTTGATCTTCTCGGCGGCGCGTTTCTCCGCAGCGAGCAGTTGCTGGATTCCTTGCGTTTGCGAGGCCATGTCGTTCCCACTGAAAGAATTGAAGATTCAACTGGAATTTCGATTCAGTACTCGAATAGAAACGATAGCGAAAATTCGATGGATGATACGATAAAGTTGATGTTGAAGCGAAAAGAAAGAATTTTTGAGCTTCAAAAATTCTTCGCCAAGTTTTTGAAGAAGCATAGGAGTTTCACAAAAAAAAAGAGACTACGACCTAATTTAGAAATATTTTTAATTTCTTAAAAAGATCTTGACAGAATGTACTAAAAAAAACATCTGGAGAACTTCAAAAATTAATTAAAAACAAAGAAAAGGAAAGAATGATAAATAATATAAGATTTATGTTGAATGAAAGCTTTTTCTGGAAGAGAGATTGACAGAAAACGACAAAAAAACTTCTCATTTAGAAAAAAACGAAGGTAAAAAAACTATTTTTTTAAAGAAAAAAACTCAATTTTTTTCTTAATTTACTGGATAACTGAAAAAAAGTTGGAAAGTTTAATATGAGCAATAAGGCAACGAAAAATCGACAACAAAAAAATCAAGTAAAAAGAGGTTACAAAAACCTCATAAAACATGAAAAACGGCAGACAAAAATAAAAATAATCAATAATTTATTGATATTCACACGAAACCACGTCAGTAAAATTTCGATTGGAGCAATAATTCTTTTTTGAAAACAACCAGGACTACCCGTAGACTGTACAAATAAAGGTTTTGGAAACGATTCAATTTATAGAGAAACCCATGGGAATTTTGTGGCACGGGGACTTTAGACAGAGTAATACCTGTAGTTTAATATCGCAGATGAATGAAAAAACAAGAAAAGAAGCAACAAATTATGACCAAATAAATGAAAAAGTGCAAAAAAAAAAAAGAATCTAAACGGCTTTGACGACCGAGAGCAAGTTGGGTACCTGAAAAATGGAATTTTTGATTTTTGATGAATAAATCAAGGAAAGTCTGAGCTTAACCTTAAACTTATGAACAGCGGCGGGATCTTCTCCTTCAAAAAGGGCTTCAATTTGGAGTTGGGCGCCTCCGACGTCGTAAACTGACGCTTGGGCCATTCTGAAAGTTTGAAAAGTCAAACAATATTTTCGAAATGTTGACAAAAAAAAAATTTATGAAAAGAAAATCGTTTGAAAAAAATTCTTCCAAAAAAATATTATGCCTGTTTCAGATTTAAAAAAAACTTATAAAATATTGAAGAAAAGCGTGAAAAAAACGATAAGACTGAGGAAATTTACCGCAGAAATGATTCCAAGAACATTTTTTTAAGATCCTAAAATCAGAATTGAGAACATGAAGTTTAAAGAAGTACACTTCAGGCAGGTAATCAAAATTTTACCCAAATAAAGTTCCCTTGTGACCTCGATTTCATTGAAAAAAAGAGTTACAGCTAGAAATGAGTAGTTTTTATGTTTCCAAACTGAAGATTCAACTCGATTTCGTACTCTATCCTTTTCATCAAATTATATCGCGATCCTGACCTGACTTTGAGCCGGAAGGACTTTTCCTCGTGTCCGCGGAGGGTCAATTTCCTCTCGGGCCTATCAATCCAAAGTTGCTGCCGAGTCTCCGGCGGCAGAAGATGGACGCCGGAGATCGGTTCGCGGACTTTCGAGACGAATTTCACGTTGATCTTGGCGTCGCGGCCTTTCGCGTCGACGTTCTTGATCTTGACTTGCATCGGAACTTCGCACATTCGCTGCGACTTGAAGTCGTGCGACACGAGTTTCTCCACGTCGCAACTGATCAGGATGTTCGCCTCCTTTTTGCTTTCTAAAAGGAAAAATGATGAAACAGCGCTGCTCACGAAGAAAGATAAATTCAGTGTAAATTTGGAACTTTTTGAATCAGAAAACTTTTTTTCAAAAAAAAAAAATTTAGAAGAAGTTTTCAAGCTCCGCCCTGCGCCTTTAAGTAGGCTTTTTTTAAATGTCTAGCAATAATGAAAACGACTGCCTTTTTGAAACTTCAACTTAGAATTCAACAATTCAAATCCATAAAAGTTACTTTTTTTCTTTAAAAAAATACATTTTTTTAAAAAAATAATTCAACACACGAAATATTCGAAATTTTTAAGTTTTTGGTAACCATTCTGATCCTGTTATCATTGAACAATAGAACTTCAGGTTTTTAAATGATTATATGATACTTACTTAAATAATTTTTCTGCACTTATTCCATTCTATTCTCAAGATTCCCACTACGTCAACCTATCAAATAAATAATTCCCCCTCACCTTCTTCGCCGGGATGTACCGAATCGGCCTTTTCGAACGGATCATCCACGAAACTTTCGCCCAGCAGAGACGACACCTAAAATGCTTCATTTATTTCCGATTTGACTGTTTCAAAACGGACATGTCCTTCGTTATCGACAACGCTGGCCTTCCAAAAGACGCCGATTTGCCTTTTGCAGGCCGTTTCATCGTTTTGCGCTGGTATGGGACAGGGCCAGGCGGGAAAATCGACGTTTTTCGAGAGCCAGAGTTCATTTTGAGCTTCATCCTCGGCAGAAGTCATCGACAAGCAGATCACGTCACTTTGTTCGCTTTCGATTTCGACTGAAATGGTGAAGTATGATAAATATCATCAGTCTTCTTCTTTCTTCAAAAAATAAAATATTTTTTTGATATTTATCCAAATAATTACTCTTTTACGATGCCCCTTCAGATTCAATATAACTTTTCTTTCACAGAAATCCCAAATTTGGTTTTTTTTTTTTCTGAAATCACCTTTTCTTGAGGTCATCATGGCCAATTTAACAGCATTCCTACTGGTCGCGGGATCACTAGAGGCGGCCCTGATTCTCAAAATCTCGACCCTCGAAAGTGCCGCCTCGTTGGTGGCGACGCAGTTGCGGAAGCTCAGGGAGAACAATCCTTTGCTTTCATCTGAAAATCGAGAATAGTTATGTTAACTATTAGTTGAAATCATTCGCGTCTTGAAAAGCTTTGTCTGCGCCCTCCTTTCTTTCAGTGACCCTCTCATATTGTCGTGCTATTTTCATGTTTCTCTGACCTCACCGGTGAGGGAACAGAGAGACGCAGACACGAGAAAACTATCAAGGAGGCCGGACTTAGCACAAAATTTGCGGCTTTACCTAATAAGGTAGATCTGACGTTGAGGAGCCGTTTCCGTCGGACGTCGACAACGCGACGCCATTCCCGCATCGATCCGAACTCTCCGCGGTAGGCGACGAGCATCGCCGTCGGCCCTCGTCGTGTTTCCGCGCTGTCGAAAGCTGTTGAACTCGTTTCTGTGGCTGCCATCCTCACGTCGATGAACATCCTAAGAAAGAAACATTTTTTCATGTTAACTGAGAGTTTATTGCACGGTTTTCAGGTCTTTCCAGATTTTTTCTAAATGAAACCGATTTTGTTTAACCTTCTTTTTCTTCTAGAAAAATAAGTTAATAGTAAAATATATTTTTATTAACAGATCTTCTGCTTGAGCAAAAACCTACTTCTAGCTTTTTTTTTTTCAAATATTTTCCTTGAAAACCAACCTTTTCTTCTCCCCCACGCGAATCAACGGGACGCCTTCAGGACTCGTGAAGTTGAAAACGACGATGCTTGAAGAATTGGCGGCGAAGGACCGGGAGATCGGAATTCTGAAAGTTTCTTCCTTCCATTTTTCAAATCTCATGATTTTTCCGGATACATTAACGAGCCTCGAATCTTCTTCCCAAAGAGTTTTGGAATTATTTGAGAAATTCAGGAAAGCTTTTGTGGTTCCATTGAATATCATTATTCCGTTTGCTATATTTTAATGCACACCTCGTGGAATTCTCATCCATCCAGCCAGCCGAAACGCAATCGAATCCATTCGTGGCGACAGTCATGGCGGAAACTGTTTCGGCGCCGATGTTCTCCATCTCGAAGACATATCGGACGGCCTGGTCGCAGTAGGCGAAGGACGGAGCTCCTTTCAAGGTTCGGATGTCGAGCAGAGGCCAGCTTCTCGTGGAGACCGTCGCGTGGAGCCGTTCATCCGCCGCGTAGACCACCGATTTTTGCTTAAAATCAAACTCTGGGCTTTCGGTTTACTGCACACTTTCAAACTCGCTCTTTCGAAGTCAAAATTAGTCTTTCCCTATACCGAACCTTCTATAAAAGTTTTTCATACAGGGTTATAAGATTTTTTCGAATTATCGTGCCATATTAGGCTATTTACCATTTTTGGGTAAACGTCAAGAACTTTCTCTGGTAAAAAAAGAGCTCTTAAGTTGGTGAACTAAAAAAACTTCCATATCGAAGTCGGCCCTGAGGATAAAAATTAATTTTTTTTTTCCTCGACCTGAGCAAGTTTCAACGCTTTTGAGAATAGTAAGAGCTTTTCTGGTCTCAAATTTCCAAGCGCAATTTATATTGAACTAATCTTTTTAGAATTATCCCTTCTTTTAATTATAACTGATTATATTCATTTCGTAAACCACTTAAAACCCCTAAATTTCATTTCCTTAAATATGATACCTGTTTCGGCGTTTTGTTGAGGCGTTTTCCCTTGATCTCCACGGGAACTTTGATATGGATGCCCAGGTTTTCATCGATTTCCAACCGACCAAGGATTCCATCGACTTTGAACTTCGTACAGCCTTCCAACGGTCTGACAACCAATTCCAGGGTTACTTTTTCCAGTGGTTCGATTTGAACAAGTTCGACGTGTTCCGCCTGGAGGCATTGGTCGACGGGAACGTCTGGAAAAAACTAGATTGGAAAATTAAGAGAAAACCTATTTTAAGAGTTTGCCTAGACTCTACATGATAACTTGATCTCAAGCTTTTTACCCTCTATTTTCTTGTTGTAAAAAGTTCAGATTCGTGTTCAACCAATGATTATTTGATTTAAAATCTTCCTTCAACAATAAAGTCCAATTTCTCGATTTTCAGGCTCAAGCAAGCTCAAAATCGAGTTTGAGATTTGTAAGTTTGATAGGCGCATTTATTAACTTTCCGCGAAAATCTAGTGGTCACTTAAGTGGTTTCTCATGAACTACTTATGAAGTCATTAAAACGCTTATTTTATCACTATAGCGGCCACTAAAACGTCAAACCCTAAAGTGACCACTAGAATTTTCCCAGTTTCTTTATTTCAAGCAAATGATCTCACCTTTGGCATGAACATCAGCAACAGATAATCGGACATTTCTCAGGGTCAATCTGACTGAGAGGGGATTCCGCAGTTCGAATCGAACCCGGAATCTCTCGCCGATCGGCGTCTCCCGAATCTTCTGATTGTCCGTGTAGGCGTTGCTCACGAGCTGCATGCCTCGGAAAGGCGCGGAGGAGCCTGAAATTTAAACTTCCACTCTCCGTTTTATTTTTCGATATTTAATAACTAGTCCGATAGGAAGTCTCTTTTTCTTGAACTATATTTTCTCGAAAAAGAACGATAATGTCGATAAAAAGCCCACCATAAAGAGCGTGATGGGCGGCTCTTTCGATGGAAATCCATTCGTCGTGACCGACTTCGCCTTCTTCTTTCGCGGTGTCGTCCCACAGAGGCCGTTCTCCACAAATCACACTGATATTCTTCGATTCCACTGTGGGGAGATCCAAACGAGCGGATTCGTTCTAAAACAAATATTTTTTCGTTCCTTCCGCAGAATTCATGATAATCTGAAATCCCCTTCTAAACATTCCAACATTCACCTCGGCAGTGAAGTTGGTGAGGATCTGGACGAGAAGAGCGAGTCGCTGGTGTTGTTGCTGCTCGCCGAGCTGGGGACAGACGCGGACGAGTCTTCTGACGCACTCGAAGGCCATCGGCGCCTTGAGTTTCCCGTTGGTCTTCGAGCCCTCCGTCAGAAGTTTCACGCTCAGATGCTCTTCGATGACCCCCCAGTGATCTTCGCCGAGTGTCGGAAAGGCCAGTCGATAGGAATCTGGAAAATTAACTTCAACCAAGGATAATTGATAGAAAACTGATAAGAGACTTTTTTTTGTTTTTCAAAGGCTAATGGTAAGAATCTATAATAAAAATAACAGCTAAAACAGGGATAAGATACCAATAAAAAAATATTCGAGTTAAATTAATATTATCGGCTTCTTGAATACTTTCTCAAAGGCCGGGCAATAGAAATTTACGATCAACCGAAAATTAAGCGACAGTATTATTTTTCCTTTTTTTTTGGAAAAAAGTCTCAAAAAGGATACTCAAAATAGTTTTTAGTTTTTTTTTATTCAAGGAAAGGAATGCTGCAGAAAAGGAAAAAAGAAGTGAAAATGGTCTGAAAGAGCTCGGAAATGGCGACAAAAGATAAAAAATGGTCCATAAGAGCTCAAAAATAGTGCAAAAAAAAGCTGCAAAAAAGTTGTCCTACTCCAAAATAGCCTAATCCTTCATTTCGGTGAACTTTTTCTTCTTTTTCGAAGTTCAGATTTTCTACGAACCAAAAGCCAACGGTGGAATCGCCGCGTTCGCAAATCGATTACCGGCAAGAACTCGGTAAAACGCGGCTTTTCTCTTCATTCCACTGTTCTCGAACTTTTGGGCGGCTTCAGATTGGGCGATCGCCACGAGTTGATCTCCATCCTTGAATTGGAAAAAATTGGTGATACTTATCAGAGATAAGGGAGTTTTCCATTTCCATCATAAAACTTATTTTCTCATTTTTGTAACTTCACGTATGTCCTAATAAGAGTCACACAGTATGATTAAAACACGAAAAACATTAAAAATACAAAGATATATTAATAATTGTCAATATTTAATTTTGTCTCAGAAAAAAGTTTTCATCGATCAAAACTTACAAGGGCTGACAGCTTTGACAACATCATGGCGGCCTCTTTTTTCAATCCCAGTTTTGAAAGGACCCGAGAAGCGTTGAAGGCGCATCGGATGACGCTCGAATATTTTCTGAAGATTTCAAAACATTTTTCCTTTTTATTTTTCAAAACGTACCCTCCATTACTGAGCAGAAATTGAAGAGCATTTTCGAAATAATGGACAGGAAAGGCCTTGGCCGTCAGGTGGGACTGTGAGAAGTTGAGTGCGACAGCGCACATTTCCTACAAAATAGCAAAATGAACTTCGTAGAAATTCAATAATACAAAGCCATAAAACTTGCAGAATTTAATGGGAGCAGGATATAATATTTTTATTTGACGTCATAAGTCGACCAGAAACGGAAAAGTTATACCGTGTCCGAAATGATCACAAAATAAACTTCAAAACAGTCGTCAGAAAACGATAAAAGATAACTACATTTTAGAGAGTCAGAGAAAATTTCCAAAAAGACCATTTCTAGTACTTATGAATTTTTCTTATAATCGTTACTCTAGTTCTCAAAAAATGTCCTCCTTTCTATCAATATTTCTATACAAGCAACACTTTTCTGTATTACATAAAACTCATAATTCTTTTTTTTTATACAGTACCGCTCAAAAAGTCTATTAAGTTTTGGTTTTTTTGGGGATAAATTTTTTTGAAATGCGATATCGATTCAAATTTTTCATAGTTTTTCTGAGAGAGACATACGTGTTCTGGCAAAAATTTCAAGTTGCTAGCTCAAAGAATAATAATTTTTTTCGAGAAAAAAACGAATTTTCGAAAAAAAATCGAATTTTTTTGCTATTTTTCAATTAAAAAAATCATAGCTCAACAAAAAAAATTTTTTTATCAACACAAAACATTGTTAAAAACAATATTCGGGACCTAGTACTTGGTTGCGAAGCCCCTGGCGTCAATCACTGCCTGGCATCTTCTCTGCATAGAATTGAGCAAAGTGTCGATGGTAGACATGGGGATCTGATTCCATTCAGACAGCAGTTGAGCAAACTTCTCGTTGCAATTCTTGGCTCTTTTGTTGGCACAACGTCGCTCCAACTCTTCCCAGAGATGTTCGATCGGGTTCAGGTCCGGAGATTGACTTGGCCACCCCATGACATTGACCCGACGGCTCTTGAACCAGTCCTGAGTTTCAAAAACCATACGAATTACTTGTCAATTTTTCTCACCTTGACGAACAGTGAAGTGTGCTTGGGATCGTTATCCTGTTGATAAACACTCCCACGGCCCATGGCTCTCAAGTGCGGCAACATCTGGTTCTGGAGAATGTCTTTGTAGACGTGCTTGTCCATGATGCCGTTCACGCGATGAAGCGGTCCGATGCCACTTCCAGAGAAGGCGCCCCACACCATGCAAGAACCTCCACCATGTTTCACGGTGGGTAATTGGTATTTCGGATGATATCTGGACCCAATTGGTCTACGAACCCACTGAATTCCGTCACTCCCGAAGAGGAGGAACTTGCTTTCGTCGGACCACAGAATCTTGTTCCAGTCTTGACGGGTCCAGTTGAGATGCTCCTTCGCCCACTTCACCCTGGCGGCTCGATTCTTCTCAGAAATCAGCGGTTTCTTCACTGGACGTCTTCCCATGATTCCAGCAGCATTCAGACGTCGTTTCACGGTCGAGACGGATGGCGGAGATGGCGAATTCAAGAAAACTTCCCGTCTGATCGCAGGAGCGGTGAGTCTTGGATTGGTTCTAGACGTCTTCAAAATGTTCCTATCGTCATTACGATCAGTGACACGTGGTCTTCCAGTGCGTTGGCTGTTAGTAGAGCCATCTTGAGCTTTCTGACGCTTTAGGAACTGAGAAATGCCCGCCTTTGTCACGCCGAACATTCCTGCCAACGTCATCATGGTCAGTCCATTTTTGACGACCCACAACGATGGCTCTTTTGTCGTTATCAGTCAAATTCTTATTTCCAAAGGTTCTTCCCATGTCTGAAAAACATGAAAAAAATCATATGGCAGCATTATTAATTTTAAAAAAATTTAATAAAAAAATAAATAAAAAAATAAAAAGCATAAAAAAACAAAAAAATGGAATTCAATAAAAAAATGCCTAAAACGCGTCACAGTCATTGCGGACATGTTTTTTTGTATACCGTATATGTTTCAAAGTATATTTTTACATTATCCCTGAAAGTTATATATAAATCGGATAAGTACTCGCTGAGATATCCCCCAAAAAAACCAAAACTTAATAGACTTTTTGAGCGGTACTGTATAACGGCAATGTTCCTGGCGTTCTCCGAAAATTACTTGTAACTTCTCATTTCCGAGATTTTTTCATTCTTACCGAGGCCAAAGCGTGATGAATCATGGCCTGATCCGACTCGAAATCCTTCTTAACACTCCGGTACTGTTGATAGGCCAAAGAATAGATCCCGAAAACGAAGGCCAAGTCGGCGAGACGTCGCACTTGCATCTCCGTGCAGTCCCAGGAGTAGCTGGAAAACTCTATTCATTAAAAAATGAAGATGATTTTACTGTTTTTTGGAGAATAAAAGAACCGAAAACTTTCTATTTTTTTCATTGAGCGGCATGACCATGGAGCTTCTTCTTGAAAAAATAATTAAATTTTGAATTAACATTCTCATGAAGAAGAAAAAAAAGAGAAACAAAGGTCACTTTGTGAAGTTTCTCTCACTTTTTTTCATTTTTTTCATAAAATTTACTTTCCAAAAAGACTTTCTCTCATTAAAATTCAAAAAAATAAAAAAATCTAAAAAAATTATAAAAAAATTTAATATCACAACTGTTAGAAATTCAATTTATTTATGCTCGTTTGAAACTGAGAAACAATCTAGTGACTTTTTCTTCCAAACATTTTTTTCTGTTTTTTTCTTTTTTTGGGAATAATTTCGATGAATATTCGATCTATTTCAATTTCCCTTTTTTTGTTTTTATTTTTATTTTTTGAAGGTACCTAACTAATTAATTATTTATCTATACTTTTTCACTTCAACTAAACTTTATTTTAACTATATCTATTAAATAACTACACTTTCTTTAACTACATCTTTTTAAAATCCTTATTCATTTTTTTTTTTTTGCATAGTCAAGCACCTTGAAGGAGAAGAAACGGTAGATTGAACAGTTCCCGCGGTGAACCACTTTTTCATGTTGCTGGTTATTGATTTTCCGATGATTCCCCTTCTCGTCCCGATTTGTTCCAGCAAATGCCGCATTTCTCGCTCCACATAAGGGACCTCCAACTTTCGAATTATCGAATTTCCAAGGAAAAAGTTGGAACCAAGGCTTCGGAGACGAATTTCTTCAGGACCGATGTACACTCTGTGGCGTCAGCCTCCGAAAAAGTCCGATTTGGAAATTGGAATAAAGGGAAATTCGATTCTGCAACATTTTTTTTTCATGCTTCTTATCAATAATCCCGATTCTGAACATAAAATCAGTTTTTTACTTGAAGCCATAATTTTCTACAGTTATAATAATTCAGATTATTCTCGAGGACAACATCGAAATTCTGTTTTTCAAGGGCCTTAGAGCCAAAATTTTTATAAACTATACTAATCTTCAATTATCTCATAAAAACCAAGAAATCAAGACTTTCTGATAATCTGTTTAGGAACCATTTTTGATCATTTTTTAAAGAGAGCACCTTAAATGATTATGATATCGGCTCTTCGCCTCGATACCCTTATGAAACTCATCCATGCTCCTTTAAAAACCCCAGGACAAATTTCTTCAAAAAAATGACATTTGCCCTACCGTTTTTCTAAAAATTCACAGAAAAACCGGAAAATTTTCTTACCAACCTGATCTCGAAACTTTCGGCGAAGAACTGAGGTCAGGATTTGGCGAAACTCGCGGAAATGTTGAAGATATTGTTGAAACTGATGAAGAGGAAGAGTTCTTAAAATGTTCTTATACTTCAATTCTTATTAAAATTTGAAAGAGAAACATTTTTAAGTCTAAAAATCCAAAAAATCCAATATCTTCGAAGGTAATCTCTCTAAAAACATTTTTCCTCCTATTTTTCTCACCGGTGCAAGTGTAGTGGAAGTGGCGGCGATAGAAGAAGCCGCATGATTTCTGGCGTCTTCCAAGCCTCTCGTCAAGAACATGTTGAGCTCATCAAACGTGTTCCAACTTTTCTTTATCGATTTCTCGACTTCTGGAACATGGAATTGATATTATTCCTTATAAATTTTCATGTAAACTTTCAAGCTTTGAAATGAATAAAACAAACCAGAATTGTTTGCCGACAGCCTCAAGACTTGACAACACTCCTTGCCGTAGGTAGAGCACATTTGTTCGTAAAAGTGAGAAGTTCTGAAGTATTGAATGAGAAAAACCATCATTTTTCTTCTTTAAAACCTCGAGGCGTCATCGACCAGCTCATCTTGGAGCAGAATATAATGTTTCAACGATTTCGGATGAGAAGAGACCCATTTTGGCATGGAACAGTACGGCGGGATGACATTTGTTGACCCAGGATGCTAAAAAAACATTTCTGAGACTCTTTTTAAAACCACAGAACTTATTGAATAAACTATCCTGGATCCCATCGCGAAAAACCAATATTTTATCAAGCTTTCTCACAATTTCCCATAATCTGTGCTCAGGATCCTTTTTTCCAAACACTCCCAGACAAAAATCGATTTTTTCGGGAATGATAAGGTCTCTGAAGGTCTTATCGTTGTTCTTCATGAAAGTGGCAAGCTCGGCGCAGTAGATTTTACTTAATTCTGAGAATTATGACCCAGAGTTATGATCTTTTGAAAGTTTAACTTTGGGGCTACTGACTCGAGTGTTACTAGGGAATTAATCGTGAAAAACGGGAGAAAACTGAAATTTTTGAAGACACCAGGATATTTGTAAATTTAAGAACATTGAAGGATGGCTTCTCATCTTCTGATTCTAAGTCCAATTTCTTATTTTTCACCCTATTTTCCGATTTTTTCAACTCATCGAACTTTTTTTCTAGCTCCAGTATCTTATGTTTCTGGAATATTCCGTCTTTTCGAGACGTTCTTTTCAAAAAGAAAGTCCAACACGAACATGCAAAGTCTGCTGAGTCTGGATGAGCTTGCTGAGTTCTCCGAGAGGATTTTCATCGCTGACAGAGACGACGAAAATCGAGGCCAAATAAATCGCCAGAGCTTCTTGATCTGCTGGCTCCGCCCATCGGCTCAACACATTTTCGAACTTTTCCAAGGCGTCCTCTACGTTGTCGGCGTTTTGTAGAGCCTCAAAATAATCGAAGATCAAGAGGTTTATTATGGAGGAATATCAAGACCAAAAATATACTACTCGCCAAAAATAAAACATTTCATTTTTCATATATCTTCGATTATATGGAATATATTCTATTTTAAGAGTTATATCCTAATTTGAAGTAGTGTAAGATTCAAAATCTGCTCTTACCTAATCGATTTCGTTGATTACAATATGTTCTAGCTTGAGAAACGGAACTTCAAAAAATAGTCGAGATACCTAATTTTTCCTTCTTTGTCATCAAATAGACTAGGCTTCAAAACTTGGTCTTACCTGGTGCAAAACGTGTGGCAGGACCGAAAGAGACAGCAAATGCCCATCTTTGGTGATATCTCGAATGTCGAGCCGCACATTCGAGTTGATCGTCTGACCCGAGGTGGGTTCCTTAAGAAACACATCAATAAATTTATGAGCAGAATTTCGCAATTTTTTTAGTAAGAGAATAGTTGATCGGAAAAAGTTTTTCTCAAATTAGAATCGAAAAAAAGAATTTCTGAAGAATTTTATAACGAGAAAAAGAAAATCAATTATCAAATTTCAGTGGATCATTACTTGCTGAAAATGGCTGTGAATTTTTTTAAAAGATAAAATGAAAGAATAACATTTAAATATTAAAAGTTACAGAATCACGTTTTGATCAAATCTTCGAATTGACGAAAAAAATAGCCTTGGATACAAAATGGTGAAAAAGGATAAAAAAACTGAAAATAAAATCGACTTGAAATTTGCGAAAACGAGGAAAGAGAGAAGTTGGAATTATTCCGATAACATTTGAAAAAAAATCTGATATTTTTTTGTTTTGTGAAACTTTTTGATAAATGAAGTTGAAATGAAAAGGTTTACAGAGAAGCCGGAAAACTTCGAAATGTTCAAAAAGTTCTAGAATGAGAAAAAAGAAGATCAGCGATAGAGTGTGCAAAGAGAGGAGATTCAGCTACCTCGTTTCTGTCCGAAGTTAACGATAAAGGAAAGATAGATTTGCTTAGAAAGAATACTCATCGAAAAAGATTTCACTAGTCGCATCAGAAAATTAAACCGAAACTGCAAAAAAAAAAAAGAGAAAAGGAATTTTTCTACATCAAAACTGTAATACTTATCAATCCAAGCCAACAATGAATGAAATATAGCAGGTCTTTGAAAATAAAAAGATGATTTGACTGTTCTTCTAGTCGTATCGTGGCAGGGAGAAAAGTGTCAAGTAAGAAAATAAGACCTAACTGGAAAATAAAAAGCAACAAAGAAACCAAAAAAAAAAGACTTTTCTAAAAATCGAAACGGTAGTCTCTATTCAAACTGAACGTGAATGGATTATCAGTTCGAACTGAAAAAAGTCTTCTTTTGGGCTTCATAAATTGTTTTCTATTTTATTTTCATGGAGGACGGGAAATAAAACGCAGTATTTGGAAAAAGTTTGTATATCTCTGTTTGTTTCAAGTTAATCGTGACCGAAGTATATTTGAGTGAGAAAAAACAATCTATTTAGTTGAATCAAAAGAGAATATCAAACCGAAAAAAAGGAAAAACGCAAAAAAAAAAAGAAGGCGCACCCTAATGGAGACGTCGTGAGTGGCGAAGGGCGCCAGAAGGTGTGACAGGGACTGGAATCCGCGCTGCTGAAGTCGTGAATTGGCCGACGACGACGCCAAAACGGCCACCAAGGGACTTTGAGCCATTCGGGACGCGGCCGACCGGCGGCGTGGCGCGGCTGCAGAAACCAACAATCAGTCGGCATGCGACGACGGTTGAAAATCGAAAACCAAAAGTTCGCTGGCGCGCGTTTTCCCCTGCGTCATGTGCCGAGAATGGAGCAACTTTCTGTCACGGCGGCTTTTCGCGACACGTTTAAAGGCACATCACAAAACAACTACCGGGAACAGAGCTTTTTGCACTTTTACTCTACGCTGTTCTTTTCGCGAAATTCCAAATCATCTTTGACTCTCCAAATTTAGTTATATTGTTCACTCTCTGATAGCTTTTTTGTCTTTTTCCGGAATAACTTTGGACACGGGCTACAAACTTGCCAAAAATGACAAAAACAAAGGTCTCGAAGCAAAGTTTGGTCACACTTTGTATAGTGTCTTCAGTAGAAGAAAAAAAAAAAATTAAAACAGACTATACATAATTTGTTTCAACTTACTAATTAGAAACGCTTCCTGGCCCCTAAATAATCTAGTTTTTGTTTTAAAGCAAGTTTCATTTTTCCGATAGAAACGCCATCAAGCTTCTGTGTAAACGGTCTGTTTTATGAATTTTTGTATTTCAGAAAACATTGTTGGGTTTCTTGAGGCCAGAAATTTGACCAATTTCTGACTTTCAGAAATCGTGCCTAGACACTGAAAAATAAATATAACAGAAAGAAAAACTATGTTCGATGGCCAAGAAATCAAAAATCAGTAACTATTTCAAAGTTCTGAAACAATATTTTTTTCTCAAATAAATGAGATTAACTAAGTGGAACGAAATTTATTTAGAAACTAATTTTTAGAATTTTTCCCTTCCCGCAGTCAATCGAAATAACTTTAATCAAGTTGTTCAGGAAAAAATAACTTTTTTTTCACGCGGTAACTAGTTCATCTCTTTCGAGTACACATCACTTGAGATAGGAGAATTGTTTCTCTGAAAACATAATTAAAAAGAAAAAATCTCTTTTAAAAATTTGAATTTATTATGTGATATAACATCGGTCCAATATGTCGGGAAGATAAGAAATTCCATTAGAATTCAACACGAGCTCATCTAAAAAAATCACAGACAACTATCCAAAAGATACATAAAGATTACATAGAGATTTGCGTATGGTGAAGCTCTGATAATGGCGCATTCAATGGGACGAAACGGTCCAAAACAGTGGAAAAGTACTTTCGGAGTAACGAAATGAAGACAATATTCAACTTTTCTACAGAACGCGCCATAACGTCCAAAAACAACCAAGGAAAGAACAAGACAGTGAATATTTACACAGAATACCGATTCAAACTTTGCAGTCAGTCAAACCTTGAATATAATGATTATGATCTGGTGGTGGTAATGCCGTGTTCAAAGTAATTTCCGCGAAATGCGAAATTGTCTCTGACCCTCCAAAATTTAGTTATCTTTCTCTTTCTCGGACGGCTATTTTGAATTTCGCGGAATCACTTTGAACACGGCATAAGAAAAAAGTACGCGTAATACGATGAAAACTAACAGAAATCATTTGGTGTCTACACGGAATACACAGAAATCGGTTCGATTTGTCTACTGGGAGGCGGTTGCTCTTTACAGTTTCCGCATCTTCGAACGAACATTTCATTCTGGGCGGCAGTCATCTTTATTGGACGTAAGATGAACGTCGGCATGCCTGAAACACGCAATTATTCTCATGGTAGTAACAAAAAAAGGTGAATCGATAGAAACAACAACAAAAAACCGTATTAAGAAAAAACCTTCGACTTGAATGAGACCCATGGCAGCTGGCTGAGCATTCGGACCTTTCGTAGCATAAGTGTAGCCTTCCTCGTCAACTTCTCGCCATACGATTTGACAAATGCTGGAAAATGAAACTTAAGTATGAACTTCAATAAATCCAACAACGCAATCGCTTTATTGGAGCTCTTTTTTCTCACAGTTCAGTCAAAAATCTTTTAAGGTTTATTCAAGGGCGAACAGGTGCTCAACGACGAAAAGAAAACACGAAAAACGACTCTTCGTATTTTTTTGAAATGCTCATGCTACATACTTTTTTTGAAATAAGTTCATGCTACTTTAAACGCTCCATCACTATTTTTTGAACATTTTGTTGATGCTCAAAAAAAACATACTGGAAAAATAATCAAAAACCCTGAAGTTGGGAGCTAGCAGACCTAGAACCCCAAAAAAATTTAAAAACTAAAAAAATTGTAGCCATCTTTTTCCTAAAGCTTTTTAAAAATGAAAGTAAAAAAATGTAGTTTTTATTTTAGAATGCTTTGCAATGTTTCCTTTTGTAACTCCGAAATGTTCAAAAAAGGTCTACTTTTATTAAATTTGATGTATTTCACAAGAATGAAAAGCATTAGCATTCATTTTGCTTTCTTTTTAATAATCCTTTACAAAAATTTTTTTCATCAGGCTTTGACATAAAATGTAATAAAAAAACACAACTCGGATGGCTATAAAAAAGCGAGTAAGCTGGAGAGCATACAGAAAACTAATAACCCAGCCACATAGAAAAACGCTTTTCATAGAATAAGACAATTTAACCGTGATGATCAGTGAAAATAAATTAAAAAAATTGCAATTCATTTTTTTTTTGCGAAAATTTCTCAAAAAAGTCAAAAAATCACGAACTCTGTGAGATCTTTCCAGCTCAAGCAGTAGATTTTCTCCGAAATATACGCCAAATCGAGTTTTGGAGATGATATATGCAATCTCTGGATCTTTCTTTTGCCTTCCTGCCACTCCTTAAAAAATGGATATGTGAATAAAACTTTAAAAGAAAAAACCTTGATGAAACGAATAATACCATCATTAGTGATATTTTCACTTTTCACTCGTAAATTGCGAACGCCAAGCCTACATAGCTGATTATCACTGATATTACTCGTAAGGGACCACAAAATTAGGCTTTTCGCTTCTCGTATCTGCATAAAAAAAAAATCAAATAACTCAAAAATGAAGAAAAAAAACCTTCTGCTGGTCAAAAATGCACTTGTCCATTCCACCGTAGTCGTTCGCCATAAGGCTAATTTCTAACTTCGTGTTCTGAGTGGCATTCACCGCGTACTCCACCAACCGATAATCATTCGTCCTGAAAAAAAACAGTAAAAATAACGAATGAGAAAAAATTCCCTACCTAATTGTCAAGCTTTTCGTGAGGATATTCGTCGCTTGTTTTTGTTGCATTTCGTGATCCCACAAGTTTTTGAGATCTTCAAAACAAGGCTGAAAATAAATACAGTAATAAATAAGGTGTAGAAACCTTGAAAAACTCACGATTTCGATAAGAACGTTGCGAATTTTGGACCTCTTCCAAATATTCAAAAAAGCTCGCAGTGCTTCCTTTGTGTGGTCAGGGCAATCTTGTTGACTAAAATTTCCCGATTTTTACCATTTCTTTCCAGTTAAAACATACGAATATCTACCGCGATAGTCTACGCATTTGGAGACTATGCGTCCACGGTCGTTTTTCCACCTCATAACCACAGAAGTTTTCTGAAAAACAAAGTTGAGAAAACATAGATAAGGTCAAAAAAAAAACTACCAGAAGCGAAGCTGTTGAATGTTCGGAAATTGATAACTCTATCAGACGGTTTGGAAGCGTAGAACAAATGTTAAAACATTCCCAGTCCACCAACATCATGTTTTGCTTGTCCTTAAATCCGAATAGTTTATATAAATGATGAACTTTTCACTTTAAAAGGTAGATGCCGTATTATGCTCCGTTTTATTTCCGACGGCATGTGATCCCAACGTAAGTAAGGCCATGAGCTGCTGCCTTCACCTAAAAAAAATTAAAGATTAAAAGCTTTAATCATCAAACTAACCATCAACTTCCATGGGTTCGTACATAGCTCAAAACCCCCTGGAAACTATGATTATTATCGAGAAAAAACACCGAAAGTCGGAAGTTTAAAAGAGTCAAAGAAAGGTATTGCGAAAAAAAACCATGACGATGTGTACACGGGAGAGAACGAGTCGATAGAGGCAGGCGGCTACACAAATTTCCAGGCATGCGGCAAGCCCCTAGAGACGCAGGTGTACCGCAAAGTTGGATGCACTGTCAATAATGGAGTTCTCGATGGCTGCAAAAAGTTCCAAACTTGTCAAATACAATCGAAAGTTGATTCGAATCATGTCAAAGTTCAAGAAGTCGCAGAAAACTCGAATATTACTATCAAACGATGAGAAAACATTTGAAAATCTACAGAACCAGTTGAAGATTAATAATTGGATAATGGAAATTTTACTATTAAGAGAGTTCTAAGTTGATAAAATCGGCCCTAACCCAGCTGAAAGCCATATTGAACTGCAAGCGGTGAAACAGCCGCATTATTTTGATAAGGAAGGTCATTCTCCATTTGTTTGAGAACCGTCTGAAAGTTGGCCAGAAGACTCACCTTTTCGTGAGAAACACTTCTATTTAAATTAAAAAGTACATTTTCAATTTGCATTTGACAGAAATATTGAAGAGCATCTCGGTCTCAGCGACTTCTTGCTGCGCAAAAAAAGATTCTTAACTATGCGTTTGGAGAAAGAATTTTCAGAAAGATTACCTGGAGGCTCTCAGAAGCACTATCACAATTTCCTTTGTTGAATTGAGAATGACTTAAAAAAAAACGAAATATACGAAGAAAAGAATTTGAAAAGCTTCTCGTTTTGAATAGAGATCAAAATTAATACTTAGATCTTCATGATTGTCTACCGTAATCGCCCGCGAAGCATTCTGATTTTCTTTTACGATTTGGGATTTGCTCCTCGTCAGATTAATTTCGATTCTTGTATTTGTGCGGTTGTATGCTTCATTAGTCGTCTTATATTTAAACCCGAGGAAGTTAATTTATAAGCACTTGTCAAGTTGCAAATTTTTGAATATTTTTTTTTTCAAGTTTAGCTATAAAGGCTTGGGAAAGCTTGGAGATTTTTTAAAGGTTAAACTTATAATTTTAAATCTAACTCAAATTAGATTTATAATTGTTTTCATTGTAGACTTATCAATCTTGCGCCCACGCTCCACAATGTCGACTTCTCCGATCGAGGTTGCTGAAGAAGCTCTCGAAAACCATCTCGAGAACTTGAAAATCGTCGATGAAAATAACGGAGACAATAAGACCGAGGATGAGCCCAAGAAGCGAAAGGTAAAAACCTGTCATCAAAAAAGTATGGAATTTGATGTTTAGTATGTTTCTCGTGAAGAGCGAGCTCGTATGTGGTTGGAAGAGCTCAAGGACAAGAAAGTCTTGGAAACGGGCTTGAAAGGCAAAGTTAAGTGGTACTCCGTTCTCGGACGCTACGGCTTCATCGCTCGTGACGACGAAGAAAAGGACGTCTTTGTTCACCAAAGTGCGATTTCCAAGTCGCTCACGAACAAGCTTTACCTCCGAACTCTGGCTAATGAAGAAGAGGTGGAATTCGACATCGTTGAAGGAAAGAAAGGTCCTGAAGCGGCAAACGTGTCCGGTCCAGGAGGAGATGTAGTCAAGGGCTCTAAGTGAGTTTTTGATCGGAGTTTTCTTAATTCATTCAACCTATCTCAGATACCGCAGAATTCTGCTTTCTCAGTACCAGAAAAGACGAAGAAGCAGTAAGGAACACGAAGGCGAAGTTGAGCAGCCACTGAGCGACGAACAAGGGGAGAAGTCGGCTGGCGAAGAAAAGCAAGCTGATGGCCCCATTAAACGTCGCCGAAACAACAAGAATCGCCGCCAACACCGGGTAATTCTAAAAGAAATCTTTTTCAGTACTATATTATTAGACACGAGTCAAGGTTGAGCTTAAAATAGGTCTTGCTTCAATTCAAAAAAAAAAGTATCAAAAAGAGAATCCGCTTACTTTAAAGAGAGATAAGGCTTACTTTCGCAGGTGATAAGACTGACATTTTTCAGAACCGCCGAAACAAGAAGAACAACTCCGAAGCTATTGCCGAATCTGAAGAAAAAAGCTCTGAGGTTTGAGAAGTATGGGGATCTCGAATTTCCTGTGTTTCTGTCGCAGGAAGACGTTTCTGCCTCTGAGCAGAACAAAGAAGCTCAGCCAGCTACACGTCGCAGCGCAGAAGGAGAGGATGGCTCCAACAAGGAGCAGACCGGAATTCCTGATCGCTGCGAGTCTGCTATGAGCGTCGATGCGTCTCTTGGCGCGCAGTCTATCGAAGGGCAGATCTAATATGTAAAATGTTTCATATACATACTCTTGTTTTTTGTTAGTTTAATGCATGATTACCTTGCGTTTCAATGTTGTACAGATTGTATATTTGAATAACTTATCGCAATGGATAATTTACATATGTTCTGTTATAAAATTGTTGTTGTATAGAGAGAAGAGAATAATAATTGTAATAAATGTTATATTACAGGACTTTCTTATCATTGTTTTACTGGGGAATGACGTAATTTTTATTTCAACATTTACATGCAATAATTTTTCTAGTGTAAATGAAAAATCAGGTCAATATTTACAAGGAAAGAATGAGAAACGACTACTCGTGATACTGTTGAATCTGAAACGCAAGGATCTCTAGGAGACATGTCCACAGCGCCCAGCTTGAGCCACTTTTCTTGCGACGCGTCGTGCGGCCGCCGAATGAAAACGTCGCAAGACCTCGACAGAGGATCGCTACGCCAAAACTAAATTGGATTCACATTTTAATTGCAGAAAACTACAAAAAGGTTTGAAAAAATCTCTCACAGAAGCAATCCTTTGGACGTCATCGAAGTAGAATCTGATCGCAGGTCTTTCATAAACGATTCCAATGCTCGAGAGCAGCGAGATCAACCCAAGCAACCGCGGCGGCGAGGAACTCATCTTGAACAACCTCAATTCCAGATTATTCTTATCGTTATGGAGCTCGATACCTCGACGTTGCGAGCTGAATCTCCTGCAGGTGCGGCTGTAGGCGGCCGACCAACTGGATGAAGTCATACTCGGTTATCGATCTCAGGTCAGCACCAGCGACGCGGTTTCCTGGTTTTTTCTTTGTTTGAAAACTGAATAAGATCAATAAAAACCTTTTGTCAGTGCTCCTCCGGTGAAAATCAAAGCGAGCGGAGCTAATCGGTGCAAAGAATGGAGCTGTAGAAGTTCAGAAAGCCATGGTGACACCGTGACTCCAGTCCCGAAGGTGAGCTGAAATTCGGTTTTATCGTGAATTTTTGAGCGAAAATCTTTTTTTTTAATGATAAGCCTGAAAAATGTCAAAAGGACGTGAATAGCCAATTAAAGATGTATTTTTTTTTTTTTAACGAATTTTCAAGGCTTCAAAAACGAAAGTTCAAAAATATACAAAAACAATGGCATTTAAAAAAAAAAAGTTAGAAGTCACCCGTATCAAGGCTCGCGTATGCGGCGCAAGGACGTCTCGTAGACAAGATCCTTCAATGGTGACGTCATTCAAGCCACGCCCTCTTTTCAGAGCTCTCACGACGACGCAACGCCGCACACGATTAAACGCTACCGTAACTTCGTAGCTCGATACCTAAAAATAACGAAAAAATGTTCTCTTGAAGAAGGAAACTCACATCCACTTTAGGCAACGAATCTTCATTATAGGCTGAAATTTTCCGGAATTTTCGACACGTCTGCGAGAGGGCGATGAGGGACTTGGCTGAATAATACGAACTTCAAGAGAGGAAAACAAGATGAGAAAGACCGTCAAGCTGATTCATGATGTTGAGAATTTCGATATCACCGAGCTGTCCGATTTTCACATTCGACGCTTTGCGTCCATTGAAAAACAGTAAGTCGGGTGCCGAGTAGTGAGATGGTGATAGTGCGCCTTGAAACTTATGGATCATTAAGAGAAAACTAGTTTGTTCAAAAATCCAGACTGGGAAAAGCAGGTCATGTGATTAAAAAAAAGACAAAAAGCGGCTCTTTGCCTCGTGACCGACATGAAAATTTTCTATGCTTCTTTAAAAACAACAGGTAGAATTTTTGACTTATAAAAATTTTCTTGCAATCCGAATTTCATTGAACTGCAATCAGAAGTAGCGAGAGTATATCAATTGACGTAAAATTAAGTTACCAAAAACAGGAAATAGAGCAAAAGACGATAATTCAGCGCACAACACCCGATGTTGAGTATACCGGCCAGTACTGGAAATTTTTTTGATTTTTGAAATAATTTTTGTTAACTTTTTTTCACACGAAACTATCATTAAAAAAAGAAGAACTAAACTCTCCAGATTACTACTTTTAAAAAGAAGGATTATATATTTGGAAAAAGTTAAAAAAAAAGCTTTTGAGAAAACTATTTTCAATCAAACTTTTACACAAAAAGGCTATTCACTTCAAGACTGTCATGAATTTAGCCCAGTTACCTTTAAACTTACCCGCAAAATTATTTTTTTTTGAAAAATGAATTTTGAAAAGTTTTTCCGCTCAAATTTACTCAAAACTCGCACAAAAATTTTAGTCATATTGAAACTTCTTTCTCTTTTCAAACTTTCGCTGGATCTGCTACAAATCAGCTCAAATTAACCATCAACTATATTTATCCCCTTGTTACCTTCTCGTACTCGTCGGCGTTTTCATAAAATCCGGCAGGTCCGTCTCTGAAGTCTCCGGCGTTTCAGGGACCGGGGTGAAGGATCTTCTGAAACTCATTTTTCCCAACAAAAAAAAGTTTGGTCATCAAGAAACACGAAAAAGCTTACATGGAAAAAAAAAAGAAACGAACCTAATTTTAAACGTCGTCTTTCTGATCTCGAAAGCAATTGAGCTTGCCATCAAGGCAATCCGCTTCGCCGGGTTTCGTCCTGCAGAAGCAAACAAAAAATGGGATAAATCACGGCAGGAAATCAAATGAAAGTGTAAAATTGAGACATGGGAAACGCCACTTTTTTATGAGGGAAAGCACTCAAGATGAACATCTCTTCCAAGAAAAAAAAAGAAGGATGTCAATTTATCCGTTAACTCTGTTGCCAGGGACATTGCGTGTAATTTAATTATGCGGCAAAGACGGATCTCGTTCCGAAATATTATTGAGAATAAGATAAGAGTACGAAAGCGCCCTATACAAAGAAAAAAAATTGCAAAAATCAGCCAAACGGAAATTTTTTTCTTTAAAAAAAGATTACGGTAACCATAAATAGTTCATAATTCGCAGCCGCGTACTTTTTCAACCACAGTAACCTTTCACTTTTTTTGTTTTGACTAAAATTTAATCATTTTAATAGCTTAGTGATTAAAGGAATCTGGGATTTTTTTCAAACAAAAAAATGAAATAAATTAACTACAATTTTTCTCGGAAATTTTTTTCGGGCAGGCAAATTGCGTGATTCTTTCACAAAAAAACGAGAATGAGCGATGAAAAGTGCGATTTTTTTCGCTTTCAAATTAGAAAGATTTGGAAAAATTTAAACGGAAAAACATGAAATTAGTTGAGCTGGGCTAACATTTACTTTCAAAAAAAATAGGAAAATTTCGTATCGCACTAAAAATATTCATGCAGGGAAAAAAAGCTGCGGAGAAAAAAACAGCATTTTTATTATGGGATTCGAAAAAAAATAATAAAAAAACAAAGTTTTTAGAGAGAACTTTCGTTGGAAAAAGGGTTTTTTTCTGAGTAAATTTTTAGGGAACCCATCAGATAAAAATTATAATTCTCTAAAAAAAGAACGGCTTCATTCCATGAATTCGTTAAAACAATAAGACTTCTGGAATTTTTCTTTTGAAGGAAAAAAAAAATGGAAAAAGCCCAGATTTCCTTCAAAAGTTGTGTGAAAACTCAACTTCTAGAGATAATTGTTGCCATTAATCTTCCATGAAAAAAACATGGGCTAAAACCGAGGAATTTTTAAAGAAAAATTGAGCTTTTTATTTTGGTTATAGCTTATAGGTTTATTTCCGAAAAAATTCAATGCTTCAGTTTCATTTTTTTCGAAAATTTTTGCTATAAAGTCTCTTTAAGTCGGTTTTTTTTTTCAAATCATTATTTTTTGTTAAAATTCTTTTTGAAACTCAAGAAGTTAAATAAAAAAAGAGATAGAGATATACAAAAAAATATAGGGATCTGAGATACATTTGAAAAAGATGTTTCATTAAAGTTTCTAGAATCTCCTGGAGACTTTACAAGTCTTGCCCTAGCGAGACTCGGCTGAAAAATAACTTTTTTTGCAGTTTTAATGCGGAGCGAATCAATGAGAGACAATTTCAGAAAAAAAGAAAAAAAAACTCCTAAAACTGAGAAGAGAAAAGAAAATCAAACTGTGCTCGCAGGAGCGGACGAGCCGACTTTGGGCGCTGAAACCGGGCGAAATGCGGGTGTCCATTTCAAAAAGACGACGTTTTCAGTGAGAAAATCCCATCTGAGCCGGATCTGCAACCATTTTCCATCCAATCAACCAGAAAGCTTGCAAAAAACGAACAATTTGATTTTTGGAGAGTGAAAAGATTTTAATAGTCGATAGGGGAATATAATTTACATCATAGTTTGAATCCATTGCCTATGAACTTTCAGTAAAAAAAAAATCGAATATTTGAAAAGACTGAAAGAAAAGTCAGAGAATGAAAAAAATTGAATAATATACTCGCATGGAATTTAAAGGCGCATAGTCCACACAGGAAACTAAAGCGAAGAGTCATTCGCCGTGTTAGTTAGGTCTTCAAAAGTCTCTTTTCTTGAGCAGGCTATGAATTCAAAATCTAATTTCGGCCCAAAAAACAACTTTTTTTCCAGTTATCATCTTAGACTTGATAACAATTGACGTTTGGAACATATAAAGGTACAGAAAAGGCAGATTAAAAATGAAAACGAGCCTCGAAATGGTCGAGAAATGTTGAAAAGCGCACATTTTTCTGCGTAATCGGGCGGCGGGGGTCGACGGACAACAAATGAGGATCAGATCAACCACAAAAATAGATCAAAAATGAAATGACGCGTGTCTTTCTTCACTTAATTTTTCAGTTCGCCCAGAAAATTCAGTACTAAAAGCCTGTTGGAGAAAGAAATGTGAATAAAGTACGATTTTGCGACCTTTTATTAGGGACCGCAAAGCCACGCCCCTTTTCGCGATAGAAAAAGTGGCTTTTTTTTGGTTTTCAACTTTCATTTTGTTGTAGTTGTAAAATATGTGGAACTGGCGAATAAAATTTGACACACATGTACAGAAAAAGCTTCCTCTTTCGTTTAAAAAAATATTTCACGCTTTTTTTGATGCGTTCTCGCGGAATGTCGTACAAAAAAACGTGAATGGAACTAAAAAAATTTTTGTCGTTTTTTTGCTTTTTTTCATGTGTTTTTTTAGGTCGAACGCACTCTTTCTTTTTTTAAATAATGATTTTTGATTCAAGTAACGGTAATTTTTAAAACAATAAAATAAAAAAATTCGTCTTTGCCAAAAATTTTAGGGAGCGCCGAAAGTCATAATTCAAAATATCGTTAATAAGCGAATATAATCGAGTTTTTGTTTTTTCAAAATTTAGACCATGGTCTTACTTAAATTTTTTCTCCACAGCACCTGTGCTTGAAAAAAAGTTGTTTAATACGCAAAAAAATGCTCTTGAAACTAGAGAAAAAAAATTAGCGGCGTTTATCACACAGAAAGCGGTCGAACGCAGGTTTTTTTCAAACGATTATATACATTTATTAGTAAAAAAATCTTTCAATTAAAAAGAATAAAAATAAAAAAATTCGTCTTTGCCAAAAAAATTTACGGGGCCGTTTTAATGCAGCGATCGTTAAACGAGGCAAAAAAAGCACTAAAAAAACAGTTTTTTTCGAAGTGAATTTCCACGAAACGTTTGAGTAAAGATTTGCGAACATATTCTGATAAAAAAATAGCTAAATTACTTCAAGTTTTTTTATTTTTTTGAAATAGGCAATCTGTGCTATTCAAACGGCTCAAGGGTATGGGGGATGGAAGCTCCCCGCGTTGGACCTAACAGCTTTGGCGCAACGCGTGCGCTCCGATTTTTACATTTTGAGGTCGCGAGTTCGATGCCCGCAAGCGCCAGTTTTTTTGTTTTTCTGGAAAATACCGACTTTTTTTCGGCAAACTAGCTGATTAGCATCATTTCAGCACTCTATTATGATTTGTTACATCATAATAGACCAGTATCAAAACTTGTTCTAGAAGAAAAAAATCGAGAAAAAAATGTCAAAAAAATGGAAATACCAAATTTTTCAGTACTAAAAACATGGTGCGCGGCGCGCCACCTTTTCCGTCATAACTTTTTTCATCCTCAATCTTTTTTGAAAAACTAAACGGTTCTGAGTTTTGAATCGAAACAGCTATCGAACCATACAAAGCTCAATGCTGAAAAAATTTTTTTGAAAATTCGTCTGCGGTCCCTACCTTTTATTCTCCCCTCAATGCATGAAAGGCAAAGGAAAATGCATTAAAAACGAATTTATTCATCTTTTTTTGGAGGTGCAGGCTTCGGGATGCATTAAATTTTATTTGTCTTTTTTTGGTTTTTGTAGAGATGAGTATTTGAAGGCACATAGATCAATCTCATAAAGGTTTCGAGGTAAAGACATTTTTTGAAACCAATTCAGGATTTTCTAACTTCTAGTACAGTTACCGTTAGCTTACGGAAATGTGTGTTGAAGTCACAAAAAGAGTTTTTGTTTGCGTTTGTATGTGTATTTTGTGAAGAAGGTGATTTGAGTAGAAAATTTGGGATTTCATATGAATTTGCCGGAAAATCTCACATGTCCGAAGTCATGGATTGAGGTTTTCATACCTATTCTTGATATTTGACCTTTTAACGTTGAGAATCCGCGCCTTTTAAAAAAATGAGACCTCAGAAAGGGTTCATTTTATTTTGCGGTTGGAAAAATTCTAACAATTTGCTCCAGAACTTTCTGAAGGCTTTGAAGATCCCTCATAGTGCGCAAGGTTGAATTTCCGAACTTCGATAATAATTATTTCAAAAACTAGAAGTTGGACCAGGTCTACTATGAAGGGACTTCATCTAGACCTTCAGAAAATTCGTAGAAAAAAAGCTGAAAAATTAATAAACCTTCTTGTTGATTAGGAAACGTTTTCCACTCTTTATCTAGACATTGGTAGAGTATTTGAGCGAAATTTTAGAAAATTCCGAACCGCAAAATAAAATGACCTCCCATGTCTGGGATTTTTCGGACAAGCTTTGAGAAATCTAAAACTTTAACTGAAGTAACGTCTCCTTGTGCCTTTTCACATTTTCTCTTGATTTTTTCTTTCTTTCAAGCTTATCACCATCCTGATGATACACGCTTCGAAAACGAAAGGAACGGATCGATCTGAGAACGGGGTCATCATCATCCGATTGGAGAAGGGAAAAACTTCGCCTTTCCTCCCATGATTTCCAGGTTCACTTTTACTCTTTTTCTCGTTTTCAACTTCATTTCTCGAGTTGCTTCAGAGAGGTTTTTTTTAAATAAAAAATGAAAAAAGGCTTCAATTTTGACAAAACAGATGTCCACCAGTTTTCGGCGATTTCGAATGTCCTATCGGCTTCGAATGCCGCGAAAAGCAATGCATCGGACGGAATCAGGCGCCGTCGGAAAGTTGCTCTATTGAGGTATCAAAATATTCCGAAATACTTCTTATCTAAAACATGTTGCTCCTTAAGAGCATCAGAGTGGTCCCTAGATAGGTTTAGAAAAAAACAGCCCTTGAAGGGACAGAATAGTGCTTAGAGAGGGAAAAGTTAGGTGGTCCCTATAGGGTCAATTTTTGTTCAGGTTTGAAAGTCAAAATCGTGATCCCCTATAATGGCCACTTTTGCAATCTTTGGTCTTTCTGAAGTCTGAAATAAGTTCATTCAAAACCACTTTCTGAATTTTTTTTTGCGCCTAAGTCGGAATTGGAAAAGCTCCGCTTTGAAAAAAATCATTTTTTTCTGACTTATTGTCAAAAATAATTGTAAGCCATATTTTCATCTAGAAAAAAATGGGCACAAACTAAAAAAAGTTTTATTTCTTCTTTTGAAAATTATTATTATTTTTAAATGTTTTTGATGGAGTAAAGAAATGAAATTTGATAAATTATCCTGTTTCTTATCCTTTTTTAAGGTCACAAGCCACTTTTTCTTGTTTAAGACCTGTTCTGTTGTTATAAAAGAAAGCGAAACAACAACTTCTAAAATAGCCCAAAAAAAGTTCAGGTAGAATGCTCTGATGGAACGGTTTGCTACGAGGGCAAGTGTTATCCGATTTCTTCGATCAAATGTAATCGGTCAGTTGATGCGCAGTCAAATTTGAACTTTTGATTATCGGAAAATTCAAAAAAAAAGTGCATTTTTGAGGATATACGAGCGAAATTGCAAAATTTCGAATTTTCGAGCATTATACCGAAAATTTCTAATTGTTTGAGCTTTGAAATGGATTTTTTTTTTCTTTCTGATTCTCAGACACGTTTTGGTGGGTGAAGGTCGAGCGCGGAGCATCGTCTCCGACTGCGGGAAACGTGGGAAATGCCTCAACGGCCAGTGCGTCCTCGACAGTTAGTTACGCCGCATTTCTGTTTTCCAGATACTATTAAATATTCTCGTTGTTGATTCTATCAATACATTAGGCTCACTAGGGAACGTTTTTTTACCCCCCGGTTGAACTTTTGCTGAAACTTTGCTGAAGTGTACTTTAGGACCTGCTGATTCCAAAACAAAAAGAAAATTTTTCGCAACAGATCTCGTTTTCGAGTTAGGACTGGTACGTTTTTTTTAAAAAAAACTGGTACGTTTTTTTTAAAGCTTTCCGGTTTCAGTGAACATATAATGCAGAAAATCAATGAGATTGCAACTCGGCTCAAAATATATGGAAACATTTATCATCTCCAAAAGCTTCTGAAAATGCAGCCGAAAAGCATCGCATCAAGTTTTTATTGGGAATTTGAAGGTCATTAAAAGTGAATTTTCTTTCCTTGATTTTTTTTGGCTTTTCGAAAACTAAAACTTATATTCATAAGTATTTAATAACTTCATATTTTTTTAGATTTTTTTAGAAAAATTTGAAAAATGAAACTTAAAAACTGTAGCCATGCAAATTGAGGATGCATGGGGGTCGTCTGCGAGGAGGGCCTCCTCTGCCGAAACGGGGAATGTGCCAAGTTGGCCGAGGCTTTCTGCTTGGGCCACGCCGACTGTGGCCCGAACCTCATGTGCGTCGCTAATCGTTGTCAGGCCAAGTAAGTTGAATAAATCATTCCGGTTTCAGTGAACATATAACTTCAAAAAAAGTTGGACCAAATAATGTTGACTAGACGAAAATTCGAATTCAGTTCAGAAAAAAATATAAAAAAATCCACTTTCATTAATTTCTTCTGAGGAAAAGCTTGAAAATTTTTTTCTAAAAAAATGTTTGTCTTTTTTTAAAATCATTCTCCACTTCATAAAATTAAATAACTCTGAACACTATATTCTCCATTTTTTTAACTGTTCTAAAAAAAGAAAAACTTTGGAAAATTATTGATTTACAGAAGAAAAAAAGTCCACCCAAAACCCCAAAAAAAGAAAATAAAATTAATAAATTTGACCAATACTCCAGACCAAAAGAGCCTTTGTGCAACTGTCAGCCGCACGAGATCTGTCACCACGGTCAATGTTATCCGAATACTAGTAAATTTATCTTTTCTTCTAGAATTAAACTAAGAAAAATCTTCAGAATGCACCTCAATTTTCTGCCCAGTTGGATCCTACTGCGTTGAAGGACAATGTGTTAATGGTAATATTGTTTTTCGATGAAGGAAAAATCAGAAACTTCTTGATAAGTTTCCAGAAGGATTTGAGAATTATCTATAGGAAAAGCAGCTTGGTCGAACTATCAAAAAACGAAAGAAGAAATTTCAATCATAACTTTAAGTCCAATCAAAAATGACTTATCGGCGAAATAAAATTTTTAAAAATAAGAATTTTCGAAGGCCGAGCTTAAATGAAATGCGCTGTGCTGAAAATCATGCAGTGAATTAGCAAAATTCGAAGATATCGTTAGAGAAAGAAAAATGCCGACCTCCGGGGCAGTTTCTGTGACCAGATTTGGTATCAGTGTGAAAAACTGAGCCCATTATCCCCTGCTAACAATGCTAACGCCGCTGAAGGGATCCCTAGAATTTCTAAGAAACTTCCGCGACGCGTTACCGAAAACCGAGCCCATGCAGAAATTCAAAATGATTTAGCCGTGGGGCGAGATTGCCGGGAAGACACGTGCCACGGTGGCACAGTCTGTATCAACAACGTCTGCGTACCTAATCCCTGTCCTGCCAGGTACGCCATTTACACCTATTTCAGAGCAGATTTTAAATGCCAAATCTGCGCTTAAGCTCCGCCCCTTGTTATGCGTTAAACTAATCAGAGAGCCATCCACAGAGCTTTTTCCAATGTAACTGCCATTCAAAATCTGAACGGACTATAAAAGTAGCTAATATGAGCAATTTTGAACATTAAGGTGTCCCCACGACCAGGACTGCCGTTTCGGCGAATGTCGCATAATGGAAGGGATTCCTTGCGCCGGCGAGTGTAAAAAACCATTCCTTTGTATCGACGGGGTTTGCAAGAGAAACGGTGAGTTCATCTAGATTTTCTAACTTCACGATTTTCTCAAACGCCAAGTTCAAAATGTCCGTCGGATTTGTTGTAAGAAACCGTTGAATTTTCGAGAGAATGGTTCCTAGAGAGATTAGGGAGAACAAGTGCCCCATAGAGGACAAAATTGTGCTCCCTAGAAGTGCAAATTTGAGGCGGTCCCCATAGGGATTCAGGGTCTACCTTTTGAGCTCAAGTGGTCCCTTTAGGAGTCTATCAATTTTTTTTCCTTATTTAAATGCTGAAGCGATGTAATTAGAAAACATTGATTGAACAGTTGTCTTTTAATATTTTTTTAAATTCAAATATCGCTAATTTATCATGTTTTTCTGTTTGAAAACGCTTCTTCTCATAGATCTCCTAACATTACAAGACTCACCTGCTCCCCTTAAAGGAACACAAACTGACACCCATAAGGACGTAAGAAGCGTTCAAATGATCCTAAGACTGCCCCTTTATGGACACTGGCATTCCTGAGTATATTCTTAGAAAAAAGTTCTTTAAACCATTGAAAAATGAAAAAAAAATATTGAAGAAAACCGTTCTAATCAACTTGAAAGGACGTACCTCGAAGTCTTCAGACTGCCAACAGAAAGTGTGTCAACTGGGCGAGTCTTGCGAAGGCGGCAACTGTGTTCGCGTCGACGGCCGATTCTGTACGTTCGCGGCTCGCGACTGCGGTCATTCGTTCGCGTGTCGCGACAATAAATGCGTCGATCTTCTTACTCAATATTCGCCGGCTTAATAAACTCATATTCTGATAAGTTGTAGCAAAAAACAAGGTGAAAGTCAAAATAAAAACTGTAGTTATATTAAAGGCGCAGGGCGGAGCTCAAAAATATTCTTTTCGGAGCGCAGGAGACCTAATCTTCGCATGTTCAATATATATTTCTGGAAAAAAACCACATGAATTTCAAAAAAAGTTCTGAAACTTTTCTAGAAAAATTGCACTGAGAAAAAAAGATTCAAAATTCAGGGTTTCGCGTTTAAAAATTCGCTATTTCGTTTAAAGACCCAATTTTTTTCTGACAGCTCTCGAAATTTCCATTTTGCGTATTTCGCAAAATCATTTTGAACGAATAGAATGCCAACTTTCTCTTTAAAAAAACAAAAACAGAGAGAAAAAAAGATATATTCTGTATTCAATCTAAAGAATGGAAATGAATGAAGGGAGGAGCCTAGAAATATTCGCCTTGGAACGCAACTATTTTTTTGAATTTTTTGAAACTTGAAAAAAAAAAAATTTTTCTTCTGGCTTCTGTAAGAAGTTCCTGCTGTTGCATTTAAAAGCGCAAAGCCTTTTCAAATGAATAAAGAATTAAATAACCTAAAATAACAGAGAAAACAGTTCTTCGCCTCGAAAAAGTTATGAAACTTGTCCATGCTCCTTTAAACCTCTCAGCAAGGATTTTGAACAGATATTCCCAATGAATAACAAACAAGCTTGAGAATCCGATAATTCAGAAAAAAAAAATTCAAAATTTATTATGACAAGCGATTCAATGGCACAGGAGATCATAGTACACGATACTTATATATTTTTCTGTATTATGTGACAGGCGAGAAGAACTTCAAATCAAAAAATAGTAGCAAAATAACAGAAAAAAAAATGGAGAGTTTAGAGAATATTAAGAGCATCGGCCAAAGTTTTAACGTCGACCACCACGGGCAGCTTGTCGACGTGAGGAGCGACGTCGAGAAAAATCACCAGGTCCAATCGACAGAATCCTTTCAGAACCTATAAGAAGTACTGACTTTTTTAACCTTTCAAAAAATAAAGGGCAGCTGGAGCTCATCAAGCTTGTCACGATCTTCGCTCTTTTGATAAGGAAGGTCTTTTTAACCCGCGGCTGTGAATTTTTTTTTTGGAAAAATAGTCAAAAAAATTCTGATCTGTCAGAAAAAAATTCTTGTTCTGCAAAACTTCCTAGATTTTGAGAAAAAACGCCTGCCAGTCCAAGAAAACCTTCAAAACCCGTTTAAGGTTGCCATTCTGGGGCTTCGAGACCTCATTTCTCGAAAATCGGGCAAAACTGAAAAGCTCCCCAAAAGCTTTGCTTAAAAAAAGACCCTGAAAGGGTCCCCAGCAGATCTTTTTTAAATCATTTCATTTCTTTTTTCCATCTTTTTTCACATCCTCTAACAAAAAGGAGTCTGGAAAGCAACTAAAAAGATTCGAGGGGGTTCAAAAATGATCCTCTATGGCTATGGAAAAGGAGCTGAAAAGCTTTTTTACATCATTTTAGGAGCTTTTAGAGAAACTTTTCCGTTTCACCTATGAAATTAGGAAGTTGTGCAGGTTAAACCTTACAAAATGTTCTTCTGGTACAAAAATGAGTGCTCTGGCAAATTTTCAACTAATAAACAACCGCGAAGAAGGATCTCCTCCCCGGTGAGCCAGAGACTTCTTTTTTCGATGTGCGCGTCATTTGCCTGGGCATGCGCCTTTAATGTAACCAATATTTTAGACCAAATTAAGGGCGCATGAACACAAAACGACCGCGTGCTTCGAACGGAGTGATTATGTAGCTAAAAGGAAAATAAAAATCGTGACAATTTGGCGCGGAATGACCTATATGAAAGGAGGGATGGTAATTTTTGGGAAATTAGGCCATGCATTTGTAAACTACGACCTTCGTGATTATCTTTTTCACTAAACAAATGCAAATATTGAAAACAAAGGTCTCTAACCACAATGGTAAGGTAAGAACAATGGTAAGAAAAATTCAGTTCCAGAAATTACCTGAGCCGCGTGATCTTTGCACCTTTTCAGTTCGTCGATTCGTTTCAAATTGCCGATTCTCTGTAGAGAAAGTAATTTTTTCCAAATTCTCTGAAGAAAATGAGAGATACCTGACAATGAGCAACAGTGAAGCCGAAAAGGCGGTCGAGAAGTCGACTGGAGACCTCGCACAGCTCTCCGCTCATGCTCACGTCGTTCACAATCAGCTAGAAAATCTATTTTATTTAATTCTTCTGAAAAAAAAAAACACTAACAAGCTTTGGAAAGCCTGAATTTTTACTTTATAGAAGTTTTTTAAATGTGAAAAACCAGATAAGAAGAGAGTCTGAAAGAAGAAAAAAAACGATTGGTATGAAGAGATGATGGCGCCAGAAGAGGCGTCAGAGGAACATTCTTTCTCTTTTTCTCTGGTGTCTCTTCAAGCCCTCATTGATCTCTAACTTTTCATTCCAGCTATCCAAATCTATTGTCAGACTTGAGTGCTAAACACCATCGGCTTTAAAATTTTTGGCATTTCTAATTTTAACAGTTTTTTCCCAACCTTTTTAAGCATGCCTGAGAAAAAAGATATTTCGTTCCCAAGCTTCTGTTCTCTACGCTTAAACACCTGATGAAAACAAAAATAATAGACCAACGAAATCCTGAAGAGCCCGCAGAGAGAAACAAATCATCTGATTATCTGTCGTCTCTTCTGCACCTATATTCTATTATTTTCATTGTAACTTTCAAAAATCTCGCATCGTTTTGTAAATTTTAACTCATTTTTCTTCCCGCGAGAGAACTAAAAAAGAAACCTGTTGCTTCCACTCGTTTCCTTCCACACTCAACTCCTGAACCAATTGCGTGTGCGTGGGCTGGAAAAATCGATAAATTATCATCAAATCAATCGATATCCACCATGATAGTGACCCTTTTAGGGAGCATCCAAAATTTCCTATTATGGAGGGCGTCGGACAGGTAGACGACGCCGATTCTCCGGAATCGACTCATTATTTCCGAGCAATTTTTCGTCGGATCTTCTCGGCTGGAGATCTCAAAATAAATCGTTCAATAATTTCGATAGCTAAGAAGTCGAAATGAGACATACAGCTTGATATCAGAAACAAAAGTATTGACCGAGAAAAATTTTCTAACTGAAGATTTGAAAAAGGTCACCTAAACTTAAATCTATGAATCTGATTTCGATAATAATAACACGAAAAAAAAATGATTATTTTCAAATTGCCGTATCCTTTCGGTCCCGGTTTCACGGCTAAACCTGCGAAACTCGTTTTAAGTCAGGCGCATAGAAAAAGGGCTATAACGGAGCCTTTCTGCTTTGACCCGTTCAATGCAAAATGAAAATGTTTTTTTCTTATTCGAAAATTCGAATCAACAATCAGAAAGATTCAAAATCAAACCCTGTACATCGGTGGCGGTCGAACTTCGTGTGGAACTCCAGAATTGTACATTTTTTGAACGTCGTCTCGATAGCCATCGTCCTGGAGTTGAACAGATAATTTAACAGCTTTTTTCAAATTCGAGTATGCCAAATGACTCCGCGAAATTTAAAATAGCCGTCAGAGAGCGAGAAAATAAAAAGATAACCAAATTTGAGAAAAGATAACTAAATTGCGCAGATAAAATACTTTTCAAAGAATCATAAACTCAAAATAAACCATTAAAAAAAATCAAACATACCTCCGGCGGCGATTTTTTCGGCCTTTTCAACGCGAGAATATTTGAGAAATCTTTTTGAGTCGCTCTTTTTGTCGGGGTTTTCTGAGAAAAATCGTTTTTTCAAAGCTTGAATGCATATGGACAATAAAAATTGCGGTTTGAGAATAATTCCTCATTTCAAAGCTTTCTTCATTGCTTGTTAAGTTTTCAAACCAAATCGTATCTGACAAAGAATAATTTAAAAAAGAGGTGGAATGGTTTGAAACTTCAAGCAAAGTTGCTCTATGGGCAAAAGATCTTTTTATTTCTAAAATCATCTCGATTAAAAAAATTTTTCACACAGAGTTATCCGTACTGAAAGATTCTTGTGGAAAACTAACCAAAAAAAGTTCCTTTATAAAAATATTACGGTATACAACTTTGTGTATACTGATGTCTAGACGCCAAATTAAATTCCCGTTTTTTTCAAAAAATATACTTTTTTTTGCCAATTTCAAGAACATAGTCGGCTATACAATATGTCACGGAACTCATTTTTTACTGGCCAAATGCATTCAGAACTCTGAAAAAAACCTCAGGCGAGTACAGAGGCCTGTAAATGACGGTCTGCGGCTTTGAATGTTTTCCTTGGGACTTCTCGGGGTTTCTAAAAAGAATGAAAGTTTCTCTGGGACGGTTTTAACCCGAAAACCTTGGAATCTCATCGGAGTCCAGATTCAGTGGAGTCTGCGTCCCTTGTTGCGATTCGAAGCTGAATTCCTGCTTCGGTTTGGTTTTGCCGAAACTCTGGGGCTCATGTCTTCGTTCTGGCTCATTCCGAAGCAGAGGTCGACCAGGAACACCGACGAAGGATCCAAAAGGTTTCTCAGCTTGTTCTTGACGCTGGTGTTGATCTTTTCGACGGCTACTTGGCTCGGGAAGTTCATGATGATGATCTCCTTGAGCTAGACGTCGGTGGGCTTCCAGGAACTGTTTTTGCTGTTCAGTTTGTTGTCTTTGCTGATCTTCGTGAGCTTGACGTTGGCATTTATCAGAATGATGCTTCTGATTTTTAAGAAGGTGCCGTTGACTGTGCTGATCCTGTTGATAAACAACTTCAGGAGCTAGACGTCGCCGAGACTCTTGAAGTTGCTGATCTTGTTCAAGTTGGTGCTGACCATAATGTAGATCCTGTGCTTCAGAAAATTGCCGTTGACCTTGCTGATTCTGTTGCTCAAGATCTCTTTGAGCTAGACGACGTCGAACTTCCCGGAACTGCTGTTGATGCTCTTGATTTTCTTGGGATTGACGCAGGTGATGATAATTATCTTGTCTTTGCTGCTCTTCTCGAACTTGACGCTGATGTAGGTCTTCTTGACGAATCTGAGGTTCGTGAAGAAGATCATGTTGTTCTGAGTCCTGTCGATGAGCAGCTCTTTCAGCCAGACGCCGACGAACTTCCAGGAGCTGCTGTTGATGTTGTTGATCATCTTGAACTTGACGCAGGTGCTGATCATTAAAATCATTCTGAGGTTCATATGATCTTTGTTGATCCGCTCTGTGCTGAGCTTCCCGAACTTGACGCTGGTATGATTCATTTTGGCGAGTTTTAGTTTCGTGATGCTGTCGTTGCTGTTCTTCTTGACCTTGACGTTGATACTGATCTTCATGGCGATTCCTTAGCCCCTCCTGATATCGGCAGTCATTTTGATCATCGCCATTTTGAAATCGCCGATCCTGAGGATAAGGCTGACGAGAATCTTCTCGTCTTCGATCTTGCTGAACTTCGCGAACATGTTGTTGGTCTTGTTCTACAGGAGTCTTTCTTGCAGGATTCTCTTGTCGACCGTCTGAAAAGACCGACTTTTTCGGGGCAAAAATATCTTTTGAAACTTTGATGAGGTTCCTGTTTGGCAGCCTGAAGCTGTCGGATGACATTTGCGTCAAAAAATGGAGTCGAACGAGGTTTTTCGACTGAAAACGAGCTTTAATTTTCAATTTACGACCAATTTTTTTTTTTTGTGAAGAATCATGATTTCTGAGCGAATTTTCAATAATTTTATAGTAGGTTAAGTACAAATATTCTGCAAGTCTAATTATTTTTAAGTTTCATAAAATTCCGTTGAAATAGACAACTCTTACTATAAAAATGATCAAAACTCTGATCAGTAGTTTTTCCTTCCAGATAGCCTTTTTTCGAGATTCCCAAATCCCTCAGTTTTTTTAAGATTCTCACTAACCACCCTGAGGCCGAACTGCTCGAAGTCGTTGTTCAGCGTCAGCCGTTCTTTCCTTCGTTTCATAGACAACAACGGGAGAATCAGTCCCATGTGGGATCATTCGATAGCTTCCGTTTGTATTCCATTGAGCGGGGCTCAAAATTTCGGGCTCCGGGACGAATCTTAATTTTTTCTTTGGTTTGAAAACCATCTAACCTTTGGACAGGCTTGTGTGAGGGCCGGTCCGTCAACCTCTCGGTCTCCCGGCCACTTACCAAGCCCGACCCGGCCCGGCCCTAGGGAGGGCTTAGGCAAAAATGGCCGGCCCGGCCCAAAAAACTAAAATTATCTTCAAGTCGAATTTTTCGCTTTTTTGACGAGAAAAGGGGTATTTTTTTATTTTTTTTTATAGAGTTATTAGAAACTATGCTTCAACAAATAACAACAATTTTTCCGTGAAAATTTTCAAAATGAAATTTAAAATTTCTTTCGAAGCCCGGCCTGGCCCCGGCACACGCAGGCTTTTTTTTTAAATTTTAGGTCCAAAACCCGGGCCGAGCCGCCCGGTCTGACGCACAAGCCCGCCTTTGGAGAACTTCTAACGGATATTTATGTTTTCCGCTAAACGTATAGACTAGCGTTGAAACAGTGATCAGAAAATCGCTTTAACTTGGTCTCGTTGAATAGCATTAATCTTACCTTTTGTGACTTTTTCGAATGGTAAGTTCATTTTACAGCCGAAATTTTAAAAAATAGGGTTTTCTTTGGAACAAATATCGAAATTTCCCCTCAAACTCAGAAAAAAATTTTTGACAAAATTTCAAATTGTAGTTTTTTTGAACAGTTTTTTTCCATTAATGAGACTGATAAAATAATGTTGATTTTTTTCTATCGAAGACTCACACAGCCCAGAGTTAGCGTCAATAACTTCTTTTTTTCCGGTGATTCAAGGAAATGACGAAAAAAACGAAATAATTTTTCAAAAAAATTGATTTTTTTCGTAAATCAAACTATTTTTTTACTTTATTAAACTTGATTAAAAATCAAATACCCGGGGAAATTTTTCCTCGACGGAAGAAGGATTCCGTTGAAAATCCTTCGCGGTTGTTTTGAAAGCTGGATTTTTGAACTTGAGATTCTCGCCTAATATACGGATAAGAGTTTGATTGGCGGTTTGGGGTCTAAAAATTATTAAATTTATTCAAAAAAAATAATTCTTTTTAATTTTTTTCCATTTCGTTAACAAACCGTATAGGATACAAAAATGGGGAAATTCACAAATAAAAATAATTTGCTATTTTCTATTTTTAACAAAATCCTGGTAAAAAAAAAACGTTTTATCCACAAACAAAAAAAACCTTAAGTTTCATCGCATTTTGGAAAAATTGGAGCAAATTAATCTCGAAATTGAAATAAATTTACATTGCATTCAGCCAAAATGTACAGAAAAGACACGAAAATTTGATAATTGAAAACTCTTGAGATACTTGAAGAGATTATGCAGACAACATTTTTCCCTGATTTCCCTAATGGAAACCTCTCTGACATGCTGCTTTTTCGGCTGGGAAAATGTTTGAGGATCGATCATGAAACTGTCTTCTTCGACACGCTGTTGGTACTGTTTGGCCGATTGGAAACCATTCTGAAAATGTAGACAAATTTTAGAAATTCGTCTACAGCTGGTTCCCGGCTGCCTTAAGATATCCAAAAAAAGAGTCCTGACACGAAAAAGAAAGAGATAGTGCCTAGTTGGTGGAGAAGGCAGACAGGCCACGCCTCTTTGCGTTTCAAACCGTGAATTTTCAGTTTATTAGTAATTCAAAAGGTTTTTTTTTACTTGCTAAATTTGAAGTCAAACTTTCGATCGCAAGATTTTCCTGGCTCTAAAACTTTTTATATTTTTTTTTGGAAAAAAATTGTTTTCATAGTACTGACTAGGGATCCGTGATGAGCGGAAAACGTTTTTTTTTTCGCCTGTCGGCGGAAACGGAAATCTGGCGGAAGTCGGAAATTTCGCTCATCACTGCTAGGGGTGATACCCTATTATTTTTAATTTTTTTTTACTTTACAGGAAAAAGTCTAGAGTTGTATATTCATTTATGAAAGTATGAATATTCTTTACACTAAAGGGTCGTTCACACTTCAAAACTATAATTATATTTTCCGAAACAGTAAATCCGATAGGCGAAAAAAACCTGGGCCAGCGTCGAATTCTGTGAATTCTGAAGCATTTGACTCTGATTACACGGATCGTTCATGAAAGTGTCGTCTTGCAGAGAATTCTGACCCGCCGCTGGGTACTTCAAGGCAGAAGTCGATTTGTTCTGGAAAGACTCGGATTTGTAGGGAAATTTTCGGGACGAGGGTATGAAAAGTTAGTTAGAATAGAAATTTTGAAAAATTTTGATTTTAGTAATTTTTAACTATCCTCAACTACAAAAATGTTAGTTTGAAGACATTCCGGCTTCATTTTTCAACACGTGTTTTGATTAAAAAAGTAAAAAAGTTTTTTTAAACTGAAATTCCGCATATCCACTTGAATTTCGAATTACTTCCTTCATTTATCTTCAATAATGTTTTTCTTATATTTTTATACTATGGACGAAAGGAGCGAAATTTCAATTTTATGTATACTTTAAGATCTTTTTGGTGTGACTTTTTGTTCAAATCACCAAAGTTCTAATTATCATTTTTTTGTCTTCAAAAAAATCAACTAAGTCAGTTTTTTTCGTTAAAATTCTGACTTTCTCTCTTCAAAAAAATCATCAATTCATTTTTTTAATCTCCACGAATAAATTTTTTTCCTTCTTGAAATCCCTAAAGTTCAACTTTTTCGTACTCGATTAAAACTAACAGGATTTACTTTTCGGTCGTGTCCCGAGTTCTCGAGGATCTGACAGTCCTCGTCGACATTCTGAAGCTTCGAAGCCAATTTCGGACAGTTCTATCCTCAAAAAGTCCAAAAAAAGGCACTTTTTCAAATGAAAAACCTTGACAACGTTGAAATAATTCGTAATGGGTGTGTTGATTTCGGGGACTTTTCTGGAAAAAAGGTGCATAAAAGTCGGAAAGAAGGGTCAGAAACATTTTTCGCCATTTTTTCGGCGAGCCACGCGGTCCGTGGATGTCGCTGCTGAATTTTTCGAAAGATCTTTTCTGTTCTTCTGCACTTCTGTTGAGCGTTTTCACGCTCGCAAGGCTCTGAAGAACAGAAAATTAAACTCTTTTCAAAACTTTTTTAGTTGAAAAGTTAAAAAAAAAATCAATAAAAAATTTGCTGGTGGAGAACTCAAAAAAAAATCATGGACTTTCATACGAAACATTTAAACAAAACCAACGAAACAGACACTTCAAATATTCATAATTTGAAACACAAATCTCACTTATTTTCATCAATTATCCCGTTAATTAAATGAATAATGCGAACATTTTGGAAAAATTCCGCGGAATTCAAGATTATCTCTGGCTCTCCAGAAACTAGTTATCTTTTTCCCTCTCTGATGGTTATTTTTAGGTTCGTGGAATCATTTTTAATACGGCATAACTGTACAAAATTTTGGAGAAAAAGTACTTTTCAAGCTGAAAAATGCGGGAAACTTTTTATTTTCTTAAAAAAAAACATTGAAATCGGCAAACTTTTTTAACATGCTCCATTATTTTCCTTTCAAAACCGATAAAACTAACTCTTTTCATGTCGTCTTCGGTCAAAAAGGAATTCTGGAACGGCACTTCTTCTTTCACGCGAACTTTTTCAAAGGGCGGTTCATAAATAGTCGGCGGAGGCGCTGAAAAATGAAGGACATCCCTGTTTCATTGTTTTCTGGAATAAATCACCTAGGTTTTTCGGTTTCAGTCCATAATCCGTGACAACTGGCGGCATTGGTTTGACAAAGTTGGGCACTTGAAGAAATCATTTTTAAGTGAATATATAAGATTGTTGTTGAAAAAACTCAGCTTTTTTGTCAATTCGAAATTTTTTTTTTCTTTTTTTTTTTCATATTTATCGTATTTGCAATGAATTTCATCATTTCATGAGAAAATCTGAGTTTCGAAGTTTCTTTCAAATCTTAAACTTGAAATACTCGAAAAAGCTTTTTTTTTTCGAATCGATAAAATCAGACTAACTTTTTTTGTGGTTTCAAAAAGTTCTTCTTGAGCCAAAATTCCATTTTCAACCTGAGCTTTTTTATTCTTTTTCTAACTTTTTCACTTAATAATTAGTTTTTTCTTACCTCCTTTACCAGACGGCTCGTAATGGTGTTCAAACTTGTCTAAAAAGAACTCGAATTTTTTGGAAAATAAATTTGAAAAATAAAACCATCGATTAATTCAGGCGGTAGTATTTTCTCCTTGGCCGGTACACTGACATGGGGTCGGACCAGAGAAACGACCTGAACTTACATTTTCATCCAAACTTTTCGTATAGTCCGTTTTTCGCGCCTTGAAAAGACCTTTCTGCGCCCTCCTCGTCTCTCGACGACCCTCTCATTATAATGTACTATTTTTCTATTTCTCTGACCTCGTCGGTTAGGGAACAGAGAGACGCAGACACTCGAAAACTCTCAAGTTGCGGTAAACGGACTATTTTTTAAGGTTACTTTGTTTGGGAAGCTTGTCGAGGAAAAAACCGGCCGTTTTTCCAAACTTTTGTCCAGATTGACCGCTGTACTGGCTGTAGTCAGACCGGTTCTGAAAAATCCATTCTTATACGGCTTGAAAATTAAGCTTTGTAAATATTTCTCTGTTTCTGAAATCCATAAAAAAATAATGCCTTTCAAAATTCCTTTAAAAACATTTGGAATGAGTATTGATTACTGAATTTCAGGGGAAAATTTCAGAGGGTTCACAATGGAAAACGAATTTTCTTCATTTTCGACTTCCCTTTAAAAATAAGCATGGTAAAATCGATTCATTAAAGAAAAACCGTGTTTTATTACTATTATCGAAAACGCAATGTCATGTATTGCTAGAATTTAAAGGAAAGTTCAATTTTTTTGAAAAAAATTATTAATTGTACTGAGGCATAAAAAATGTTAATCAGACCAAAATTCTGAAAAAAAACGTCGAAAAAAATTTCATTATTAGTAGAAATAGTATACTGAGAGGGCTATTTTCATGGTAAGGTTTTTTAAAAGTTCTTATTTTTCCAAGAGTTTCTTCGTTTTCTCTCCATTTATCACCTTTCTAATCTTCAAACCTGTTATTAAATTGTCTTTTAAGCATTAGAACAATCATTTCTGAGAAAGACACCTACTCATTGAGATCCGAGTTCGAAGAACCTTCCTCCCTCTTTTTCCTGACCAAAAATGGAGAAATGCTCGATTGGGTACAGCTTTTCCTGATAAAATTTGACTTCGTTTCTAAATATTTCATTTTCAAGCAAACTTCACTGCTGCCTGCTGCTTATCCAGTACAAACTGTTTTTGCAGAATTCTGAAAAATGGATTTTTTTTTTCAAATTTTGTGACCCCTAAAAAGTTCCTCAGTATTTTTCACGCCTTTAAAGAATCCAGCAAGGATCGAGAAATACTCATGAAAATTACTCTTTTCGTTTCTCCTCCGAGTTGAGGTCGATTTTCAAAGACTTGGTGAAATTTTCAACAGGATCGTAGGCCAGGGAGTCTACCTGACCTCCGAGTATCTGAAAAAAAAACGAAAATAAGTGAGATATGCCAAGAAACTGTTAACATACAGGCTTCTGGGAAGAATTTTTTGAAACTGTTCTTTATTCGAAAACTTTTCTTATTCCAAGTGTTTCTCGATTATTTCACACTATGTTATTCGTGTGAGAAACAGAAAAATTATTTTTGAAGCGAGTTCTCAGAAACCACAACTTTTTCGAGAAAGATAATCTTTTTCAGAAAATGAACGAAAAAACTTTGATTAAGCACAATTTTTTCCAAAACTTATGTACTCAACCAAGTGTTTAAGCTACAAAACCTACGAAGAGATTCCAACGGAACTGAAAATTTTCAAAACATACAAACCTGACAATTTGAATTGCTCAAAAAAATCATGCCGCGCCGGCATTTTGCACTATCCGTTAACATGAACTGCAAAAATGATCCATTTCTTGGAGAAAAAAAAATCGATGGAACCAGAAATCATCACTTCTGGGAATAGACTTCATCCGAACTCGTATTCGATCGGAAAAGGAGAAAAAAATGTAAGAAATAGGACGAAAATCAAAAATGTTTTTTTTCCAAGATTTTGTTTTAAAAATTGGCGGCTTTGAGATCTACGTAGTCAGGCTTCATAGGAAAAGTCGGAAGGGTCGAAAAAGGCTCATTTTATGCTGCCTTTTCGAGCCTATTTCTTTTAGCGGTCATTATCCAAAATCCGGCTTTGCCCAAGTTACTGTCCTCAATATTCGCGGACTTGAGATTTCGTCGTACCATCGAAAAATCCAAAAACCTTGGTTCCAGGTGCAATTTTCGTTTCCGTGAAAACGGTTCCGTCGAGATCCAAAGCCATGAGATTATTCAGGCCATCGGTTATTTCCAGTTTCAAGAAACGCTTTTGGCTGCCTTTTTTGGGCTCCTCCTGCAATTTGAGAATTATTACCTTTTCAGAAAACTTTTTTGAAATGCTAAAATGCTGCATAATTGAAATTAACTTTAAAATTGACTTTTGGCCTTGAAATATTCATCTTCTTTTAAATAAACTAGTTTAAACAAAAAACACCTTTTTTTAGGTCTCATTGAATTTCTTGATCAATTTGCGCACGCTTAAACTCTGTATATAATTTGAATATAAGGTATAATGACGTCATTCCAAAAATCTCTTTAGTTGGCTCGCTTTCGGATTGGTTTATCGCGCCATTAGGGGCGGAGCTTGAGCGACGTCTTTTCTCAGTTTTTTTTTTCAGGTTCAGGGCATCGAAATATTCGTTATATATCCCTTAATTTTTGAATTAGGCGTAAAAACTACAAGAACCATACCATCCCGATGTTGCGAAAAATAAACAAATTGAATTGAAAAAAACAAAATGGATTAATTTATTGAGGATTCCCCCGCAAACGCGTGTTTCATTGAAAAGTTTGCTGAAAATCTTTTTTCGTCGAATTTCAAGCATTTTTCTTGTACTTTAACACATTTCCCACAGTAACTACGCACAATAGATTGTTCAGCCGTTTCTCCAGTGAACCAACTTAAATCGGGTCCAGCTCTGGTAAGTTCCGTCAGCTGTTCGTAGAACGATCGTGAAACATCGACGTATTTTAGGACCTTAACTTCAAATTTTCGTTTTGAAAAGATGATTTCGAAAATGGTTCTTCGTTTTGAAATTGTTATAATACTTCGAAGTTTGCTTGCGAAAATTGAAAAGGAAACGAAATCAAATGGCAAATCCCAATTGCAAACCTGAAAAACGATTTTTCTTTGAAGAATGGCTTTCGAGGCATTTGTCGGGATTTTCATCGGCGCCACGTAACTTTCTTTGAGATCCGAGTTACAGAACTGCTCGACGACGCATTGAAACAAATTTTTCTCGATTTCCTTCTGAACTTATCTTTTGAAAACCTAGGGACATCGAAAAAAATAAAACCGGCGGAAGTTGGGATCGCAAAAACTGTAGACAGGAGTCGAACCAATCACGTTTGCAATGGAAATGATGGGCGGAGAGCGTTTGGAACAACGTTTCGTCGTCCATTCACTTCCCAAACTTCTCTTAAATTCAAAATATTCCTTTTTAAAGGCGCGAAAGTCTATAATAACTTTAAATTAAATTGAAAAACAGTTCTTCAAAAAAATTATATAAGTATCAGTTTGAGGTATTTCTGTCAAAACTATTCCCGTTTAAAAGCTCAGAAGTCAATAACGAGTCGAAATATAATCAAAAAAAGCCCTTCGCCTTGAGATCCTGATCAAATTTGCTTCCAAACACCTCAGAAAGTATTTTAGAACAGAATTTTGACAAAATAAATGACAAAAACATGCAATTATTATTATAGTATATTTTCTATCAAAAAGATCTGCTGAATTTTTTTTAATGACTTATTATGATATTGAAAAACGGCTCTTCGTCTTGAGACTTTAATCAAATTCGCTTCCAAGCCCTCAGAAATTACTTTTAAACAAAAATTTGACAAAAACAAAAAAAATACCCGAAGTATTATTTTGGAGTTATGTGAAGGCTCAGAAGTCTGAAATGACTTTAAAAAAATATTCATAACGGCTCTTAAATTTAGTTTAACTTGCCTTCAAACACCAGATAAAGGGTTTTTTTGAACAAAAAAACTTGACAAAAAAACAAAAAAATACCCGAAGTATTATTTTTGGAGTTATGTGAAGGCTCAGAAGTCTGAAATGACTTTAAAAAAATATTCATAACGGCTCTTAAATTTAGTTTAACTTGCCTTCAAACACCAGATAAAGGGTTTTTGAACAAAAACTTGACAAAAGAACAAAAAAATATCAGTATAGGATAACAATTGCCACGCAAAATAACCGACAAAAAACTTCAATAGTCAAAAATATTTATTGGGTTAAAGAGAAAGAAAAGTTGAATAAGACAAAAAAAAAATAGAATGTAAGGAGCATTTTATATATACATCACCATCCGTGACACCTATCACGAACATCGAATTCCCGGCAGAAAGAGCCTTTGAGGGCCGGGAAAACTTGGTGGAAGGCCTTGGCCGGCGTCGCGTTTTTCTGCTGCAAAATATTTGATTTTCATTTCGGATCCAAAACTTCATCTAAATATCCCTGGAAACAGAATGGAAACGAGAGTCGAATAGTTTTTTTGAATGAACAATCATGAAAATGAGGAAAAAAAGGAAAAAGAAGAAAGTTTGGCAAAAATTTACCAAATTCTTTGTATATAAACTATTTCAAAAAAACAAATGCAATTGAAAATTGACATTTATTTATAAATATTAAAAAAATAAAGCTTTTTTTCTTTCATAAAATTAACGATTTGTGAAAAAAATAAGCTGTAATTAACGGCTTCTTTGAAAAAAACTTTAAGTCCAGGAACTTCATGCTCTGAAAAAGATTGGAAATTCCAACATTTACAGATAAAATTGCAGGAGAGAAAGGCGAAAGTTCACGATTTTTTTTTAAAGGAAAGGAAAAGTTTCTAGTTCAGGCAATCATTTCTTAATAATAAATTGATGCTTACAACATATTGAAGGGGAGTTGGAGCTGCCTCGAAAACGTCTTCGAAAGCTTGATGACTGAGGTCGGCCAGAGCTTTCAAATACCTATCGTCTCTGGAAAAGTCCCGAATATTCTTGAGAAGTCACTTTTTTTATGGGAGTTTTCCAGTTTTTTTTCGTTCAAAACTTCGAATTTCGATGGTGTTGGATACATGAACACTTTTTCTCGTTCTACAAACGCACGTCGTTTCGAAGACGAGTCTCTGACGACTGACGTCCAGCGGAACGGACCTTCCGCCGGAATTCGGGTTCGGCTTTATGTGTTTTCTCATGTGTCGCTCCATTTCTTTCACAAAATTCGTCCCAACATCCTGACATTCGGTACATTTGAACCTGGAAAAAGTTGGTTTTACTATATATATGGCCGGCGGGGGGATGGGTTTTTTTAAATTAGACAGTTTTTTTAAAGGCGCATTGAAAAAAATTCCATAAACATCTCAAGACGAAAATCTTAAACAGGAAACAAACAAGTTGAACGGAATATAATCAATTTAATTCCAAACCTCTTAATTGTAGGAAAAAGCCGCATCGAAATGCTCCAAAACGTGAGATTTGAGGTCTTCGATCATCAGTTTCATCTCGGGTTTGATAACTTTCGAACAAAGAGAGCAGGAAAATCCTCTGGCCAACGCTTCTTGCTGGAAAAAAATTTTTCTTTTTTTGATATTTCGATTATATTTTCATTTGTTGATTTTTTTCTTAAAAGCTTTCGCGACTCGCCGAGTTATTAAAATACTCGTTCAAGGTCTTGGCTCGGAAAAATTTCAATTAATCTTTTTTTCGATACTTTTTTTCTATTTTTTTATTATCTCTTATTTGCCATTAAAACGATCATTGTTTGCTATTTTTTTGAAATTTTTCTATAAAAAGATTATTTTTTTCTCAGTTTCCTATCCAAACCTTGACAGCCATCCGTCTCGCAGCGGGCGATTCGACAGTGGCGAAATGATCAGGATGTGGAATTGCTTCATAGAAATTATTCAAAACTTAAAACACCTTCAAAATGAACCTTTCAAAGCTGTCAATGGTTTTGGAGAAGGTTTGAGGAACTGCGGCGGATTGAGAGGTACCGCGGTCGAAATCGGGGAATGGTAGCTCTAAAGAAGATTTTGGACTCACGCCAAGTTCAGTATTTCGCGAAGCAGGGATTTTCGAGACGACTCAGTGAAAAATTTCTATTTTGAGTCCAAATTGCAATTTTAGAGATTGCGATCGAAATTTTTAAAACCGCTCTTTTTCTGCGGCTTTTTCACACCAGCTCAGAATGAACTACTAGAGAAAAGTATCAGCAGCATTAATTTTCTCGAAAACTATTGAAGACCTTTTCCAAAGAGAGCTGCAAATTCTTTTCCAAGGAAAGCTGCAAATTCTTCGTGATTTTTTCGGTAATTGTTGCGGCAATCATGTCCAGATTCAAACTTTCGTTTTCAAAGTCGGGAGTCGGCGTTTTGGGGCTTCGATCTTAATCAAAAATGTCAATTTACTTTCTTTTTTTCGGCCAGACTTTCCCTATGGAAGGGCTTATTTTCCATAAAAAATTTGGAGCCATTGTTGTTGAAATCCAACTTTTCGGAGAGACTTTCTTTCGGCGGCTCCTTGCGATTTTGAGAATTAAAAAAAAACGGTTGAAAGGGAAAACTGACTTGAAACTCCATGAATGATTTATCATCGGCAATCATGAAGTGGAAATCAACGTTTAGAGATCTCTGAAAATTATTTTTGAAGTCTTTTCAAAGTTTATTCGTTGCTGAAATTTTTAAAGGAGCCTAGACCTCTCTCCGAAAAATATCAAAAAAAAAATTCGTTTTCATTGTCTTTTCGACGCTTTTAGCATACAGCCAGGATTTTCGAATTAAAAAAAAAATCAATTACCATCTCTTGTACAATAACCTCAGCTTCTTTATCATCACATTCAATGGTATACGCAAAAATTTGCGTGTGCGAAACCTGGGAAAACATTTTCCTTAAAAATTGACTTTTCAGAAAAAAAACCTTTTCTTCGCCGAAACTACATGGCTCGATTCTGCATTTGCCGTTCTGAAAAAAATTTTGATGGAATAAATAAAAAATGATTCAATCAAATACCGATAAAAACAAATTCAAGATTTTATCGAAAGGAGCATCGCGGTCCAATTTAGCGCGGATTATGAGCATCGCCTAAAAACCGAATCTTTCTTCCTGAAATTGCGAACGAACAAAGACATTAAAAAAAAATTATGAAACAAGGTTGTTACTATTAGAAAATCTGGTTTTCCGTTAAAAAATTTTTAAGGAAAAGCAAAAACATATTTAATTAAAAAGTATTTCTTAGGCTAAGAATCTTATCACTTTTTATTCTGAATTCCAAAATGATCAGAGTCTTCGAGATCTTCCACAATTTATCTTTATCACAAACTGAAAATTTGGCAGTTCTTCGAAGAGAAAATATTCCAAAAAAATATTTATTTAGCGCTGTTACTTTTAAATTTAAAAAAATTTCAAAATAGGTTTCCAAGACTTCTCTGTTGTTTCTTTCTCACAACGACTAGCAATACAAGCGATTAAAAAACTCGAAGCAGTTCAAAATTTAAAAAAAATGGTTCATGGCGTGTTCATACGACAAAACGAAAAATGCTCCGTTTCTCCGGAAAACACCATCAAAAAGAAAATCGACTTTTTTTGGAAAGAATTCGAACGCGGCGCAAACGCGCGCGCTCGACAAAACTACTGTAACATCGATGGAGCGCGAAAGCCATACATTCAATGAATATTTATTTATTTTTCCTCTTTCACTTCCCAAAACAATCAAAAAGGCTCATTTGGCATAAAAAAACGATCATAGAACAGAAATTCAACAAAATTATACAAAATAGATTTCAATTGGTTCTTAATCAGCTTTTCGTTTCCGGCTAACAGGTGGCTCAGAAAAATCTCTTTGCTCGCGTTCTTGAGCTCTGAGCCGCCCCAGGAACTCGTCGTCCATGGTCAGGGTGAAGGTTTTCACGTTCGCTCTTGGCGGGAGTCTGGAAAAAGAAAATTTAGTTTTTAATTAGGCTATTTGATGGATAATTTGGAAAAGTTCGAATAAAATTACCCAATAGGCAAAGTGGACCATTCGTCCGCATCGCAGAGCTCAAAAAGTGCCGTCGGTTGGAGCGATTTTCTCTTCATCTCTTCTGAGAAAATATTCCGCTATTGAAAAGGTCTTTTTGGGACTTTCAGGAGTTGAAAGCTCTTTGAACTAGAGAAGTCAGATAAAATTTAAATATTTCCAGAATCCTAAAATGGCCTAAAATACCACAGAAAAAAGCTCTTCTCCTTGAGACCTTCATGAAATTTGGAAATTAAGAATTCTACTCAAGAGACTGTAGATATTCAAAAAATTAGGTTTTTAGCTACTTACTGAAAAGGGAAAGTGAAGAATGGAGGTTATTCATATCACTTTTCAGGATTTTTCTGAAAGTTGAAATAAAAACCTTCCGCTGCTGCTTAAAAATAAATGAACACTTTTTTCAAACGTTTTCTTGTAACAAACCAAAAGCCAATAATCTCTGCAAGTCCTCAACAGTTTTCGGCAGGCTCGAGGAGACTACCTCCGACGGCTCTGAAACATTTTTTCCTTCCTTTTTTCATTTTTTCTCGAAAACTGACCAGAAAACTTGGAGATCTCCCTCAACTTTCTCAGCTTCTTGCGCTTTTGAGGGTTGAGATTCGGGACTTTGTTCATAACTCTGAAAAACAGAAAATGAAAAACGAAAGGAAGAACTTTTTCCACTTTTCTATAACTTCGGCGCCGAAAAAGTTAGGAAGATATATGATTTTCGTCAAAATCCGAGACCAATCCAATTCCGAGTAGAACTCCATTGCAGCTGAATTCTATTTTTTTTCAAAGTTTTGATGTTTTTCATCATGGCGCGCCGTAGCGCAACAGGTTATGTGGCTGTCTATGGTCCGAAGGGTCACAAGTTCGATCCCCGTCGCGACCCAACCAAGGGGTTTAAGAAAATTTGGTAGTGGGAAAATCACATTTTCACGTCACACACAAGGACGGATACTTTTGAGAGTTTATTTCAAACCTCAGAAAAAAATCTCAAAGTTTATTTGGAAATAGCTTTAAATTAATTCTTTACGATTTTGGCACCATTTCCGTGAAAATTCAAACTTGTGGCCTGTTGACCGTAAATAGACACACAACCTGTTGCGCTATGTCGCGCCGCTATGATTTTTCTGGAATGAAGGATAAAAACGAACTTTCAGCACAAGGGACGATCATCATACGAGTCCAAGCGGCGATTTGGATTGAGGTGAAGGAAGAAATGGAAGGATCCGAAAGGCGGGCTAGGAGCTGAAATTAATCCCTTTCTAAATTTTTATGGAAGAAGACATTTTTTTGCTGATCTAAAAGTTCAATAAATTTTCACATTATTTCGTTCATGAAAAAACGAACCAAGACAAGAAGTTCGGCGGCGATTTTCCTCTCATAAAGTATTGTGATAATCGGCTCCCAGAAGTTCTGAAGCCTTGTCGGTACACTCGTCTCTGAAGATTCGAAAAAACTCGTTGAAATCTCAATTTCAGAGTTCACTTTAAAGTCCTAAGGGTATTTCAAGGAGCATAGACAATTTTCAAAAATTATTTCAATGGATAAGCCGTTTTTAGGGAACGCCAGAGTGATCACTAGATGGATTCTGGAAAACAGCCAATATAGGGGACAAAATAGTGCCCCCTAGAGGGTTAAAACTTATGGAGTCCTACAGGAGTTCAGAGTCTGATCTCTAAGCCTTGGTCTCCAGTGGTTTTTCGATTTTTTTTTCCCTGATTTGTAAGTCAAAAAGACGTGTAGGGGCCACTAGAACGCTCCCCTAGAGGGAACTCTTTGCATGCTTCAGTGCTCCCTGTAGGAAGAAGGTAAAGTGAGCCCTTGAGGGGAATCTACGAGAGCCTCTAAAGTTGAAATTTTTTTATGCTTTCTCAGCCCTGCAACTTCATAGAATTCAAATTTCACTGTTTTTGTTTTGAAAAACAAAACTATTCTAATAGCAAATTCAACTTGAATTTCGAGGGACGAAAATGAGCCTAATAGAAAATTTCTAGAGAATTGAACAGGAAATTTATTCAGACATATAAAAATAACAAATAAAGTTACTAAAAAAAGATTTTTCGGGCCGAAATAAGATTTTGATCCAAGATTCCCAGTAATTAAACTATTTTTATTTCGAATATTTCTCAATACTTTCAAATTTCTCTCTGAAGTCAGCTCTAGGCCGGCCCGTCAGTCTATAGGCACACGGCCATTTTTAAAGCCAAAAATGAGGGCCAGACTCAAAAGCCTGCTTGTCAGGACCAAAGAAATCAAAAATTCCCACCATTCGTCACATAGGGCGCATACTCATTATCGTACTGTTGTTTGGTCATAATCATCATTCCATCATCGATTAGACAACGGGAAAATTCACTAAAAGATAATAATGAGGTGAATGTTCGATAAGATCGTTAAAATACTGTGTCTCGTTCATGAGCAACCGTTCAAACTCCAAAACTTCCTTCGACGAGGTTCGATAGTCAGCTGGGACTGTTGGGTTCTGTAAATATCCAATCGATGATTGATAGATTTGACATTTAAGACAAGTCTTGCGTGAGCCATAGTCTTTTGCTTCAATTTTGAGAAAAAAAAAAGGATTTCTTCATTTTTGCTAGTCTGCTTGGTTTGAAAGAGCGCGATTCTTGAAAAACTTCGAAAGTAGGATTCTTCGCCTAGAGACCTCTATGAACTAAGTCTATGCTCCTTTAAAAGCTCAAAAAATTTTAAACTAGGTGACATTAAAACTCTTTACTGTTTCAATACAATCTGTTTTCAGGAGCCAGCTGAAAACGGACTTTTTCTTATGGTCAACGAATACCTTCTTTTACTCAATACAAATCGAAACTTGCCCTATATCTCCAGTTAGCATAGGCGACGATGACCTTCCTGTACTTGTTCTCCCTTTTTGCAATGAAGGGGTTCTCGATGAGACTGTCCCCCGTCATACTGGCTCGGATCGCTTCTCGCGCCGTTTTCCTCGCCCAAAAGTTGTTCTGGAATCAATTTTCGTTTCTCAGCGACAACATAGCTGTTCAACGGTGAGGTCAATCTAAAATAATCAATTTTCCAATGTTTTGTACGGAAAACTTTTTTTGAGCATAGATACAAAACCCCCTTCAAAAGTACACCTATTGGTTTGATTTTAATCAACCTCTGTCAATCGAGAAAAGTCCCTGGTAAAAAGGAGCTTTGTTGCCTCATTTTTCTGACTAGTGAGATTATTTTGTGCCTCTCTGAAAACCTATTTTGATTTTTCCAGCTCCAAACCGTACCCAGAGCCATTCAACGCAAATTTTGGTCGCACTCCGAAGAGTTTCGATCGGCGGAACGTGGGAATGAGCCGCTAAATGCCGGATTTCGACGACCCAACGAGGGAAGCCGAGCTGAAGGTCAAGAAGTGATGACATGAGCATGAGCTCCTCACCTGTCCGACAGCTTCGAACATGTTCAGAAGGCGATTCTCTTTCTGGCCGATCTCGTTGGCGTAGTTGATGAATCTGCAATGGAGAGTAATCAAAGAGGAGAATGAAGATTGTTGAAAAAACTCCCTATTTTTCAAGAAAATGCACCTCGAAGTCATCAAAAAAGGTTACTATAGGACATTTGATACACCGAGACTTCGAGCTCTTATTTCTCAAAAAATAGTAAGCTGTGTAGGTTGAGACATTCCGGCCCTTCATTTGGTCCATCAAAGAACTTTTTTTTCCAGTTTTTTCAGCTCCCCTTAGTTTTCGCACCCTTTTTTATGCAACATCACATCGTATAAAGGCGGTGGTCTCTATAGTGGCTAGAGATAAAAATATAGTCCCTACAAGAGACAAAATAATGTTCCCTAGAGAGCTAAATTTCAAATAGTCCCTTACGGAGTTTAGGATCCGACCACTAAATCATATCTGGGCTCAAAAATTTTTTTGAAAAAATTTGATCCTTTATCGTGACAAGGGAAACAAGGACTATATACCTTCCAAATATGAGATCAATCGGAAACTATGAAATGTTCGACTTTTGAGGTCCTTAGCTTTTTTCACAGACCTCGGTGGCAGCTTTCAAGACCGGATTTGGAATCAGCATGAAAAACTTTCCCTAAAGTGACCCCTAACCAAAACTCCGAGAGTGGTCACTTGTTCAAGCCTCAATGTCACTAGGGGTAGGTTAAATGGTCCCTAAAGAACTTTCAAGAGCCCCTAGAGTTACCCCTCTAGGGACCTTTCTGACGTTCCTAAGAAGATCCGGTTATTAATAACTCAAGCCGAATCTTGCAAGTTCGGTACTTTGACGGAAGTCTTCAGATCGACTCTTGGACGAGGTTCAAGATTCGCCGCCATAATTGGGTGCAGGGTTTGGCACTCGAGATAAAGCCCCCTTCCGAAGAAGACGACGAAGATTCCCACGCCACGACGACGGCCAACAACAACACAAAAACACTAATTGACAAATCCGCTCTTCGAGGTGAGCTAGAGCACATCTGAAGCCAGAGGAGGGGAAGGAGAAAGATGGAGCAACACCCATTTTACTCGTCCATCCGTGTCCTCCCACTCCAGTCGTCGTCGCCGACTTCTTTTCCCCCTTCCCTTTGGCCCCTCTACGTCTGATTTGATTATCCAACTTCGAGTACCGACTATTTGTTGCTTTATTGGTCTGGTATATACTCATAAATGAAATCGTTTCAAATATTCAGCATTTCTCCATAGAGCGCAAGTTCTTTTTTTTTTACTTATGCCGACTTTTTGAAGTTTTACATTCTTTTTCATCTTTTTCATCTTTTTTTTTTAATTCTCTGATTTGATTATCCAACTTAGAGTAAAAGTCCAGTAGACACTCATGAAAAAAACCATATCGAATATTCAAAATTTATCTATAGAGCGCAAGTTCCTTTTAAAATTCTGCCAACAGAAAGAGAAACCTTTTTTCAAATTTACACTTTTTGAACCCTCTGATTTCATTATTATGCAACTTCGAGTACCGAGCATTTGTTTTTTATGAGCCCATGAAAAATCGAAAAATAAAAAAAATAGTCTTGAAACTTCATACCTAGCCTTTTTTTGAAGATTTTTATCTTTCGTCGAGAAAAATCTCTCGGACATTGGATTTTTCTCTTCCAGAGCTTTAACATGAGCAATATAGATTATAATGAAAAACCTGTATTTTTCTACCTTTCATGGCGTTCTTTCTTAATTATTAAAATACAATCAATAACTTTTTTTCGAAATCAAAATCAATTCAAAAAAATTTGCGGAAAAAAAGTCAGCTTTATCTCGTCGAAAAATCTCAAAGTCGTAGACCAATAAATTCAATTGCAAAATGAGGCGTAATTGCCGCATTTTCACGATTTTTATCTTTCTAAAGAACCTTTCTCATATTATTAAATTATCGAAAGTGAAAAAAGTCTATAAAGAGCGTCTGGCCCTTTTTAATTTTGTTCTCTATCAATTTTCATCGTCTTCCTTTCATATTTTTTTGTCTACAAATCATGCCAAGACGTCTAAACCTCTCTTTTCGCCCACTATCTCGCTGATCCTATGCAGACCTCAGTACCTAAACTATATCTACAAAAAGGCTTTCCAACATTTTCCAAAAAAAGGAGTCCCATCTCCCACTTCAATTTCATTCCGACACGACCAAAATGATTGAAAACATTTGCACTGGGGCCGCTTTTGATGAACTTCCGCCGCCGCCGAAACTGGCCCCGCAGTCCGATTTTTATTATCCCCATAGCACGCGTTTTCTACTGAAAACGTTCAGAAAAAGCCAGGAGGAGGCGAAAAAGAAAGGATTGAGCCTCGTCTATCTGCCTAATAGTACTAGTTTACAATTAGAGGAGTGTGGAAAAGTTTTTCGAGTTTGATGACTTGAAATCTGATTAAGCTTCAAATTATTTTCTTAATAGCATTAAAAAACATGCACTACTTTAAAAAAAGAAAGATTCAGCTGATCATTTTGAAACATCCTGAAATGTTAAAAATAATATTTTCCCCAGCCTTCAAACCACGCTCCTTAAATTCTCAGAACAAATTCCAAAAAGGAAAAATCTTTTGTGGCCAGAAATTTCTCGGTGTCAAACGAAATTAATAATTAACCATTTCAATTGTTTCAAAAACGCGCCGGACCGAGAAATCTTGAATCCGCGCCAAGATTTCGCATATTTTTCTCACCCTGCGCTCACTTTTTGTTTATTTCCTCCAAAGAATATTATTATTTTTCCGAAAATCACACATTTAGATAAGGATCAGAAAAATGACTAACACTCACGCAAGGCACCAAAACTGCTATAATAAAAACAAAAAAAGTTTTTTTTTCTGGACTAATCTTACATGCCCCGCTTCCTGAACTAAAACTTATCTGAAGGGTTTTTCATTTTTCAATTCACTTTCCAAAGATGCAAAGAGTTATTTTCACCTAGATTGCAAAACTTTCAGAGATCTTATAAATTTTTTTCTGAGCAGTTGAAAGATCTTGGACCAATCAGAAAGAACATCTTTCAAAAAAATCAAAGAAATTAGAAACTCTTGAACTTACTTTTTAACTTTAAAGGTTCCGTATACTTATTACCATTTCAATTGACAAACGAAAATTGAATTAAAAAAAATTAAGGGACTTTAAACTCCTGGTTCTAGCTTCGGAATAAACTCCAGAGTGTCAAATCACTCTCAAATCCTCGAGTAGAAAACTTCCAGATATTTTTTTAAATATCTTTAATCAGTTAAAAGGTCTCATATCCTTTTTTTGAAGGTCTATTTTTTTAAAAAAACTTTCCTTTTTCGCCATTTTCCATATCTCAACCCAACCCTTTCTTCGCCTTTTTTTATTTAAATTTCCCAATTAAACCAAAAACGACACTCTGAGAGCCTTAATCTTGAGGAACCAACTCCAAAAAAATACTTTCAGGAGCTCAAACATGATGGTTTGGTTGCGAAGCCAGGTCTCTATCAAAAAAACTTTTTAATTAATAAAAAAATCCTCTAGACTCACTCCAAAGCCCTGAAAAAGGTCACCTTCAAAAAACTGTCATTTTTTCGCTATTTTTCATCTCGACCTAACCCTCCCCTTCACCTTGGATTGCCAAACGAAAACCAAATAAAACGACGGGGAATTTCGGAGAAGAGCACCTCCTTTCGGGGAATATTAAAATCACGGGACGTTTGTGCACGATTTGACAAGCAGATTGCATTAACGGCGGGGTGCAGACAGAAGTCGCACGTCTTCAAGTCTTCAAAACGTCCCCTTCCCACCACTTCTTACTCCCATTTTCCCACCTATTTCGACTCCTCGACAACACGACGACAAGCCCACGTCACAGCGCTTCAAATCCAGGTTTTTCTCCTGCTTGCTGGGATTTTCGAAGGAGCAGAGAAAATTTGGAAAAAATATCGAGAAAGAAACTCAGTATTTTTTTTTGCTGAACCCCAAACCAATCTTTCGGACGCCACTTCTTAACATTTAAAAAATTTTTAGAGGCAAGAGCGATGCCTTTTAAGGCACCTTTTAAAAAGATCTTTTGAAAAAACCAAAACTCCTTTTCCAACTCCTTTCTCTATATTTTCATGCCCAACATCATCCTTGAAGATACTAAAAATAAAAGAAAAAAAGGTCACCGTCGCAATTTTTTGAGAAATCCGATAGGAAGATAACAGAGAGTTCGTTCCGTTCAAGTCCCAAAAAAAGTGCGAAAAAAAGGATGAGGTCGAAATCTTGAATCTCTTTGGACCCATGGGTTCAAACTACGTGAATACCCTCAAAAAGAATTGACCAAAAAAATTCAAAAAAATAAAAAAATTGAAACCAGTGCTGAAAATTATTTTTTTATAAAGTTTTTTTCTAAATGTTTTTTTATCAAAATCGTCGTTTTTTTCTACAACTACCTTCTATTCGTATTCGCTAACCGAAACTTCTCAAAAATTCAACTTTAAATAAAGTTATATAATTTCCAGGTGCCATGTGATGGTGGCTCGAATCGCCGTCTGCCATGCCTGTGCACTGTTGCTCGCCTTATTGCTCACACCAACAGGTTAGTGCTCATATTACAAAAAATGCTTCTCCAGTTTCCTTCTTTGTTAGCTTTTATCTCATCATTGTCCTTCTCTCAATAAAGATTTCTGTAGGGAGAGCCCTAAAGGACACACTTCAACGTTCTGACTTCGAATTATGTCTTTTTTTATTAATACTCATCCAAAACTTGGAAGAAATAACGATAGAGGGCATGTTTTTTGGAAGAAAACTTCTGTTGGAAAGCTTTTTCTTGGTCGTTTTTTGCTCCATTTTCGCAAAATCTCAATAATACACAACTAAAATCATCAATAAATGCACCATATTCTTTTTTTTTACTACTTCAGTCCCTTTACTCAATTTCCGTACAATCTTAAAAGTACCTAACTAAAATCATCCATGAAAGCCAAAATCAATCTTTTATTATTTTACAGTCCTGAGCATCACCTGCTACGACTGCCACTCGGACCAAGGGACCTGCAATGAGGGCGAATGCGAGGGATTGGTCTGCATCAAAATGGAGACGTCCAATAAGGACAATGGTTGGTTTTCGGACCAAGGCAGATTTTTCGGAGTAAAGGCGCTCCTTGGATCAAAACTTGAGGCAAAAAATTTGTCAAATCTTTATTTTGACTTAACGATTAGCCAGGGTTTTTTTTAATATCTACAAACGCTCTAGCGCTAGCCCAATGAAATAGCTATTATTCTTTATTAAAAATATGTTTTTTCGCTTTGAAATCGCCTCGAAAAACAATTGGGAATCTAACATTTTCCGAATATTCAGAACGGAAAACGATTCAAAAGAGCTGCGGCGACGAGATGGAGGAAATGTCGTGCCAACAGTCGGCTTTTGGCAGCAAATGGATGAGTCGCTGTGTCTGTGATACGCCTTTTTGCAACGCCGATCAGGTTTTTATTTTCTTCAAACGGAATTAGTTCGTTAGTAAAAAAAGGGAGCTTTCAATACATATAGAGAAAAGCTGAAGCTTTTGGATCAACTTTTAAAAAAGTAATATGAGAGGAAAATGAGCCAATTAAAGGCACAGGGGTAGTAAAAGGGGGTTTGAGGCGAAAGCAATATTTTGTAGCTTTTTTTATTGCCCCGGTATATTCAATGAATCCAAAATGAGGTATTTTTGAAAAAAAACGCGATTTTATATTCCCGAATTACAGTTTTGAAAACCGTGAGGGATTGGTGTACAGAAAACTGTTAAATAAACTGAAAAATGGAAGATTTGTCAGTAGAGCAACTTTGCTGCAAAACTGGCTTTTGGTTAGAATTAAAACATATTCTTCTCCAATTTTAAATCTTTTTATTCTCCAAAAACAAGAGAGTCCTGTACTTTTTCAATTATACTGTTCGAACTTAGAGCTCTAAAAAATGACACATTCATCTCAAATCCCATTTTTTGTTGCCCGTATGCCTTTAACAAGACCTTTTTGATCAAGCCCTTTTGATAACCTAATAATGTTTTTGCTTCTTAACTATTCTAAATCGTTCCAGGCCCTGGTGGACGCCGGTCTCGAGCCGTCCTCAGCCCCACCGCCGGCCGGCCACTACACCCAATTCGCGCTTCTCGTCGCCATTTTGGTTTTCGTCGGCGCCAGCTGCTCCCTTATTCTTATCGCCACCGTTTGCGTCCAGTTCTGTTGAAGTGTGGCTCAGGATTCCTCTCGTGAATGCAAAAATATGAACTTTTTTTTGGAAAAAACTTTGAGCTTGTCAATTTTGTAAACTCTTAAAACGGTTATTCTTAATATCGGCACCAAAAAAGACTGAAAAAAAACTGAAAAGTTCCAAGGTCCTTTTCAAGACTCATAGTTGATTCACTTCGAGCTTTTCCTGCTGAAAAATGCGTACTGTAGAGCTAAATGAACCTCTTTTTTTCATACGCTATTACGCCTATTCTTTTTAAATGTTTTTCTTTGTTATTTTTTTTTTTTTGCACAAGGAGATAAAAATTTTTATTAAGAGACTTAAACGAATATTTTCATTGACCTCAACCTGCGCCTTTAATAAATCCTTGAAAAATCACATTTTCCATCCCTGACTTAAAGCTGATACACGGCTGACTTGAACCATCTAAAAAATGGGTCCTGACACGATAAGAAAAGAGAAAGTGTCTGGTTCGTGGAGAGCGCAGACAGGCCACGCCCCTTAGCGTCCCAAGCTAGCCGTGAATCGCCTATATCAATTCCTGCTGTTTCAAAAGCTTTATAAGACTTTTTCCAAGTCGACAATTTATTTCGTTATTTTCACAGAGTTGTTTTCTGAATTTTTTGTTTCTTGGGGCGCATGCGTAATGGCTCAAAGTGTTGCGGTCAGTTACAGTACTATGTGTGCTACTGCGCGCAAGTCTTTTCAGGTCGGCCGCAACCGCTTCGCAGTTAAAATACTGTGAAAAATCAAGCTCTCCTCTTCTTTTTAAAGATGCCATTTCGAAACCAACTTTTTACTCTAATTGAACAAATTAATTTCGTTCGTCCAAGACCCAACTTTTTATTCACTTTCCAAAGTTATTCCTCTTTTTTTCAACATTTTTAAAAAAATTTCCACAGAAACCTTTTTTTCAAAGTTCATTATAACTCCTCAGAAAAAAACTCTTTTTCTCTCCAAAAATCCTTTCTCTATCACTTTTTCCCATTTTCTTCGCTCAAAAAAGGATCTCACGCGAAATTTTACCATTTTTTTCTTCTGTTTTTTTTTTTCTTTTTGTTGGAAATAAAGGCATTTTCTATGGAGAGTCCATTTTCAAAGCTCGGAAAATTTACAAAAGCAAATTAAAAAAAAAACCTGATAATGGCAATGCAGTAGGACATTTTAATCGCTTCCATTCGGATCCAATCGCTTTTGTCCTGGAATTATTTCTTCTTTCTTAAACTTGTAAAGAGAAATAAAGGTACATCAAAAAAAGCTGTAATTCAGGTCATTTTTGATCGAACTTGCCTCAAAAACTCAACAAAAATTCTGAGGGATTATCTTTACAGGGAAAGTTTTCAGTGGCCACTATAGAGGCTCGCCAAGGACTACTTGAAGAGGACACTAAAGTGGCCACTAAACCCACCTCTATAGTGGCCACTTCAGTAGTTTTTCATCCAATATTCCTTCCAGTAACTCTGATAATTTTTTAAAACAAACAGATTGGACCAGTTATGTTGATCCATTGACCCCTCAAGTGGCCACTGAAATTTTTAGTGGTCAGTGGGGAAAATTTTCCTGGCACTCGAGACTTTTTGAGACGTTGACTTTGAAACTTCATGATTATCCGTAAAGACAACTTTTTGGAGGATAAATCGTTTTTTCGTCCTTGTTTTTTTTTTTTCAAAAGGTTTTTCGGTTTGAACTATACTCGGTTTCGAAATCTGTTTTCTCACCTTGGTCAGGAGCTCATCCATCGCGACTCTCAGCAACAGATCCGAACAGGAAATCGCGACCGGAGTTTTGTCACCCATTCTTCAAATATTTTCTTCAATTTCAAGACATAATGAGAAAAAAAAAATATTTATAGCTGATTCACGGCTGACCTGAGCCATCTATAAAAGGTCCTGGGACGATAAGAAAAGAGACAGTGTCTGGTTCGTGGAGAGCGCAGACAGGCCACGCCCCTTAGAGTCCAAAGCTAGCCGTGAATCGGATATAGACGCCTTTTCAATTGCAAAAAATTTTTTGTTTATTTTTATCCAGCGGCGTATTCTATTCACAAGGAGGGATATTTTACCTTACCCTTAAGAATTTCCTGAAAATTAGTCAGATTATTCTTGATCCTCTTTAACGTTTCAACTCCTAGTTTTTAAGAAACAACGGCTCAAAAAAGTCAATTTGAATTCTTTTTGATGAGTTTCTTCCACTTCTAGGTGTTGAAAATTTGGAATTTCTTGAATTTTTATCTTTCATTTTCAAAATTTCGGAAAATTTCCAACCACAAAGAATAATGACCTTTCTCATTAGAGAACTTTAAATTTGCTAATTTTCGAAGCTTGAAGTGACTATTAAAGGCGCATGGAGAAGGAAACCACTTTCATTTCAATTTTCGTCTTTTTTTTCTAATTCTCCGTTAAAAGCTGTAAAAAAGTTGATAACGTTGAAAAATGAACAGAAAACCTTTGAGTGTTATAATTTTTTTTTTCGAAAAAATCGCTTAACTGAAAATCGATAACAAAATTATGTCTCTAAGGAACCGAATAAATATTCAACGTGAAATGAAGAATAAAAAAGAAGAGAAACCTGCTCCTCCACATTGAAAGAAGAGAAAGACATTCTCTTATTTCAGAGACTGAGGTGCTTCGAAACAGAAATTTGGCTCGATTCCATTCCCAACTGAAACGAATTCGAGGAAAATATGATGAAATTATAAGCTTCAAAAAAGTTTTAAAAAAACTTGGTTGACTTCAAATATCCGGTATTTCATGAGTTGAATCGAATTTTTCCAAAAAGTATTGAAAGACTTTTTCTCAACTTAAAAAGGAAAAAGAGAAAATAATTCCTGATGGCCCATTTTCTGATATAATGAACAATTTTTCCATACTTCAACTGAAAATAATTTTTATGAATAAATCCAATTTTTTAAGCCGATTCAAAGTTCTGATATACGGTTCAAACTCGTCAATACTGTATAACATAATCAAGAAAAAGACAAACTCCGTAAAAGGGACGATGAAGCCAGGAATCGCCGGCATACCACAACTTCATACAAAAAAATAAACTCTAAAAATTTCCTATATTAAATCTTCCTCTTTCCAAAAATCTCTGATGGCTTCTTGGGAACCTTCTCTTCAAAAACAACAGCTTTCAACAAATTCAAAAAAAATTAAATTTTATTATGACAAATACGGAACAAATACTATGCAGACAATGAGAAGCGAGGAAAAAATTGAAAGATTCCAGGGAAACCCGTGAAAAGAGCAATGGAAATCGTACAGAAAGAAATGACTAGATTCAGGTGAGATTTTCAAATTTTTTCAGGTAGGTGTAGGGATTTCGGACGGTGGCCAACAGGCCTTTCTCGTTCAGAATCGGCGTGTCCAACGAGTATCTGGAATAGTGATATTGGATCGATGGTGAAATCTTTTTTTATAAATTTGATTAGATAATTATATCTTTTTAACCTAATTTTTAAAGAGAAAATTGCTAGATTTTCAACTTCAAAATGATTTAAACGAAAAATCAAAGAACTTCCAATTTCATTTTGACTAAATGAACTGAATAACCTCAAAGGCTCGCCCTTCAAATCAAGCATAGCCCCGCCCATGGCTCTGAGAATCGCGTCCCCGGCACAGGTGTCCCATTTCTTGATCGCCGTCGTGTGCAGGTAGATTTCTAGATATCACAGAATACGGTTTCTATTGAAAAAAGCAAAATCCTTGAAATACTTTTGGAAATTGTTCTTTTTACTGAGCTTCTGAAATTTTCAAAAGCTCTTGAAGCAGCTGAAAATGAAAAAACTTTGAAAGGGCAAAATACTCCAAAAAGAGCTATTTCCAAGCTTTTTTGACAGACAGGAAAAAAATTTCCGGTTGATTACCTAGAGGGATTTACGGTCTAACCCTTAAACCCGTGAGGCTTGAGTGGTCACTATAGAGGTATTTTGATTTAAAGGCATAGGGGCAGTAAAAAACGGTGTTTCAGTTCAAAGCAGTACTTTGTAGAGGTTTTCATTGCGAATCGAGCGGTAAACTTGGGAACGTACAGTAGTTCCTAGTTTTGAAGAAAAAATAATTCAAAGTGGGAGAAAGGAAAGCTTGAGTTCCCGCGAAAAGGGCGCTTTGCAGTAAAGTTGCTCTATGGACAACAGGCTTCGCCTTTATTCGGATTTTCGCTTTTTTCTTCGTTTCTTTCAATTTTCAATTTTTTCTGTTGTCATCAAAGTTCTTTCTGTCACAAAAGCTTTCTATTCATGTATAATTTGCAAACTTTGATTGCAAAAATGCTTCTTTGTTGAAAAATGATGATTTTACGCAGGTTTCAATTGGGATAGCGTTTTTTTGTGTTTTCTTTATTATCATTGTGTTTTCCTGTTTTCTTAATCGATTCTTCAGAAACGAAACCCTTAATTTGAAGCAGATAGCCGGTTATTTCTCACAAAATGCGAGTCTAATGAGACGTCCGCAACATCGCGTGCACAGCTACTGTAAACAGTTGTCTGAGCACCGATCCAAAGCTTTTTTCAAAAAAAAAGGCGGGAAAGTGAAATCGCGTTTTTCTTCTAGAGTTGTCACATCTGTAATTTTTTGAGTACACCGTTGGATTCGCAAAGAAAAACAATACAAGATACTTCTTTCACCTGAAACCCCATTTTTTACTGCCCCTATGCCTTTAAATTTTGAATAGACGTATAGGTACTACCAGAATGCTCCCTAGAGTGACCACTTCTGAAACTTCAGCGATCTCCTTATAGGATGAGAGTGTACCCTATAGAGAAAACTTTGAGTCTCTCAGGTTGTCCCTCTAGGGACCACTCTGGCGATTGAAGGAAAGAACAAACCAGCAGTTCCATTGACCAGCCGAAGAGTCTTGTAGCCGCTGCCGCCGGCGGATTCCACGACAACATCAGATCCCAGTTTCTTCGCCATCTCTTTTACTTTTCCCGCGTGAGACCTTCAATGATGAATGTTTGAGTAAATATATAAACTATATAAACAAATGAAATTTCGACAATTAGTCATGTCTATAAAATTGTTTGAAAAATCTATTTTTTTCATAATCAAAAAAACTATCAATAACTTTGATTCGAAATATTTTTTTCAGAGCAAAAAAATTGAACTAGAAAAATTTTTCTACAGACATTTATTTTTTTCAGTGCAAAAAAACTTCCTTTTACAAATTCAACCTTGTTCAAATGAGAGAAAAATCGGACTGATATCAAAGTTTTCAATAGAAAAAAATTTGTGAAAAAAATGGAAAAAAAAATTTTTTTACGAGTTCAAACTAAAAAAAGGGAAAAAAATAACTATAAACTTTTTTTCAATAAAAAAATTTTTTTCGAGCTCAATATTTCAGAAAAAAATATTCAAGCGATTTAAAAAAATATTACTAGGAGCCTTCTGAAAAAAATGTGAAGCAAAAAATCAGTAATTGTGATTAAGATAAATGAATAAATGTCCATTTTCAACCTAAAGAAAAATCTCGCATGGATATAAATAAAAAATTGATTGAAAAAAAAAACGAAAAGATGAAGAAGTATCTATTTTCAACGTGAAGAGGTCCTTAATGACATAGAAACATCCGAAATCAAGATTGAATTGAAGAAAACGAAAAAAAAACCTGGAAACGACAATTTTCTTGGCGGTCTCTTCATAATCCACCGGGGAGAGCATTTTTCCGGCAGAGTTCATGACTCCCCAGCCGTTGAGGCCGAATACTGCAAGTTTTAACATATTTCTTATGAACACATCCATTGATTAAACAAAATGGGAAAATATGCCGTCCATGAAACAATGACTTCAACTTGTTCGAATATTCCTTTCCAAGGTCTCTCAAATACTTCATTTGGGAATAAAAAAATCTTTTTTTCTTTTTCTTGTTATTTTCAACCAATTTATAAGTTATTTTTTTCTCTGAAATTTTTTTCAAAAATAACGAAATCAACCCCTAAAGGTTGGAAAGCGTGAAAAAATAACAGTTTAATCCTGAAAATTTGACTTCTGCGGTTGAAATTTTTGAAAATATGTTTGCTTTTGGTTAAAATAAATTGCAAAACTTAATTTTAAATGTTGCGATTGAGAAAATCAACTGTTTTCAGAGTTTCAGGTCAATTTTTGTTGATAAAGACCGCATAAGAAGCCAAATTCCTCGAATTTTCGAACTTTTGAATAAAAATCCACGGGATCCACTAGTTTCCTTTTTAAAAAGTATGTATTTGCGATATGTAAAATCAATTATTTTTGTTTTTTCTGCCAAAATATGCTGAAAAATACAAATTTGAAGACAAAGTAACGTTTTCGAAATGAATGATGTACTACCAAAAGGTTAAAAAAATTATTTCTATTGACTTTTTTTGGCAAAAATTCGCATTTTTTGTTGAATTGAATTCAAGTGAGTTTCAAACCACTTATGAAAATAAAAGGCAAGAAAACCCACTAGTTTCATTATAAAAAGGTCTATAAATGGCCCCAAAAATCGGATCTTCTCCCGCACAAATGCACGCCATCACGGTGACATATTCCGTCAAATTTTCTGAAATAATTCTTTATTTGAAATAAAAACTCAAATAGAAATAAACCTGTAAATTCCTGGGTGGCGTCTAGAGGATCCACGAAAATGCGGATATCTGACAAGGATAACCGACGGCTGGGAATTCTAGGCAAATATTTATTTTGACTGGAATCTTTCTGAAAAAACTTGTCCAGAACATCCTTGACACTTTCCCAAAGGAGATAATTATCGGATCGATACAAATTCACTTCATTTGGAGTGAAACTGGACGGAGGCTTCTCCTCAGAAACTACCTGGAAATACGGAATTATAAGATGGAAATTGAGCCAATCTTCAATTGGTCGCGTTTGGAATGTCTTGAAAACCCAGGAGGTCAAGAAAAATCTAAAAAGTACTAATTTCTTCCTTTTTTTCTGAAGGAAAACTACCAAATATGGAATAAAACAAGTGAAACAAGCTAAAATCTTCAAATTTTGAGTTTTCAACTTTAAGAATCGAGAATTTTCGAAGACCTATGTTATTTCTATTCAATAAGGTATTTAAAAACCAATTTTAATCGCTACTTCAAACTTCAAACATAGAAAACAGAATCGAAGCAGGGCTTTTATTGATTTTTGGAACCTCTGAAGAGCCAAGTAGTCAAAAAAATGCCTAATTTTTCTGATTTTTTTGTTCGAAAAAAAATAATTTTTTTCAATAAAAAAACGAGTGAAAATCAGCTGAACATGTTTTTAAAAAAAGCAATTTTAAAAACTTTTTTCCGGTCTTTGAAAAATAATAGATACATGAATTTTTATCAATTTTTTTCAAATTTCGATTGAGTTACTCGACAAAAAAACTATTTTTTTGTACATTATATTCTGGTTTTTGGCTGTGTATAACTAAATTACTGAAAATAGAATCAAAAAAAAAATTCTAACCTTAAGCTTCGGGAAACGTTGTAAAAGGTCCAGAATCAAGGAATTCGAAATAATATCGGCTTTGGTCAAAAGTTCCTCCTTTCCTTCGTCGGTCAGACCCTTCGCCTCAATGTTCAGAGCTGAAAATTCAAGATTATGGCTTGATTTTAATGAAATTCTCATCAAAAACCATTCTCTTCGTGTACTTTCTTCACCGCATGGCCACCCATTTCCACTGCCAAAACGGCGTAACTAGAAACTTTTTGTTTACTTCAAGAAATTATGAAGAAATACCTGACAACGTCCTTCAAATCGACATCAATTTCAGGGAAACCATCGCCGGACTAAAAAAATCTTATAAAAAAATTAATCTCAATTTGATAGTGTATTCTGAACATTAACTGGACCTTGTAAAATTTGATACTTTTTTTATAAATTTTTAGACCATGAAAAAATCTTTCCGCCTATTTTTTTGAGAATCAAACGTCATTCTAGCAGAAAATGAAGTTGATCAAAAAGTTGATCAGTTTTTTTGACTTCTAAAATCCATAAATTTCGATTATATAACACCTTTTTTTCGAACTTCTAATGAGAAAATCAAGCTTTTTACTACATAAATCGAATGAAACAATTTTTTAATAAGCTGAAAAATGGGAAAAATTTTGTGAAGAGCTGCGCAGCTAAAACTGCAGGCAAAATTAGAGTTATTACGAATTTTCTTCAATTTTCAGCTGGAAAATAACTTTTCCAACTATTAAAAACGTCAACCGTGGTTCTAAATGGATACAGTATAACAATTGGAAATGAAAATTTTTTTAATTTGAAAATTAATATAATAGTTCTAGAAGCTTTGAATGAGCAAAAAAAAAAAAAGAAAAACAGTAAGAAAAAGTAAATAATTCGACAGCTAACTTAAAGAGAACGAGGAGAAATTATTTTTCCGATTTTAGAACTAGTATAACATTTTTTGATGTTCCAAATGAATAAAATGAAAAGTTGCAGATAAACTCTTCGAAGGAAAACACAAAAAAATCGTTTGTTCGACTCGAAAACCAACTTCGAAAAAGATGAGGTAGGCGAGGTATATGAATCCAGCGGCCATGATCACCGAGAAGGTGTTCCGCGCGTGCAGACGAACCTGCATCGTCGTGGTTTGCTGCAAAATTCCCCTTTCGAAACACTTTTAAGCGATGAAAAATCCCCACCAAAAGCAAGTAAATTGCTCTCATTTCCGAGTAAATAGGTAGAAAAATAGGGCGGGAAGTTCACAAAAAACAGAAGAGGAAGAAGGATTTGGCGGCAAACCTTTGAAACGCTGAAAACTTCGAGGGTGGCGGGATTTGCAGCCCGATCACAATCTCTCAAAAAGATCGCCCCTTTTCGGCCGGTTCACGTGTCGCCCCACACTCGCTTTTCGACCATTCGATCCCTTTTTGATTAGAATACTAGTTCTGGAAAAAAATATCCATACAAAGTCGTAATTACAACTATTTTTCGAGGGTAATGAGCTGCGGATTTCTAAAAAAAATTTTTTTTCCAATTTAGCCAACAAAATTTTAAATTCTAAGCTTCAAAGCCTGTTTGAAAAGTTGACGTGTTTTGAAGCGCAAAAAGTAAACTTATCTTAAAATAAGAGTCTTATAAGACTATAAAATGCACTTCGTCCTGAAAATTTCCTCGAAAAAGCCCAAACACCTTCAAAAACATTAAAAGGTTTGAACTATGAAGCTAGAGACACAAAATTGAAATTTTTAAAAATTGGAAGCATAAAAAAGGAAGCCCGATTATCAACAGACAAGCAAAAAAAAAAAAACATGCAGAAAATCCTGTTTCTAATTTCTTGATAAACTAAATTTCAATAAGGAACAAATAACAGATGAATGAAATAACCCTAGAAAGGGCCAACGAAATTGAAAAATTTAGAGAAAAAAATAATAAATTTAAATTCTCCTTATCGATTTTTCAAGATAGACACGCCAATATATCATTATTGTTTTTTTCTGACTTTTTATGGGGTATTCCGAATAAAAACAACCACCATATTCGACCAAAAAGAAAGTAAGAAAAAATGTTTTCATAAAATCTAAAAGTAAAAATTAATGCCGTGTTCAAAGTGATTCCGCGAAATTCAAAATAGCCGTCAGAGAAAGAGAAAGATAACTAAATTTTGGAGGGTCAGAGACCATTTTGCATTTCGCGGAAATTACTTTGAACACGGCATAAATTGAACGGCCCTCAAGGGACCAGTTGCGAATTATCGTTGGAGCAAAATTGCGGCGTATTCTTTTCCAAAAAAAAAAAAATGGACCTGAAAAATTTTTTAAATTGAAGAAAGCAAAAAAAATCTTTTGGTGGGCGTATATGATTTGAGTGTTCGCAATGAAGAAAACGAAATTTTCTGTTGGCGTATTGCTCCGAAATCGTACATTCTGTCCGTTGTGGAGCGATTATGTCGCATTCAAAGAGTTTATTTTTCTATAACCCAAAAAAAGGCGAGGGAAAGTGTAGTTAGTCCTATTTTTTCTGTATAGTAAGTGTTGAGCGAAAAAAAAAAATTATTTTATTGTAAACGCTATGCGTATGCATAGAACCATTTCTAAAATGAGGGCGATATTAGTAATTCTAAATTCTTTCGCTGGATTAGCTTTTATGGACGCAGTTAAACAAGAGTTCAACACATCCGGTAACTTGAGAAAAATGATTTAGAAAAAGGTTTACATGAAAATTAAATTTTGAAGAGTCGGAAGGGTATTCGAGCCGATTGACAGCCTATTTATCGCACGTTTTTCCGTCAAGACTTGACGGTTCCAGTCTTTTGCCCTCAAACGACACAAATACAACGTAAATCCTTCCAATTTTCAATAATTTTCCCCCATTTTCCAATTTTAACACAGAAAAATGCGTTTTTACGCTGCGGAATTCAAAATTTTTACAACCATCCTGATTTAGTTGTGTGGTCTTCTCGCAGCAATTCAAAAGATTTTTTAAAAAAATAACTTTTTAAGAATTCAAGTTTTTTTGAGAACCCGATATTCTAAACTTTTAAAGACTAGAGATACCTAATTCTAAAAAAAACAAAAGAGAAAGCTACGTCTTTTTGAAAATTTCAAGGAATATGTCCAAAAACGCTTTCTTTTCTTTAAACCTCTAAATTTAAGAAATTTTCTGGGATCTCCAAGCTATGGTCGTCTGCACCACGACGAGGCTCCACACAATCCGAAATATTTTCCATTTATTCAAGAAGTTCTCAACCAACCATTTCATCATTGCGTCTACGATGAGAAATTGTAAATTTTTGTTTCATTACTTTTTTCGATACGAAAAAAAAATCAGATGCACAGGAAAATCTGGCACGCAAATAAAGCAGCAATATGTCGAGTTTGGAGCTCCAATCAAGGTTTTTTCGTTTTTCAAACTTTTTTCCTGTTATTTTTTAAACACCCCTCCCCCCCACAAAAAGCTTACGAATGAACTAAATTCATTATCCTACAGATCGAATGCTTTACTTGCGAAAAAGACCATATAAAATCCCTCCAAACGGCTCATTTGATTCAAAAAAGGTTCAATTTTACTCGAATTTGAAATTGAAAAAATAAATTCAAGAGACACATTCTTCGATAAGCCACTAGGTCTTCGAAAAGAGTCATCAAAAGCGGCGGACGACACTCAAACGCCTCTTTATTCGCAAGTTCTACACGAGGAATATGATTCAAATAGTAGCAAATATAGAGTTTTCGAGGCCCCCGGTTGGGTTTCCATGAAACTTGGCTGAAATGCACTTTAGAAGCCTCCTGATTCCAGAGAAAAAAAAAAGAATTTCTCATAATAGACCTGGTTTTCGAGTTAAGACTTTTCAAAAGCTATAAACAGCGTTTTTTGTCTTAACTTGCGTATTTTCCAACCCTTCAAGCTTCATAAATCGAAAACAAGATCTATTCCGAGAAATTTTTTCTTTTGTTCTGGATTTAGGTTTCACGAACTCCTAAGAGGCTCTGAAGTACGCTTTAGAAAAGTCTCATCGAAAGTTCAACCAGTGGATCTAGTACCAAAGCTTTAGATTTCAATGTAGCTGCGTCAGAAACTGCGGCCTTTTTCGGGCAAGTCACTAAAAGTCATTTTTCAGACACCAACCAAATTTTCGGGTTCAGTAGGACTGGGTCCTCTATTGAAGTTATTAGAATGAAAAGAATCAAGCAATGAACATTTGTTTATAGTTTGCTCCGAGCAAAGAGCCTCCGATTTATGCGAAAGGGATCACCGTTGGACATTTGCATGTGATTTTTTTCCTGAATTTTAAGGAGGTCTTCTCTATTTTTTCAGCAGTTGGATCAAAATGTGACAATAGATAGCCGAATCCTCACGAATATCGACGTTCTTTATCGAGGTAATGCCCAATCGGTTCAGAACTTATCAAAATATTAAGATATCCCGAAATTTCAAGTCCTTTATAAGCACTACGAAGACGTTAATATGATCACTATCGGTCTTGAAGAAGAAAATAAGACGGAGAACTTGAAAGTGAGCAGGAAAATGCAGGGATTGACAAATTGCGGAATTTTAAGCTAAAAATATCTTGGAACGAATGGTCTTGCTGTTCGGCGTGTTGCTGTCCGGAATTAATTTGTGGAATCATGGAATCCGCTTCAAATTGGTTATTTTCTTGTCCTTTTTTTCGAAACCCCTTGCTGAAGTTTTTAAAGACGCATAAACAAGCTTGATAAAATTTCCGAGGCGAAAATCCCGCTTTCAATCTTTTCGAGACTTCTCAAATTTTTTAAATTTTAGTTCTTCCTTGAAATCGTACAAGTCACGAATTGGCTACCTCTCTCTCTTCAAGCTCAACAAGAACTTGACGGTTAAAAAAAGTTTTCAACCTCAAAATTTTGAGAATTTCAGCTACAAAACAAAAATCTGGACAAATTGTTCAGCATGAAGCCTTATTCAACAGATGGAGTTCCTGTATTTTCCTCGCTTCTTCAGAGACATTTTCCGACAGAGTTTGATATTATTTTAAAAGTTAGTTGTAACTATATCCTGTTTAAAATTCCTTGAACATATTTCAAAAAAAAAAAGCTTTCTGAAAAAAAACGGGGATTCTTGAGCAGATTTTATGGATATTTTCGTGATAGAAGCCGACATTTAGACTATGATACCAGCATATATGGAAAACTACGGTGGAAACTATATCAGCTACAGTGGAATCGGGCAGTTTTTGGAGACAAAAGACTGCAAAAACGACTCGCAGAAGTTGGATTGCACGAAATTGACCGAATGCCGATTTGGGACCTCCTCCGTGAGTACTTCACATGCTGGAATAACTCTCCCATCGGGAGCCCACGCTTCCACAGCAGCGTGGCGCAGTGGAAGCGTGCTGGGCCCATAACCCAGAGGTCGGTGGATCGAAACCACTCGCTGCTAGTTTTTTTTCTTCTTTGCTTGCTCTTTTTGACCTAATTTTTTTGAAATCAGATGCTTGATGGATTTCGAGCCAAGCCGCCACCGGATCCTGAACCGTGTTCAAATGTTACGGTCGTTGTCATTCGAGAAATGTCGATTGTTATCAAGTAAATTCCCCTTTATCATCATATTTTTGAAAGAATATTACCTAAACCAAAATTAGAAACGAATTTATATCAAGAAGACGCAGAACTACCAAAAATTACACCTATAAAGGCTTTTCACGTCGAAATTTTCGAGAAAATGGGCTATACGCCTTTAGAAGCCCGAATAATTCAATATTTTCAGCCCTCCTGTCAATGTGCTACAGCGCTACCAACTTGATATCGAATCTGTTAATTCAGCTGTTTTGCAAAAAGTTCATTTTTTTTAACTTCAATTTTTACAATTATCCACATTTTTTAGATCAATTGGACGCACAACTATGAGAAAATTGCCAAATATAACACTTCTTTCAGTTGCGATAAACAAAAGGACAATTTCGTGAGTATTTTCAATAAATTTAGACTCGAAAAATTCTAGTTTCTTGACGAAAATGGAGCAGATTTACTGGCGCGACTTTCGAAAAAAGAACTCGAAAGAGGACAAATCGTTATAGCGGAATTGGAAGGATATTTCAAAGTGGAAATCGTTTTTCGAGATTATACTGAAATTAGAAGGTTGCAATCTTCAATATCAGGACTTTTAAAACAAAACTTTAGTGAAGCTGACTTGAAATGGGTTATTGGTGTCGCAATTATCAGTGCAGGTTTTTTTTTGAAAGTTGTCCTCTAAAAAATTGTTTCAGGAGTCGTCATTGCTCTAACTTTAGTCGTGGTTGCAATCGTTGCAAGAATCAAAGCAAAGCAAAACAGAAGACGGATCGCCCAACTAAATTGATTTCTAAAAATAAAATAAAATCGTTATCAATAAATGTTCAAATCCGCGTCAACTATTTCTATTTCTTAAATGTGGCTGACACTCTTTTTTTGCAGCTTTTTTTGCGATCAAATGATGTTTCAGCATATTATAATTATCAAGAAACAAGTTTGTTCAATTCTAAAGTAATTAGAAAAAAAACTTGAGATTTTTTTAGCTCCAAAAAGATGTTGAGAGATACTTTTTTTCATGAGGAAAGCTCAAACTTTTTCTCACTTATCAGTTTCCACCAAGATCAGATGGCACCGGACAGTTTTTTTTTTCAAAAGACGACAATGCGGAGTTAGTATCGAAAATATAATCAGACAGACATATAAAAAAAAAGAAAAAAGAAGACCGAGCAGAAAAAGTATCCAATGTAACAAAGGCTTCAAAACGGAATGAGTAAACTGTTTTCTGGTACGCTAGTTAACAAATAAATTCATCGTAAGACAAGTTACGTTTATCCATTGAACAAATTATAAGAGAAACACGAAAAAAATGTTTAAAAAAATTTAAAAAAATTAAATCCAAGAAATTTCAGTAGAGCGCATATATTCTTTTTTTCGCAATTCAAGCTCCCATGAGCTTTTCTATTCAGTTTTTTAAAACCTTTTTACAACCTTTTTTACTAATTTTTTCAAGTTATAACTTGATACTAAGCTTATAGAAAGAGATGCTCAGACTAAATGGTCTGATAGGAAAATGACACCTATCGAACGTCGAAAAATTGATTCGAAGGTTTTGAATCTGAATCTTTGGGTGGGTTGGTATGCTGAATTTTTTAAAATTGATGATTTTTCCATGAAATTCATTATTTTTCTTTCATGCTTCTAGATCGTCTTTATTTTTCTCAAGCATTTTCATTTTAAGAAAACTGTTCACTTCTCGTACCGATGTTCGGAGAGACGATTTCAAACTCGTTTCTGAAGAAGCTCCACCAGGAATGGAGTTTGGGTACACGGTTCGCCACAAGCTTCCTTTTCATCTTGCAAATCCTGCGACTCATCTTCTTTTTTTCAATGAAAGAACGTGGGTTTAGACTTCAATTATATTTGTAAATCTTAAAGAAGATATGTGAAAAAAAAAGTTCAAAAAATCTTTTTTTCCAGATGCAACGCGAAAAATAATTACCGCGTGAGTTTTTTCGGTGTTCAGAAGCTCGTCGAAGCCGGATTGCCTTATCAGGTTAGTCAGAAAAAGGAAGAGTTTAAGTCTATTTCTGAATTCTCATTGTCTATCCGGATAGGTGATTAAATAACATAGAATAATTCTATATACATCTTGGAGCGGAGAGCCGTTTTTCTTTTATATAATATTAGGTGATTACAGATTTCTTCGTTTTTAAAAACATGAATTTTTACTCTTCATCTTTAGGTGAAATGCGAAGCTTGTTTGGCCGGTTTCCAGGGGTTTCCTACGTATTTTTACGTCTTTCCAGAAAGGTTTGAATTTTCTTAAGCTTGAACAGTTCAGAAAAAAAATTGAGCTTTTTTTAGGTTTTTCGATGTCATTGATGTTTGAAAAAATTATTGAATTTAGACGAAGCTTTAGAATTTTGAAAGAAAAAAACCTTAAATTTTTTTCCTAAAATTTTTTTCTAAACTCTATAAACTATATTTTCGCAAGTCTTTCTTGGTATCAGAACTGAAATTTTACAATTGAAAATTTTCAAAAATAAAGTGAAGACATTTATTATTGTCTTTTTCCTACTATAGAGACGTCTTCCTACCGTATAAAAATCTTCTATTTGAAAATCGCGTCGAGAGTGGAGACCGTCTTTATTGCAAAAATAATGATTGCAAGAAAACTCCACGTATTTCACCACTGTTGGCGTCACTTTTCAGCGGAACAGAAGCTATTTTGAGTCGGTTTTATTTTTGATGTTTTGAATAATTCCAAAAAATGTGAAAAAAAAGATTCCTCTCATCGATTCTCTCGTGTTTTTTTTTGCTGTTTTCCTGATTTTATAAGCTTACCGCTGAGAGAAAAGAGAGCGCAGGCAAGTCAGACAGTCTCAATCCTCTGTTTATAGGCTATAGTCGATTCACGGTTAACTTGGGACGAAAAGGGGCGTGGCCTGTCTGCGCTCTCTATCCACCAGGCATTATCTCGTGTTTATTCGTGTCAGGACCTTTTTTCGATGGCTCGAGCTAGCTGATTCATGATATTATTTGAATTCTAGAAGATACCATTGCAACCCAATATTTCGGCCGTTGGACTGGCGAACAGGCCTCAACGGAATCCGACAGGATTTTCCAAGGAAAACCTGATGGCGAATTTTATGTCATTATTTTTCCCTGGATTTTTACAAAATAATCAATTTTTTAAAGATTGAACCCATGTGGTACAACTATGCGAGAAGTCAAGACGTCAATGCAACGGACAAATATTCGCCGTTTGGGGTGAAGGGACTGTCTTTAATGTGTGCTGTGGTGGGTTTTCATATAATAATTATGATTAAATTGAAAAAGTTTCATATTGTCCGAAAAATAATAATATATTACAAATTGGAAGTTTATCTTCTCATTTTTTTAACCTCTTTTGATGGTTTCTAATCAGAAAGTCCACAGAAGAAAAAAATAATTTTTTTAGATTTTTGTCTAATGAAAGGAGAATACTTTTTCTCTTAAATCGAAAAACTTCGAATGAAACAGTAAAAAAACATATTTTTCCATGGCTTTGTATTTGGTGGTATGAAAAAAAGACCAGCGAAAATTCAAACGGCGACTTTTCCGATTTTTTCATATCGCTAGTGAACTTTCCGACGGCCATCTTTCCGAAGAATCGCTTTCCGACTTTTTTCCCTTATGTTTTTCGGTTTATAAAACATCTGTTAACATTTTTTTTTTCTATTCATTCGTGTTTTAATCATGAACCAACTACCTACTTTAAATAGGAAGCTTTAAAACGAAGATTTGATCGAGAAATAAAGTCGGAAAAGGATTCGTCGGAAAGGTGGCCGTCGGAAAGTTCCCTTTAGCGTTTAGCGATATGAAAAAATCGGAAAAGTCGCCGTTTGAATTTTCGTTGGTGTTTTTTTCATACCGCCTTGTATTTGTCGCCGAATTTATTGCATAACTGGGTTACGCGAACCGTACAGGATCTAACTGATTTTTTTCGTGAGGATTTCCAGTAATCACTTAAGGTGTAGCTAAATGGAACTCTAGAAATTCTGAAGCAATCACAAAAAAAAATTTTGAACTCTAAAATATCAACTGCAGTTTATTCAGAACTGACTTGAAAAAATATTAATTGAAAAAAATGGGCGAGAAGAAGAATTTGCACTTTTTTTCAAATATTCATTTGAATTTACAAATAATTAAATACGAAATTTCAAATAATAATAATTTTTTTCTTGTGAATTAACTTGCAACTTTTGTCGAAAAATTAACAGGGAATACAGTGTTTTTAGTCTAAATCTGTAGATATTGATAGTTCTCGGCAAAATTCGAAATTTATCAAATCCTGAAAAATCGTTTACTTTAGAGTTATTGCACAGTTTCAGCGTGTCAAATTTTTTCATGTGAAAATTTATCATTGTTAAATAAATACCCCCTTTTTTAAGTTGAATCTTAGGAAATCGATGGTGAAATACGACCGTCAAATGTTATAATCAACGTTGATTCAATTGGAAAACCGCATCCTGGTACCTTTTTCCGTAAAAGGAATCTTTCAATTTTATTTTTTGAGATCGTCGAAATTCAATGGATTTGTTCAAGTATGGGCACTATGAAAAGTGGTCTTCCGGTTCGGAAAAATTGGAAAAGAATGATGGAATCAATTTGAAGGTTTTCTGAAGAGGGTGATTATATAGTCTGTTGCGATTTTAAAAGTCAAGCAACAAACTCCGCCCCCAACAACGCTCTGTAGATGACCCGCTCTCTGATTGGTTTGATCTACGCATAAGGGGCGAAGTTTGAACGGTGATTGACATCCAAGATCTGAGCAGACTATAGTAGATTCACGGCTAGCTTGGGACACAGTAAGGCGTGGCCTGTCTGCGCTCTCCACCGACCAGGCGCTATCTCGTGCATTATCGTGCCAGGACCATTTTTTCGATGGCTCAAGTCAGCCTTGAATCGGTTATATGGCGAGTTCCGCGCGAACTTGTTACACGTCAAAAAAAAAAAAGAAAAACCACAACACATGGAGCTTTTTTGCGCTCTTCGCTTCAAGACCTGCAAATTTTTGAGCCTTGGCCCAAAAACAGGTACTCTAAATGTAAAGAGTGTTTTGGTTAGAAGAAAAAAGTGGCGAAGGAAAATTTGGCGCGGAAGGTGTTATACATTTTTAGATTGAATGACTTATGACTTGGAAGAACTTGATCTTCAGTGTTTTATCAATTGGGAACCTTGGTCCTGCTGCTCCGCTTGTTGTTGTCCAGCTTCCCTGTGTGGCGTCAGGGAAACCGCTTCAACTTGGTTTTGGAAATTTTGATATTATGTTGAAGATTTGAAGTTTCAATTTTTTGTTTTCGTACAGTCGGGTTTTATAAGCTAGGCCGAAAAGCCGTCGAGACAAGTTGAAATTGCCGTTTCTTTAGATTTTTTAAAGTTTCATGATGACAAAATGAACCAATAATCATAAAACATTCTTCTTATAAAAAAATGCGGCGTTTTTCCTCTAATGAATAATGATAATTCCCACTGAAAATGGCACTTCAATGATATTTTTTTCTAATTATTGAGTTTTTTTAAAATTAGCTCTAAAATTTTTTTCAAAGTCGAGTTTTTAATGAATCTCTCAGATTAAAAAAAGTTCAGTTCCGCCGTCCTTTCGAGTAAATCAAGGAGAGGTTTTTTGTCGATTCGAAAGATTGATCCAGACAAAAAGGTTCTTTTTTAAAGATTCAGAGTACTTTTAGGCTTTTTTAGGTGATGCTGAAGAAAAATTCGCAAAACATTGAAAATCTTCTTGGCGTTCCCCCTTACAGGTTATTTTTGTTAGGAGACGGGTTCTAAAAATTTTTGGACTTCTTTTTTTCATAGTTAATAAAAAAATTTTTTTAAAGAGTTTGTAAAATTCAGTCCGTGTTTTATCTATGGACTAAATATTTTTTTCTGAAAATCCAAAACATTTAATTTAGCCTTTCCGGAATCGCCGTCTATTCTACGTTGCTCAATCAAGCCAATTTCTCGTCGGAGTATCCTGAATTGCAGGTTAAAATGATTTTTCATTTGAGAATAAATCAAGAAAAATGAAATTTGAATGAAAATCGAGCTGGAAAAAACTAGAAAAAATTTTTTTCATATGTTTTTCTTTCGAATGAGTACGACTTAATTTTCTGAAAATTCGAGAATTTACTGATTTTTCTAGCAATCTGACGATTCCAGCATGTTTTCACAAGAAAAAAAACTTCAGAAGCTGATCAAGGATTTCGCCAAACACGCCCTATCGCTAAGCTACAAAATTGGATCCGGCGTTTTTCTCGAGACGAAATCTTGTAAAGGAGATCCAGAAGTTGAAGATTGTTGGCTCTGGGCCAAATGCCATGGAATCGATCTGGTCATTTTTCGAATATTTCTTTTGAACTTTTTTTCTTGACAAAAGTTTTCTCGAAGGATTATGATGTTGGCATTTTTCTCTATCGATTAGTATAAAGTAGAAAAAAATAAACGCGGAAGTCCTGTTCAAATACTTAGGGATGCCAGAGTGGTCCCTATAGGGTTTTAGGATATGACCCTTATGCCCCTTAAGTTCAAGTGGTCCCTACAGGGCCTTTCAAATTATTCTTCAGGTTTAAAAATGAATAAACTCGACCATATTATCCTCTGAGGATATTTTTCCTTTAAGTAAGGCTGATATGTCGAGTTTTCCGCATGGAAGAGCTTATTCTCAGAGAGTTGAAAACAATTATCGATTAGCGCGTCCCCTATATGGGCCTTTTTTAAAAACATCAGTGGCCCCTATGGGGGTTAGTAAAGTGGTTCCTAGAGGGGAACCTTCAAGTCAGGTTGCCCCTACATGGACCACTTTGGAGTAGTCCGTCTTTTTTTTTTAGGGTGGCAGAGAAACGGTAAATATGGCGGTAGACCCCTGCAATGACGTCACTTTTCGAGATATTCTCGTTGGATTCGAATCGATAAAAATCAAGTGGGTTTATGGTACAATTTAAAGATCATTAAGCGAAGGTAAAATGAAAGCGCACGATTATGTAATACTTATTGATTCAAAAATTCTTTCTTTTCAACTCACCACGAAATGTTTTTGCAGCGCGGTCAGAGGCGAAAATTTCCGCATCCGACTTGATCCGGCTTTACATGACCTTGATAAAACCAAGGTGAATAACTGAAGAAAGTTGTTTTTTATTTTGTTGGTATTCTCAGAGATTTCTATTCATTACTACTATGCTTACGAAAAAAATAAAAATAAAAATGAAAGTTCAGTTATTCTTTTTCGTACAAGGTTGCATGGAAACATACAGGGACATACTTTTGAGGTTACTCCTTAGGAGTTTAAAGTCAATACTTTTTCCTGAGGTTCTAATTAGTTCAAATTCTGTAGAAATCACCATCCTGACTAGGTGAAGAGCCCGACTCACCAGATTTTAAGGTTCTCCTTTCTAAGAACGTGAAGCTTAAATTTTTTAGTTTTCGACATAGATTTCCAAAAATCGTGCTCTCAAGCTTAATTTCCGTGAAAATTGGAATTGTTATTCTTATTCCCTAACTTTTGAAATTTTGGCAAGTTTTTTTTTTTCTTGCTCTCGGACTCCAAAAGTCCTTCACTTGCCCACATCCACTCGGCTAGAGCTCTTACCTATTAATTAACGGATTTTTTGAAAGATAAACTGGCGAGTAAACCTGCGCAAGCCAAGAAAATACGACCTCGGGAAGAATTGCGATATTCAAGGAATCGTTTTGAGACCTGACCTCAACGAAGTGATCGTCACGTCGATCACGCCGCTCATGATGAAACAGTTTGGATTTTGAAGAATTTAGAAATTTTCTCTTTTTGAAATGAAAACCTGAAATTCTTTTTTAAATTATGCATCTAAATAGAAATAGAAAAAACCTTGGTAGCTTGAGAAAATGAATTTTTTTTTTTTGAGTGGAGGAAGATTTTGGTGATTTTAGACTTCTCCTCTCTTCATAAAGATTAGCTTGGCAACTCTAGAGTGGTCTCTGTAGAAGCAGCCATAGGGGCCCTTGAAGGTCCCCCCTATAGAGGCTACTTAAGCCAGACCACAAGCCTCTCTGGAGGCCACCTATACTTTGCTCCTGTAGGGAACCCTTTTTGTCCCCCATAAAGTTGTTTTTTACCCTAACGTCTAAAGGGAAAACTCTGACGTTTATTGAAGGGGATTTTTTTTAATAATTCACCTGTTACCTTATCACAATTTTTTGAACGAAATTTTTTAAAATTTTTACTTTGCACAGTCTAAAAAAGGCCAACTTTTTCAGACGAATCGATATACTTTTAAGCAACAAACGCCTGGTTCAAGTCACCTTTTTCGATGTTCTGTGAGTTGAAAATGAGTTTTTTTGAACACTTCTCATCTTATTGTTTTCCAGGACTCCTGACAAAACGGAAGCCGTTTTCACGACCGTCATCATATGGGGGTTTGTGATCGCAGGTTATTTCTTTTTAGGAAAATTAAAAGAAAAAAAGTTTTCCAGCGTTTCTCGTGTTTCTTGTAATCTTTGTATGGGTCATGCACAAGGAGAAAATGCGAAGAATTGAAACTGTGATCCAAAATAAGGTGGGGTCATTTTGAGGCCGACTTTTATTTAGTTGGTCGCACTTGGAATGGCTCAACGCGTTGCGGTTACAAGTAAGCTGCTGCGCCCGACCAAGAAACGGCTTGCGCGGCTCTTTAGCCTATTCAAGCTTCAACTTGAACAGCAGCGCGACTGCGACGCATTGAGCCGTTTCAACCGCGATCACAAAATTTCGAAATAATTTTTTTAGAATGAAGTATAGAGAAGGTTAGGACTACTGTGAATGCGTTTTTTATTTCTTATCTCATCTTCTGAATAGACAAGCCAAAGAGAATCAAGTAGTATTTTTTTTTCATCAAAACGTCTCATTCTAGGAGCTCCGGAGGAAGCTTCAACCTCTTAAGTAGTCATTTCAAAAAATTCCTTGAAGTTTCAGCGTTTTAATCAAGAAGTCTGCCAAATAAAACAGTGAAGGTCCTTTCTCGAGTGATAAAAATAAACCTAAACCTTCTAGTGAAAACTAGGGAAAATTCTACAACTTTAACAACTTTCAATTGGAAAATCAGCCTCCAGTGAAAAAAAATCTCGAATTCTCGAGTGGACACAAATTTTCACGGTTTTAACGACCTTTAAACGAGAAATCAGCCAAATTTCATCTTTTTTTAGCTTCAAGAAAAAAATTATACATATCTATATATTCCTCTCAGATTGAAATGGATCAAGAAGACGACGAAGAAAATTGAGGGGCGTTTTCATCGTTTTATTTGTCTTTCCAAGATAAAACAACAGGATTATCCGTCGTTTCGGAATGAATTTGTGTGTCAGTTATTGTTGTCGTTCGCTTCGAGTTTTGGTGGTTCTCGTCGAGTTTGGCTGTCGTAGGGAATAGGGGTTCTTACGAAATTTGTGCACCCTGAAACCTTCAAAATCAAGTTTCGCCTCGATTTTTTGAACTTTCTGAGCTTGAGCAGGTAATTTTCAAAAATTGCTTTCAGGCAAATCTAGATGAGACTAGATTTTCGATTATTATTTGATCAGGCTATTTTTGCGGTTAATGGAATCAGAAAAGAAGAGATTTCAGATTTTTTGATTTTCGAAGATTTCTAAATTCTTATTGAATGAAGGCAATTTTCAATGCTTAATCTTGCCTTTTCTAACTAAGAAGGACTTCAAAAACGCAGATTGTCAAGTTCAATCGATCAACTAATCGATAATTCTCACATTCGTTTGATTCGCGAAATAACACCCACGTTCATCTCGTAGCTTGTGTCGCTCAGCCAGCTGTGCTTGCAGATTTGCCTTAATGTTTTTTCACTCGTTCAAAAACTTTTTATCCAGAAAAATACCTCAAATTGGGCCGATTGTTTGGCCGCGGGTCCATTATGTTGTAAATCAAGTTTTTCGCTTCATTCGAGATCGGCGTCGATGAGGGGAACCTGGAGGAATTTTTTTGAGTTGAGAAACTTTCCAATCAACTGAATTATGCGAATATAAAAGTTCTGTTCAGATCATTCGAATTTACTAGGAATTATTTACTTTTTGCTTTTTTTTTGTCAGAAATATCGAAAAAAGAATAGGAAAACGTCGCCAAATGGCTTTGTACAACGCAGTAATGGAGTTTTTTTGCTTTTAAGTCTTCTTGAAACGGCCAAAGTTCTCTGACGTACTAAATGAGTTTTTTTCAGAAGTTTAAATATTTTTTTAATAATAATAATAATTCATCCACAAGGTGAAAAAGAATAAATAAGTTGCAACCGTTTTTTTATCTTCAAAACCTCCAGAATTTTGGGCAAGGAATTCCCAGTAATCGGTTTTTTTCAGACACGCACGGTCAAGGAAAACTTTGAAGCTTACTTTCCGAAAATTTTTTAAAATTGAGCTTTTCAAAGTTTTATGTGCTTCAAACAAAACAACAATTTTTTTTGGCCAGGTTCTGATAATTTAAAAAAAGACTTTCGCACCTAACTTTGTGCTCGATTTGCCTCCTGAGCATCTTGTAGGCGTCGGTGTCGTTGTACGGCATGCAGCCCGTTACCATGATGAAAAGCACGACGCCGAGGCTCCAGATGTCGCTCTGGAAGTTGTTTGATGCGAGAAACAAGTTTCTGGACGATCATACCATGTAGGCGTCATAGGGCAAGGCGCTCAGGATCTCCGGCGCTGCGTAGGCTCGACTTCCGCAAAATGTTGTCGTGTTGTCGTTTTTCTAATAAGGGGTTTAAATTAATTTTGGAAATTTCGAAATTGATGCTTTTTTCCAACCTCCAGAAGTCTGGCGAATCCAAAATCGCCCAATTTGACATTGTCGTTCCGGTCCAAGTAGACATTTTCGCATTTGAGATCCCGGTGGACGACTTTCACCGAGTGAAGGTACTCAAAAAGTTGATTTTCATCTCCATAATAGCTTTTTTTAAATTATTTGTTCCGAAACCTTTTTGAGGCTTAAAAAACGGAATGATCTTGAATACCACTCAAAGGCTCTTCTTCTCAAAACACTATTATAAAATTTCCTTTAAACTCTTCAAAAGGATTTTTTTGATTTACCTTGAGGGCCTCAATAATCTGCAGGAAGATCCGCTTGGCCTGCGGCTCGGCGATTCGTCTTTCTCGCTTGATTTTGCTCAGTAGATCTCCATTTTCAGCGTACTCACACACAAATACGAGATAAGGGTCCAGGTCAATCATCTGCACAGAAAATGGAGGAAAATTACGAAATGCATTTTGAAAGTTGGAAAAAAAAGAGACAAAAAAGGAGATGTAAAAATATCTGTAAAACTTTCGTATGAATACTACTTCGAAGTTATTTTTTGAAAATACTAGAGAGAAAATTGTGAAGTTACAATTTTTTAATGCACCGGTATGGAACAATTGGTTTTCAAAAAAAAATTTCACGGGGAAACTAACATTTTTCTTTTTTTACAACCTTTCCAAACAAAAAACTCAAGAGATGCTAATAAATTCATAAATTTAATTTTCCGCAGTGATTTCGAAAACTGTGGTCGCACTTGGAATGGCTCGAAGAACCGCGGTGGCCCCAACAAATTTTATCATTTATGATGTCCCAGAGTGCAAGTCGTTTCGGGTCGGGCGTACATGAACCGTTACGCGTCTAGTCATTCCAAATGCGTCCACGAGCTTCAAACTCACCGTGTGTAGTCGAATGACGTTGACGTGCGACAAATGCGGCCAAATGTCCCTTTCGCGAGGCAGAAACCTCTGTGTGTACTCGCATTTCTTCCTTGGAAGGAAATCAGATTTTTGTCATTAGTTTTTGATAATTTACTTCGAATCGACGATTTTCAAAGCGACCTGCGTGTTGGTGTCCGTGTTGTGGCCCTTGAGAACAGTTGCGTAAGAACCCTTTGCTGGAAATTTCCACAACTTTCAAAAATTCATGTATAGTCTGTGTGCCACGATTAGAAATTTCCCGGAACGACATTCCGCTGTTCCGCTGCGTGCGTTCGCGAAGCGTCTTTCGAATCTAAGTCAGGCTTTCAATTGATTGTCATTACTGTGGGAGCACATGAAATCAGAGTAAAAGAAAAAAAATTATTGGCGCGACCAAGGTTCGAAAAGACGCGCAGCGGCACAACGGAATTTCGGACCGTGAAATTTCAAGTCGTGGCACACAGACTATATATATACCTTGTTTTGCAGAACCTAAAAATTGAAAAAAAAAATCAACTTCAATTGTGGCTATCTAAAAAGCCTCGAGGGGTCTTTATAAACAAATTTTGCCTAACCGCTGTTCCATGACGTCATCTTATGCTCATCATGAGTTCCACTTCAAATCTTACTTCATTTTTATTTTGTTCATTTGAAGTTTTTTTTTCTTGAGTAAATAACTTCTGTGTGATAGATAGAAGGAAGAAAGAGCCCGATAACTTTTTCAGGTACCTAAAAACGACTCGACTAGAAGGTTGCGCTTCGAAATGCCGCTCAAAACGGTGGTGTCGCAGCACTCGGCCAGCTCCAGTTGATTCTCGCAGTCCGCCATACCGCCCAGATCCAGTAGAAAATGACCCGCATTCCATCTTCGCTCTCGTTACGTGTGAAAATCTTTATTTTAATTAATACATTACATTTACAGGCTGGAAGAAGAATAATGAATGAATGAATAAAACGTGAAAAAGACCCATAGTTTTGTGGATAAAACGTGAACAGAAGCGATTTTCTCATAATTTTCTTGATCTCTTGAGTTCCATGGGGGAAGGCGCGACCACTGTCTTTCTCTTTCGTGAGGTTAACTGAAAAAAATATTGAAAAATTTATCAAGTGTTTGATTCTTTTATTTTATACGTATAGGTTGTAAGAATCAATAGAAAAAAATTAATTTTTTTGTTCCAATAATTTGAAGTACTTCCTTGTTTTTTTATCGAATTTTTTTGAGATCGTTTTGCTTAAAAATTTACTTCTTTCAAAAAGTCTCCATTCCAGGGTTTTTGTCGAGTTTTTTCTTTTTATTCAGTCCATTTATCGCGACTTGAAACTGTTGTTTTTCTCTGCGCCCTCCTCTTCTCTCGGCGACGCTTTCCTGTTGACATGCTTTTTCATGTTTCTCTAACTTCTTCGATGAGGGAACAGAGAGACGCAGACACTTGGAAACTTTCCAGTCGCGGCGAATGGACTATAATTGTTTTTTCCCTAAATTTCGTTGGAAGTTTTCACATCCCATTGGCTATTCTTCTTTCTGATTCTGTTATTTTTAAAAGGACGTACCGAAGAAACGCTGTTGAGCGTCGATACATCGATGTAAGAAGCCAATCTTCTCGTCGTCGTCGGATTTCCAGGCTCTCCATTCACCATGGATTCGTCGAGGCCGCCTTCGCTCAGGCTCGAAATCCTCATCCGAGGCTCAATGTCGAACTTCTGGACACAAAAAAATGTTCTCAATAAGCTATTTCATTCATTAAAAAAAATATAATAATTTTTGAAGTTTCTTTCTCGTAAAAATCCTGAACTTTTTCCCGATGACTAGAAAACTCGAACCAACCTTCCCATGTTCCTGGAACCTTCCACGCATACTTTCCAGTTCAAACTCGGCCGTTTGAAGGGTCGCTTTTAGTTCTTGAAGTAGCATAATCTGAAAAGGACAATGAAAAGTCTATTATTATCTTGGAAGAATATTAGACTGACCTGAGACCGGAATTCGTTGTAAATATTGACAATTGCTTCAGATCCCATCGGGTTCATTTCTGGAAGGAAAAAGTATATTTGGAATTGAAATTATGTTTTTTGCTTCCTAAAACTACTATTTAGCCTTTTCAACTTTTTTTTAAAAAATTTTACTCATCCAAACTTTCATGATTTCCCATCGTAACAACTTTCATCAAAATCGCTCGAGGCTGTCTTTCCAATTTTCGTGTTATGACTTTTTCCAAGCTTCATGCTGTGCCTTTAAAAAACAAAGGTATTTCGAGTTCGTTTTTTTTTCTATAGATTTTTTCTAAAAAGGCGCGCGAGCTCATTTCTACCGCGGTACTACCGAATGTGTCCCACAATAAGAAAATCTCGTGCTTACCCATTTTCGATTTCTCCAGGATCACTTCAATGTTCTTGAGCTTCTTCTGTCCGATATTCGTCGGCAACTTCATTTCCTGGCTTCTCAAATGAGCACCAGCCGATTTGAACTCTGGGAATCGTAGAGCGGAGACGGAAATATCGACCTTAAAGCTTTCCAATTATTTCAGAACTGATTTGAATATCCTACCGGATTGAAAATGGCGGTAGGTGCATTTGTGGACATCGAGCCGGTTTTGACGCGGAATGTGCTCTTTTTCTTGCCCAAAGCCGGAGAAATCCCGGATCCACTGCAATTTCGAACTCAATGTTATTTCAAAGTATTTGCGCGGCATAAAAAAAATGAAAGGCAGATGGTAAAATATTTACTCGAAGAAGTTTTCAGTCACCACTTTTTTCCTTACAACTTTTTTTCCAAACGGTTCACTTGAACAAAAAATATTTTGTATGAAAACCTGGCAGAAGGACTGGCCGGAGCGTCGGCCATGTTGATGAGCTTCTGCAGGTCGTGCGCTTTCCGTTCCCTTTCCTTTTTCCGCATTTCTATCTTTCTCAGTTCAACTATCAACTGTTCTTCTTCTTCTAACTGAAAAAACTGCCTTGTAATCGTTTTTTGCACTCCAATTCACCTCCTCTTTGGTTCGATTCCATTGTTTGCTCAATTGTTCTTTTCTCCTACGTTCGTGTTCAGCATCATAGGCGATCGGTTGAGAATTTGGGTCCTAAAAAGACAGTAATTCCTTCTGTATTTCCGGTGGTATGAAAAAAAGACCAGCGAAAATTTAAACGGCGACTTTTCCGATTTTTTCATATCGCTAAACGCTAAAGGGAACTTTCCGACGGCCACCTTTCCGACGAACCTTTTTCCGACTTTTTTTCTCGATAAACTTTTCGTTTTAAATCTCCCTATATAAAGTAGGTAGTTGGTTAATGATTAAAACACAAAGAAATAAAAAAAAAACAATTTTTATAGAAGATGTTTTATAAACCGAAAAACATAAGAAAAAAAAAGTCGGAAAGAGATCCGTCGGAAAGTTCCCTAGCGATACGAAAAAATCGGAAAAGTCGCCGTTCGAATTTTTGCTGGTCTTTTTTCATACCACCGTATTTCCAATAATTTCGCCAAAAATTCCTAGGCAGAGAATCCTTATGGTGACCTCCGCAAAATATCTAATTTTCACGAATTTTCTTAGAAGAAGATACACATTTTCAAAGCAGAATATTGCTTTCAAGCCAGATTGTGTACTTAATCAGAAATTTGAGAATTAATATCATGAGAAATAAAAGTTTACACAGATTGCGAATTTTTTAGGAATTAGTGTGATCTTTCAAAGATTGGTTGGGCAAGTTTTCATAAATATCCTGAAGAAAAGTTTTTTGTGGGTAAAATTCAATAATTTGATCTAATTTCGATAGAAAATGAACCTTGAGTTGTGTCAATTCATAAAGAATCGAATAAAATCGATCTTTTATATCTTCCATCGACCGGGGTGTGCCAAAACGTGTATTATCATAACGATCCACAACTATTGGCCATCTGAATTTATCACTTCGTATAGTCTTTTCAAAAAAAACTTGCTGAGATGCGCTGAAAAAAGTTTTCGAGGCCTAAAGCCATTTTCAAGCCTTACCTCTTGTCAGATAGGTTTTTAGGCCTTTGAACTCCCCAGTAAGAAAACAAACCTCAAAACCAACCTAATATCAAACTGACGACAAACTTCAAACAAGTATTCGGTCTCCTCTTTTGACCATTTCGACGACTTCAAGTAATTTTCGTACTCCTCGTCGGTGAATTGAGGGACTTGAATGACCTGCAATCAAATTTCTTATTTCCATTCACATACTGTTCAAGAATCCTTCATAAAATATTTGATGACCCTCTTTATGACCTAAAATAACGATGGAGACAACTCTTCGTCTATTTTAAATTCTTCTATGTTTATTTCACACTTCAGCGAGAATTTTCAAGAAAAACCGTATAATTTCAGACCTTGTTGAACCGAGAAAAAGCATAAGGTTCCGAGTTTTCCAAACGATCGACTCTTTGCCAATGATGCAGTTGCAATCCATCTGATCTTGCTTCATTCGTGAATGGTGCCCATTTATACTTTCGAACAGCTCGGAAACCCATCTGCAAATTTAATTATTTTCCATTTTACTCGCCACAAAAAAACCTGAACTTTCGGGTTCCGATACTTTTTGGTTTCTGCCGGCATAACGGATTGCAAATCATCACCGGATCCCATTAAATTGTACAATTCTCGTGCCATTCCTTCTGGTTTTTTCATCGTATCTGTTTTACGAGCTGGTGCTAAAGCCTAAACTGAGAAATTTAAAAAGTTTGTTCTGAATAAAAAAAAGCTGACCTTCTTATTAGCCAGTGTAGTCAGAGAACCTATCCTCAAAACTTCTTTTTCCCTCGATTCATCGCTGGTTGAATTGCCGAGGATGGATTGAACATCGCCAATCATCTTAATTGAAAATAAATATCAATTAGCTTCCTTTGGAACATAATTCTGTCTAAATTATAAAATATATATATATAATATCAAGGAAAACTTTTTTTAGGGACTATTTGAAAAAGTTTCTCATTAAAAAAAGCTGATGCTAGTGTGTTCATCGGACAATTGAAAATTGCTTCAAAACGCAAATTATTACTGTTTTGAAGAAACTTTGGTGCGCCGATGAACACGATTTTTCGCTTTGAATCATGCTCCGTTTCTCCGGAAAACACCATCACACCATAAGAAATTCAATCTAGAAAATCTAATGGCGCGTTCATCGTAAAAAATAACAATTGCTTCGAAACGCAAGAATATTGCTCCAAAACAAAAATTAGTACTGTTTTGGAGCAACTTTAGCGCGCCGATGAACACGATTTTTTGTTTTGAAGCATGTTCCGTTTCTCCGATGAACACGCCATAAAAAATTTTTAAAAAAAAGCCAAAGAAATTTTTCAAAAAAGCGGAAAAACGTTTTCCGACATCTGCGCTCCAGCGGTAATTCTCGGCGTACTGTGTCTACGTAGGCTGAGTATCAAACGCTCAGCACGTTGAGAGCCACAAATTTTTTTATTTTTTTGTCGAATTTTTCTTTTTATTTTTTTAAAATTGATATTTTTATAGATTAAATAATGTTTCAGTCATTTTTAAAGCAACTTATAATGTTTAAAATCACCTCATACGTTCCGTCAGCTAGAAAATTTTGTCATCATTAAATTATTTTTTTCTTTAATTTTAATAAGATTTTTCGAGATTTTTTTAAATCTATAAATTTTGTTCACAGAGAATGTGAAGCATTGCGCAAATTTTTAAACTTAAATTTATACGTTGAAAGTAAGAAATCGAATTTTTTTATTTTTTTATACTGGCCATTTTCTTTCGGTTTTTTTATATGTTCGGGATTTACATCCTATGTTGGTTCCAAATTTGTCTGAAATTTTGATAGCATCAGTCTTCAAGTTTTTAAATCTTGTTATTAATGATCTTTTTGTTGAGCCATTTGTTTGCTGTGTAGTTTTTATTCTGAAAACAAGAAGAAAAAAACTTTAAAAAAATCTGATTTTGTATCAAAAGTATTAAGCTTCCAAATTTAAAAAAATTCCACGTTTACGGGCGCATTTTTTTTTTATTCAGAGGTTTGAACGTGCCTCTTCTCCGTGTAAATGCCGCGTTCAAAGCTAATTTGACGCGCGCAGCGAAACATTTTTTCTGGTTCAAAAGCGTGAGCCGAAACGCAGCAGATCCCCACGACGTGGTTGGTTGGCCCCGCCCAGCTTACAAGAAAAACGTTTGAAGATGGATTTAAATTGGAAATTTGCCAAAAAGGCGGAGCCAACCAATCACGTCGTGGGAACCTGCTGCGCTTCGACTCGTAGTTTTGAAGCAAAAAAACTTCCGCTGCGCGCGTCAAATTAGCTTTTAACGCGGCAAGAAATTACAAATATTAGAAAAATTATAAAGTTTTTTTAAACAGTAATCAATTATTGTTTTTCAATTAAAATAATTTTTATAAAACAGAAAAAAACGTTTTTCATTGTCGTTTAAAAAAACGCGAAAGCGTCTTCACTGGCGCATCGCTCCAAAACAGTAATAATTTTTGTTTTAAAACAATTTTCGTTTTTTTTCCGATGAACACGCCATAAATATTCGTTGATGATATCTTTTTCTTTATCATGAAACCCTCGTGATCTTTGGTGTCTTTTTTGTGAATTTTTTTTTTTAAATTTCGACGTTCTCTCGAGCCCAGTTTTTTTTATCTTCCTTATATAAACGTCATTTTTTTCAGCCCTCAAACTGGAAATAGAGCACAGAAAAGCTAAGATAAAAAGATAGCACACAATTTTCTGAAGCTCTACACTCAATACATCAACCATGGTAATTTTAAGGTTTTTTAATACTGGATCTATGTAATTATTTCAGGCTGCCGCTTTCAAGAACGAAAAATCAACTGGTGAGAACACCGAGCACCGCATCCGTCTTACTCTCACGTGCCAAAATGTCAAGCCTCTGGAGAAGGGTTTACTTTTTGTCTTTATAAATTGAAACTTTTGAGAATGCATCGAGCTTCATTTGCATTTCTAATGCTCAGTATTTTTCAGTTTGCGCCCAACTGATCGAGGGTGCCAAGCACGAGCATCTGATGGTCAAGGGACCTATCCGCATGCCGACCAAGGTTCTGCGCATCACCACGAGAAAGACTCCTTGCGGAGAGGGATCCAAGACCTGGGATCGCTTCCAGGTTAGAAAGTCGTACATTTAATATTCGGCTAGCTTCTAAAGTTTAAAATGCAGTTTGGTCGTCATAATAGTTTTTTTTTTGCTCAAAAACACTAAGTGGAAAAGATGAAGTTTGTTTTTCAAAGAGTATTTCGTAAGTTGAAACTAAATGAAATGAAAGTCTTCGAAAAAAAAATTTAAGCATTTTTTTTTTCATGCTTAATGTTATCTGCTTACAGATGCGCATTCACAAGCGTCTTATCAACTTGCACGCACCCGCTGACGTGCTTCGCCAGATCACGTCGATCTCGATTGAGCCCGGAGTCGATATCGAGGTCACCAAGGCCGATTAAGCGGCTTGGTGCGGCTGCGGACGGGTTTCGCCTTAAAACTTACTCCACCTCTTTGGCTTTTCCTTGTTCGTTGTTGTCCCTGCCTATGGTTTGATTTGTTGTGTTGGAAATGTTTTTTGACGTTTCATAAAACTTTATTTAAATTGCTGTTTTTAATTTTGCTCTCATCAAAGACAATGTTTCTTACAACGCATACTTCAAAAAGACAATTAAAGTGGAAAAAGGCCAGGAAAGTTTCGTGCGTTCGGTTTTTCATTTTGCTGACTTTCGTTTCTTCTTGAAATCCAGTTGCGCGTCTTTTAATGCAAATTGTTCTGTCAACAGATATTAAAAGCGATTAATAATGTGGTACGTATTTTTTTTTTGCGTAGCGTGTCGCAAAATTATTTAAAACAGCGCAGAGCTGCTCGAAGGCCGACATGTCGACAGACAGCTGTAATAAAATGTCTCGACAGTGCTATTTCTTGGTTTCGCTTGGTCAGACGCTCATTGTTATATATATATAATAATTTGGCGCCTTTCAAAAACCTTCTCAATATCTTATTTTTGTAGTTTTATTGCATTGGTTTCCACCAATATGCCGTTCTCTAAGTAAATTCGCAAAAATTAAACTTTTCTCTGACTGCCAAATTTTTTCGTCTGTTTCACCTTCTAATTATTTTTTTCATTCCGCTGATTTATTTTAAACACGGCACTAAATATCAAAAAAACTGAGAATTTTCAAAAAAATTAAAGTTTCTATAAATAGTACTAATACCTTATTTCATAGGCAAAGTCGGAAGGACCCTCCGAGGGTCCATAAAGGACCATAGAAATGTTCCTTTTAGGGTGAAGAAGGCTCTCTTTTTGCTGCCTTTTTACTCCATTTTCTCAGCCCTTATGCACCATTTTTGCTGCCTCTCCCTTTTTCCACCATTTCTCGAGCCTTTAAAATCCCAGAAAAATGGAAGGCTCGATAAAGGGAGTCTCTTTGCTGCCATTCGCTGCCTTTTTGCTGCCTGTCTGCGGCCTTTTTCGAGCCTCTCCCTTTTATCGGCCATTATCCACCATTCCGACTTTGCCCGAGTTTTACGATAATATCTTATTTGCTTCCATTTCGAAAATTCCTTTGATATATCCAAATTTTGGCGCCGGTTTCGCATATTGCGAAATCCTTGGTCAGCAATGGTTTTGGTTGTTTTCCCTCAATTGAAAAAAAAAACATTTTTTCAAAGGCAAACTATATTGGACAAAAAGGCGACGCGTTTCGCCACGTTTGGGGGTTGATGTCGTGTTCAAAGTGATTTCTGGCTTAAACATTTGGTTATCAATTTCTTCCTTTGAAATTTTGAATTTCGCGGAATAATCACTTTGAACACGGCATAAGTCAATTCTTCAATATACTTTTCGCGTTTCCAATTTTTTCATGGCGTGTTCATTGGAAAAAACGAAAATTGTTCCAAAAACAAAAAAATTACTACTATTTTGGAGCAACTTTGGTGCGCCAATGAACACGCGTTTGCGTTTTGAAACATGTTTCTACGATGAGCACACCCTCACCGCAGCTTCAAACACGACAAAGAAAAGACCGAAGTTCACCGAAACAGTAAAAAAATTTTACGTTAAAAGCAACTTCGTGCGTTCAAAGTACTATTATATTGATTTTTAAACAGCGGCTTTACGGTTTCAGGATGAGTCATCGTTTATTCCAGTTTTTTTGCCCTTGAATTTTTGTTTTAATATCCTATACACTCTTTTCTCTCATTAATTTTTTTCAATTTGTTATGCTCTTTTTTTTTAATCACTACGAACTTCTGTTCTAAACGAGCTTTCAGATGAACACATCATCATCACAGAATGCTCAAGTCAAGCAGCCTAGGAAAAGTTCTGGAGATCTGGACAACGAATGTCCAATTTGTCAGATGGACATCGTCCTTCCCACTACGATCCCCAGTTGCAAACACAAATTCTGCTTTATTTGTCTTAAAGGTGAGTTTTATTACGTAAATTTCTCGATAATTTTGATAATTTAAAATGGATATATATATTCCTAGGCGTTGTATCGATGCAAATGGGCGTCTGCCCGATTTGCCGTGGTCCTATAGACGAATCAATTGTCGATAATCCGAAACGCAACGATTTCGACATCAAGGTATCATTTTATGAAATTCTTCATTATTTTTCCCATTCTTATTAATTTTCTTTGCGAAAACTCCCAATTTCAAGGCTCAATTCAACCCGGAAGCCGACAAAACTCTCGTTTCTGGTCTCAAACGTCGCTGTTCTGATGGTTTGAACATTAGAAATTCGAAAAAGCTGTGTTCTTCATTTCAGAAGACAACCAAACTGATGCGAAAAAGGTCAAAGACGAGCCAGAGGATGAAGATGTGAAGCCGGACGTTGAGGCTCTTAAAGGTACTTCAAGACTCTTGAGTTAAGAGTCAAAGAAATTTTTTTATTTAAGGTCAATGATAGAAAATTTTTGAATAAAGTTTACAGATAAAGAAAAGCTACCGCTTTTTGAAAAAAAAGTTCACGTTTATCTTTTTATCAGTGGAAAAGTTGAAAAAAAATCTTCAACCATTTGAGCAGCTTCATACCATGTTATTTAAATTTTATCTTCAAAACTTGAGAAAAATTGTGAGTTTCATCACTAGTTTAAGTGTAAATGAGGAGCTTGCGGGCGCCAAAAAAGTATTGCAAAGTTGAGAGGAAGTTCCTTTCAAATAAATCATTGAAGATATTTTATAAATTGAACCGAGTTACAGCAAAAGCCAATGCGAAACCGCCGCAGCCCCCACAGCGTCATTTTTGGCTCTATCAGGTGAATTCTTTTATTTTTCTAGTGTGAAAGCACTTTTTTATGATGAGAATCGAAAGAAACAAGTTTGAAACTATTATGATTTCAGGCGCGTCGTCAAGGCTGGTGGCGTTTTGATCCGAGAATCGAAAATGATATCGAAGCGGCCAAGAAAAACGGGTTGCCGGTCACTGAGGTCTTTTAAAATATTTTTAATCAATCTTGTAATTGTTTTGGTTTTTTTAGGTGTGGATTTGCGGCAGGAATTACGTTATAGATTTTGTCAGAATGGTCCAGTTTCCTAAGGGAAACGATGGTCGATTGAGCCGTGAAGTGAAGTTAGTTTAGATTTAAAGAAGAAAAAAAATTGAATTCATTAGGTTTTTCTTTGAATTCTTGTGAGGTTGTTTTCCACAGTTTCGATCGAAATTTAGAACGTTTTTGAGCTTATTTCCTATAAAGATGGGAAAAAAAAATTTACTGATCCAGAAGATAATTGAAGGAAGCTCCGCTCTTCAAAATATATAAGGTCAACTGAATTTTATTTCGAGAGATTTCCAGAGATTAAAAAAATTTGATCACCTTTAAGATAGCAGGGTTTCAAAAAAAAAAAAATAGTGTGAAAGTACGAATTTAAAGAATTTGCAGACTTTTTCGGGAAACTCTGAAGAGCTAACTTATTCTGATTGGAATTTTTCAAATTTTAAAAAGCTTCCCTTTTGTCTACGAAACAACTTTTGGTTTCTTTGAAGCGTTGACTAGGATGGAAAATGAATTTTTGAAAAAAAAATCTTGTTAAAATATATCATAGGAAAGGCCGTATCCAAAGTGATCGCCGCGAAATTCAAAATTACCTCCGACATTTGAGTTTTGTGAAATCCCTTTGAATGCTGAAAAGCTCATTGATATACATTTTCTTCTCATGTTGAAATTCTCCAGACGCGTCACCGAAGAAGAGTTCGACAGTCTCCCGGTCAAGGGAATGGCTGGCGTCTTTGCTGTATAAATCCTCAGAAATACATAATTCTGTACATTATCCGCTTTACCTTCTTGCGTGTCCATTTTCAAAAACCTTGTCTTCCTCCGGGTCATCGACTAACATTCCCTTTTTCTGCCCCTTCTCTTTCTTTCCATTTTATCTTTCTTTGGATTTATTTTTATCAAACTTTTATTCGCTCGTTTTGCTTCTGATTTCTATTGTATACGTGTTATTTCTTTTTCGTCTTCTTTCGTATCTTACATGGTCGTTCCTGTCGTCGCATGTGGATAAATATGTATTTCAAAAGAGTCCTTTCTACGTGAAACTGTTAGGAAGTCCATCTTTCCCTTGGAATTACCTTCAAATATCTAGAAAAACTTGTAAGACTCAAAAAATTTTCGAGAAAAGTTTTCAAACGGTTCAAATAGACGCCATCTGTTCAAATTTTTCTTCTTCTTCTTTCTTTTTCGTTTCAAATGCTCCTTATTGCTCGATTTTACCTCTCTTTTTCAAATTTCGACTTGTTTCAGCGAATTCCTGTTGTTTCTCCAGTATTGCTCAACTTTCTTCACAAATATGAATAAATCGCGTATGTTTATTTTAATCTTTACGAAAAATTTGAACTTTCAGGCCTTTCTATCAATAGAATAGTTGAAAAGTTTGTTTGATAAATAATAAAAAAATTCAACCTGAACATTTTTTTGTCTTTTTCGAGACTGTTTTTAATTGTACAAAAAAATTCCCAGAAGTCATCGTTATAGTTCAAAACGAAAAAAAACGACCAAGAAGCTTGAAAAGAAGCTTTTTTGGGAGTTTTTAAAGTACTAAATTTATTTGTAGAAACCGAAAAAATTGCTCAGAAACTTCCGGTTTTCGTTACCGAGGTCCGAATACGAATTTGAGCGCCCATTTATTTGAAACCACAAATCTGATTTTTTAATAATTCTTGCTGCGATTGCAATTTCACGTGGATTAGATGGCAAAAGGTCATTTGAGAAGGAAAGTTATTTGAATTTCGCAGAAATTACTTACACTTGTTAGAACACCGTATTAACGATTTTTGTTCATGAAGCACGTGTTTTTTATAAATATCCAAATTTTTTCGTATTGTCCTTTCGAACCACTGGATTTCGAAGTCAATACTCTTTAAAAAAAAACGGTGTTTTAAGGATTTTTATTCAGAGATTTTTCGTGATTTTTCGTGATTTTTTCACGGTTTTTTCTAGTAGCTTTTGCCTTTTTTTTGAAAACTGGATTTTCATTCCAATACATAATTTCGAAAAGAAAGGTGTTTTGACGATTTTTGTTCATAGAGAACGTATTCTTTCAATAGTTTTCAGTTAATTTTTGCATTTTCCTTTCGATCCAATGAATTTTGAATCCAGCCAAACGAACGGAATAGTTAGAAATGTGCCTCGTCGAGTTTTGGCGCCCGCAAAAACCATTGAAATGTGCGGCTGAGACTGGTCCACTGACCCAGTTTTCCAGACCAACACTTAGCCTATAGCCCTTAGCCTTCGCCTCGTTTTGGGATTCGCCTCAACCAGGAATTTTTCCGACTTTTTCATCCTCATTTTTTAATTAACTTGTCCTTTTTTGAAAAAAAATTTTCAAAGATTTTTTTTACTCATTACGCATTCAGAAAATTTTTGAAGACCTTGGGTTCCAGTAAAATGAGATCACGATTCGTAAATTAGTTCATTACAGAGATTTTCAATTTTTCCGACTTTGCAGAAAATGAAAAGATTTGGAGTGAAACTGGATATTTCCCTCTTTGAAACTTTTTTTGCGAGGTAAAATTGTGATTTTTGACGTTTTTAGTACCTTTCTTTCATTTTTCCAGTGTTCAGCGTTATCGTATCGTCATTGAAATCATCATAATAAGTCCAAAAAAACAATTATTTGAAAAAAGTGCGCTTTTTGCCTTCATTTCTAGAGCGGGATTTGAAAATAATCCGATTTTTTGTTTTCTGCAAAATATGAGATTCAAAACTTTCAAACTTCGGATTATGAGGTTTTTTTCTAAGTTTTATAATTTGACTCATTCTCTTCATTAAAAAAAATAGTTTAAAATTAAAGAACTTCACTAAAAATTTTTGTTTTTTTGTTGTGATTTTTCTCGCTGTAATTGCTTTTTCTAGAGAAAAATAATGACACAATTTGGAAGCTTTTTTTCATTTTTTTAATACACTTTCTAGTGGACCGAAAACAAAGAAATTACGCAACTTGCGAATTTTAACGCCAATCGCTTTTTTTTTTTTGGAATCAGGTTTTGGCTTCTCCCCCCGGGCGAATCTCTCCTTTTTTCTTCCAATTCGACTTGATCCAACCCGAACATTTCGATTTTCTTCCTTCCATCGGCGCCACTCGTTCCTTTTGTTTCTCCACGACGGCAGAATATGTTCAGCGTCACAAGTATGTCCTCCGACGTCCTCAAAGACGCTTTCATCGCCACAGTTTCCAGGGATTATGAAAAGTTTGTTTCTTGTTCTTGTGTGTTCTGGGAATCAGGGAAAATTATTTTTTTTTGATTGAAATTATGTATTAATATTGTATAGATCCTTCTGTTTGAGTAAAAAATAGACTGACTTGTTGAGAGAAAAAAACGCTGCGAAGTTCCCAAAAACTTTTTTTAATGAGCGGAAAGATTTTTTATTTTTTGAATTTTCGAAATGTAATTTAATGTAATTTGAGTTGAAACTTGTATAAAATTTGTATAGATCGTCCTTTTATAGTTCGAAAAAGACTTTTTTTTTCCATCAACCATTTATAATCTTTGAAAAAATCAATTAATCATAATGCGTCACGTTTTTTTAAAGCTTTTCTCATATTTCAAAAGAATTTTCTGGGTTAAAATTACTGAAAAAAAGGATGAGAGGTTTCTAAGCTTTTTTTCGAAAAAAATTTGATTTTTCATAGCGTTTATCAAAATATAAACTGGACGTGCCCGGGACGATTCAGGGCATTTCTAGGGATCACTTAAGTAAAAAAAAAGAGTCTCATTTGGAATTTTTCCGTTTTTCAGGAGACTATACAGCCAAGAATGCCATTTTCAAGAGGTTTTTCTCAAAAAAGAAAGAAAATAAATTTATTATCGCAAGAAGAAATAAATAAAGAAGATGATGTCATTTGCAGAGCAGTCAACGTGATTCGAAGCGCCGTCTCAACGGAGCACGCTTTCAACGTCGAAGAGTTGGAGCTGATCGACCACGTCTATTCCTGTATTCTCAACACTTCTCATTACGATGAGTCGCTCATCGAGGTCAGAAAATTGAGAAAGTTCCGAAAAACCTATGTTGCTCGTGTCATGCTAGAAAAGCTGGTCGGTTTCTCATGATGACCATTTTTTTAATCTTTCAAAGTTTGAAAAAGTTTTTGAATGTTATTAGGATTTTTATTTTTGTAACGCAAATTCATAATATGAATAGTTTCGAAGTCTGATTTTCAGAGATCTAATCGTTAAATTTGCGAAATCCCCATTTTTTTCCAAATTTTTTTCCATTTTTTTGCCGAAAAATTGCTCTCAAATAAAATTAAAAATTTTTTTTTCACACAATTTATTTCGATTTCATGTCAAAAAGAAAAAAACAATTTTTTTAAAGTTTGCTCAAAAAAACACAAAAAAATCTCCACGTTATTTTTTCAAAACTTCCAAAATAATCAAAGTCAAGAATTCTGCGCATTTTGGAAGACGTCTTCAATTCTAAATCGAAAGAAATTCTCAAAAATATCAAAAATTGACCCGAAAACTTCAAATTCCTAAAATCAGTAGAGAATTCAAAAAATTGATTTGGAAAGGGTAATGAAACAGTAAAAATTGATAAATTCAAACAAGACAGACTCTCTCAAAATTTAATTTACCAGGGAATTTTTTCGGAAGAAGTGTAATTTCAATCTCTCGAACATTAACAGTTGATGCGCAGTCTTTGACCTTACTGTGGAGTCAGAGTAACAGGAAAATAGCACATAAAAATGAGAGGTTCGACAGAGAATAGATAAGCCCGAGTATAAAATAATGTTCGATTTTTCGAAATGTTTTACCATGGCTTACTCGCTGCGACTCGGCTTTCCTGATCTGTCTGCGCTCTCTTTTCTCTTACCGGCGAGAGCACAGAGACGTTGAAATAGCACGTAAAAATGAGAGATTCGGGAGAGAAAAGAGAGCAGGAAAATATAGACGTATTGAGTCTAGTTCCCCATCATTCCTTTCTTGGAAAAACATTTTTTACTAATAGTAAGATGTTCAGGTCTGCTGGGAATGGATCGACGCAATAGAAAGGAGGCCAAGAATCGCCGACCCAAGAGTCATTTCCAGCTCACAACTTAGTATCTACTACGCCTATCATACAGTAAGCTCAGGGAAAAAGAAGGGAACTGAAATATTTCAGATTTGTCGCGTTCAAGAAAGAATGCCGAAACGGGTCACATATCCACAAACGAGAACCGACACTTGGAACCGAATTACGCAGAGTTTTAGGTGCGTTTCGAAATGAACATCTGCTAGAAAACGCGACGCAGCCGTCCCGCGTCGTGATTTTTCAAAAACCACTTTTTAGACAACTTTACTGAATCGCTATAAATATTAAGTTTATTTTTTTATTTTTGCTTCTCGCTGATGTACGTTACGTTGACTGAAGAATTGAAAAATTGAAAAAAATTTTTTTCAAACATTTTTGAAATCTTTGAAATTTAAGTTTGAGTTCGAATTTTAATTTTTACGGCACTTTTCATTTATTTTCTTACTATGATCATTTGCTTATTAAATCCCTGAGAAAAATTGACAGACTCAGAAAAAAAAAATACATTGCAAGTTTTAATGAAAAATCCAGAAAATTCACAATTTCCTAAGTACTTTGTGGGGGGTTGATTATTTGAAGAACTTTTTTCCAAAATTCATCTATTTATAGTTAGTTGTAGTTTTCAAGGTTTTCTATTTGATTCTCAAGAGTTCGGCATCTCTAAACGTTCAAAAAATACGGTGTGAATTGGCCACATTTCCAGTTACTTATGGAAAGCCGCGACGCAACTCTGGAAGGCCTACGAACTGGACCGTCTCGACGTCCTCTGCAGCTGGTCTTATCTCTGTCTCCAGTTCGCCGACGCCGTCACCGACGACGTCCTGTCCATCATTGAGGTAAGCGACGCCGCCGGCTTCCGTGGCGCAATAGGCAGCGCGTTCGGCTGTTAACCGAAAGGTTGGTGGTTCGAGCCCACCCGGGAGCGAGACCTTTTTGCCGCGTTGTTAGCACCATTTTTTGGCCTTTTTCTTTTCAAATCGTTAATTGTTCGATTGTAGACTTCAATGGAAAGTGCCCGATCGGTTTTGTCAAGTACAATCGTCGTCGAAAACTCACATCAGGCCAATCAGCGAGTTTGTACGGTGGAGCGCAACGCAAAGGATTGCAGAGCCTTGGCTGAGAAATACGGTCGGAAATTGGTTGGTTTTCCGAGTTTTTATCAATCCAAGTAAATTGTGTCACTTTCTCTAGTTTTCCTGACATTTCTGTTCCGAATCTTGGATTTTAAAATGATAGAGTTGTGAAAATTTTGATGAGTTAAATTTTGTTGAAAGTTTCAATTTTGAAAAAAAGGCAAGGTGGTCACAAATAGAAGGGCTCAATGCGTCTTGTACTGTACCTAATAACGAGCTCAGGCGCAAGTCGTTTTCGGTCGGGCGAACTAAGAAAAAAGCGCTCAGCCTGAAGGTTTGAGCCATTTTCATGGGATCTTAGTTCGTGAAAAAAAGTTTTTGAAGTGTCAAGTGTTTTTTACCAAAACGGTCTCAATTTGCCATCCCTTCAGAAATTTCGAATATCCCTCAATAAATCATTCTTTTTGAATTCGAGGGTCAATATTTTCATAACGGTCAATATTTGGTGATATTTACAAATGGCGACTGTTGGGAAAGTCAAAGAAAACGACGAAAAACACTCAATCGGACTGGTTTTTTTTGTTCATAATAAAAAAAGACGGCGTGATGTTGTTTTTAGGTGACGTTTTGCAGGCAGGAAATGAAGTGAAATTGAACTGTTTCTTATTGAAAAATCAGTTTTTTCCTCGAAATTGAGATAAAAAAATTGAAAAAGCGACAATTCAAAAGAGCTTTTGAAACTTTTTGCCCATGAAAAGCTAACGGCTAATGAAGTGGCATTTTATTAAAGGCTATAGTCGATGCTCAGCAAAATATATTTGATACGTAGTAGGATATTTCTCATTCATACAATAACTTCAAAATTTTTGAGATGACCCTATTTTTTTAAATTAAAATTATCAAATTTTTCAAAAAACGGATGTGTTGATGCTAAGCGAATTTAATCCGAAATTTTGAATCTTCCCGTGTTTTCCTTTTTTTCTTTTGCAGTTGATGCTCAGTCAAATTTGCGCCCAAAGCTTAACTTTGATACTCAGTAAATATAGGGATGGCTACAAGTAATTCAAAGTTTTTTCCATTTTTCTTCAACAATTTTGAAGTAGAACTACTTTTTTGGAATTCTAAAGTTGATGCTCGGTCCAATTACAGTTTTGAAGTGCCTTCTAACTGATTCAGTCTCTTTTTACAAGTTTGCACTTTTTTCCTAAGCCCGACCTTTACAGTTGTTTCTCAACGAATTTTCAGCTACCAAGCTCCCTTGTGAAACAAGAAGTGATCACTGAAGTGGTGGCTGCTGACGAAGAAGAAGAGGCGGCGGAGGAAGACGAAGAAGATGACGTCACCGGCGAGGAAGAAGACGACGAGCCTCTCGGCAAGAAACGCAAAGAAGACCTCTGAAACTGATCTTCTTTCGGATATGTATGTATAAATTGTTTCCTATTTCAAAGAATGCAGTGGAATAGTGAAACTTGAAGGGGCTACTGAAGGGGTCGTGGGGGAAAACTTTGATGTTAACAGGTTTTCCAAGGAATTTTTCCAGCAAATAAAGACTCCAAAGATAAGTTTTACTGTGGACTAAATGTTGAAGTGGTCCTTTTAGGGTTTCGATTTCCACTCAAGTTACAACTTCAGCTCATTTGGGATGCTTAGGGGGATCATTTAGGGAAGGAGAGTACAAAAAAAACGTAGTGGTCATTTCAGAGGATTACAATATCAATATGACGTTTTCTTATCATAAACAGGTCTTCAAGCTGTTTTTCTTCATAAATTAATGCTTTTTTCGGGCTGAAAATATTTAAAGTTTCAAAAAACCTGAAGTAAAAAGCTGACTTTTTCGGGGACTTTTCACGAAAATCAAAGTCAGGGGTTCTTTAGGAAAAGTATGAAAAGAAAGTGACGCCTTTTTTGTGAGTTATGGCCAAAAAGCTATTGAGTACAAGGTTGACTTCTCTGCGTCATCGATATCTATCGCTGATTATCACTGATCTGATCTTTCTCTCGAAGGAAATCGATTTGCAATCTCCTCTACTTCTTCCAACGCTAGCTTGTGACCAAAATTGCTGAAAAGGCGTAAAAATTAATTTAACTTTACTTGATGAATTGCTGAAAACTGGCCATAACGCTCACTGATGGACCAGAAAAAGATCCGGAGAGTCTCAACCTGTCAACTTTCTAGTTTTCGAGAAAGGAAACCTAAAAATCCGTTAAATTAGGCTATTTTTAGACCTTCACCCCTTGATTCTCGAAAACTAGGAATTTTGCAGGTTGAGATTTTCAGAATTTTCTTTTAAGACATGGAGGGATTTTCTGGTCAGCTAAGCGAATATAATCTTATTTTTTTACTATTTTTCTCAATATTGTCTCGATGATCTCCTATCATTGATCCCCTTCTCATTCCAATTCTTCCCCTTGTCTCAAATGATTTCCGGATTCGTTTGTGTGCTTCTTTTCTCTTTTTTTCTTTGTTTGTTCTTCCTTCGGACTGTTTTTTTGTCTCTCGTTCTTTCCGCGTGCCCGCCCGCCCGCCAACGTGGGTTTTTGAGATTTGGAGTTTTTGACCTGCAAACTTTTTTTTTTGATCTCTGCCCCCGGAGATGCCTTTTTTGTCATCTCTGTACTTTCATTTAATTTTTTTATTGTCCAAATATCTTTCTGGTATTTTTCAAATGCAGACCTTAAATAACACAGAAGTCGTTTTTTTATTTTTGAATAAAAAAACACAAAAGTTTCTTGGGCTTCTTTGAAAACGTCAATTAAGCCGAATGACAAAAAAATAATAAATCAGAAAAAAATCTTTTTTTAAATCAATCAAAAATCCATTTTTTTGTCTCGTAGAATTTTATATACTATAAGTAAAAACCGACTCAATCACTCATGCCCGCAACAGATGCGTAAATCCTCGCATAAAACGAACTTTGAGCTGTTTTCGCGGGTCTTTTCCTCGTTTGAAGGATGGGATTGCACTTATTTTTGCCGATTTTTTCTCATTTTCATTTGCTTCTTTTCTGTTCTCACGTATACCAAATGTCTATTGATTGCTGCTATTTATATAACTTTAATTTTCAATTTGAAACGGGAATCATGCGAAAATCAGCTATGAAGTCAGAGAAATCGCTTTTGGTCGAGTATTGGCGCTCCACGGCTAATTTTTTTTTCGAGTTTGAGTTTTTTGCAACTTTTCCGTGTTTTATCTCGGAAGAGAAAAAAGTTATCTGTGATATCTCAATCCAGAAAGCTTCCCAACTTCATCCCACTGACCAATGACGTCGCGAACCCGTCTGGCACGTCTCCAGGCTCGTGCCGACGTCTTCAGACCATTTTCCGAACATTTGGATGTTTTGCCGTTCGATTTTGGTCGTCTTTAGTCGTCTAGTCTTTCCTTTTTTTCCTCCATTCCTTTCACGTTTCGAGTTTGACGCATCTTTGGTTGTTTGGTCGCGGTTTTATGGGTTATTTTGGTAGAAATCGAAAATTATTGCGGCAGAGCGAGATTTGAGAATTCTTTGATATTCTGGAAGCCTGAAATAATTCATGGAACAATGTGAATGATCCTGTAAGAATTTATTAGACCAGGAGGCTGACATATTAATTTTTTTTTAAATTTTTATTCGATCTGTGGAGAACCTTTTAATGAAGTTTTCCCATTTTTCAAGCTCGGATTAAAATTTTTTCCAATAACTGAGTTTTTGATTCCTTCAAAAAGTCGTTTCATATTTCTGATAATTCAAAAGAAGAAGCTTTTTTTAAAAAAATTTTTCAAACCTTTTTTTCCTTCGCCCTTTTCCAACAATTTTTTTCCTATAAGTTCTATCTCTTTCCCCACTTTACAGTCTTTTTTTATGAATTAAATATTTTTGAATGAGCTTTTTTTCAATCAAAATGTGATCAAGAGCTCAAAAGTATGAAAAAAACAAAATATTCATTTGTTTTTTTGATTAGATACAGGGGCGAATTTTTTTGTCATTCTTCAAGTTTCCTGTTTCAATTTGATTTATTTTGTTTTATTTTTTTGAAGGTTTTTTTGTTAGATCTTGAAAAAGAAGGTGCAATCGACTATTAAAGAAGGTCGAAGAAAGTTTCAATTTCTCGGTAAAATTCCTGTTCTGAAATCTGGAAAATTATCATAAAAGTTGGAGATTTTATTTCTCTGTTCATATTTTTCAAAAAAATCTCTTCTTTTTGGGAACCTTGAAATTAATTTTTTTCTTCCTCCCTTGTTAAAATATGAACTCATCCACCTTTTTGAGAAAAAAAAGGCGTTTTTCCACTTTTTTTCAAGCTTGAAACTTAGTTTTTCCTTAATTTCAGTGGTTTAGGAAGTTTTTTTGTGTAACTGGCGAAAAAAAGGAGCTTTTTTCTCTGGAGCCATTTTTAGTTTTTTTTTCGGAATTCGAAACCATTTTTTTAAATTTTTTTGATAGATCATCAACTACCAAAACGCCTAATTTTTCGCCTTTTTTTCGTGTCTTTTTTCTCAAGTTTTTTTCTTCTACTTTTTTTGTCTTTGAACTTTGATTTTTTTGTAGAAAAATGGATTCCTGAACAGACTAGGAATGTCGATTTTTAAAAAAAGAAACAGTTTTTGAATATAATTTTTTTGTCTTTCAAGTTTTTTTCCGAGGAATGCCTGTTTCAAGAGCCCTGATTTTTCAAACAATTAGGGCTTATTTGAACCAAAAAAAAAACGCAGAACCTCTCAAATACTGGCCATTTTACGGAGTAGCGCTAGAGCTTACTTTCTTCAAAAAGTATTGATTGATATTAACTATTTTTTTCTCATTGATTTTTAACTAAATTGACCTTTTTTTGCTGTGTTGGAAATATTTGAAAAAAATCGTTTTTTAATATAGATTTATGAAAAAAACAAGTGAGCGAATAGCAAATGAATCATCGCTGATCCACCTGAAAAATTCCAAAAAAAGAGGCGTGGCTAGCCATTCCGAGACGTTGTTCGTTGGAGCGAGTTTTCTATGAAAACTATATTTTCACGCATTATTCAAGAGAAAAGAATTTGAGTAAAATCATGGAAAGAACGAGAATTTAGGACTTTGGGCGGTTTTTCAATTGTCAAGACTTGAAGCAATCTCTCGTTTTACGTGCTCTTTCCATGTTCCCATGACCCAGGGGAGAGAGGAGAGAGCGCAGACAGGTCAGACTGTTTCAAGTTGGGGTGAATGGAGTATTTATGGTTTGACTTCTAAAGAACTCGAGTGACAATGTTGTTTTGTCCCTTGTTTGAATCGGATGGCGGACGCCTTTTTGGGGGTCAGACGCCGATTGATTCGACTCCTTCTCTTTGTCTCAATTTCGTGATTAATTGTCGTCTTCGTCATTTTCCGTCCGCCTCTCAATGTGTTTAATTTATCGGTTTCTTTCACTATCAACACTTTTTTCGGGTTCTTCTCTGCCTTTTTTGGGCCAAGTTTGTTTGGAACTTTTTCTCCTAGAAGTATTTTTTTTCGTATTTTCTTTCTCTTTTAATAATCCTCAGTTCGAAATATAGCCCAAAATCCTGAAAACAACAATTGCAAAAATGTTAAAAAGCCACTTTAGGCTTTTTGCGTTTCACTGGCTTGTTACACCGGAAGAGTCACCGGCTCTTCCGTGTAAGCTTTAGACGTGTTGAAGGCAGACTGTCATGAAGTCTTTATTCGTGAGCCTCACACGCGTGTGGCCAAGACGCGTGCAGGGGAACCAAGTGAGATACAGGCGTGTCTGCCGGAGCAATTACACGCCGAGAGCATCGTTCACACATGAATACAATAGAACGGAGAGAGATAGTATTCCTACTGTAACAGGCTACTGTAGCACTCGAATCAATGGTCCTTTAAATGGCTTGAGTAAGTAGCCTCTTAAGGAGTCTAATTTGTCTAGAGGCAGATCAATGGCTTCTACAGAGGTAATTTTAGTGACTACTTTAGTGTCCTCTCTAAATAGTGCTTCAGGAACTTTTTAAAGGACCATATAACTTTTCTCAGCATTTTTCTCATGAAAAATTCGCTCCAATCCCCGATTTCCTGGCCACGCCTCTTTTTTGTCAATTTTGTGAAGAAGCTCATCAGTGACTCATTTATTATGAACTCATATTTTTTTTTTCAATTTCCATGTAAATTTTAAATATTTCGTTTTTGAAAATGCTCCCGACCAAAAACGACTTTCGTCTCTAGCGATAGAAATCTAAATGTAACACGTTCAGCCCACGAGAATATTTTAAAAAACGGGGAAATAATAAGTAATTTTGAAAAAAAATAATTCGAGTGTTCTGCATATAAATGCGACCAATCGAAATTTCAGAAAAAAAATGGACTTTATTAATTTTGTGAAACATAAATATATTTTTCCAAATTTTTTTTTTCATTTTTCGAAGCTTGAGTTGAAATCAGATCTCAAACTCAAAA